TTAGCGTGGTGGAGTGATGGAGTCGGCCAGGATCGCACGCAGGGATCTTTGTCCTCCTGCGCTAATCCCTTAGGGGACCAGGCCAACGGGCTTTGCGGGGATCATTATAGCATCACGTCATTTTTTGTACTGATTTCACCTACTTTCTATAACATGGTCCCCCGTGCTGGGTATTCTATGAATTTCTCGATTAGAATACATAGAATCCGTAGACTGGGTTCATCTCAACCAAGCATACTCGCTCTCTGGTCGCAGGAACCATTCCATAGTTCCCCCGGTGTTCAGGGCAAGACACTGCACGGGACATAGCACGCGTCAGCTCCTGGAAGAGACCCGCCAACCTAGTCCGGTACTATTGGTCGATCCTCGTGCCGAGCTCGGCTATCGACTATCTGCCGTCTTGGAAAGTGGAGTGTACCATACTCAATTCGGAATTTCCTGGTTGGAGCAAAAGTCTGCACAGGGCGTGGGCCCCCCAAACTATTCGGATAAACCCCCTATGCTCCGGTATCGGGTGTATTCGACTACACCTATCGCCGTCCCTCCTATCCTGGGTCTCGTGGGGGTCTTGCGCATTTAGCCAAATTTCCCGTGGCTCCTGGGCCTGCCGTGTTGCTGCAATGGCGAAACTTGGTTCTCCTGAACGGGTCTTGGAGGGAGTTGTTCTATGTATAGAAAAACGAAGGTAATGGTGGTTCTTCATGTTCAGAGTCCAGAATCCAGAGTCCAAAGTGCAAAGTGCAAAGTCCAATTTTTTAAAATACTAGTCTCTAAGATACCAGACATCGGCAGGATAAGACACAGAAATGCAAGTTTGTCAGGTAGGCTCTTTAGACTCGGAAACCAAGTCAACTTTGAATTTAGAGGACAATCTCTCTGACGATCTGCCGTGTGGGCACCGCCAAGATCGGAGCCCCGTGCAGATGACAGCCGGTCAGGATGCGTTGCTTGCTAGGGCTGGTTCCTGGTGATCCCTTTCGGATCGTCGATGTCACCAACGTGTGATCGACTCCCAGAGGTTTGTACATGATCTTAAAAAATCCGAATCTGTCTGAGCTCGATCACATACATAAACCAAGTCGAAAATGGTAGTCCGGGGTGTCCCGCATTTGTGAAAAGTGTATTCCTCCGACTCTTAGTCTCTGTGCGCTGTTGACCGCCCTTTTGCACCATCCGCCCTCCCCGCTCAATTTTCAGCGCCATCTTCGGGAAACTCTTGAGGGTTTGCCGAATGGTAGGCCGAATTGGGAGGAGGGGGGGAGGGACTTAACCCATTTGGGTGAATACATGAGAAGTGTCAACACGCGTCATGGCTATGGCTCTGGTCTTGGTCCTTGGTCTTTGGACCAAGGTCCAAAGACCTCAAGCCCCAAAGCCCCAGGCGGCCTGAGCCGTGTCAGAGAATGCGTTGGGCCCAAAAGGGAGTAGTGAAAAGCGGTCAGCGGAGTCGAAGGCGTGTTGCCTCCTTCATGGATTCTCCACTCGTCCCGTGTTATAAGCTTGGGCCTCCGTTTTCTGTCGTGGAGGGTGGAGAGACTGCAGATACACTTTGTGTTCGATCTCCCTCTGATCCGGCTCACTCCGCTTCCCTCAACTGTGAGGCAATACGAGCCACTGGTGCACGGGTTCCTAAATGATCGTCGATAGTCTATAGTTTGATAGTTTGATAGCTGATAGTTGAATCTGGGTCGCAAATAGTCACAATTTCCCAAACTGCACTATTGGACCCTCCGCACAGGGCAGCTTTGTGTCGAAGTCCTTGATGCAATGATGCAATAGTATCAAGACCGGTGAGACGAGTGGGCCAGACACGGCATGGGCAGGGGGGCAAGACGCTCAGACTGGAGCCCAGCGCAGTGCTTGTTTTGCTCAGTTCGCGCATGGGTATGGGGGCAAAATGAGCATCGAATTTCCCACGACTCCATCTGTACCTGAACTGCCCAAGCGTGTCCGGCCTTGGCTAGAACCAAGGCCAGAACTATTACCACACTGCCGCAATGCTCAAGGACCTTGCCCGACAGAGCGAGTCCGCTGTGGATGTCTACTGCCCCTAGAACCCGATGAGAGAAAGATTCCCGAGATGAGCTTGAGGGAACCCGCTTTCCAGGTTTGGAACCAGGAGGGCTCCTGGATACATCCCGAATACCCTAGTCACACGTCCCGAAATGGAAGTCCGGTGGTTGGAGTAACCTACTTCGACGTGTAGATAGCCCGGCTACTCCAATCCAAGCTCAATGGCGTCCGGTAGTCGATGACCCACGGGCGGCTTCGAGGCACGCCTCGTCGATCCGTGGAAGCGGCTTGAAATTCCGCATTCGGCTGTACGAGATACGGTTCGCAGCTCGGGTTCTAATCTCCATGCTGCTATGTTTGGCGCGCTGGTTTTTTTCTGGAAAACCTGGAAATCTACGCTGACCATGGGACGGTGCTGTCGTTGCCCTGGTTGGGTGGGAATGCGGAGAGGCCAATGTGATCACGCCAGTGCCAGGGGAACAGGCTCAAGGAGTAGTCTGTCTCAAGTTCTTGGATGTGACCTTGGTTCAACCCTCAAGGGTGATTTCCGATAGCTCTCCGCAGTGGCGGTGGCTTTCTGGTGGTGGTTCCATAAGAGGACGAACCATTGAGTTGAGTAGTTCCTACCTTGCTAGTTCATAGGAACAGCCATTCCGGCCACCCGGAATAATTAGAGTATGGCTCAAAGTTAATATCAAAAAAGAGGGGGGGACTATCTTTCTTCAGCCTCCCTCGGCTACTCAATTTCGGATCCGATCCTTGTGATCGAAGTCCAGGAAGCTTAGCGTACATTGTCATCTCGGGGAGTTTATACTATCTCGGGGCTATTGGCTTCTATTTCATCGCCACGGGTTACTCCGCTGGGCTAGGGGAGCATAGTGTAGTGTGATGAGTCCGATTAAGGGCCGGTCATATCTACCGCGCTCTTTTACAGGAGCCGCGCCGCTAATGTACCCATGGCGGGATGTGTTGGTCCGCATTCTGACGCCGGCATTGGCCCCTGTGCGTGCTGGCACAATACAAAACACGAGGATTGAGTCGCTCAGTGATACAGGTCGTACGGCGGCAAATGGTTCAGGCTGGGACCCCGAGCCGTCTTGCAGGATTAGAAGAAAAGTTAGAGAAAAAAAAAAAAAAGAAATGGAAAAGGACAATCCCGGCATTCCATCATTGCGCTTGCCATCTCATCTACGGGAGAACGGAATAGGGAATACTCAGTCGGCGGATAAGGGTCTCCCCAGTTGGCCCAGTTGGGGATAGCCGGAGCAAGTCCGACATGTGGAGGTTTGTACATCCTCCGCAGAAGGAAAGTGAAACAGTGGGTAGAGAGCTATGCACAGAGGGACAACGTCAGCACATTTTTGGAGACCCGACCAAATTCCCGTCAAGAGGAGAATGCAGGCGTCAATAATGCTCGAGGCTATTGATTCGATAAATTCTGATCGGGGGCTTTACATCTGAAGTAAGGTCCTCCCACGCTAACCACCTTTGGCCCGTGTCAAAGGCCCCCTCTTTGGCTCTGGTTTCCACTGATTTCCACGCCCGCATACATGGCTGAAAGCCCTGCGTGTGAATCGTCACCGGCTTGGTTTTATTTTATTTTATTTTATTTCCATTTTACAGTACTTCTCTTTTTTCTTTTTTTTCCTTTTTGTTTTTTTTTGCCCCCGAGAGGGTCCTGCAGTGTGCCAATAATGAGGGACCCAAAGTTGTCCCCGTGGGCCTCCCACATTTGGGTTTGCATTGGCCATGGCGCGTCAACCCCCAACTCCTTTTTCCACCCTTGTGATCTCGGTTTTTGGGACCTATTCAATGGTAGAATACTACCGGGGTAGTCTGAGGTGGAAATGGTCTCTGAGAATTCCCCCTTTGCACGAGGTTCGATCGTAGAAAGGATGAGTGGCAACTCCCTATCTAATTAGGCATCGGGTATACCCTTTGACGTATGAGATCGCCTTTCCCCGCTACCTTGAAACACGCCCTCAGGGCGAACCTTGGTCGCTGCATCGTGAGTTTATTTCTTGGCGTCCCTTTCTTCCTCTTTGCCATTTGAGCCCCGTTAGGAATAGCGTGCCTCAGACACGGCACGGCTGAGCCAGTCATCGGTTAGCCTCAGTGCGAGTGCTGGACATTCCCTTACCAAATCCTCTCTCTCCTCCCCTTTACTTTTGGCCCGCTACACTTGCCCACTTATTCTCCCCCCCCTGAAGCTCTGAGGTCACCGTCTGCTTTTTGGGTCCCATGATTTCCCTCTCCCAAATTGCCTTTTGGGCACTTTGCTACTCCCCGATTACGGAGTCCAGTTGCTCTGTTCAGTTGTTTGAGGGGGGCTGGGTAACATATTTGCAGCGCGTCTAATGTTTGATTCTCCAGATCTGCCATTCTTCAACCTCACAGGATGCCCCCATGAACCTTCAATATTTCCGAGCGGCATATCAGAGTCGACGAGTATAGTTCGAAGCAATAAGGGAAAAAGCCAAAAGCCAGACGGGGTCCGAGGAACTGGTTCCCGTTCAGAGAACCACTTTCTCCACTAAGCAATGCCTCCAATCTTGCACGATAAAAATAAGATGTGATTAAAATAATAAAATAAAAGGATAAAAGAAAAATAAAAGAAAATCCCCAAAAAGCGGGTAACGTTACAGTATTGTTTCCAGCGATCTGCACCGTCTCCAGTGCCACTGACGACGTGCCGCTGGAGTATCGTGCCTCAGTATAGTGTTTGTCCCTTCTTAAGCTTCGCCGATCCCCTTTCCCCAGACCTTTCTCTTCACCTGAAATTAAATTATTGGATCTTCGTGGCTTATCACTTTCTCTTTTCTACCTCTACCTCTACCTCTACTCAACCTCTACCTCTATACTTCCCCCGCAACAGCCGATCAACACTCCTCCCCTCTCCCCCCTCGCTCATACGAGGGACATCAACAAGATCTTCAATACTTGCGCGCGATCCCATCCGCGACTTCGCGCTTCGCGCCCCCGACTCCATGACGATGGTAATGGAAAACCAGAACCGCCCTTATGGCGGCATGAGCTTCGACAATGTCTATCACCACAACCCACCGCAATTCACAGACCCTTGGGCAGCACACACCACCTCGCACTCGACCCCTCCAGTCTACGCGACTTCCATGGGCAACAGCACCAACCTTCCTATCAACGCCAAGGAGGAGGTCGGTCGCGCCGCCGCCATGTCCATGCCCTATCCTAGCATCCCCGTGCCCGCGCCTTCACTTGTGCCTGGCAACAGCTACACAACTGGCTACGGCCCCGAGGTAATGGGAATGCAACACGAAGTACCGAGGACCGGCTTCGAGCAGCCCCCAAACTATACCACTGCGCCGCCTATGAGCAACTTCTCCCCGGCCACCTATGCGCCAGTCAGCTACGCCCCGATTCACCCGTCTCAGTCACAAGACGCTCGTCGCATTTCGCATTCGTAAGTGCTCACCACGCTCCATTGACGGTGGCTTGCTTCTAACGAGAGGAATTGTAACAGAGATGCTCGCGTGGGTTCTTCAGTACCCGCGCCTACTCCTACCTTTGGCGACGCGCTCGACGCCAGCCGCGGAATGGTGGCGCTCAGCCAGGACTTGACTCCTCGCAACATTTATGGCCCTCGCGGCGCGCGAGGCTCTGCCGATTCCTATGGCTTCCCTTCGGCTCACAGTTCGGCCTCATCCATCTCCTCCGGCAGCAACTATCCCTACTACAGTGCCTCGGTGGGCTCTGTTGACTCATCCGTCACCGACTACAGCTCCACAACATCCGAGTCCTACGAGTCGCGGACTCTCCCAAGGCCGGCCAACCTTCTGGCTGGAAGCGCGCCTCCTGGCCCTCAGTCGATGATGAGCCAGTTCAGCTCGAAGATGCCTTCCAACACCCAGAAGAAGCACAAGTGCAAGGTCTGCGACAAGCGCTTCACTCGTCCTTCTTCTCTGCAGACACATATGTACAGCCACACTGGCGAGAAGCGTAAGTGACAATCTCCCCGAGAACCACTGAAAGTAATACTGACAAGTGAACAGCATTCGCATGCGATGTTGAAGGTTGCGGGCGACACTTCTCCGTGGTTTCCAACTTGCGCCGGCACAAGAAGGTGCACAAGGGTGAAAAGGAAGGCGACTCGCCCGACGAGGACGAATAAATTCGAACTCAAAACCAATATTTTCCCTTCTCGCTCCATTTGGAGCTCCTTTTTTCTTCCCGCTTTGCGTCTTGACGCGGCCGTGAGACCCATCCACAGACACGTCCTGCCGAGCTGAGCCAGCCAACTGTGTTGGATGACATTACTCTGGCCATTCCTCCTTGTACAACAGCGTGGATCCTGCCCACTGTTCCTCGTTTTCTCGTTTCTACCACCCCCTCATCTCACCTGGGGGTTCTCTTTTCACCTCGGACAGTCTGTGGGATCCAATGGATTCGGCACAAGCAGGGAAGGGAAAGCCTTCCTGACGCGTTTTTTATTTCCTTTTTCACTTATTCCCACGTTATGACCATAGAGGTACCGGCTGGTTTGCGTTCCTGGTTGATTTGTTTTCATTTCTTATTCTTTCGCTAGACCTGGGAGTCACCTTGTGCTTTTCTCGATACCAATGGGCTTGTGATGATGCGATGCTTTTTTTTTTTTTTTTTTTTTTTTGTTCTGGGACCTCCCCCCCTCCGTTTTTTCTTCTCTTTTCTTTTTCTTTCTCATTTACCCTTCCGCAGCAGGCTATTTGTCTGCTCTTCTAATCTTTCTCTTCCTTGCATATGTCTCTGCATGGTCTAGATTATACCTTTGTCATTTCATTTCATTCTCTTCCTGGTTTGATCGGATGCAATTATTATTTTCCTTTCTTTCCGGCTGGTTTTTTTGTGTTTTGGTCTCGAGGTTTGCCTCTGTTTCCACCGGGTCTGCTGTGTTTCAACAGTTGCACGCATCGTGCAGTTTGGGAATGGTGTTGATGTGATACCCGTGGCAATGGTGCGAAAGCATTTCGATTTTACCCTTAGCGAGCCTGGCGTGATGGCTTTGAACTGCCTGCCAGTGTTACTTCCGCTCTACAGTCGCTATAGTTACAAAAGATATTGTCTAATCAGCAATTCAGCGCTTCTGAACAACCACCAATCTCCTATTCCTCGTATGCTATCTAATTAAGTACTAACAATGGATGTCTTGCAAGCCGAGCTGCTCTCGCACCGACTCCCTCAGCAGCAGTTCGTCCAGCCCAACGACCAAACACAGTACCGGAAGTCAACCCGCTGCCACCGGGATAGTTATCATAAAAGATACCACCAAGCATCTCCCCGACGCAGTACAACCCTGGAACCTCAGCCCCGGTAGTCCCAGAAACCATAGCCGCCGTCTCAGGGTTCACAGCCAAGCCACCAAACGTAAAAGTGATACCAGAAGTAACCCTTACAGCTTCGACGCCTGTTATAGTGCCGGTTTGTGGATCTGTGAGGAGGGCGTTGGCTGCTGTATTGAAGAATACTTGTACAAGACCTTTCCCTCCATCTTCTGTTCTGAGAGCGAGACCACCCCAGAACTTGAATCTGCCGTCGACTTCGTATGCTTGTCGGCTGAAAGACAACTGGAATCGGATACCATTACTTGCAAGTCATCCGATGGCATCACGGGAGTCCTGAACGAGGACTTTAGCTAGTGCGGGATCCGCCCGTCATACGTTATAGATCATGCGTGAAGTCCTCTTCGGAGTACAGTCGGTATATCAATACGACCGGCTAGCTCGGGTGGAGCGTTGTTCACCAGCGGGAGAAGGTCTGATAGGCCTCTGTGCGTGGTGTGAAAGGCTCCTGCTGTGAAGTAGATGTTGCCACCAGCCAAGGTGGCCTGGCCTTTGCCGATTATCATTATATGGACGGTTGGGTTGGGCTGGGTTGCTGAGAGGGCAGCGGAGAAGCCTGCGTTGCCGCTTCCTATCATCCGGATATCGCAGGTTGATGGCGGTGGCGACATAGTGGATTTGGTTACGGTGTGGATGTGATGTAATGAGATGATAGGATTGTATTGTGATGGGTGAGGGTGAAGAGGCTGGCTTGAAGGGTAGGAAGTGCGAGGTATAGCTTGCTTCTGGTGTATAGTCTGGTTCGAACGAGTACATCCCATCCCCACTCTCCCCGAACACGAGTGCTTTTGGAAAGTACAAGTCGTCTGTCGATCAGATACAAGCCGCTTATCCACAAACATATCAATACGTCGAAGGAGAACGGCCGTGAGAATGAATTCAATTATGATACTAAATCGGTAGTCTAAATTGCCCGTTCAAAGTTTTGCCAACAAGAGACGGCATGCAGAAAGCAAAAGGGCAGCCCAACGCCGGTGATGATTATTGATGAAGGAACGGCACAGACAAATTGATGATTATCGAGCGGCATAGCACCAGGCATATCCCAACTCCTACCCGTACAGGCCTTAGCGAATACGGTCCAGCTTGGCCCGGTTCATGGCAAGTTGGTCGTCGACGAAGTCGCTCTGCAGGTAACGTTAGCATAATCTCGAGACGAGTGGGATATCTGATACTGACCTTGCCTGTGATGCGCTCCAGATGTCTGTTCTGCTCGTCGAGCTCCTTTCCGGTAGCCTTGGCGAGACCATTGAGCCGGCCAGCGGCACCACCGAGAAGATCCAAGTTCTGTTCGATCTCGTCCTCCATCGCCTCGTCCTCGCTGTCGGCCTCGAACTGGTACTTGGCGCGCTCGGTCACGTTGGCCTTCTTGCCCTTGCCTTGCTTGGCAGCGTCTCGATCAATGTCTCGGAAGACTCTCTCCATACGGGCATTGGTCTGGTGTGCTTCCGCCCGGGTACCATCGCGTAGATCACGCTCGTCTCGGTGGGTGTTGAGGATTCGCTCATCACGCTCTCGTCGGCGCGAGGAACTGGTGAACGGGTTGGCCACGTGCACGGCGAACATGCTCTTATTGAGTGTCTTCAGTTCCCGCGCCTTCTCCTGCGCGATGCGTCCCTCGACGGTAGCCATGTCCAAGCTCTTCTCAGCATTATGAACGTCTTCACCTTGCGCACCCAGACGAGCCAGCGTGGAACGACCGGTTTCCTCTGCCTGTGCTGCAACGCGGAGCGCATTCCGTGTAGAGGCAACATCACCCTGCTTGACGAATCGCATTTCCTGCTTGGTTGCATTGATGCTCTCTTCCTCTTCTTCCTCCGCTGTAAGCTGTCGGTCCTGGTAGGTCTGCATGCTGTAGTCGTTGCTACCGCCACCGTAGCTGGGCTGACCTCCCTCGCTGTAAGGTGGCGGAGCACCACCACCAGGAGTAACGGATTGATTGCGGTCTTTGGAGCCACCGAAAAGTTCGTTGCGATCGGCGTCCGCAGCATTGGGGTCGTTTGGGTCGGTGCTGCCTAATCCTCCATAACCACCAGCACCGTACCGGGATGCCTGCCCGGCGCCAGCGCCCGGGCTCGCACCGCCAAAGCGATCACTCCCGTATCCGCCCTGGTTGCCGTACCGATTGGGAGTGTAACCGGAGTATTTGTTGTCAGAGGAAATCGCGTGGGGTCCTCCTGCGGGGGCGGGGGAGCCCATGCCGCCATGCTCGGAAGAAGTGATGGGAGCAGCACCGATGCCCTGCTTGGCCCTGGTGTAGGGGTCCGTAGGAATCGGCTGGGCGTAGGGGTTTGCTGGAGACGAAGGGCTCTTCTCCTTTTTGCGCGAGCCGAACAGGCCCCGGCGGTTGCTGTCCTCATCGTCGCCATCGGATTTCTTGAATCCAAAACGACCCATCTTGGATGTGTTGGAAGGGGGTTTCAAATAGGTGATTCGCTTGAGGAATTGGAAAGGACACAGGAACAGGCGAAACTAATAGCGGGGGGAGAGAATAGAGAGAAAGATGTTTCGGATGAATTTCATGCGCTCAGGGGAGCTTTAGGCAGTCGAGACCGATGGTTACCACGGTATGCAGATGACCAGAGTTACACCTACTTAAGGAGGGGCAGTGGCAATGGTGTAACGGTACCCATACGGCCATCGTACAGATTTTACTCAGCCACACTAAACCCGAAGCGGGTAAAGTTGACCTCAAGTTATTTTTGGTGTCTTCTTCTGTCTGTCACTGCCACCTTTTCTCCGCTTTTTCTCGTTGGGCATGATGGCGCCCTTGGGAGATGCAGACCACTGCCGTGACAAGGCGCGCAAAGATCTGGTTGCCCTGCTCGAAGGCGTGAGTACCAATTTTATGTTCTACTCCCTCATCTAATGCCGTGTGCAGGCCAGGGGCAAGAAGAACCTCGTTATCAGCCAGGAGCTGGCTGGTCCGGTCGGATTATTCGTCAAATTTTCCGTCCTCCAAGAATATGGCGTAGACCGCGTGTTTTTGCTGGAAAATGCAAACATCGACTCGTCTCAGCGCAATGTCGTCTTCCTCGTTCGTGGCGAGAAGGCGCAGCATGTGCGCACGGTAGCTGGTAGGTCATGTCTCTGTTCGCCTCTCAGCACTTTGCAGCCTATCGTAGACTTGGGCATCGCCCTTGGGACATCGGTGGATTGCGCAGACGTCTCCCAACTCTATGTAACCCATCATGAGATAGGATCCCTATATCATCCAAGCTCATATATTGGCTTTCATTCCCGTCACCGTCGTTTGATGGCTATCAGAGTGAGCTGACATTCAAGTATCATAGAACAAGTCAAACGTCTACGGACCAATGGAAATGTTGAACATGAAATCACCATCATTTTCGCTCCCCGACGAACCCTGGTGAGCAATGCCGTGCTGGAAGAGGCCGGTATCATCGGAGATGTCAACATTGCCGAACTGCCGCTCTACTTTTTGCCCTTGGAACAGGACATCTTATCATTAGAGCTGGACGATGCTTTCAGTGATTTGTACCTGGTAAGTTTACCCCATGGCAGCAGCTGAAGCTGTATTGACACCACTTAGAATAAGGACCCAGGATGCATATTCCATTCAGCAAAAGCCCTGATGGGTATCCAACAGAAGCATGGCTACTTCCCTCGCATTGTCGGAAAGGGCGACAATGCACGTCGCCTAGCTGATCTTTTGCTGCGTATGCGCAAAGAGCTTGATGCTGAAGAGAGCTCTGGCCTTGCAGACCCATCTGCTCGAGGCCTGCTCCCGAGCGCAGATACAGAAAACCTCATCATCATCGACCGTGATGTTGATTTCGGAACTCCGCTCCTGACGCAGCTAACCTACGAAGGTCTGATTGATGAATACGTCGGCATCAAGAATAACCAGGCCGATGTCGACACCAGCATTGTGGGACAGGCTCCTACGCCACAGTCCCAAGAGTCATCTAAGACACCCCAGCAGGCCAAACAGGGACTAAAAAGAAAGATCCAGCTGGATGCGTCAGATACATTATTCAACCAACTCCGAGATGCGAACTTTGCCATTGTTGGCGACATCCTGAACAAGGTGGCTCGTCGTTTGGAAAATGAATACGAGACCCGGCATTCAGCCAAGACCACAAACGAGCTTCGAGACTTCGTCAACAAACTACCCACTTATCAGCTAGAACACCAGAGTCTTCGCATCCACACCAACCTCGCAGAGGAGATTATGAGACTCACTCGCTCCGAGACCTTCCGCAAAGTATTGGAAGTCCAGCAAAATAATGCCGCAGGCGCCGATCCCACCTATCAACACGAAACCATCGAGGAACTCATCGCACGAGACGTCCCGCTGAAAAGCATCCTTCGTCTGCTATGTCTTGAGTCCTGCATGTCCGGTGGACTCCGCCCACGCGACCTGGAGAACTTCAAGCGCCAAGTCGTCCAAGCCTACGGCCACCAACACCTCCTAACCTTCTGGGCCCTGGAAAGGATGGAGCTCCTTCAACCCCGATCCTCTGCTACCACCATGCTCCTCCCCACATCCGGCGCCCAAGCCGGCACCAAGACCAACTACGGATACCTGCGGAAGAATCTACGCCTGGTAATCGAGGAAGTCAGCGAAAAAGACCCCAACGACATCTCTTACGTCTACAGTGGATTCGCTCCACTCAGCGTGCGGCTTGTCCAATGCGTGCTGCAAAAACCCTACATCCTCTCCCTAATCAAGGGCGGATCCCCTGCCGCGTCAGTAAACAACGCTAGCACTGCCTCTCCCGGATGGCTCGGCTTTGAGGATGTCGTCAAGAGCGCTCGCGGCTCCACTTTCAGCCTTGTCCAAAAAGGCGATGATAAAGCTGTACGGGCCCGCCAGACCCTCAGTGGAAACGCCGCTACAAAGACGGTGTATGTATTCTTTCTTGGCGGTATTACTTTTACGGAGATTGCTGCGCTGCGCTTTATTGCTGCCCAGGAGGCTCCCCGCAGACGGATCATCATTTGCACGACTGGCGTCATTAGTGGCGACCGTATGATGGACGTTGCTATTGAGAAGGGTAGTTTTTCCAAGGCTGAGTAATTCTTTTCGAGGGTCTAGCATTTACTTCAGATAGCGTATCATGATACCATTTCTTAATGCATTGCATTTGTATCTTTCGTCGTAAATCATCGTGACTCTTAAGTTATAGACACTTCTTGATCTAGTATTTGAAACCGGAATTGACTCCCATCAACCGTCCCTGATACCGCTCAATCACCTCCCCGAGCCGCACCATCACTCCAGCAGCGAGAGTGCGCACTTGATCTTGTGGATCGGTAGAAGCACCTGCATTTACTTTTCCAGCTGGCGCGCGGTCAAAGACACCCGAAGCCCACTCGCGCAGCTCAATGACTTGATTTGCATGCTCGGTGACGAGTCGCTCTTCGCCATTGGAGCCCGAGGCAATGTTCAAGTCCACCAATGCGAGGAAGAGATTCAACAATGCCGCTGTGACGGTCGATTCACTTGATACTGCACTTGTGTGCAGCGACAGAAGCAAGGAAAGCGAAGCTTGGGTGAGGGCTGGTAGGTAAGGTGTATGAGGTCCGGATGTCGAGAGAGTGAGGGAAAGCGTCTGGAGGAAGAGGGTGAGAATGTGCGGGACGAAGAAAGGGTTGTATGAAGGTGCGGATGATCTTCAAAATTGGTCAGCAAGTGCATACTAAAGACTAGGGATGTCAAGACATACGAGGAGAACTGCAGCATCATGATCTCGAACCGGCCTTGCAGCGGGTAAAAGAATCCTTCTGCAAGCACTTTATACAGATCCTTGATAGTAGACTTCTGCCTCTCATCCTCACGCTGCTTACGCTTCTTCTCGACTTCCATGCGTGATGAGAAGGTGCGCACTTTCAAAGCATTGGGACCAGTGAGCGAATCCGCTGCATCAGCTGCCAATGGCTGAAGCGATGTGCGTGACATCTCTCTGGTCAGTGTTGCAATAGGTGAATCATTGCCACCAGTAGAACCAAGGAACATAGCTTCCATTGCAGTTGATAGACGCTTGGATGGGAAAGATGTGTCCTTTAAATCTGGTAGACCCAATGCTTTGGCATCGGCCTCACCATGCCCGGCGACTTCACGAGCACTTAAGCCCAAAGCTGTAAGGACAGCGGATCGCTGAACTTGAGAAATGTCACCGTCGAAAAAGATCGAGGTAAACCAGCGGCCCATCTTTAAGGGCTGCGAGACGATCAGAGCAATCATGCTCTGGAGGCGAGACTCGTGGAACTGCGGGTGATTGTTATCATTCTGAAGACCCACGACGGTGAGAGCCAGTTCTTCGATTTGCTCTGCAAGCTCAGTGCCGAATCCTATCTTGCGTCGAATTAGAGAAGGGGCAGTTGTTATGGCGAGTTGATTACGCTCCACGTTCTCAGTGTCTCGAAGATACGTGATCAAGTCACGGATGTACCTGGCTGGATGTCAGAAGGGCGTTTATGCAGCCTGACAGGAGAGGAACTCACACAGGCGTGGTGGGCTTGTTTCGTTGGACAAGAGTAGGATCCTCGTCATCATCCGATTCGTCATCGTCTGGTTTCTCGTATGGAATGAGATCCAAGTCCTCTTCTGTATCATCACCGCTATCCTCAATCTCTTCGATTGCGACAATCTTGCTCGTTTGTGGGTGGCTAGGCCGTGCGTTTGACTTCTTGGATTGGCTCGATCGAGCTTCTTGAGCGGCTTGCTGAGCTTTTGGCCGCGTTGACTGCAATGATCTGATAGACTTGGTCGTCCCAAGCTCATCACAGACCTCAATAAGACTCAAATAACAAAGTGCTTCCTCGCTCCGCATTTCTTCAAGGTCGAACTTCATGGCTTTGCCGGGCTCTTCGATGAGTTCTGATATTCCAGTACCAATGATCATTCCCAGGAATCGGGCTCGAGTTGAAGATGCTGCGATCCGGTTGGAGACTGCACTGAGGAAGGCTGCTGTCCGTCCTGCGTTGTTCAATTGACTTGAATCCAAGCACTTCAGGCGGCCTGCTGCCAGAAGAATGATTTGGGCATTTGCTATGACATTTAGCTGCGGATTTGTCAACGGAGGCTGCTTGGTAACATACCATTTTGTGTGATGTTTGGAAGATGCTTAATGCAGAACTTGTCCCCAAATTGCTCTAGACTGCGCATGAGCAAAGAACCGAGCTCATCTAGTGGATGGTTAGCTTCAACGTCATTCGATTGTGGACCACTCATTAGCTGGGAGCTCACCATTTTGATCATTGTAGGTGGCCAAAAGAGCTCGACGTAATCCAATGGTCTGAATTGAACCTCCTTGGCTCTTTGAAAGCCATTCTGAAACTTGGCTCTGCAAGAAGGGACGGCCCCCTAAAATTGCTGAACAAAGCGCGGACACGCCTGCAATGATATCATCAGACTTGTCAGGTGATTTCAATGTACCAGCGAGGTCATCGGGAAAGTAAAGTTTTTGAATATCGCGAAAGATAGCTTCAATCATGGAGATTTGCTCTGGCTGTCTGAGACTGTCAAGAAGGAGACCAAATTGACCTGGGGCTGTTTGATCGACTAGTAGACCCGAGTATATCTCCCGGACTAACTGATCTAAAAAAGTGTCAGTGTCAGTTTATCACTGAACGAACAAAATGGACATACCAGAATATCCCAAGCTCAGAGCTCTTCCCGTGAGGAAAGCGGCGGAGCTCCAATCACCGGCTTTATCTGCGTTGAGCTTCGAGACCATGTGGGCAATGTTTTTGCCTAGCCATGAGGCATACCGAGTACCATCACCGACCCACGAGATTGATGATGGGACTTCGACTCCCTTGGAAACAGCGAGAGCCTCCGCCGCCGTCGAGAGGAGTTTCCCAGCAGCCGCAAGTCCGACAAGTTCTCTCCATGTAACTTGCTGCCGAGTCTGATTGTCATAGAGAGATGAAGTGTCTACGTAGAGACGATACAGGAAGTCCGTTGGCTCTAGAAGAGCCGCAATGACAGAGAGCAGATCTCGAATGACGATGGAGCTATTCGAGCCGTCCGCCTGCTTGGCCGTTGCTTGAGCAGTTGCAATCAAGGAACGGAGCTGGGCCACGAGAGAGCCGACCCCGACAACACTGCTCAGACATCTTAACAAAGCAGCACGGGTCTTTGTATCTTTCGACCGCTTCTCTTTTGGATTCAGTGATGCCCAATGGTCCAGCACGGTGGTGCTGACTAACAGCTGAAGGATCTGGGCTGTTGTTGGGCTCGGGACTCGAATGTCGACATTTTGAATCTTTCTGGATGCATTGAATGGGTCCAGTGCAGACAGAATTGCAGCAACTTCTTCCTGGGAAGGATGGGACTTGAGAACATCTATAACTTGAGCCGATGATATATCTTGGTCAAAGTTAAGTGCGGGCCTGGTGGAACGATCATGGGGATTCAGCGACTCAGAAGCGACCAAAGGAGAATCACTATCCCGCTTGACAGTTTTTACCGCAGTCAAGAGGCCATCCATGATAAAAGTGGTGATGCAAAACAGTAATTTACCTTTCCAGAAGTCCTGCGGAGCTTTGTATGGGCTCGTCACGTGCGCTCCGCCCGCCAAACGCCGCAACAGACGCATGTTGACCTTCATCCCCGCCATTTCAGCATCAACTCGAATTTCACGATTAATTTCGAGAAAATAAGCGAGTTTGGTCTGTGGATTGTGAATATTAGAGCAGCCTAGGTCGAGGTGCTACCGATTTTAGCTCATCTCGGACGTGGTGACTACTTGACGTTGACCTCCACAGCATTTCACGCAGTTCGACGTGCTGGAAGTGTCGGGCTTTTCCCAAGATGATTTCCACTGACGCAAACTCACAGCAGAACCGATGGTATGCTTGATGAATTAACGGTCATGTGTTTCATTACTTACTCACGTCAACCAGGAAGCACCTTCACAAAGTTCTGACCAAAAGCGGTCCCTACTGCGATGAAGACTGGGTTCCAGGACAAGAGACCATCAGTGCACTGGAGTCATCAAAAATTCTGTAAGTGTGCTCATCGGGTACTCCACAACTCGTGCTAACGTGGCAAACAGTGTAATGTTTGTCAACCCATTCTTGCTATTCTATAATTCAGAATCAACAACTAACATGGAAAAGTGGAGCTGGTGGCCTAGGCTGCGAGATCTTGAAGAACCTTGCCTTGTCAGGCTTCAAAGATATCCATGTCATTGATATGGGTATACTTTCGTTCCATTTCCTGTTGCAGGGCGTCTCTAACACATATGGACAGATACTATTGACATTTCCAACCTCAACCGACAATTTCTGTTCCGCCAATCTGATATCGGCAAGCCCAAAGCTGAAGTCGCTGCTGCCTTTGTGGAAAAGCGAGTCAAGGGTGTCAAAATTACGCCCTACGTCGGCAAGATCCAGGACAAGGATGAGGACTACTATATGCAATTCAAGATCGTCATCTGCGGACTTGACAGCATCGAGGCTCGCCGGTGGATTAACTCTACCCTTATTGGGATGGTTGACATGGAAGATCCCGAGAGCTTGAAGCCTCTGATCGATGGCGGGACTGAAGGTATCTCCCAGCCAGACCTTTTATTCTCCTACTTTTTGAGACTGACCGTCAAAAAGGATTCAAGGGACAGGCCCGTGTGATTTTACCCACTCTTTCATCATGCATTGAGTGCCAGCTGGACATGCACGCTCCTCGACCAGCAGTACCGCTGTGCACTATTGCCACTATTCCTCGCCAACCTCAGCATTGCATTGAATGGGCCCACCAGATCGCATGGCAGGAGAAGCGCAAGGACGACGCCTTTGACAGTGACGATATGGAGCACATCTCATGGGTGTACAATGCCGCCCTGGAACGGGGCAAGCAGTTTGACATTCATGGAGTGACCTTTCAGATGACCCAAGGTGTCGTAAAAAACATCATTCCAGCAATCGCATCTACCAACGCCATGATCGCTGCTTCTACAACTTCGGAGGTATTGAAGATCGCCACCTCCTGCAACCCTTACCTCGAGAACTACATGATGTATGCCGGTGAAGAGGGCGTGTATACTTACACATTTGAGGCCGAAAAGAAGCCTGACTGTCCCGTGTGTGGCAATCTCGCTCGCAAGCTGAAAGTGGACCCGAATTCGACCCTGGGCGATTTCATTGAGAGCCTTAGTGAGAGGGCTGAGGCTCAGCTTAAGAAGCCTAGTCTCCGTACTGAGGAGAAAACCCTTTACCAGCGTTTCCCACCTCAGCTGGAGGAGCACACTAGACCCAACCTAGGGCTGAAGCTGCACGAGCTGGTGGAAGATGGCGAAGAAGTGGCTGTGAGTGACCCAGCCTATACCATTGATTTCCGGTACAAGGTGATCTTCAGCAAATGAAGATGCCTAAAGATCTACATTGATACGAATTGAATGATACTTTGCTTCATTTATCTCTTAGTTTTTCAAAGATAGCTGCCGGCCTTTTTTGCTCTAACAACAAGTATAATATCCGGACTCCGGCCTCGTAAAGCCAACTTTTGACCGAACTTTTCGTAAATATACAGCGTAAACGAAGCTCAAAAACATCCCAACGCCAGTCAATGCATTATGTAAGGTACTAGCAGCGGCGATGATCCACGGCTTTACGCCATGAAATCATGCAGACCACGCTTCCACCGGTTGCACTTCAGCTTCATCACCTTGACAGCTTCCAGGAAGAGAACGTCGCTCTCAAACTGGCCAGTGCTCTCAATGTTGAAGATGAAGTGGTCCCGAACACGGCCCAGCTTGACCTTGCCCTGGAACTCCTCGTGACGCAAGCACTCACGGCTGACAGTATCGTTGAAAGCATCCTTGACAACAGCCTTTTGCTCGCCGGCGTGGCCCTCGTATCCGCTTCCACTGCGCGAGGCCTCGTCGGAAGTGACAGGCTCGAGACCAATGACACCCTTGGGGAAGCACTTGGCAAACTTCTTCGCATCCTCGCCGATGATAGGACGCTCAATCTTAATATCAGGAAGGAGACGGTAAGAGGCGGTCGCAACGGGCGAGAACTTGGCGTGATCGGCACCGATACCCTTGACACAGTGCATTTCCATCTCGATCTTCTGACCGGGACGCATCTTGGCGACCAGAATGTCGGGGTTCACGGGGCGGATGGCACCGTCATCAACGAAAAATTGCTCTTGACGACCGACCGGGTGGAAGGAGATGTCCTTAGCATAGACGTGGGCATGGTTGTACAGCTTGCGCGGGTCCTGCTCATCGTCGTCGGCGTTGGGGTTCTTGGTGCACTCGACGTCAAGGTGCAGAACAATGGTGTTATAATCACTGGGGCCTTCGGCACTGGAGCCCTCCTCATCTTCGGATGGCTTGCGGAACCAGTGCATCCAGTTGATGCCCTCTACAGAGCCCTTGAGGGGGATCAAACCCAGGCGCTGGGCAAGAACCTCGTCTTGAATAACGGAGGTATTGTTGTGAACGAAGACGTATTCAATGGCGAGAGTCGGGATCTCAGCCATGAGAATACGGCGGAAGGCATTGGCGACGGCGGCGTCAAGGCCAATCAGCGAGAAAGAGGCTTCGTACGGGTCATTGCGGTGGTACTCGACCTTGAAGTTCTGTTGCGAAATGTAAGAATGGAGCGCACATTGGGTGGTTGTTTGCGTTTCAGCAAATACATACCTTCTTAAAGGTGTCAAGCGCCCATGAGTGCGACTCTCCGGGCCAGTGACCGGGGAAGTCTGTGGAGGGGATGTTGGTAACAGTTTCTGCGTTGATGCCAATGATCTGCGACTCGTTAGCCAAGGACATTCGGGAATAAGTGGTAGAGACATACACGGCGACGCTGCAGCTCCTCCTGCGACGGAACAAGAGGTGCCATGGTGGAGTGACTGGAGTTAAAAGGTGGAAAAGTTGAAGGTTGAAGAGGATCGGCGATAAGAATAATTTCTCGAAGTATTTTCTAGGTGCCTAAGGCAGAAGTGGGTCATCTATTCTGTGACCCAGTAGCGCATGTTTTATGTGCAGGTTATGCAAAAGCTAAACCAGATGCGGAATAGTGTAGCATTTCTGCGCGCATTATAGACGACTATACCAGCCAATTACAAGACCACTGATGACCTGGCGACCCGGCAGCTCAAACACGTGACTCCTGCCAAAATGGAGCGCGACCTCATCTTCACCTTCAAACCAGGCTTCCCTTTCCCGCCGAGAGCCCACCCGCCTTTCTCCAATTTAATGCGCCTGGACTGAGGTTCTATCCTCCTTCCTTCTCCTCGGACCTCTCCTCTCACCAGTCTCCATGGCCGCCTCTTTCGCTCGCCTGGCGGGCAATGCGCCCAAAAGGCTCTGTCTCCGCCCCTCCGGCCTCTTCAACACATCCGTGCCTCGCTCCCGCTCCATAAATACCACCGTCCCCCGCAGCAATGCCGAAGCCGCCAGCTATCAGGCCACCCGATTGATCCCGACCGACCCATCCTTTAGCCACCTGGCTAACAAGCCTGCTACCACCAGTGCTCAAGAGGCCGCTGCCCAGGAATCCGACGCCGAGGGCATTGACCGCAAGATCCGTCACTACACAGTCAACTTCGGTCCCCAGCATCCGGCTGCTCACGGTGTGCTTCGTCTGATTCTGGAACTCAATGGCGAGGAGATTGTTCGCGCCGATCCCCACGTCGGTCTGCTTCACCGTGGTACTGAGAAGTTGATCGAGTACAAGACCTATATGCAGGCCCTGCCTTACTTCGATCGTCTGGACTACGTTTCCATGATGACCAACGAGCAGTGCTTCGCGCTGGCCGTCGAGAAGCTGTTGAACGTCGAGATCCCTGATCGTGCTAAGTGGATCCGAACCCTGTTCGGCGAGATGACTCGTATTTTGAACCACCTCATGTCCATTCTCTCCCACGCCATGGATGTTGGTGCTCTGACTCCCTTCCTGTGGGGTTTCGAGGAGCGTGAGAAGCTCATGGTGAGTACCTGATAACTCAATGGATCCAGGGTGCGCAAATTAAAAATAGGGAATTGTGTTGACCATTATTGCTCTATAGGAATTCTACGAGCGTGTTTCCGGTGCCCGTCTCCACGCTGCCTATGTCCGCCCCGGTGGTGTCTCCCAAGACATCCCCATTGGTCTCCTTGACGACATTTACCAGTGGGCCACCCAGTTCGGTGACCGCATCGACGAGACTGAGGAGCTGCTCACAGATAACCGTATCTGGAAGGCCCGTACCCAAGGTGTTGGTGTGGTTAACGCCACCGATGCCCTCGGCATGAGTTTCACTGGTGTCATGCTCCGTGGTTCCGGTGTCCCTTGGGATATCCGCAAGTCGCAGCCCTATGACGCCTACGACCAGGTCGAGTTCGACGTTCCCGTCGGTGTCAACGGTGACTGCTACGATCGTTATCTCTGCCGTATGGAAGAGTTCCGCCAGTCCCTCCGCATTATTCATCAGTGTCTGAACAAGATGCCCGCCGGCCCTGTCCGCGTTGAGGACTACAAGATCTCCCCTCCCCCCCCGTGCCGCCATGAAGGAGAACATGGAGGCTCTTATTCACCACTTCCTTCTCTTCACCAAGGGTTACTCTGTTCCCCCCGGTGAGACCTATTCCGCCATTGAGGCCCCCAAGGGTGAAATGGGTGTGTTCCTGGTCAGTGACGGCAGCGAGCGTCCTTACCGTTGCAAGATCCGTGCTCCTGGTTTCGCCCACTTGGGTGGCTTCGACCAGGTTTCTCGTGGTCACCTTCTCGCTGACGCAGTTGCTATTATTGGTGAGTACCTCCGCTCTATGCAACATCTGACATTGCTAACGTACTCTTCTCTAGGTACCATGGATCTGGTGTTCGGTGAGGTCGACCGGTAAAAGCACCTCTACAACGCAATAATAAAAATCTCAAAAAAATGAAGAAAGCCTCGAAATGGCCACTTTATAGACGGCCTTAGTGCCATATTGGTGGTTCACAATCACGGGAGGAGTACCATGATCCTTCTACGTGATTACCCTAGATCTCGTCTCTGATCTCCGGGTGTACCAAATTCTCCATGTTTTCTTCTCATGGCGTTGTTCTATTATGCCCTGTCGTTCTCCTTTGTCTCTTTCTATTTTGCCTCTCATAAGCCCTGTGTATAGTGAACATCCGATTCTTCTGAGACATTTGTTCTCTATATTTTTTCGTAGTCTGAATCTTATATAGTGCTCGAACAAATTCATGTTCAAGCTTGTCCACAACTCAGATCATAGCAGTTCAGATATCCTCGAGGGTTAACGGTGGATCCGTTGGACAAAGTGGCGAATTGGAGTCCATTTATGCATGGACTCTCAATACTTGAACGACTTGCAAAGACTTCGCTGCTCAAATAAATCATACTTGGTGATGCTAGCTTCACCAATCTGCAGAAGGAGGTTGATGGCTGTACTTAATGCCGCAGCAAGAAACTCAAAGTATGGGATGTCTGACCTTAAATGCTGACCTTGCATGTATTGGTGCGCCATATGGGAGATGAACTGACAGTTGAACCTCTAGTCTAACTTGCAAACCCCAAAATTCTCGCGATGCAAGCGATATCCTAAGGAATGCTAGGAATGAAATATCTATATCATGCCAGGAACAAACGTCTACTTTACTGCTTAGTCGAAGCCGGGTGCAGAATATAGCTGGTCTCGTTCTGCTCCACTTCATGGAATATGGCAAAGACGTATCCTTCAGCGTCCGTGGTCCATTGGAACAGGAAGTATCTACCAAGGATTCGTCATCAAAATTGCTGAATTGCATTGCGCAGAGTAGGATAGTGATCTTGAACGCCACGACGCCCATGAACACCCATGAAAATTGAGCCCGAGTGTGAACCATAAACCGACGCCAAAACCTATGCGAAAACACAAAAACCGAATTCTGAAATGGGCAAGTAGGCCAGCCACTATAACCATCACTGCTTTGACAAATGGTTCGAAGGGAGTCACCATCTACCACTTCGTTTCGGAGAGACGAGAATTGTGACCCCTTCATACGTTGTCATCCTCGTAGACAAAGGGGATATCCCGAATTCGGCGGCGGTTGTAAGCGACAAATTCACTGTCACCGGGAGGTCGCTCGTTGCGCGAGTTGGCCGTCAACATGCTCTGGATACTCATGCAGACGCTCTCGCAAGTCTGCACCGGGGACCATCCAGAGGAGCTGAGAAGGTCAAGGCATATGATGCCGTTGCTGTAGATGTGTGGATGCATCGGGATCGGGCGGGGTGTATCAGAGGAGGCGGGCAATTCGATGAACTGGACTTCCGGGGGTTCTGTGGTTGTTAGCATGGGGACTTGACAGTGTTGAGAAGATATAGTCCTACCTATGGGGTATTTGTTGTTGAAGGTAAACTTCAATCGATATGTCTGGTCCTTATACAGAGGGTTGTCATCAAGGACTTTGATGTCCATTTGCCATTCCTCCAGGCTATCTGACTTGGCGATTGTGATTCCCGGGGGAGTGTGATCTTTTATCTATAAACATGGCATGTTAGGTCCAGTTGTTACACAAAAAGCATTCCGCTAGCATTCAAGGATATACTGGCTGGGAATTCGAAGTATGAAGAAGACTCGGCCTCGAAAGCCAGACATGCGGGAAGGTCGTACCTTGATGAGCTCCTACATACCACAAAAGTGTTAGCGAGTCTGTAGCTAGAGAAAATAATGATATAACATAGTTCCAGGTCTATCGTCTAAAGAACATACCTTGCCCAGTCGCTTGTTGGCAAACATGGTTGCGGTGAAGTTGACTGTCAACGAGAACGCTGAAGCGAGTCAAACACCCGGAAGCTCAGGTGGAGTCGTTAGGGACGATCGGGCGCGATACCCAGAATGACAGGCGGGTACTTCCGCTTCCTCACGCACCCTCGTAGGAAGCTCCGGAAGAATGAAGGAGGGTCAGAGTGAAGTGGTACGAAGAAGGGACGCGCGGGGCGATGCAAGGTGGGGAGACCTCGACGCACCTTTCGATGCCTTAGTGCCTTGCGCATAAGGCCACAATATGAGTCGTTATCTCGAGCTTCGACTTTCCTTGCTATTGATAGTATTTGCATATACTCGATTGCATCCCAAGGGAGTCATCTCCAGTATTCGTCTCAATTTTACTATAATCTCGTCAATTAAGTCTAGAACTTATCATACATCACTTCAAAGGAGAGAAATGGCCAGCCAAAAAGATGATCATTTTAGGGAGAAGGCAAAGAGAAGATGGACTAGAATACTGCATAACACGCGAAAGCGATTGGTGCAATGGAATGAGATAAGGATAGTCAGAAATATGCACACACCCCAACATTTGAAGGTGAAGTACCTCTACAGTTAGTTGCCTGACAGGGTTTTAGAGGTCGGGCTACAGGCTGGGGTTCAAATTTCTTAGAGTAATAGTGTAATAGAAATGTTATCGGAAAATTGCATCTCATACCCCAGTATATCATGTGTGTGGGCAATATAAGAGCAATCAGCGGATAACAATACATTTGTAAATAATAAGCCCATGTTCACACGCGATTCAACGTTCGTCGCAGTTCCACAAACGGACTAAGTACCATATGACATCCAATGTGGCAAACATCAACCTCTATTTAGCGGTAGGAAGTAAACCATCAAGTCGCTCTGAGAGCTTACCATATGTTTCATCGAAGGTTTGGTCTTCACCGATGCATATCCTGTAGGAAATTCTGGCATATTCCTCCGCTTGGGCCTCGAGGCCAGGCGCCACAACATGGTAAGCGCCAGAGAGAATCATCCAACACCCAACGACACTATCGATCATCAATCCCCATTTCTTGACAATTAGCGGTCGGCCTGAGGCATGGGGGGTTTCCCCGCCGTCAATCACATAGCCCAATGACTCCAGGGCTTGCAGGCCAAATATCACAGCCTTCCGAGGCTGGCGGGACGCGGCATAAGCTGCTGCGAGATTCAGATATGGTGTCCAAATTGCAAGGCGAGGGACTTCGGAGGCTGGTTGAGTATATGTTTCTGCGAGTCCAAAAACTGTTTCTTCGATTTTCGGTAAATATGACTTCCGCGATTTAAACAGCCTTTCCAAATCGGCCAGAGTTTCCGCTCGCTTTATCACGATGGTTTTGTCGGTTTTTTGGATATTTTGACATATGATGCAATCGCATCTGAAGCCCCAATGCTTTAGCTCCACTGAAACTCCTTCGGACTCACGGTTAAAAGGTGATTTGTACCAGAACGTGACTTCAGTGTTTGGGGCGAGATCTTTTGTAGCACGAATAACCATCATATCTCCAATAAATGAGCGCCGGGCATTACTTAAGCAAGAATGATTGATGTATGATGCCAGGGGCCAGACTCCACAAGAGTGGTATTGCTCATTATCTTTCTTAGCCGTCGCGTCACTTGTCATTGCGCTTATATGAGTCTCACGAGAGGAAAGGGGGCATCCAAAACAATTCAGTTGGATTATTCTTTCGACAAGGAAGCTACATAGTCGGTGTTAGATACTTTCTCAAGATATTAGCAGAGGCACGTACGTATCCACGATAGGTATACCGTCTATTTCTGGGATATTCACGGGCTTGTATGTGCCATGGTGAAGATCGGTGAAAGTGGGTTGTAGAGAGGGATTTCTATAGAGCCTTTGGGCTACTGACTCAATGAGCTCTGCCTGAGTTCCTAGAGTCATAGTGTCCTTTTGTGCGTTGATCAAAAGAGTTAGGTTCCGTGTTGTGTCTTTAACGTCGTGAAAGGCATGAGCAAAAGCCTTCTCACAGAATAGTAGGTCACCAGCTTTTACTGCTTCTGTCGTAAATAAACCTCTTCCACGAGACTTCGTTGGTCTTACAGAGACAGGTCCAATGAAACTACCACGGTCAAGGTGCGGTGGCTGACGTTTTCTTGCCTCTAGCTGCATTCTCTTGAATTCATATTTGCCGATACCTGCTTCTGCCAGACGCGCAGAGGCTCGCTCAAATTCGCGTCGAGCGAGGGTATTTTCTGGATATTTCTCACTGAGCGCCTTATTAGTTTCACAGGATTCTCGAAACCTTTGGAGATAGTAGAGAGCTTGAGCTTTCCGAAAAAGGGCTTTCTCTGAGGGCTCGGGCCCGCAGGATGCTTCCTCGACATCAAGCAGTGCTGCATCAAATTGATGGGTTTTGAGAAAACTAAGGGCACGGTTGAGCTTGATTGTAATGGCTACCTCATTTGAGGGGGAGGATTCCAGAGCCTTTGAGTAGCTGCCATCATGATCAGCCTCAGCCTTCTTAGATACATCTGCTACTTCAACCTCACCTTTCTATTGCGAGATGATAATCAGCCTGGTTAAAAAAGTCGTTTCCTCTCATCTTCCAAGAATTGGAAAAGTCTCCATCCTCAGTAATCCGTTTTCTCCAGGACAGCGGGACTAGGCTGCCAAATTCTGGAATAAACCTGACATCGGACAAATGGTCGACACGAAGCCCATAGTCGCCGTCTGCCATCACTTTCACATAAGGCTCTTTCACCACGATCACTGTTCCTTCGGTGAGATGATACGCCCTTGAAAGCTCTTGTCCTTGATTGTACAATTGCAACATGAGAACTCTACCTTCCTCATCCTCCACAATCGCCATTATAGCGGTCATTATGTCAGTCGGGGTGACTGTTCTTAATAACAGATAACGTCCATGGTGATGCGTCTCAATGTAAAGGTCTTTTATCATGACTTTGCTCAATTCTTTGAGAGAAGCAATGCATGGAGCGTATGCCGAAGGTATAAATGACGATCGAATTTCCTTAGAGCTCTTAGGTTCTTTTTTGTTCATCAGTTGTCGGAGCCTCATTTGTCGAAACATAAACTGCCTTAAAACCTCATCCCGGGACTTCTTTGATATGGCCCGCCGGCCCTTGAAGCTTTGGGCTCTTTTGAGGTTTTGTTTTTGTATATTAAGGACCTGTAAGTATTTCGGGACTTGAGAGACATCATGGGTATTCATATTGGCGAGGGAAAACGGAGCAATGTGCACGTAGTAGCCTTTGAATGGAGTCTTCAGTACTGGAAAGTCTTCGGCGAGAATGAAGAGGGATCCAAAAGATGCAATCTATATTCTGGGAGTTGAAAGGGAAGGGGGATGCGTTGTCGAGGAGAGGTGACAAGGGTTATATGTAAGAAAAGTGAGAAGGGGGAGGGGAAATGCGTTGTCACTGTGGAATTGCAAGGGTTGCTGCATATTCCAAATAGCAAACCATGCATTGGATGAACACGTAGGAGATTTTGAAGGGACCTGGTGGGATTGATGCATCAAAGCCACTTAATTTGCCATATTCTGTGATACATTACGAATATACCTAGAGCACCATTCGCAAACATCGTATGCATCATGTGACCATTGTTTCAAGTACTAATAGATATCAGTCAGCTATACATCATATCAGTATGAGTCTGCTACCTAAGGCTGAGGCTTCGTACCAATTTGTAGCGGGTTGGGTATTTGTTGATGCTGGATTTGGACGCTTTGAGTTGAAACCGTGTCGAGTGGGGTTGGGCTCGTTTGGTTGTTTTTGGAAGCTGTAGTAATATTTATGGATAGAGTCATATACCTTCTCATGTTTTCTTTTCGATGTCAGATGTGTGGAAGGGCTTACGGGATACTTAGGGATTAGTAAGACAGTTTCAGCTCATAAAAGCCTAGGTGTTATGTATAAATAGTTGGGGAAGCTGGGGTGAGTAAAGCAAACACGCGTCTGAATGCTAGGTATTATCAGCCTAGTGGGCGTGCAGCCGGCTTTTCAGAACAAAACGTTCAAAGTCTCCGGAAAGAGATCACAGCTGTTCAAAGAAGTAAGTGCTTACAGGCGGGGGAACTGGCGCCGTTATTCGACCATAACGTTAAATCTTTCCTCGGGGGCCCCCGCCCCCGAGCCGTTTGCAAACCTCCAAACAGATTGGTAGGAATATTCTAGGAGCATGTAGTATGGGATATGGTATTGATTAGCTGGTGTCAACGGTGCGAGCTAATATTGGAATTGCACATTTTTTTGACCATAGTTTTGAAGGCATATTATCAGTACCAATCTAAGGACTATTCGTATTTGATCACTAAATATATTTTCTATCATAGTAATAATCCAATGTGACCTTTGATAACTACTCTAGGCTGGTGAATTGATGTGGCAGGGTCTGTGAGGCTGACACCATCGGGCCGATGGACGTGGGTGATCATCACAGCCAACCATCCAGAACGCCTTCTTACACAACATGTGCCAGAAATATCGGAGATCACCGCAGCCAAGATCAACATTTCCCAAAATAATCGGTAGAGCTCGGCTATTGACTGCCGAACGGACCGAAAACGAGCATCTCATTCGCGTGACTAATGGAAACCCCATGGGCATTGACTCCACATTTTGGAGGCCGGGGTAAATTTCCGAGCTACAACTAGTCATGGGACCCTGCAGCCATGTTGGCCGGTGTTTTGAGTTTCTATAGATGCAGCTATGACTGAGAAAACTTCTTGCTATGAGGATGAGCAGCCTTCAGTTACGCTCCAAAGACCCTCCGAATTAAACGATGATTCCGTCAAGCCGATTCAAAACGGTGGCTTGCAAGCCTGGCTAAGTGTCCTTGCAGGATTCTGTGTATTTGTGAATTCTTGGTGAGCGAAGCATTCCACCTCTTAATTTTTTTTGTCAAGTTTCCAGTTAACGAGTGGCTTAAGGGGAATACTCACTACCTTTGGCGCTTTTCAAGAATACTACAAAACCGAACTCCTTTCGGATTTGTCTCCATCAACAATATCTTGGATAGGGAGTGTTCAAGCAACGCTAATCCCGATGGTTGGAATAATCTCTGGTCCGTTGGTTGATTCGGGATATCTACGCCCGCTAATGATGTCCGGGTCTTTCTTGACGGTTTTTGGATTAATGATGACTAGTCTTGCCACAGAGTATTACCAAGTTAGTGTCATCGGATTCAATTTATTAGTAAAATATCTAACTATGAGCATAGATACTTCTTGCCCAAGGCTTCTGCGTCGGCCTAGGTGGTGGAATTTCCTACATTCCAGCATTAACCGTGATTTCGACAAGCTTCACAGCAAAACGCCCAATTGCCATTGGCACTGCTTCAATTGGATCAAGTGTTGGGGCCGTCATATTCCCAGTCATGTTCCGCCAGCTTCAGCCTAAAATCGGATTTCCTTGGGCCGTTCGCTGTATTGGCTTCGTCAGTCTGCTCATGGCAATCGTCGCATGCATCATATTGTATTGCCGGCCAGTTCCCAAAATGCGCGCCCGAAGCTTGGTTGATTGGCAAGCCTTTCGCGAGCCATCATTTATGTTATTCTCTGTCTCACTCACTCTCGTTATGCTTGCATACTACGTGCCTATCTTCTACGTCGCCTCATACGCACGGACTGTGGTGCACACTACGACAAGTCTTTCCTTTTACATGGTAGCTATTGTCAACGGGTCTTCTGTATTTGGTCGCGTTGTTCCATACCTACTCGTTGCCTATGTCAAACCAATCACTATCCTCATGATAAGCGTGACGGCCTCGGCAATCGCGATGTTCACCTGGATTGCCGCGACCAAGACCGCGGGCTTCATTGTTTGGGCTTGCTATTGGGGTATCCTGAGTGGGGTTCTTGTAACAGCGCCGACTTCCATTGTTGCACATCCTGTCTTTTGTCCTAATGTGAACTATATGGGTACCCGGTTGGGTATGATGTGGGGTATCTCTTCGTTCGGTGCCCTTGCGGGGACACCCATTGCGGGAGCACTCGTCAATTTAGACACGGCTAATTTCCTGCGGGCCCAAGTGTTTGCTGGGTGTATGATGGTTGGAGCAGTGCTTTTACAGTTGTGGCCTGGATATAAGGTATTCCGCCATGATCGCAATCGTGATCAACGACAAGCATAATGGTCCCTGGTTGCGCATTGATTACCTCTCGTTGAAGCAGTACATGAACGTTTTGAATATTCGTATTAGTGGTACAATCAATCTTCAATCTATCAAGCCCTTTATTATTCGAAAATCGATTTGTATAGTGTTAACTAACTTGTTACTGACGGTGAAAGTCAATTGGTAGATGTCGTGACGTCACCCCACCCGAGTCCGAGAGGTACTAATCTAGTTGCAGCGATAAATTCCCATTTCGTGGATCTGAAACCCGAAAAGGACGAGCAATTGATCTTGCCTAGAAAAGTACTGTCGTAATACACTAATTTGGGGTATACTAGTCTAGATTGGAATAGAGAGATTACAATATCTCAGGACATGGCATGGTGCTTTCTGACACCACTCATATTCCCTCTCATTCACATTTGTAACCTTCCAGAGGGAAACATGTGGATCTTATCATTTTGGCTGTTTCCCGTTATCTCAGGCTGCATGTGGCTAGGTATGAGGTCTCGCTGATATTTGGACGCCATGTACTCACGTGCTTCTAGCTATGCTAGTAGCCATGCTTTCCAGTTGGGCGGCGGATGGGAAGCCCATATATTCCACGATGACTGACGGATTGACAATTCCGTACGTAAATTTGATCTTATTTCCAGATTTACGCAGCTAAACTGGTGAAATTCTCAGATACATCTCGCATATCGGTGCCGAAGGACTCAAGCCTTTGTTTATTGCAGGCAGTGCAGTTACAGGCGTCTTCCTCGACTTAGCTCTCCTTTCAGAGCGCTGGCTACGGCATTCAGGTCAACTCGCTCCAAACAAAGGGAAATTTGACAAAACTTGCGCGGTCGGATCTATCATATTCTCCTTCACTGGCGCTCTTGGGCTTTTGCTACTATCTATATTTGACGTCAAGCACCATGATCACCTACATTACGGATTCTTGATCATGTTCATGTGAGAATATGTTCCAACAGATTGAATAGCAGTTTTCTGACCGATTTGCAGAGTAAGCTATGTGGTTAACGCTATCCTGGTCTGTCTTGAGTACATATGGATCGGTCGGTTCTATCGATCACAGATACCGATATTGTTGGCCAGCTTTTACATTAAAGCTCTATTCGTTGTCCTCGAAATCGGTGTGGCCATTGGATTTGGTATTTGCATGAAGTCCAAAACTTCACATAGAAAGAACGCAGCCGCTGTTCTGGAATGGGGTAAGTCTCAGTCCCGATCTATGACCCGACTAGGTGCTGACCAGACAAGTTGCTGCCCTCATCTTTGCATTCTATATCTTCTCCTTCATCATTGATTTACTGCCGTCTGTTCGTACTCGTAAGCGAGTACCTCAAGGGGAGAAATATCCTCATCCAAGAGTTACTACAGACCCAGAGGTACCGACAAATTTTTAGTGATATCTGTGTCTCTGGGAAGAATGAAATACCATTTTGTGGATCCATCCAACGTTATGATTGGACTCGAAGTTTTGAGCTCATGAATTTTATCTCCATGGGGCTCAAGTGACCAATCTGATCCACTTTTGCTCCTTGAAGTCTGGTTGTCTACCCGTGATGAAATCATAGACTTTTCAGTATACGACACGCGGAAAAATTGATGGTTCAGGATATTAAAGAGAAATATTCTCCTGTTTTCAAGATTAAATGTACTCTGGCTTCAGTTGCTCAGTATGGAGAATTTTTACAGTCATCCGACAGGACTAGTCACCTGGATCGCCCGTTCCATGCAGTCCATTAGTGCGATCATTGTCCTTGGAATCACAGCCTGGGCTGCTCGAGATACAAAGACTGTCACCGTCATTTTCTCCTTAGTTATTGTATGTACCCTATTTTCAAACATATCGCCTTCTAACAATGGCGTAGGCTGCCTTGACCGTGGTGATTATCCCCTTTACAATTGGTATAAGCTGCATATCGCGACGCCATAAATGGCATATTCTCCCCCTAATCGCTATTGACGGAGCTATGTCTTACTTGTAAGTACTAGCGAGAGATCGCCATTGTGTTTATACTGAATCATGCCATAGATGGATTACATCGGCCATATTCCTCTCCCTTGATTTCAATCGTATGAACTGCCGAATCATACCCTGGAACGGAGAAGCGGTTTGTAGCAGAAAATATACCGCCGAAGCTTTCAGTTTCATTGCATTGTCAGTGATTCCAAATAAGTTTTGAGTTCTTATACTGACTGTTACTCTAAGTTTCACAACGCTCATGAGTCTGTGCGCTGAAATAGCGTATATATATTCTGTCAAGCCAGGAACTGTGCGACAGAAAGAGGTAGTGCAGCCTGAAGAGCGCATAGCCCAGAATCTGAATGCAGCTGGTGTGCTTTAGTGCCAGCAGAGACTCCTGTATCGTTTTTGGGTAATCAATTTTGATGTCAAGCTTCCATATGTTTATCTCTCCGATTAATCAATTGAAGAAACTACTCTAGTAAGCTCAATGAACTGTACGTGTGACAAAAGATTTGAAAGTCGTATTGAGGTGCATGACAAGATTGTCAAGTCGCTGGTATACCCTCTTGTCGGATGCCTTCTTTGAAGTTTCATAACCACGGCTTTCCTCGATGAAAACTAATCTTACTTAAACTTAAGGCCATTTCTACATGAATTCTATTGTCTAACTTGAGAAATCAATGTCTTGACTGCCTTCTTTCTCGTTATTTATATGATGAAATTATTTCGATCCCCAGGGATTCTTTACGAATGAGCATTTGAGGGCTCCTAAATGCTTCAAATTGTTGTAGTCCCAAAGTTGTATTCAATTCCTTACAAAAGATTTTACTTGTGTATAGTACTCAGGTGCTGTCTAAGCACATGCGTGTCCTGCTATTCAAGCGGCCAAGGGATCGTTGGGTTAGACGGACTGGACAGTGTTCTGTCCAAAACGTCAGAAGAATCCAAAGGTTCCCTTAACCCGCCTTCATCTCTGTTTCCAATGCCATTTACAAAGTGAACCATGATCTTCAGACCCTTAAGCATGTCTATATTACAATGGTCACATATTACAAGACAGTGTCGTTTGTTATTGAGGAGCTCTATACCCCAGAGCATGCTCTTAGCTGAAGCGATCCGAAGGAACGCGAATGGAAGTATGGCCTTCCGGAGTATCAGATGTTGCTAGGTACTCGCATGGGCAAGAAGGTAGCATATGTTGTGCTAAATGCGTTTCCACGAGGCACACGCCGTATCAGCAAGATTCCATTACGGCTTTGAGGATTTACATCCAGATCTCAATTCGCGCTTTGACCTTGAGATCTAGCCCAAGGGATCTTGTTGGCTTTTTGCGCCGATTGCCTACAGGCACAGGACCGCTCAAGGGCCGACTCTCTGGCGGTTAACAGACCAGTGACGTAGTTCATATCAATGCGCGGCCTTCCGAAACGGCGGAAATATTGGGAAGGTCCTACCGCTTCGGATTCTGCTTATCGGTTCCAAAAGCTCCGGTAAACGTTTGTTTGCCTCGACTGATCCCCCACACATCGTTTAATGATTCATATAAGGGCTTGAGCCTCAATTATCAGTGCCCTGTTATCATTGAGGTCTGTTCTGTGGACCCCGGTTATCCTCTAAGCGCCATGTCATATATGCTTTACTATTTTCCTTACTCAATATGCTCTCTCATGGTCCGATACACCTTAGCGGTGAGAGGGCCCCCCGTGGAGGGGGAGGTCGACTGGAAAGTCGAAGAGAAAGATGTCAACATAATTACAGGAGACCAGCTCACAGAGCACTTCCTAAGCGAAGTGAATCCAGCAGGATTTGCAAGTATCCCTCATCCCACTCTTTCAGGATCTATAACCAGTATTTCTGAAGAAATCAATGCAGCTGTCTCTAATCAAGTGTTCAGGTGCCGGTTCTCGCCAACCCTGCCGTTCTACGTAAACCCCTTGCCGAAAGCCAAGACATCACGCTCTACATAGCAGAACACTACCCCAGACTGCTGCCATTAGCTCTACGGAACGAGATCATCCAGCGTTTGAGCGATTTGCACACGATCAACTATTTCTCCCTGTCGTTTACAGGCAGACCTGACGTGGCGCTGGGCTTGAAAAACCGAGTGATCAAGGCCCTTCAAGATCCGAAATCGAGTGCCAAGTACCAGGAATTACTGAAACACAAATTATCTATGTGAGATGATCCGCCTCCACGAAGATCTCGGTCAGACACCAAGACCGCCACTGTCCCCATTTTCGGCCTTGCGTGTCGTGTTGACACAGGCTACGGCTGACCAGAATATTTGGTGGCAGAATCGAAAACGACAAAATCGGTGGTTTGACATCTAACCGCGTCGCCGAGGCTGAAGAGCGGACCAGTGCTGTCCTAGGAGATCTAGTGGTCCGCCAAACTCAGGAAGGCAAGGGCCGAGGCCCGTGGATACTCGATACCGAGTATCCCACTGCTCTCGACGCTCACTTAGCAATCTTCTTAGCCCGTCTGCAGGATGTGAACAGGCACGATCTGATCCCGCCGGAGCTCAGCGAGTATGTCAAGACGGCGATTGCGGGGCCTGAATTCTCGGCTGCTTTGAAAGGCGTGGAAGGTGGGCGCACTGTGGGCAAAAAGGTCTAGACAACATATAAATGTAGTTTGCTTGTCCACCGTCGGCGGTAACTACGCCGTATCAGATTAGATCGAGATCATGAGCTTCACCCTATCCACCTAGTATCAAGGCGACTATTTCTCTATCTTCTAATTGATATTTTATGTAACTGCAATCCGTCAGGCTGAATGGACGATGACTTGAAAGAGTGGAGGTCTCATTTGATTTTGAAAAAAATATTGGGAATATTGCAAAATAAAGTAGTGATATCGGGGCTTTACCTAAGGCCCGTTACAAATTACATGCGCGAGTAGAACTGTAGAGTTGCTTGCTAATCATTGCAATCATACCAACATTAAGAATGCAGATTAAATTATCAATGACCTCTAGAAAGTGAATTGCCTACATAGTTCAATATTATTATTATTTTCATTGGTTAAACTTGATCGAAGTCACTGTTCGAGGGAGTAATTAAGTCTGGTTGCATAGCTTACTCAGCGTGTAGCGCAGGCCAACCATATACAGGGCAACCTCTCGCCCGAAGCTCATAATGACTTCATCTTGCGCCTAAATTATCAGGAATCCTGGCCCATGAGGTAATAAAAGTCGCCTTCCCCTATAACATCGTGCGGCATCAACGCAATATGGTTTCGATTATCTTGTCCATCATTGAGTATGTCAATCGTCTTGTGAAGAGAGACCCCGCAAAACAACGTCATCGCCAGTCTACTTTCTAAATTCAAGTATATAAGCCTGCGCGTCTTGAAAATGATTCACAAATTAATATCATTTACAGATCCACTTGATCAGCCGATATGCCTGAAACATCAGGTCACTCTTCTGCCGTCTCAGGCGGCTCCAGCGCTGTGCCCACTCCTGCGAATAACAGTAGTTCATGGGGCGACAAGGTCTTCCGAAAGGGAGGCTCGGAGAATGAACCCATAAACGAAGGCGAGGGTCACGTCCATGTAAGTGTTGCTAGTTGCTAGATTCGCCTATGGCAAAGAGATCTCAAATTTACATATATTCCAGGCTAGCAACCCACGGGACACGATCGGTAACTTCCTCGGTTTGCAGGACCAGAAGACGCGCGCCGAGAATAAGTTTAAAGAACGAGCTGGCCTTGTAGATGGTCAGAAGCCTTACACAGAAGATGGTGGGCCTACATGTGCGGGTGAGGACCACACCTTCGCAGGCCGTAAGCCCGGCGGCTCGGATACCTGGCCTGGATGGGAAACGACGAAGAGTTTCTTCGGGTGAGTGGCGAATGACCTTTTGGAGTGTTTATTACGGAACATGCTGATGATGGTCACAGTGCTGGCAATGTGAACTAAGGATTTGTCCTTCCATTATTGACTTTTGCGATGTACGAATTTATGGACAGCCGAAAGGGTAGGAAGGAATTCTTATTTAATCATGTAAACATTGAATATGTTAAAAGCATAGTCTACAGGATGAGTAGTGCGGTTTGCCTTACTCAACCTTTGTCGCCTTCGGCCGTAAAATGTCTCTTAGCATCACTAGTTTGCTCAGGATGCGACCTTTGAGCGTATGAGCTCCAAGAGCAGCGGCTTCATCCACGGACACAATACGCCGCACCAGCAAATTGAACACTGTGCCAAACCCAAGAGCAATCACCGTGCTCGTAAGGATAATCACGTTGTACGGCATACTGAAATCAGGAGTAGGCAGGGGAAGCAAAAGGCTCGTGGAACGAATATAGACCGGACTACTGTCTGGGGAATTCAGAATGCGGATGACCGCAGGCGCGACATTGAATCCTCGGTTGGCATCCGGCGGATACTCAGTATAACGCAGAATTGCCTTTTCAAAGTCGTAGGTCAAGGTCACAGTTGAAGCTGCAGGTACCGACAAAGCCAGTTCCAGCTGTGATCCGCGCTCCCGGTCGATGGCGGGTCGGAAGAAGGTCTCGGTAACGAGGTCGGAGGCAGGGATCTCCTGGCGGACTCCATTGCGGCCGGTAATTGTAGCCTGTAGTGTATGGATATATGGCCGAAGGAACCACGGAAGTGATTCAAAGTAGATAAAGTCGACGGCTGTCGTTTCGGATGGATTGCCGAAGATGATGCGCATGCCACCACGCTCTTGACCGTGGCCAACGATGGTCCGCTCAGCATGGAGAATGGGCTCCTCAAGCGGGACCTTGGTGTTCATTTGCTGCTCGTGAACGGCAAGGTCGAATGGCTGCTCGGGATCCAATTTGAAACAGCGTGTGTAACCATCGTCCTGCTTAATTTCTGAGGCGCCTTCGGAAGTAAACACACTCCGCTCGTGAGGAACCCGAAGGCAAACAGATTGCTCGCTGTCAGTCTCGGCAAGAGGACACACGCCTTGTAAGGATCGCCCGAATACCTCTGTGAGGCTCCAACCCGTTTCAGTCATCTTCTCCAGAGGGTAGCAGGTATCTTCTGAGTTATACTGCTTGGAGGTGTCGCAGACAAGCTGTTCATTAGGGACGGGTCTGGGAATAGGGTTGGCTCGAGGTCGTTTAGACCGTTCAATATCCAAAACCATATCCACGGTCTGCTCAATTTGGACGAGGCACTCGCCGCCAGGAGGACAGACAGGCCGCATATCCACAGACATACTCTGCCATGCGGCGTCAAAGAGTTTGTGGCCATCGAAGAGACTAGAGATACCAGCCTTGCCCTTGCATGGAAGGAGCTTCAAGAATGGTGTCAGATTCTCCGTGCAAACTACCTCTCCGGGAAGGATTCCGTGGAGAAGATGAAGACCATCAGTTTTCGAATGGTCGCCGGTAGGCTCAAAGGAAACGACTGGTCGTGTGGTTCGGGTGGAATCGACAAAGTTCAATGAGGCGCAGAACAGACCCGATAGAGACTGTGTCAATGTAATCCATCTCGCGAATGCCCTGGCACAGTTAGCATCCAATATACTCTTCCAATGCAGAGAAAAAATAAAGTCAGGACATACTCTTCGTCATCTGCAGCATTGATCCACGCCCAAAGTTCAACACCAGTACCTCCTTCTTTGCTGCCATTCCATGGCCTAGAGCCCCAGCTTTCAGCGTCCCATCGCCCAGTGCTAAAGCGAAGATGAAGCTCTTTTGTATGTGCATGTTGCAGGATTTGGCCCAGTGCCCGGGGGAAGTATCGGAAATGCTGGTTGTCGAATGATTGTTGCGAAGTATTACCCCGGAAATTGAACGAGGCTAGGAGGGAGGATTGAGGAAGTGGTTGGAGGAATAGCTGTTCATGGTAGTCCGACAATGCCAAAACATTTGAGCCCCATAGCGCGACAGCAAGCGTCAACAAGAACGAGAAAAGTGAGAAGGTCGTCATCACTTCATGCCGGAGCTCGGTCTGCGCTGCCCCTGGTCCATGCGATGAACAGTCGAGGCGGGGAGTGTTTTCACTAGGGACTGTGGATTTTCAGACCAAAAGGCACACTACGTCACCGGGAAAGACCCTTGAAAGCGCCGAAAGCCTTGGACATCAGACACAAAGTCGAATGGGCGAATGTTCAACCCGGAGGAGCACATCTGGTCTGTTGATCGTCGCGCCTCACCGCCTTCCCTAGCGCCAGGACCAAAAAACCTCCAGGACTTCGCCGTTCACCCCCAAAGCCCCCGCATTTTCGTGTGCCATTGTTGCTATTCTTCCTCCTTGGATACATAGGCATTGACCATGGCGGCGGAACAGAGAAAGCTGCTCGAGCAGCTCATGGGAGGTATGTTCTTTGGAACTTGTGCTTCTACGCAATCTGCAACCTACCCCGATTCCCCGGACTCAAGCTAACCACGACTTCACCTATAGCTGACCAGCTTATTGGCACCGGCGCTCAGGGTCGCAATTCCCAGCTCCAAATCACAGACCCCAAAGTCTGCCGCTCCTACCTTGTCGGAACTTGCCCGCACGACCTCTTCACCAACACCAAGCAGGACCTCGGACCCTGCCCGAAGGTGCACAGTGAAGGATTGAAGACGGAGTACGAGGCGGCGTCTCCAACGGAGAAGGCGAAATGGGGCTTTGAGTTTGACTACATGCGCGATATGCAAAAGTACATTGACGACTGTGACCGCCGCATTGATACTGCGCAACGCCGGCTGGAGAAGACGCCAGACGAGATCCGGCAAACCAATGCTCTGGTATGCCCAGGGACCCGCACCTCTGTTCTGCTTTAATATGTTTGCTAATACTCGATATAGCTCAAACAAATCGCCGACCTCACTAACACCATTAACGGCGGCCTTCTCGAAGTCTCCGTCCTTGGCGAGACAGGTTCCGTCGCAATGGCCATGACCGAAATGCACAAGGTCCGCACCGCTAAGCACCAAAAGGAGACCTGCGAGCGTGACCTCAAGAACCTCCAAGATACCTCCGGTCCGTCTGGCCACCAGAAATTGCAAGTTTGCGACGTCTGCGGTGCCTACCTGAGTCGACTCGATAACGACCGACGATTGGCTGATCACTTCTTCGGAAAGATGCACATGGGATACTCGGATATGCGTAGGACCTCCAAGAGGCTTGCTGTGGAGCTGAAAGGCCGCGCCCCGCCGGTGCGCCAACACCATGAAGACGAGGATCCTTATAGTGCAGGTGGCCGATCTGGAGGACGTGGCCCCCGTTATGGTGGTGGTGGTGGTGGTGGTGGAGGTGGCGGTGGAGGTTATCGCCGTCGTGGTGGTGGAAGATGGTAATGAGTCCCGATTTCTTTCTGCTCGGTTTAGGTCTTTTGCATAGCGCAGGCGTTCTCTACGTGCGGTACGGGGATGATGCTCGGTGACGATAGGTGTACCCGCCATGCGCTCAATATATCCATGTTTCTTGTTGAATACCACAAATATCCTGACATTAAGCTGCTTGAAAACTCTCGGGATTGAAAACAATTTGTAAACTTCATTAGACTGAAGGGATATCTTGAGGAACAAGTTTCAACCTGGTGGGTCTAGGTCTACTCCAGGGCTGGTGGTCCCCTGTTACAATGTATTGCCAGAAGCACTACAGGAAAGTAGATAGTAACACTACAAAGCAGATCAATTTTTTGCGGTTGAACCAGCAGCACTGGCTGTGGGTATTCCACTATCATAAAACCTGAAAAACCTCATCCCGGGAATTTTAGTATCCCAAACACCTGACTGCAAATGCAGCATGACAACCCACTAAGAAATAACCAGAAGGGAAAGAACTCAAAGAAAACTGTACAGTACAAGATAAAGTATTCAGATATCATCAAAATGGCATTAGACGTTCGGCTGCGGGACGTGGCCGTTCGCCTGGGTCTCAAAGAGTGCCTGCATAAGCGTGTCGTAATTGCCTGCTGCAGCGGGCTGGCGAGTTAGGATGTCGCGAACGACGTTCAATTGAGCCATGTCCACGTTTGGGGCGGTCTTGAGGAGTTGCTGAATAGCAGGTGCGCTGACTTGTGCACCGAGCACCTGTACCGCGGCGGCCATGCCGGTCACGGCGGGCTGTTGAAAACCGGAAATTTGGCTTGGTTGCTGTCCAAAGCCGGTATTGGATGGAGGGGTAGGTGCGACTTGAGCGGCCGGTGCATGGCCGGGAGTCGAGAACTGGTGGGGCTGAGGGGTGGCTCCAACAGCTGTCAAAGGACTGGCAGAAGCCGCGGGCTCCAGGCTGGGTCGGTGAGAGGGCGGTTGAACAGAGGGTGGGTTCGAGTCGCCGGTCTTAACAACAAAAACGATGAGTAGGGTGCGCTCATTCATAGGACCCTCGAGCGAGTTGTTTTCCAGAAGCTCGATGAACTCAGGCTTGTTGGTGACGCCTGCTTCAATGGGGACAATATAAGTGTCTTTAACGGCTTGTAAAGGATGCTTTCCGATAACACCGTAGCGCTTTCGGCCGGAGAAGTATTCGAAAAGTTTGTCAAAGCCAGCACGCTCAGTAGGGTCATGAGGGCTGCCGACGGCAATCACGGACACATCGGTGGAAGCACTGAAGCGCAGGCCACAAAGGTAATTGCTCGCGAGTTGGATATCAATTCGTCCATCAATCAGCAGTGTCGACGGAGCAAGTTGACTCCACGGAATCCGGCCACTCAGGTCTGCACCTCCAACATGCTTAGCAGAAGACATGAACTCAGAGACAGGAATCATGGCGAGCTTGCCACGCCAGACAATGCCGTCATCGGAGAAGTCTTTGGGTGAATATGGAGGAGAATCAGGCTCATCATCACGAAGCAGTTGGTCAATCTCGGCATCTGCTTGAATCCTCCTGCCATGGGGCACTGGCTCGCGGACATTGGTGGCAACTTCAGGAAAGACGTGATCGTGGTGTTCTCCGGAGGGTGAGTGACCTCGGCCTTGTCTTCTGCCCTTGGGTTGCTGAAACTTTGGGGTGGTCGGACTCTGGTTTGCTGGGCTGCCATCAGCACCCTCAGCAGTGCTTCGGCGAGGTCCAGTCGAGAAGACAGATTCTGTGGCAGCGTTTTGAACGTCGTCTTCAATCAATTCCTCGCCCTTATGTGTGCGTCGAATGCGGGGACCCTGTTCTTGAATAATGATGTGCTGTCTTTCAGATTCTCGTTTAATCTCTGCGTCCTTTTGTTGCAACTCCTCGCTCGCCATCTCCTCCGGCTTCATCCTAGATAGGAGGTCGGGTGAGAGACTACCTACGAGCAAACGGTCCCGTAGAGAAGGATTCTTCTTTACGTTGAACAGGATCGTTCGTAATTGCAACTTATATGGTTCGGTAGGCTCGCCTGTCCGTCCACAGAAATGGTTGTACATGGCATCCTCGATGGCGAGACCGAGTTGCCGTGCAGCATCCTCTGCATTTTGTCCACCGGGCAATGAATAAGAGCCCTTCTTCTGTGCCGCAGTGACCTGTTCTACAAATAGCTTGATGAGAGCCGTGGCTGCGCTCTTGCGAGCCGGGATCACCAGGTCTTCCACAGTACCAACTGCGGCAGACATATTAGTTGAAGGTTCTGTCTTGACTTTCGAAGCTGCCGCTGGGGACTGTGGAGAGACTCTTTGCTGCTTGACCTGTGGTCCCTGTAAAATCCAGTTAGCTTGGTGGTAGGTCAAAGGGTATAAAGACAAAATACACACCATATCCGTCTCTGGTTGTTCCTCAAGCTTGCGCTTGTTGGTGCTCGACCGGCGGGAGTCATGGCCATTCTTCTCAGGCTCAACCGATGCGGAGGGGGCAGGAGCAGGAGACTGGCCAGGACCAGGTGTCGCAGAGGTTCCAGCCCGAGCTGGAGTTCCGGACTCCGCCTTGCCCTGGCTCTTGCGGCTGCTACCCTTCTTGCCCTTCTTCTTCTTGGACTTCTTCTCCTCGGCTTCCTGCCGCCGACTCTCAGCAACCTGTTCCCAGGGCTTCTCGCCCCTTGCGATCTTGTCCAACAGCTCTCTGTGGTTCTCGGGTCTGCATTGCTCACAGTAGTATTTGTCCGGTTCTGAACCCTTGGCGAATGTAAGGCCCATGCAATCGTTGTGTTGCCATGCCAGGCAGTTGTCGCAGCAGATCATGTCACGCTCGACATCTTCCTCCTCTTCATATTGGCCACAGATACATCGGATAATTTCCTCATCTTCGCCTTCGCTGGGTCCGGGTGTAGGTTCGGCGGAGGTCTTGCTGCCCTTGTCTTTAGGGCTCTTGCCCTTGCCTTTCTTCGCGGGCGTATCAGGCAGCTCGAGGTTCTTATGCTGGCCCTTGGTCGCGCGACCGGAGCGTCGTGGTTCGTCTGTGGCGGCTGTTAGCATATTGTGCTTTGTTGAGTGGCCACTCGCTGCTGTCGGGCCAAATCATGGGTTGTCCACCGGTGGGTGGGCTCAAGTCGGTGCCTGAGAGTGTGGTGTACGAATGCTTACCGGCCATGACAAAAGTAGAAGGTTGTACTACAGGACGATGAAAAGATGCCAGCGGTCGCAGTCTTCTCTCTACGAGCACAAAGGGGCTAATAGTAATACACAAGAGAAAAAGCAAGACGCTAAAACAGCGCCGGGGCCTGGTCCACGGTATTACTTCGTCACCAAAGCTGTTTCCCCAAGACTCCGAGGGGACTTGCACAGGTGAGTGGTGGCGAAATATGCGCTGAGGTGTGTTTTGACAGGTTCTGCGATCCCTTGCTGCGCGTCCTTCGCGACTTGTCGCTCTGCGGGATCGCGTGCGATGTTGTGGTCGCTCTGAGAGGGAAAACGGCGGGAAATAATCGCCAAAATTGATATAGCGGTCGCTGATCTAGCAGACGCGCGACAGCGATGACACTCAGGTTGATGGAGGGAGATGGAATTGTGAGTGTCCAAGATCAGGAGAGGAAGATGTGTCAGTGGCTTGGGTGATTATGTAATACTTTCACGTGATTCACCAGCCACGCCCTGGGATCGCGATGAGCTTCTCCAGCTTCGCCAGTTCCCCACTTGCTGAGCAAAATCCACTTTGCAAATATCAAATCAAGTTGAAACTAGCTGCAATCTCAACTCATTCCTCCTTGACCCACTCAATATCCGTACCTGAAAACGCACGTTTTTATCTCTCTCTCAACAATGGCGGACGTCCGATCACTCCTCCGGAATGAACTAGCTTCGCGCAAGGGCGCATCGCCGAATACCACAGGAAACCGAGTTAGCAAAAAGCGCAAGGTCGATAACGGAGAGGGCGTGATGCGCAAGAAGCTGCGGTCCACAGATATTGAGGCCGTTCAGGCTGCTGCGAGTGCACAGGGCGCTGGGCCTAGCGCTGAAGGGACAATTGAGGATGACGTCTTGGAGCCCGTCGAAGAGGCCGAGCTCGAAGAACCGCTCGATGAGAACCAACAGACCGATTCACCAACTGCGCAACAAATACCGCCAACGCCATTGCAAGAATCTTTTGGCTCTGTCGACGAAGACGAATGGGCCGCCTTTGAACGCGAAGTCGCCGCGCCAACCCGAATGGCACATGCCCCGGCTGCTATCGCAGCTGAAGCCACTATATCCGCGGCCCCCGTAACCAACGAGGAGCTTGCGGCACAACAAGAGAAAGAGAAAGCGTCCGCTGGTCGGACACGCGAAGCCGAGTTAGAAGGAGAGCGGGAAGACGCCGCACGATTTATGGAGGAAGAGTTCGATGAGATGGACCAACTCGAGGAGCGTGTACGGAGGTTGAAGCATATGAGAGAAGAACTGCGACAAAAACGTGCCGAGGACCAGACCAGAGACGTCCCTATGGCTTCGGATGATCAACGAGCGGCTGAGAGTGACAGTGACGAGGACGACTACGAGGATTGGGATGATTGGCGATTTAAATGATTACGAGAAGCGGAATAGCTTGCCGGTTCTACAGAAAAGGACTTGAGCTCCCTTATAATCTACAATGATACCCTCAACAAAATGAATGGCTTTTTTTCAGAAAATCTCCATAGTTTTCACGACCTCGGTGTGTGAATCTCGGCTTTACAGTTAAACATGTTAATATTAAACCTCATTTCGGTCTTTTATTTGCCAGGATTTTCTTGCTCGCCAGCGGGTGTCTCATCAACGTCCATGTAGCTCCGCAATCCATCTTTGCGAACCTTCATAGCTTCTGCAATCTCGGCCTCGCCTTCTTTAAGAAGGTGTTTGCCACGAATCACATCACCTCGCTGCCTCCGCTTCTCTTCCTCCACGCGTTTCTCTCGTTCCTCAAGGGCTTTTTCGCGCTTCTCCCTCTCCCTCCGCTTCCTGTCGATCTCTTGATGTTGTTCCGCAGTCAACTGCTCCTCCGGCGGCGGGGGCAATGTAGATATGTACGCCTCGATTAACGGGTAACGAATCTTGGCTGGGAGTGTAATGGATCGGATATCTGTGATGATCTGGACCGGAAGGGCCTCTATATTCGAAGAACGGTTCAAGGAATGCAAAGGAACTGATTTGAGCAGGGTTGAAAGATCCGACTTGCGAGTACTTTCAGGGAGCTTGAGCTTCGAAATATAGTCACGGTAGAACTTTTCGCGATCCTTGTCTGAAAGTTTCGTGTCTTTCATCTCTGCTTCTTTTCGGTATTTGCGTTTGAACTCGGGCCAATATAGTTTGGGTGTTGCGTACTCCTGGAGGAAAGCCAGGTATTTGATGCGGGGGTCTTGCTTTTCCTGTTTCGCCTTGCGCTCTTGAACATCCTTGATGCGATCTCGGCTCCAATTTGAGAAGATTTCCTTTCGGTGCTTCATGTTCGAAGGCGCCGTGTACCTGGTGTCCTCGAAGATGCGGCCTTCTTCGATAACGGTCTCCCATGTCGTGAAGGGATTAATATTGAAGTCGTCCAGCAAGTCGCGGAAGAGTGCTTCGGCATCAGCGTCGGTTAACTGGAGCCCTTCCGCACCCTCTTCCCAGTCTTCTTCTCCAGGCTCACCATATTCACCCGGGTCCAGGCCATAATCTTCGCCCATTGCAGCGAGTTGGTATTCCATATCTTCCTCTGTGAACTCGACCGGTTTGTCCTGCGCATCTGGACTTTCGGTACGAGTACGCTTAGATGGTTGGCCTCCTTCATCCTCTCCCTCGCTGTCCGTTACTTCCACTTCTTCGTATTCGTCGCTGTCTTCGGCGCCTCCTGGGCCAGCGGTTGGTTCCTTCTGAGCAGTATTTTCCTGGGGTGATGTCGACACCGGCTGAGCAGCTACGACATTCTTGATTGGCTCCTCGACTTCTTCGCCTCGTTCTTTTCGTTCTTTCTTTTCGCGCTCAAGGCGGTCATACTCGGTCACGCCCTTCAAAACCTCTTGCGGAAACTTCCAGAAGCTCTCATTCGTTTCGGGGTTGTGGACAAATCGTCTTCCAAGCTTGGTCTTCACTAGGACCCATGGCGCGCAATCCGGTATGGAGTGCTTCGACTTTGGTCGGTCTTGGGGCCCTCGTCGCTCTCGATCATGGTAGCTTGTTCCTCCGCGGAAGGCACCACGACCCTGTCCATGTTGCTGTTGACTGAATAGCCCCGCGCCAGGTGCGTAGCCTGTCGGTCCATAGGGCGTAGAGGAAAAAGGTGGTAGTGTTTCGGGCGCGTAGTCGGGGAGTGTCTGTGTAGGTTCCGGAGCGGTTGGTACGGGTTGAGACGACTGTCCCTGTGGTCGAGTATATGTTGATTGCTTTGTAGCAGCATTATAATAGTATAAATGACCTGAAAATTCACCATTAGCAAGTTCCTTCGAGTCCGATCACGCGCAAAACCAACCTGAAGGCGCTCGATGCTCTGTCCACCCCGGTGGCAACGGAGGTGGAGCTGTGTATGTTGATTTGAGCATTCCAAAAGTGAGGCTCTGGATGATCAAATTAGCAGAGCCTGGGCTCAAAGCTGGAGAAACAAAAGAGCGGAAGCTTTGGTGTGGTGAGGTGGTCCGAGCTTGGCGGATGACAGAGGACGCGCCAGGGCGAGTTGCCTGGAACTTCGAGCTAATCTGCAACTCCGACCTCCCCTACCTCCTCAATCTCCCACTTCCTCTACTCTTTTCAATTGTTGCTTCGTTACGTCTTATCTGCAACATGTCTCGGCGTTACGATTCACGGGTGAGTTGATTCGGGCATTTTCAGTGGGGGCAGCTCCAGCTAACCTATGACGCTGTTCACTAGACTACCATCTTCTCCCCCGAGGGTCGACTGTATCAGGTCGAATATGCCCTCGAAGCCATCTCCCACGCAGGTACTGCTCTTGGTATCCTAGCCAAGGATGGCATTGTCCTCGCCGCGGAGAGGAAGGTCACCAGCAAGCTGCTTGAGCAGGACACATCCGCTGAGAAGCTCTACACAATCAACGAGTGCGTCAACAATCCCTTTCTATCCAACGAATGCATCACAGACCCTCTCGAGAGCTTTGAGCTAATGATTTGCAGTAACATGATCTGCGCAGTGGCTGGCATGAACGCCGATGCCAACATTCTGATCAACTACGCCCGTCAGAACGCCCAACGTTACCTCCTCACCTACAACGAAGACATTCCCTGCGAACAGCTTGTGCGCCGGTTGTGTGACTTGAAGCAAGGATATACGCAGCATGGTGGTCTCCGTCCATTCGGTGTGTCGTTCATCTATGCCGGATGGGATCACCTTCGTCAGTTCCAGCTGTACCAGAGCAACCCGAGTGGAAATTACGGCGGATGGAAGGCGACAAGTGTCGGTGCGAACAATGCCAGCGCACAGAGTCTCCTCAAGCAGGACTACAAGGAAGACCAGACTTTGCAGGAAGCCTGCGCCATGGCGGTGAAGGTCCTGAGCAAGACTATGGATTCGACGAAGCTCAGCAGTGAGAAGAGTGAGTTTCGTAACCCTATACGATGTCGGCTATCTTGTCGATTCATTGGACCCCAAAGTACTGATCAGCTGTTCTTCTACCAGTCGAGTTCGCAACAGTGGGTAAGACTAATGACGGAAAGATCTACCACCACCTGTGGACCGCTGATGAGATCGATGCGCTCCTACGGGAACAAGGGCTGGCTAAGGTTGATGATGAGCCCGAGGCTGGTGAGATTAAATAGATTAATACCTTTGCCCGTTGTTTTCAAATACTTGAAAATCAATATCTGCAGTTCATCCTTATCTGTGTCTTTCTTCTATTCTAAAGTTGCTCCCTAAACGATGCTCAATCTCGGCGGCTTTCGTGATATGGCATTTACCCGGTCAGACGGCTACTGCTAATGACTGCATTGCAGCTGCTTCCTCATGACGTGGCATACCTTCAGCCGGTAGGTCTTACTCTAACCGCCTCGTTGTCCACGAGTGACGATGTTTGATGCAGTAGATTCAAACAGGCCGGACCACGTAGTTGTCGGTCCCATGGCTTGGGAGTCAATCTGTTGGTTCCCATAGATTAATGTCTCCGATTCCACATCTCGCCTGACGATATATATCCACCGGGCCGCCATTCCATTTCATGACCATAAGCCATCTGACAATTGATCTTTGACCTTGAAACAAGCTTGGATATTGCTGCAAATCAGAAGGCCCAGAAAGCCTCTGCTCTCTTATGGGGACTGCATCATAGCATTATGAGATTGTTTACTCGTTGCTGTATGTGCGCTGACGCTAGCCAACTAGCTAGATGGAAGAAAAGGTCTATTGAACTGTCAAGTGGAAATTGTCTTACAATCTGGAATTCCACACAGGTACCTTTTCATCACTTCTTTGAACTACTGAGGCAGTTTTATATCGTGGACACCCTTTGTCGGATCAGAGCCACGCTGACTAAGTGTTATAGATCCACCACACGTGACATGGGGAATGAGGGGTTTCACTGTCCTCCTGACAGCAACACTTCTCTCAAACACCATTGGGACCTTATCTGGAGCCCTCTCATGATTGAATGGCTACTATGCTATCATCTCCAGGCTCCAGTGGCTTTCCACCGGGAGTCTGCAGCAAAAGACCCCCTTTCTCCATGAGACTCCAACCGTCTCAGCGAACCGCTCACCCAAGAAAACACGGCGCTTATGAGATGACTAGTCTTCATTAATATATTATGGGACGATGGCAGCCTATGAAAAATCTGCAATTGCAGCACCTTAACCAATAAGGCTTGGTTCACATTTCTCACGCTATTGGGAGCGACGATGCCTGTCACGTTGCAGAAACTCGATTCAGACTTGATGTCACAGACAATCTTGCTATGTGTGGTGAAACATGAAACGCCCTGAAAATTCCACCATTCGATAAGATGACAGGAGAGGAAACGAGAAAAGCAAACCAAAAACACGAAGTTAGGGCCAATCAACCTTGGAATACAAGTCGCTGTTCGCTCAATAAAAAGCACCAATTTTGACAACCGACAACACCGCCTTATCTCACAAGGGTGTTCCTTCGGGTCTCACGCTCCCGTTGCAGGACGAAAATCTCCTTGTCCAAGTCCATTATGAGCTTGTGGGACCGATCCATTGAGGCTACCAAAGTGGCACCCTCCCGTTTCCACCGTTCGAGACGGTCGACCTCGGCGCTTCGCCGCCGGAATTTTGTCTCGATCTTCTCGCAGAGACGGCATTTGCTGTTATCACTCTCGGTCATGTTCACGAGTTTCATTCCGCATGTTTCACCTGTGCGATACTCGTAATTGCATCGGTGGGCGAAGTTGGTCCAGCTCCAGTCTCCGCAGGAGTATCGCTTCTGGTTGTAAAAGCACATGCCTATCGAATGCGTTAGTTCCGTTTGGTACCAAGCTAAGATCAAACCTACTTGCTATCGGACTGGGGTCTTGTTTCAGGTTCAGTCCGACTGGTTGATAGGCTCTGCCTGACCTCTCCAAACTTGTCAAGCGAGTTTGATAGGCTGACCTTGGACTTCTCTAGTCAATGGCCTTCTCGAAGGAGGTTTAATGGAGTAAAATTGTTCTCAAAAAGTTCTTCCTCTGAGCTGTTCTATGGATATGGCTTGCTGATTTCCAAGACTGATGTCTTTGATTTTGAAACCCGAGGGATGATTGTCAACTCCTCGGAACTTCAAGGGGTCCTGGAAGGTCCTATTTATGTTTTGGTCGGGCTTTACATGTCATCGTTTGGGTCTCCTAAGTTCGTGTCGTCCTCTTGGTGATCGACGCTCGCTGGCGGGGGCACGGCTTACCGTCCGTGACTCTCATTCATCGAATTTCACCTTGCAACCTGGTCAAGCTCGATCCGGTTGGCTGTCAGCAGTTCTTCGGATAGCGGAGACTGTAAGATGTCCAAGGTATCTCGGATGGAGTCACCAAGGATGAATCGTTGCTTCAAGGGTGCATGAAATTTTTGCCTGTGGCGATTCCTGTCCCCATGATGATGCACCACGAGCTGGAAAATCCCTCATTCCATGGCTGCCGTCGTCCAATTCCAAGTCTCGACTACTGCAACTATGCCGTCGCCTATTACCCCTCCCCGCCTTCATGTGCATGTCGTTCGCATGGAGTCGAATTCCTGTGATTTTGTTGCGTACTGCATCGACGATCCTGCATGATTGAGTTTCTCGGGTCTCTGCCAGCTGTCACTTTCATGCAAATATCAGACTTCCTTTGGTCAGGGATGACCTTGTTTCCAAGCAAGAAGAAATGCTATCGTCGTTTCTGAATGTGACGGCACCTCTGCACCATCCCCTGTGACTCCACCTCAAGGAGATGGTGTGCCTTCCCACCCTTTTTTCGCCAATTCCAATTGATTGGCTCACTGCGTCAATTATCATGAGCTTTGACACAAGATTTCGACGCGAGTGTCCTACTTTCGTCCAGAGATGTTTCCACTCGGCGACGCCTTCTGTGTGATTGTATACGCAAGCACTCTCATATTGTTGCCACACTTTTCTTTTTCTGCCATTACACTTTATTATATTGGGCAATAGGGGACGTCGGACTTCTTTCGAGAAGGATGTTACGACCCGATCTAGTGCCTAGGTCTTCCATCGGGGCTTCGCCGAGCCTTCATTTGCAAGGATATCAGAATTGAGACTTGATCATCGTTCCACGCTCTGCCGTATCCTTCCGCTCCGTCGATGAGAGCCAATAATTCCTCACTTGGGTGGCAACATTCGCGTCACTGAGGCTCTATTATTGGTACCACCTGCACTCAGGGACACGGGCCACGGAATTGGGTTTGGTCTCGGTCGACCCATTAAACCATTCGGGAATTGGACAAGATACATCCATTTTCGTTCAGCTGATCTTTCAAGCCTGCAGATGAGGGATCCTGCATCAACCCCCGCTCATGTGTGTGGTTCATCGTCATCCATTTGCTCCTTCGGGCGAAAATGATAGGACCTGGATGCCGTGCGGCGCTCGTCGCAGACACGAACCGTCACACCTTCCACATTCCGCTGAACACATGCAGATGCACCAAAGCTCGGAAGACTGACGTGGCACGTTGCTTCTGGCTCAATGCTGCTGATTCCTGGTAGCGAGGGCTAGCCGGCAAAGACCGCGGGCCGAAATGCGCAATGTTTCTGGACTCCGCGGAGGCGCGCCACTCGAAAAGTACAGGATTATATTCCTGAAATTGAGAAATTCGTGCAGTAGGGCTGTTTTTTTCCAGTTCAAGATGGAAGTGGCTGCATTCAAAGAGTGCCATCTGCAATCCGGTCCTCCGATCCACTCTACCCGGGCATTCATCAATATTGCGCACGATCATCAGAGGCTGCCGCTTCCGCTATGTTTGTTGCCTGATAAATTTGGGGAAGACGATCGATGGCGAGATGTTGAGTTGGCAGCCAGCATCCCTGGACCGGCTCCGAACAGCCTCACGAGGGCGTAATCTCGGAGAGGACCGATCAATATCGAGCAGCGAGCAGGGTACATCAGCCTCGAATCTCTCGAATCAGCATTCCAAGGACCCCTGCCTTTTTGCCTCTGGGCCCGTCTTACCGCTGAAAAAACACATAGCCTCTTCCTTCCTTGGGAGACCCCCTACCCCTTCTGGGCAAGGATCAGACTCAAAAATATGGAAAAAGCGTGGATATGATTCCTGCCCAACAAGCGGCAATGCCGAATGTACTTTCGGAGCCATAGAGAACCGGATCAGTGCCATCGCAGGCTGATTTCGCGGGCCATCAAATTTGGCCATCCGTACTACAACGTTGAAATTGAATTCTCGCACCCGCATACACGCTCCCACTCTGCTGGGCCCTTCTGATCCCGTGATCTTAAAGCGAACGGAGGCTCCCGCACCCTCCACGCGCTTGTCTATGGCCAGGCGACAAATGGTGGCAGGCTTTGTGAGCTTTGGGAGTCAACGGGCAGGAGAGCCACCGCCTACGAGCACGGTCAGCGCGCCCAGATTGGTCGGTTGAGGGAGGATTCCTCACCTGCAGCCGAGTGCAGCACCCAATGACAGATCCCGACTGGGGTGTCGGTCATATGCAGCTAGCAAAAAATATCCCCACACACGATGTGTGAATGACACCGGTGCATACAATCGGCGCCCATGCCGATTATGGCCAAGCCTCACAGGTCATTGGTCGATTGGCGTCCTTCTCGACGCGGGCACTCGCGTCTGCATATCGCCAGGTCATTGTATCTCCACCACGAGGATGTCCATCTGTGCACACATTTTTCTATGAAAACTCACGGAACGTCCCCTCCGTGTCATGATCTCTCCGTTCTTGTTTTAATTTGACCTAATACTCAGCTTCCACGAAATACGCCATCTCGCCGTTCTAGAGCCTGGAATCGTTATCGAGCGATTGTTTGGCCGAATTGACTTCATTAGCTAGCAAATGACACTGCACGTTCCGTGGTTTAGTCCGAGCTGTACGATGACCGATGGATAATGGATCGTCACGATCTGCCACGTTACTGGTTAACCTGTACCCCAACCTGCCTCCGAAGGAATGAATGGGCCTATCCGTCTTCCATGCGCATTCAGCTCATACTCACATCGCAGCAGCCTATGAAGCTAAAACCGTACATGCTGATCAATATGACATTGTGCATGAAAATGCAAGTAAATGATCAAATCCCAGCATACGCCGCACTGCGCCTTTTTGACGGGGGCACCGGACTTTTCCATGAACCGAATAGAAACAAACACTCAATTAACGTATGCGGGGTAAATTGTTCACAGTTCTATCCAGACAGCGATGTTGTCGCCGGATCGGCGCTGGGAAGCTTTGTTCCGAATGTGGTTAGCGGTAGAATGTGACGTCAATATGATATCTCGCAACCTTTGGATTGAACAGAACAAGGCACTCAACGGCCTTTGCAAGCCACCTGCTTCTGTAAAACCCCGTGATTTTGTCATTTCAATTTTCTCTTTACACTTTGATTTCATCTTCACGTTGACTCACTTCACTGTACAACCAACAAACTCTATACATCTCTTTACAACTATACACCCTTCCATATTCGCCTGCATCCCCATACTCCAGGTCACAATGTGGAAAAGCGTAATTTCCAGCGGCCAACAGGCAGCTCGAGCAGCTCAACATATCTGCCCCATGCCGAGCCTCTGGGCACCCTCCGTCTCTACAGCACCCATTCGCACTTTCAGCGCCATCCCCAAGCTCCAAAAAGAAGACCAAGCCAATCCCTGGAATCGGGAATCACTGAATCCTCAACGCTCAGAAGTCAACAAGTCCGGTACGGACGACGAGATTGCGCACCACGACACTGCATTCGATCCAGACAACACGGCGCCGGAGCATGAGCTCGAGGCGACGGAGCAGGAGGCGAAGTCGAAGGGAGAGAAGGGAACACTAAATATGAGTCCTGCTAATAAAGATGTTCATGCTTGGAAGGGCCCTAACGAGGGAGGTCCGGAGAGGAATGAGAACCGAGGAGTGTCTAGCTCGAGAGGGTCGCCAAATAAGAGGAGGACTATTCACGTCAAGGAGGATGGGACTCATGTTTCGTACCGGTGAAGGTGACCGGGGATTCGTCTTTCATGTGTGACATTTTGGTGTTTGGTGTGTGTTGCTAGCGTGTGTATGATTGTATATGCCACCTTCAGAGAAAAAGATATTCTGTAACATTAACGCGCGGAATGTGTACGTTTCTAAGCAGTAGTTTTCCAATAATGTACCTGACCAACAGGTCTACCTCTTTTCATCCTATGCAAAGTTTTTGGTAGCAGTAGAAAGATGTTGAGAAGGAACTGAGGAACCAATGCGTGTAGGCCTAAGTAGAGTATCTATTCGGCTGGGCTATACGTGACAGAGAACCGCAACGGCTTTTCTCCTCTTACTGCTCTCCACCGATTACTCGATTCTATCAATTCTTCACATCCCACCACTGTCCAGGCCCACTTCTTCAGAAACCCTGGCGTGGCCTCCCAGCTATCAACAGTGTGAGGCTCGCCCCATACAATAAGTCCATTCCGATCCGCCGTGACTTCATCATCCTCCGCTGAAATAACAAGTCCTCTGATCTCCGGCTCAATACCCAAGCAAACAGACTGAGAGCCGAGGACATCGAGCAGATCAGTACATGCATCGCCAATAAGATCAGCAATAAATTCATCATGGTTGAAGGAAAATTGCCATCGAATCAGGTTCTCCCGCATAGCCTGGAACGGAAGCAAATTGAACCATATAGAGTGCAGGATGCTCATCTGCGACGGGGTGGGGTTGAGATCATCAGGGATGCCAGGGCCAGTGGGGAGAACAACTGAATACGAATGACGCAGCTCGTCCAAACTAGCAGGTTGGCTATCTCGAGTCCATGAAACTGCAGACTGACCTAGTGTCAGTTTATTGATGTATAGACCTCGAAAGACGTTGTATTGGATTAGGTGGAGTAAATTGTCGGCTGATAGCGGCGGATTTGGAGGGTGTTGCTCTAATGTCGTCGGGCTGATTGGCAGGCCTGCAGCCGACGGGGGATCTACCCCTGAAAAATGTGGGGACATTGATGCCTTTGGGATCTTTGTGGAAGGTTGGATGACATGTAAAGCGTTTGATTTGGTATTGGTTGGCTCGGACTCGTTGCTGTTGAGCCGCCACCGGGAAACATTGTATGGATGGCTGTCTTGTAACTGGCGTTCCGCTCGTAGGCGAAGACCTGCTCATATTTCTTAATAAATCTAAACAACAAGAGAGCCGTATTCTGCGGTGAGGATACTTACGGCGGGCTCTCTGGTTTAGCCGGTTCTGGACCGTCTTCTGCTTTCTTTTATCATCCACATCAACGATGCTATTGACCAGCTGGGGCTGAAATGCCGTAGAACTAGGCATGTTTATATCGTGAGAAGCAAGCTAAGATGACAGAATCTCCTTCTCAAGTCGCGAAAGACGACATCTGTCACAAGGCTTGATGATTAGGGTATCAGGCTAAACCGTAAGCGGTAAAAAGCGTCAGCCGTGGGGGCGAGAAGCCGTTCAGAGTTTACGGTCTTATACCCATATAGTGGATCCTTCCGCATTTGGCTAAAATGGTCAGCTAAAGTAGACCTAGATAATATAACTCCAGCTCTTGAGAGAAGGTATTTAAATATCGTCTTCTGCTCGAGTGGAGTAGCGGAAATAATCACAACAGCCAGCTAAAACTACCAACATCTCAAGCAATACAATATGCCTTCCTACACTGAAGCTCATGCCGACCCCAAGGGCCCTAATGATGCCCGCCCAACAGCTATGCAAATCATTAAGGATGAAGGCATGGAAGGGAAACTCACTGGAAAGGTCGTCGTCATTACCGGTGTTTCCTCCGGTATTGGCATCGAGACAGTCCGAGCCCTCGGAGCTACCGGAGCCACCCTTTACCTGACCGCTCGAGACTTGAACAAAGCCAAGGGAGCACTTGGAGACATCTTCGAGCCCAGCCGAATGGAGCTTGTCCAAATGGACAATGCATCATTGAAAAGCGTGCGGCTCGCCGCCAAAGCCATACTGGAAAAGACGAGCAAGATCAATATTCTCATCGCAAACGCCGGAATCATGGCTGTCCAGAATCTACGACATACTGAAAGTGGCTACGAATTGCAGTTTGCAACCAATCATCTTTCCCACTTCCTGTTATTCCAGCTCCTCAAGCCCGCACTTTTGGCTGCCTCTTCTGCAGACTTCCAGTCGCGAGTTGTCATAGTAGCTTCCGCAGGACATCGGCCCCACGGTCTGAATGCTTCTGACAACTACCACTTTCAGAAGGGCGACTATGATCCTCGCAGCGCATATACTCAGTCGAAACTGGCTAATGTCTACATGGCCAATGAGATTGAGCGTCGGTACGGATCCCTGGGTCTGCATGCGCTCAGTCTTCATCCCGGCGTCATTGCGACTGCTTTGGGTCAGCATATGCCCGATGAGGTGATCCAGGGGATGTTGCAGGATCCAGAGATGCTCAGGAACCTGAAAAGTATTCCGCAAGGAGCATCTACTACTGTTTGGGCTGCTGTTTCGAAGGAATTGGAGGGCAAGGGAGGGCTATATTTGAGTGATTGCTCGGTGGCTGAGCATGATGCCGAGGATGAGAGTCCACTTAGTCCGAAGGCTACCAGCCATACTTATAATGTCGATGAGGAAGCTAGACTATGGAAGGATTCATTGGAGATGGTGGGTCTGTCTAAGGAGGAGTGAAGATGGAAAGAGAAAACGAGAAAGAGCAATCGTGTGATGTCGATATAGTGTTCAATTTCATGTCGTTTCCGTATTAATCATACGCGTTTCCTTCCCTCAAAGTAACCGATAAAGATACCCGGAAGTGCTCATGGGATGAACATCGTACAATCAACACGAGCATCAAGACGCAGCCTCAATAATCAAGACTCATTAGCAAGAGCAATAATGCTCTTCCCCTCAATAGTCCACACCTTCTCACTACCGTCAGGAATATCCCCTCTTAAGGCCTTCAATCCTGCATTAACAGCCGCCTTACCAATAACATCCGCCTCCTGAGCCCATCCATCTTTCAAGCTCGAATGAAGCTTCCCTGCCCATCCCGCAATATACCGAATGCCAGCCTCTAGGGGACGACTCTCCTCCCGGGTCCCCGAGATCAAACCAGGGCGCAGAATCACAGTCCGCTCAAATCCAAGCGCTTTCACATCCTCCTCAATCTCGCCCTTCATGCGTGAGTAAGGAATATTGGAAGTCTTGTTTGCACCTTGCGAAGAGATCAAAACGTAGACTTTGGTGCCGGCGTCGCGCGCAGCCCGTGCAAGCTCGACGTTCAGTCCGTGCTCGATCTTGTGCTGGTTCTCAAAGCCGCCTGCATTTGCGCGTGTTGTCGCGAAGGCGGACATGAAGATCTCAGGTGTGGGTGTCAGTGCCGAGAGCTGCGCGCCCCATTTCGAGGTGTCGTCCGATACAAAGGTCGTGAGCTTGGTCTGGGGAGCGGCCGTGGCTGCTTGGGGGGTTCGACGGGAGATTGTGTCGATGCGATGCACGCCATCGTTGGAGAGGAGGCTGGTGAGGATGTGAGAGCCCTGTTTATGCGGCACAGGTTCAAAGTTTAGCGGGGAGGGAGTCTTGGTTTATGCTGCCGTAGCAAGGGTAGAGTTGGGGTTTCAGTTGGAGCTTACCACCATGCCCGTAGATCCAATCAGTGCGACGTTAGCCATATTGCTTTCAGAATATTTATGCGGAGTAGCTTGAAGTGGAGTTTGGGGGATGCGCAAGATGGGCACTTTCGTCATTATTACGGGCTAACCTCAAATAGGAAGTCTGCTTAGCTTATGAAAGCCTAATTACTCTTTCTGATCTACATTTCGCTGACAAGAAGCTATAATTGATGTGTTGACAGCCTTAGTCTAACTTATGACATGACAATATTGATTTAGCGATTTCTACAGATGGGAATCTTGTTTGGACCGAGATCGCCAACTTGCATAGCTCCGCAAGGGAGGTGATATTGACGCACTTTATGCACTTCACACCCTGCTTCTCAGCGACTTCTCGAATGTTATAGTTCTCGGCCAAGCTCGTACGAAGCGGACCCTGGGGGTGACAGATGCTGCTCTCAATAATCGCTCCCTGGATGAAGCCCTCATTCAAAGGGCTGTTCAATACATGGTAGATAGCAGCAGAGCCAGCAGACTGACCTACAACAGCTATGCGGTTATGGGCACCACCGAGCTTGTGGATCCGCTTCAAAGCCTGAATATGAAGGAGAACATCCCAATTACCGGAGCTCTTTAGGCCGGACTCCTTCTCGAACTCCTCGGAGAGCTCGGAACCATAACAATAACCGAGTTCATGACTAGCTCTAGCGCTGTGTAACCCCGCTTAGAAACCCCCGAATTTATCTTCGAAGGATCATATGCAGCTTGGAATAACTTAAGGCTGAATTTCAAGGCCCCCATGACAACGATCGGTCTCATCAATTCTATTATACCGCACCCACGTGCTGTCTGTACATATAAATCATTAGAATGCCTTGGTGCGAAAAGTCGTCCTCGGAAATTCCAAGAGTGTCTGGATGTCGAAATCATGGGAGTGAAAACACTCTAGATATGTGCAGATGGCTTGGCCCTCTAACAATAGCCGCCGGGACATCCACCAAATCCCACCATGGTAAAGCTTAGCATACCAAAGAGCCAGCGCCAAAAGCAACCGTGGATCCTTCGCTTCTAACAGTCCCCTGACCTGTGAAGAAATGCCGCTAATAAAATAAATAAAGCTCACGATACTCATATATATGGGAGAATCCATATAAACTACTTGAGCAAGTTGCACCCCGATAGTGTAGTATGGGTCTCTAGTAACACCCAGTCGAATGTCGCGATCGTCGAGGTTGAAAAGACGAATGAACGCTGGAGGGAGGTTGCATAGGAGAGCGTCTGTGTTGACATTGGAAGCTGGGAGCAGTTCATGGGTATGCATGGAAGCCAAGGTCATGGAAGTGGGGTTCGGTGGATAAGACTGGGTGATTTTCCATATTTGCTCTTTGCCGTTGTTCATGCGTAGCCAATTTAGATCTGATGAAGACGGGGACTTGAGTGGCCACGCTTCTTCTGGAGATCTAGCTGCAGTGTGGCAGAAGGATATAGTCCAGAGGATAGCTGCTGTGCTGAGCAAAGCAACCTGCATGGAGGCAGCTGTGTGCTCCTCTGCGTGGCACAGCTGTAATGATGACAGGCGGTCATTGAACGACGATACGGCTCGGTACCACTGAAAAGATTCGGCCACAGTGAGATTTGAACAAGAAATTGACGTATCAGTCATTAGCAGATGACGGTCGTGCATCAGGGTAAGGGTGGCGACCGCATGCATCAAGAATGGGTGCTGATACGGCATATAGCTTAGCAGGGTCCTGACTCATCCGCCGCAGACGATCCTAGCTTACATATAGTGCCAGACTTGTGACCTCATTCTGATAGATTGCTAGTCGTTTGCCGATACTAACGGTGGGCGCAGTTCGCACTTGAAACTTGGCAAGGATTTGGTCGCTCGGATGCTGCCAGTAGGATACCTCTGGAGGCAATGTGGGGGTCATGATATTCTCCATCGGAGCTCGGAGAACAGAAACTGTCCGATCGTAGCTGCAAGTAACTCCGTAGATGGTGCATCGCTTGCAAGCTGGTGTCTTCTCGTCACACTAAAGCGAAGTCAGGTCTCCGAAACAAGAAAATTGTAAGGGTGGCTTACTTTCACATTACGAAGCTTGCAGTTACTACAACCTTGTCGTGACTTTCTATGTGGCTGAATCTTACGCATTCTCTTGCTCTCCATGTTCGCATGAGTGCTGCTAGAAGGGTTGAGCTAATCTTCGAAGCTTTCGAGAGGTGATATGAGAGGCGCATGCTTACAGTTCACGCTAACCCTGACTCGGATTCACCAATCCATCAGCCCCACATAGCCTTTGCGCTAAGCCCCGATTCGGATGATGCCATACATCGTATTCCACGAGGCATATCTCTTAATTCCGAATGCCGGGCAGATTATAATATAAAAGGCTTCAGGTCTGGATACAAGCCTGAATTAACACTTCTACTTAACGCGGACCATTCAACTCTTAATCCTTTTTTTTAATTTACCCATTAAAGGCGTCGCGGACTCAACTTTCCAACCTCTATTCACAGACCCACAACCATGTTCAACAACCAAGCCGCCTGGCTGGCAGGAAACAAAGTTCACCCCCTTCAAGTCAAATCGGCAACTTACACTAGCCCACGCGAAGGCCAAATTGTAATCCGCAACTACGCCACAGCCATCAACATAATCGACTGGAGACTGCAAGACCTCGGAACTTTCATGATGTACAACTGGATCAAATACCCTTGCATCCTAGGATCCGATGTGGCGGGTGAAGTGGTCGAGATTGGATCGCGAGTAACACGCTTCAAAGTCGGAGATCGTGTGGTCGGTCAAGCCGTGGGAAAGGATGAAAAGCGCAATACCGATGCCGAGGGGGGTTCCAGCTTTTTGTGGTGCTACTGGACCATATGGCATCGCCTATCCCTGATTCAATGCCGTATGAAAACGCTTGTGTGCTTCCTCTAGCCATCTCTACGGCCGCTTGTGGCCTTTTCCAGACAGATCAGCTTGGACTTCAACTCCCTTCCGTCAATTCCAAGACCAGGGGCGAGACCCTGCTGGTTTGGGGCGGCTCAACCAGCGTGGGCAGCAGTGTTATCCAGCTCGCCGTGGGTGCTGGGTATGAGGTCTTCACGACGGCATCACCGCATAATTTCAACTACGTGAAGAAGCTAGGTGCGGCTCAGGTCTTCAACTACAGAAGCAAGACAGTCGTGAATGAGATAGTAAAGGCCTTCCAGGGAAAGAAGGCCGCTGGCGCTATTTCCGTGGCTTCGGACGGAACAGAGCGCTGCATGGATATCCTAGCCCGGTGCGACGGGAAGAAAATTGTTTCCTTAGCTGCCTACCCGGTTCCCGACAAAGTGCCCGCTCATTTTCCCATTTTGCAGACTATGTTCATGTTCCTTACTCGCAGCCTTGTCTATTGGTTCAAATCCAAAACCATGAGTGTCAACTACAACATGATCTTTGCGACTTCTCTCGTTGAGAATGGGGTCGGAAAGGCTATTTTCGAGGGTTATTTGCCCCACGCTCTGGAAAGCGGTAAGTTTCTGGCGTCTCCAGAGCCAATTGTGATAGGAAATGGGTTGGAAAGAATCCAGGATGCCCTAGATCACCATAAGATAGGGGTGTCTGCCAAGAAAGTGGTTGTTACTCTGAAAGACTGAGAAAGCCTCGGAGAGGCACCGCGGTGTCAAAGATGACTGTCTTTCCCAACTTTTTTTCTTTGCAACTTTCCAATGTCTCTCTCGATTTATGTTCAACTATTCCTTTACTTGGCTATCTAAGAAAATCGGCAGAAGTTCAATAGTTCACGTGAAATTAGAGATCTCACTGGGGTAGTATTTTGGAATCGTGCCAAACAATAATGAAGACATTGATATTAATTTATCGCTAAATTTATTGACATGGCTTTATCCCTGGCAGTATCAAACACTTGAAATAGGTCTTTGAACAATACATTGGAAAAGAGCAAGACTAAATTTAAGAAGAGGTTGAGAAGAACCGATTTAAGAAAAGTCTTTGGAGAAGGTCATTCAGATGACGAGATCATATAATTTAGGGATCTTAAAATTTGGTCTAGGTTCAAGTACAATCAGATCTTTGAGCTCTGGACTAGCTTCTTCTCCTGTGCTTGGTAGATCTTGACTAACTGACGCACGGACAAGTCGAGCAAGACATCTTCTGAGCCACCCGGAATGCGAGCACCAGGGACATCACGGAGAATTGCTGCAAGAGGAAGAAATATTAGCATACATAATTACAGATAGGTGTATTAAGAGGGGCACTCGCCTTCAACAAGCTCACCCTGACCGGTTTGAGTGAAGCCATTGCCACCAAACAACAGGACAGCAACCTGAGCGCACTCATTTAGGACCATCGCCGACTTGGCCTTTGCCAAGGCAGTCAACCCACCAAGCTGACGATCGCCTTCTTCTTTGGTCATATGGCTCAACTGGTAGAGGATCTGCTCAACCCAGGCCCACATGGTCTCAAGCTCGGCACCAGCCTTGGCGAGCCGATGACGCACAACAGGTTGATCCATGAGTGTTTTCCCAAATGCTTCACGCTTGAGGCAGTAGGAGAACGCAGCAGATAGAGCCACACGAGCCTGGCGAGTAACACCGACGGCAATGATGAGTCGCTCGTGATTGAAGTTGGTCATGATGATACGCATGCCATCACCTTCTTTGCCAACGATATTCGACACGGGCACCTTAACATCGTCCAGCTCAATATAGGTCGTTCCACCGGTAATCTGGCCCGAGACCTTCAGTCGGCGCATTGAGACACCGGGATGGTTCTTTAAAGGCACGACTAGCACGGAGAGACCAGAGGCTCCCTTTCCGCCAGTCCGGACGGCCATGGTTGCGTAGTCAGACCAAATACCGTTTGTGATCCTATAGTCTGTCAGTGTATTCTAAGGTATGGTTGAGATCTGACCGACCATTTCTTTGTTCCATTGACGATATAGTGCTTGCCGTCTGCGGTCTTGACGGCAGTTGTAGTAATGTTCGCAACGTCACTACCGGCCTCGGGCTCTGTGATCGCAATACAAGCTCGCTTCTTGCCCGTGAGAAGATCTGGGAGGAATCGCTCCTGTAGCTCCTTGCTACCGAATTTGACAATTGGGGGAATGCCAAAGGCGAAACCGGCATTTAATGAGCCACTAGGACCACTCAAACCTGACCGTCCCATCTATATATGAACAGTTTCATTCAGTACTGTTTGTTTGCGAAAGGCAAGGTTCCGTAGTTGTTCTTACCTCATCACAATAAATACCGGTATAGGTATAGTCCCAATCCTCCACCTTGACTCCCAAGATATCATTGATCCCCAACCGCTTGAGCCAGTCCACGGGAAGCGGGGCGGGCATGTTGGGCAAGAGCATGTTGGCCTTGCAGAAGGTGTGGAAAACATGCTCGGGGACAGTCCCAGCCTTCTCCCATTCCATCGCATGTTGAATCAGATTCTCCCAGGCAAATTTGCGGCATGCTTTCTGGAAGCGAAGGTGGGCGGGCGTGATGTATGGATTTGGGAGCCCGCGCAGGTAGGGCGGCTCGGAGAAAGGAACGGGGTTTGGCGAGTTTGCCGCCATGGTGATTTACTGTAAAATAGATGTAGGATTTGACGCCAAATCCGGGGTAGTGAAAACAGGGGCGAAGGTGGGCCGAATCGCTCACACTTAAAGAGCAATTCATTAGCTCCTTCTCCGCAATTGCATGGGGCCCCCCCAGACCGAGGCTCGGTGTTGCCCTTTGTGCTCCGCATCACATGACAATGTTATGCAGCATAAACTAATTAGTCAGCTGGCCGAATGCGGGTCTGGTGCTCTGCCACCGCCCTGCTTATCGATAAGGGAAAATTGCAATTGCGTGATTGCGTGCTTCGCCACTAAACCCGATCTGGTAAAATGCCTGGGGATTTTTCTATAGAGGCGGGTTTCCGGCGATTGTTCCCCTCTCTCTCTCCACATTTCCCCTTGTTTGTGGTGATTCACTTCTTGTCATTTTTAAGAGATATCTGTGCTGTGTGCGCGATATCTGGACAAGTTCATATTTCACCATGAGCGTACCGAATCCGGCTTTGTCGGCCTTGTCCGGCCCGACTTATACTACCGCCCAGACCCTGATCCAGCAGGTGGCGTATCTGTTGAGTGACAAGATCTTTTCGTATTCGCCGGAGACCTTCGATCTCGATGCTGCTCTGCAAGCATGGTCTGAACAGAAGGAGGCTAATGCCAATGGCGAGTCTCCCGTTGTCCAGTCTCTCGAGACCCGCCAGGGTGCCGGAAACATGGCTCTTGGATATCTCTTCTCCCAAGACTTTGACCTGAAGAAGCGCCATGTTCCTCAGGGTATCGTCGCATCCTCTGCTACCCTTCCTTACATGCGTTCCGCCCTGGAGCAGCTTTCTCTACTATACTCTGTGGCCAGCCCGGTGGCGGCTCACGTCGCTGCTGTCGACTATACCAGCGAGGAAGGTCTGGTTTCAGACTATGCTTCGGCCCTCTCTCTGGCTGAGGACCTCGGCCTTGGCCTGGTCTCCAGTGGTTCTGCCCATGAAGCTCAGCACATGGCTCTTTTCACCACTCTGCTGTCTTCGCTTCTGCCTTCAATCCACATCTATGATGGCGTCCGTGTTGGCCGTGAGACCACCCGTGTCATTGATGTTCTTGGCAAGGATGGCCTAAACAACACCTATGAGACTGTTCGAAAGACCATCGATGACACTCGCAACCGCCACCTGGATGCCCAGGGCAAGGTTCTCGAGCTGCTCAAGACCCTGAACGGCGAGCTCGGAACCGACTATGGTGCTTTCGAGTACCACGGCCACGCCGAGGCCGTTTCCGTCCTCGTTGTCTTTGGTACCGTCGAGGCCACTCTCGCAGCCCAAGTTGCCCGCTCTTTGGCCAAGGATGGTGTTCACATTGGTGTTGTCAACGTCCGTGTTTACCGTCCCTTCGTCGAGGAGGAGTTCCTCCGCGTCCTCCCCAAGACCACCAAGACCGTTGGTATTCTTGGCCAGGTTGCCAATGAGCAGGCTGTCCAGGAGGAGGGTGTTCACTCTGCTCTCTACGAGGATGTCCTTGCCGCCTTGACCTTCGCCACCGACCGTGAGCAGGCTCCGGCTGCTGTCGAGATCAAATACCCTCGTTCTCAGACCTGGGATCTGGTCAGCACTGCTGCTGCCTTCCAACGTATCTTCTCGAAGCCCATTCTCCCCATCGACAGCGTCACCAACGAGACTGCTCCTCTGCAGCTGCTCGACCCTGCTGCTGTCCAGGAGTACACTTTCTGGGACGTTGATAACTCCGTTTCCGAAGATGCTGCTCGTATTCTCAGCCAGGCCCTCGCCGCTGACTCGGCCAGCAACGTCACCACCAGCAAGGTTCACGATAACCTCGTTCAAGGCGGTGCCATCCGCGTTGACATTCGCAAGAGTGCCAAGATCCTGGATGCTCCTTACGCTATTGCTGCTGCTGATATTTCCTACGTTGGAAGCATTGCTCTGCTCAATGACGTCGATGTCCTTGCTTCCGTTAAGGACAACGCCAAGGTCATCATCAGCGCTCCCGGTATCAAGGATGAGGACCTGGAGAAGAAGCTGCCGGCCACCTTCCGCCAGGCTGTCGCTCAGCGCGGTATCTCTCTCTTCGTTGTTGACGCTTCCGCCAACGATGACTCCTCTCTCGAGACCCTCATTGTCCAGGCTTCCTTCCTTCGTGTTGCTCTGCCCACTCAAGAGGGCCTTGCCGCCAAGAAGCTGTCCGCCATTGCTGGCAATGCTGAGGCTCTGGAGAATGTAATCAAGGATCTTGAGAAGGTCCTCCGCCAGATCGAGATCCCCGAGGCCTGGAAGGAGCCCGAGGGTGTCAGCGAGGCTGCTCAGCTCCCCAAGGACATTGCTGCCAACAGCTTCGCTCCCTTCGACAAAGACGAGGCTGAGCCCCCGACCCTCCTCAAGGGCTGGGAGACTGCTGCCCGTGGCCTGGCCTTCAAGGAGGCATACGGCACGAAAAACGCTCTCCGCCCTGATCTGGCGACCAAGACTTTCACTGTCCACGTCAAGGAGAATCGTCGCCTCACTCCCGTTACCTATGACCGTAACATCTTCCACATCGAGTTCGACCTCGGTGACTCCGGGCTCACCTACGACATCGGCGAGGCTCTGGGTATCCACGCCGAGAACGACCCCAAGGAAGTTTCCGACTTCATTGCCTTCTACGGTCTGGACCCCGATTCAATTGTTGAGGTTCCTAGCCGCGAGGACCCCGCTGTTCTGGAGAACCGCACCATCTATCAGGCTCTGGTCCAGAATGTCGACATCTTCGGTCGTCCTCCCAAGCGCTTCTACGAGGCTCTTTCTGAGTTCGCCAGCGACGAGAAGGAGAAGACCGACCTGCGCACTCTGGGTGGCCCCGACGGTGCCACTGAATTCAAGCGTCGTTCCGAGGTCGACACTATCACCTTCGCCGACATCCTGCTCGAGTACCCCTCGGCCCACCCCGACTTCCACGAGATTGTCCGCATCATTGGTCCTCTGAAGCGCCGCGAATACTCCATCGCCTCGTGCCAGAAGGTCACTCCCAACTCCGTTGCCTTAATGATCGTCGCTGTCAACTGGACCGCCCCCAACGGTACCGACCGCTTCGGTCTGGCCACTCGCTACCTGAACAGACTCGAGGTCGGCTCTCCCATCACTGTCAGCGTCAAGTCCAGTGTGATGAAGTTGCCCCCCAAGTCCACTCAGCCCATCATTATGGCTGGTCTCGGTACTGGTCTGGCCCCCTTCCGTGCCTTCGTGCAGCACCGTGCTCTCGAGAAGGCCCAGGGCAAGGAGATCGGCTCCGTTCTCCTGTACATGGGATCCCGTCACCAGCGCGAGGAGTACTGCTACGGAGAGGAATGGGAAGCCTACCAGGAGGCCGGTGTCATTACTCTGCTTGGCCGTGCCTTCTCTCGTGACCAGCCCGAGAAGATTTACATCCAGGACCGCATGCGTCAGTCTCTTCCTGAGATTATGCAGGCTTACATCCGCGAGGAGGGTGCCTTCTACCTCTGCGGACCTACCTGGCCCGTTCCCGATGTCACCGCCGTCCTCGAAGAGGCTATTGCCGCCGAGGCCAAGGCCAACGGCAAGAAGGTTGACACTCGCAAGGAGATCGAGAAGCTCAAGGATGAGGAGCGTTACGTTCTGGAGGTGTACTAGATTTTTGGAGACTGTGGCATGTCATGAACTGACGATTGGCATTTCCTTATTTCGTCGATTCCCCCCCCGCTTTTAGATTTTACTTCAGCCCAGCGCAAATCCTGCTACATAGACTCCAAAATGCATTGGCGATTCATTCAAACGTTTCATACCCTTATTTTCTCCTCGCAATCATGTCGAAATTTAGATACTTAGGTCATGATCATAATTGATTTATAATGGCTGGGTATTTATTCAGAACCAGACTCTCCTGTAATAGCCTCTACGCAAACGCCATACAATATTTCATAATCGTGTCGTCTATACATCCAAGTAAAGGCATGCCAATCAAGCCTTGGCCAATGGCACTAGCTTAGTCTTTCCATAAGCACCTCCCTTCTCCTTCCTCAATTCCAAAGCCCTCCGATACGGTGGTGCAGTAGGCGGTTGCACCGGATCGAGACTAATGTGGCCCGGTGGAAGAGTATAAGAAGCATCTGAGTCCCAAGAGGAGAGATCACCACAAGCGATGAACGAAGGGATCCACCGATTCTCTTCCGCGAACTTGTTGGCAAGCTTCTGTGCCGGTGGTTGGTCACCCGGAGCGGACTGAATGTGTCGAATTTCCGTAGTGTGAGTTCCAATCGTGTTGGTGGTCTGAGTCACTGCTGCTCTGGCACAGGAATCTTCGTCCACCTCATCCTGTACTTCAACACCTACGTTTCCATCATCTGAAACAGGCCTCGGGGCCGCGGCGCCTCCGAACAGAGGATTCTTCAACGCTGCCATCCCTACTAGTCCTTCCTCTCTTATTGGGGGAATGAATCCCTCACAGACAATGAACGCTTCAAGACTGCTAGCACGGCTACTGCGGGGCTTAGCAACACTCACGCGCTCGAAGACAGTGCGTAATTGCGCGTAGAGAAGGTCGACATCACGGCCGCGGAAAATCTTAGCCACGAACTTGCCGCCCGGGCGGAGAACGCCCATGGCGAGGTTAAGTGCCGCAAAGAGTAGTTGCGACTGGATATAGATGTCCAGATCGTGGAGGCCTGTTACATCGGGAGCTCCATCTGAAATTACGAGATCGACGGGGTGTGGTTGTCTGATTTCGGCAGGAGGATGTGATGTAGAATCGGATGTTGACGATACGTAGGCTTCGGGATCCAATGCGCGCAAGAGAAGAGGGATGGTGGAGGGGTGTGTGATATCGGCTTTGAGGGTGGTGATGCCTTCGAGCGGGGCCATAGGTTGTAAGTCAATTGAAACAATCTTGACATTTTCGCGCGGCTTTAATTCTGCGTCTGGGTTGCTCTCTCCGATTTGAGTTGGAGCTTCGTTGGGTGTCTCGCCGTCCTGCAAGGCCTGTTTGTCCCGCCGCTTCTTGTCGATCCATGTCCGCCGGCCGAAACTCTCGCCCTTGATCAAGACGCGACTGAGTACTTGACTCCAGCTTCCAGGTGCAGCGCACAGGTCCACGACTCTTGTGACTTTTTCGGGGTTCTCATGCTCGAAGAGATCGAATTGTTCGTCGATCTGGATCAATTTGAAGGCGGATCGAGCTCGCCAGTTCTGTTCTTTAGCGAGGCGGTAGTACGCATCGCGCTTGTCCTTGGAAGACTTTCCCATGTCGAATTGAGGGTCCCGATGCTGTTCGGAGGATTTTCAATCGCGGGATTGTTCAACGTGGGGAGCAAATCGATAAGATTTGCGGGCGGACTTTTTCTGCCGTCTTTTTTTCTCTGCGACTTCCCCGAGCAGCTTTTTTTTCTGTTCTAGCCAAACACAGCCACTTTATACCCCGGAACGAGTCAAAATGGGTCAGAAACGTGGACGCGATTCTAAGGCTCTGGCCGACGAGTCTAAGAAGCGCAAGAAGGGCGCCAAGGTTGCCCCGGCCTCGGACGACGAGGGCGTTGTTGGCTTCGAGGACTTGAACTGGAAGGATGTTGCTATGCCTGATCGCATGGAAGACGCGACTGGTTTCTTCGGTCTGGAGGAGATTGACGGTGTCGATGTCATTCGATCAAATGGACATGGACAGGTGCGATTCAAGGTAAGAAACACATCCTACCTCTTTAATCCATAGCACCTTACTGACTTGCATATAGGCCAAGGCTGGCAAGCCGAGGGATTCAATTCTGAAGCCACCCTCCGAGGACGACGATGGTGAAGAATGGGGTGGAATCAGCGACACAGAGGCCGACAAGACCGATAAACCTGAGGAGACGCCTACGCCCACCACCAATAAAGAACAGCCAGCCGGTGTTCTGAAGAAAAATACCAAGCAGGAAGACAAGAAACAGAAGCTTAAGGAGAAAAGAGACGCAAAGAAGAAGGAAAAAAAGGAACAGAAGGCTCAAGAAACAAAGGCAAAGGAGGCCGAGCCCGCACAGGATCCCAATCTGAAATCCAGTCTCTCCTTTGCAACACTTCTTGAGCAGGCCGAAGATGACGATGGTGTGGATGTATCCGAATGGGACAAGCTCAATCTGTCGCCTGAGCTCTTGACCGGTCTATCTAAGATGAAGTTCTCCATGCCGTCTGCCATCCAGAAAGCCTCTATTCCTGTTATCATGGATGGCCACGATGTTATTGGCAAGGCCTCGACCGGTTCCGGTAAAACACTGGCTTTCTCCATTCCAATTCTCGAGCACTACCTGGACAAGCGCGAAAAGACGATCGGCCAAGCCGAGAAGTCCAAGAGACCCCCCATGGCTCTTATTTTGTCTCCAACCAGAGAGTTGGCTGTTCAATTATCAAAGCACATTGGAGAACTGGTTGCTAACTCACCCGACACCGACGCGCGGATTGCCCTTTTGACCGGTGGTCTTTCCATTCAGAAGCAGCAAAGGCAACTTGCTAATGCCGATATCGTCGTTGGCACACCCGGCCGTGTGTGGGAGATTTTGAGCACTGGAACAGGAGTGATTCGCAAGATGCAAAGCATCCGTTTCCTAGTCATTGATGAAGCTGATCGATTGCTTAGCGAGGGTCACTTCAAGGAGGTAGAAGATATTCTCGGTGCTTTGGATCGAAAGGAGCAAGGCGAGTTCCCCGATATGGATGAGGAGGCAGAGAAGGAAAAGGAAGAGCCCAACGTCCGACAAACGCTCGTTTTCTCGGCTACTTTCAACCGCGAGTTGCAAACGAAGCTTGCCGGCAAGGGACGCTGGTCAGGAGGAGACATGATGGACCAGAAGCAGTCCATGGAGTATCTTCTCAAGAAGCTCAACTTCAGAGAGGAGAAGCCCAGGTTTATTGATGTCAACCAAGGGAAGCAAATGGCCGAGGGTCTCAAAGAGGGAATCGTGGAATGCCCTGCTATGGAGAAGGTAAGATACCCAACAGGTGATTTCTGAAGCCGATCCTAATAACGACCCAACAGGATCTCTACCTTTACTCGCTTCTTCTGTATCACCCGAAGCACCGCACTCTTGTCTTCACCAACTCCATTGCCGCCGTTCGGCGCATTACACAGCTGCTACAGGCCCTCCAACTCCCGGCACTTGGTCTCCACTCCTCTATGGCACAAAAGGCCCGACTCCGCTCAGTTGAGCGCTTCTCATCACCTGTCGCTGACCCAAGCTCTATTCTGGTTGCCACGGACATTGCAGCTCGTGGTCTTGATATCAAGGGAATCGACTTTGTCATCCACTACCATGCACCACGCGCCGCAGACGCCTACGTTCACCGATCCGGTCGTACTGCTCGTGCCGGTGCATCTGGTAAGAGTATTCTTATTTGTTCCCCTGATGAGGTCGTCAGTGTCGCCCGTCTGGCCGCTAAGGTCCACGCCAAGCGAAACAAGGGCGATGGCCCACAAAAGAGACTCCCTCTCGAATCTCTTGAGATCGACCGTCGGGTCATTTCTCGTGTCCGCACACGCATTAATCTTGCCCAGAAGATTACCGATGCCAACATCGCCAAGGAGAAGGTTTCCTCAGAGGACAACTGGCTCCGTGCTGCGGCTGATGATCTTGGTGTCGAGTATGATAGCGACGATTTCGATGAGTCTGAAGGCAAGGGCCGGGGCCGCGGTGGTGGCCGACAAAGGCGTGACAGGCAGAATAGCGAGATTACCAAGGCTGAGCTCGCCGGACTGCGCGCTGAGCTAAGAAGCCAACTTGCTGAGCGGGTGAACATTGGTGTCAGCGAGAAGTACCTCACAGCCGGAAGAATCGATATCGAGGCTCTGCTCCGTGGTGAGGGTAACAACTCCTTTTTGGGTAATCTCGACCCCTTGGGCTTCTAAAGAGGGGATGTTTTCTCTTTACTCTGTCACTCCATGGAGTGGCTTTGTCATGGTCTTGTGAATCTATTACCATGTGTATAGTTCTAGTTAAAATTATAGATTCCCGTCAACAGTACCATCGCAATGAACAATTTTTTAAGCCAGTTCAAACACTTTCATCAGGCCCCATATAAAAGAAAAGCCACCAAAAGTACAATCTAGAGATCCAGACCCAATCTCCAATCTAATCACTCGGCATGCCGATCTCCGATTCGGGCGACTGCCGAAAGACCCGCCGAAAGTCGGCTCTTCTAGCCCCACTGCTAGGCCCGACAGGAAAAAAATTGAGAACCGGATGAAAGGAACGCCTTGATCATCAAGTGTCCTGAGAACTAGTATCATTCTCGACAAGTCTGTGCAGACACGATAGGGGTCATTTTACTGCATTTCAAGATACCCTCAACGCCCCTTTCTCAGCCTATACACTTTTCAGCATTACGATTATCACTACGTGATAGACAGATCGGAGATCCCGCTAGGGAAGTTTTATTTGCGTTAGCTTATCGGCTTTAATGACCAGTTGGGCGACATCGGTATTTCGCCATTTATACTGACACGGCCGCCTTCGGAGTCGAGGAAGTACTCTATATACTTCCCCAAAGCTGCAAATGTCTCTATCTCAGACCATGCGCCTCTGGCGTCCGACCACGTCGCTCGCGAAGACCTTTTCGCCTGGTGGCTCAATTGCTTATCTCCATCAACAGGGTCCGTCGCGGTCGGCCGTTGTTCATGAGCAGGCGTTTCCACAAGGCCAGACACAGGTCCCTGTCGAAGCACTCAGATCCCAAGCGCGCGCACAAGCACCTGGATCGACCCATGAATCGAAACTCGATACTCTTATCTCCCAAATTCCTCTCGTCCAAACACTTCGTGATTCCCACAAATCCTACAAAGAGTCCCGTCCCCATCTCGCCATTCCGCCTGCTATTAGACAGCATCATTTCGTCGGTGGAAGTCTAGCTGGGCCTGGAAAACTATCTATCGCGCCTTATACATGGACGTCGTCTAAGAAGTCCGAGACGGGGAATTCGCGGACAAGCAAAGTCGTTTCAGTCTTTCATATCGGTCGTGATCTGTGCGGACATCCTGGATTCGTGCACGGTGGTCTTTTGTCCGTCCTTTTCGATGAGGTCTTTGCTAGATGTGTGTCGGCTGCGTTTCCAAGTGGACTTGGCATGACTGCGAATTTGAATGTGGATTTCCGGAAGCCGGCGCTGCCGGATAGGGTTTATGTGCTTAGGGCTGAGACGGTGAAGGTCGAGGGACGCAAGGCTTGGGTTGAGGGGAGGATGAGTTATTTGCCGTTGGCCGTTGATGGAAGTACCATCGTTCAGGATGAGAAGTTGTTGAGGGAAGATGGCGAGGGGGTGGTCATGGTTTCGGAGGCGAAGGCGCTGTTCATTGAACCTAAGTTTGCGGATGTGAGTTGAGCTTTTGATGCTTGAGGGGACTTTACTAACGTCTTACTACAGTCCATGGTCTCGATTTACAAGAGCTAATCTGCTCTTTCGCTTTTTACTTTTTGATTATAGACTAATTTATAGACAATAGACAATAGACAATAGACAATAGACAATAGACAATAGACAATAGACAATAGACAATAGACGGAGAAATATAGAAGGGACAAATTTAGACCAGACAGTTCCCTACAGCATTACAAGTTGCAACATTCTACACTCTATCTTGTAATGGACAAAGTTTGGAGCTACACGCACTGTCAGATAGAAAAGTCCATAAAGAAAAGGCGATCCATTTGCTATCTAATGTCAGTATCGTGAGAGAAGATATCGATCCACCTTGACGCCCCTCAGCCCAGATGGCATGAAAATATAAAGAAAGGAAAGCCTGGCCGAAAAACCTGAGAAAGGGGCATCGACTCAAGGCAGCAAGTCACGAGTCACGTCATATCATCGTTAATGTGGTCCCATCTCAATGACAGGTTGAAATAAAGTAGTAGGGAAGGTTCATCCGTTCAAGTGATGCCGATGTCGCAAGTCACCGAGCAGATGGCATGCTGTGTCAGGCAAGTACACGAAAAGGATGGGCAGAAAAGGAACTGCTTGAGAGTCTAGGACAGGTGGAATGCCCCTTGTCCTTCCTTGATGGCGACCGAGAGTCGTTCCTTTAGGAATTCTAGGCTGCTGTAGTCGGGCAGCTTGAGGTAGTTCACGCAGGTCATGACACTAGGGAGGTAGTCATCCGGTGTGTAGGGAGGTTCGCTGGGCCGGCACACGACTGTGAAGATCGGAGTGAGGCTTTTGAAGCCTGAAATATATATAAGCAACTATAATGAAAGTGAGAGAATGAAGCAATGACTTACCGCCAATTGGAAGTTTCGGGCTACCTGTGACGAATTGAAGGAAATCTCGTCGTTGCTGGTTGTCTAGCTCGCTCATGGTCTGGAGCAAATTCCGGACGCTCTTGCTGTCCATGTTGAATCCATGATCGGCCTTAATGGAGTCGGTGAGGGTCTCCATAGACCAGTCTTCTTCGGCCTGTCCGAAGAGCATGACCAGTTCATTGGGGGTAAAAGCACGGAGGGCAGAGTAAGGGAAGACCTGTGAGAAACCAGTTCTGAAGGCATCAACTTGACGACGAACACCACTGCCTAGAGTCTTCTCGATGACTCGCTCGATGTATTGATCAACGTTGTCGATGGTGAGTGGAACATTGGCCCCATCAGGGATCAGTTCGATAGCTGGGTATCCAGGCAGCGTAAAGTCCAGACTCAGGTCTTCCACGCGAGCGTCATCCACAATAATATTCTGAATCGCGCGCGACTTGTCATGGGCCGAGATGGTTTTGTCCTCCTCGATGCTGTGCTTGGCCTTGACAAATCGCTTGAGCATGACAAGGGACTTCGCGAGGTCTTCATCCACTGCCTTCACAGTACCCAGTGATGGGGCCACAGAAGACAATGTATCGGCGATGCGGAAGAAGGCCGGATTGAATGAGATATCAATGATGCGCGAGTCAAGCATGGAGCGGGCCACAAACTTTCCAAGGATTTTGAAAAGGTTCAGCTGCTTCTTGCCAGGCTCTGAAGATGCTTGCTCCTCGCTCATGGGGGCCGGGAACAGGCCACGCTTGCCAAATGCATATTCTGCAATTGAGGACGTGCCATCCGTCTCCCTCCAAATCTTGAGTTTCTTCTTTGAGAATTCGCGTGAGACAGTTGAATAGAATTCAAGAGTAGGACCAAGACCAGTTCCAACTTCCTCGAAATACTCAACTTCCAGGACACTTGGAGAGGATCCATAGAGCTCCATGACCTTCATAGCAGAATCCAGGATGCGAGCACGCGAGATGCGCACCTTCTGTCTTTGAAGCCGGCTAAGGAACGGCCGGTCATCCCGACGCATATCACGGCGACTGTCTTCTGAGCTCTGAGAGTTGTGCCATCTCATCATGGCGCGAGAATAGCCAAATGCGGTCGACTGCAAGAATAGGTGTCTTGTCTCGAAGGGGAAGAGGAAGGAGAACAAGCGAGCAAGATCTTCACTCCAGGTAGGAAGACACATACTTGCCACAATCAATGGCTCCTCAAGTTGACGGTTCACCTTGGCGGTGAGCTTTGTGTTGATAAACTGAGCCAAGGGCTCGGGAGTAATATTGGCGGGATCACGAGCCTCAGTCAAGATATCATCAATTGTTGCGTTCATTTCATGCATGACGCGAAGCAAGCGGAGAATGGACGCTGTTGTGGAGTCCTTGTTGAGGCTGCTGGGCATTTCCATACTGACTTTCTTGGAAAGCACATCTTGTCCAGCATTGGCTAGAGTGGACGGCTCCGGGGGCGGGGGACCAGGGACACGCTTGAACGTAACTGTATGGACAGCAGACCAAACATTCTTAGCGCTGACCTCGTCTATATGCTCACGGTTGTGATACACTGCACGGTAAACAGTAGTGTCAGCCGGGACGGGCTTGCCATCCACGTGGAACTCAATATGCCAGTCCTGAGGGATCGAAGCCATCGCAGCCGCATATGAGGAAAATGGGCGTCCAGCAGTGGCAAGGGAGTTGTGGGCTTGGTTTGGTGTGGTGCCTGGAGCCGACGAGGAGGGCTTGGATGCTGGCGTGGATTGAGATGGGGTGCCAACGCGAGTGCCGTCTTCCTTGCGTGCCGTGACTTTGCCCGAGGAACCGACTTCCATGTTCACAGCGGTAGGGTCATGAACAGGCTCATCGTCAAGTTCATCATCGAGATCATCGACAATAGCGTTCAGTTCCTCATCCTCATCGCCCTCGTCAACATCTTCACCCTCTTCGTCGCTGAGTTGTCTTTCGTCGGCGCATTCTAGAGGCTCGTCGTCATGCGCATCTTCATGATCTAGCAAGGGATTGGATCGGGTGTGGTGCGAGGCTTGGTCGTCGTCGGGAGAGTCATTTCCATGGCCGCCAGCGCCTGTTAGACGACCAGGAAGTCCACCAAGAGGACGGGGTGGGCCACCCGAAGTTAGCTGATCGCGTAGGCGAGCCGCATTCGCGATTTGTGAGAGAATTGTATCTCTATCACGAGCCTGACGAGGACGCTCAGACATGGCAATTCGCGGCTGGAGGAAGTCATCAAGGGCCTTAAACGTGGCGATGGCATGGATTGAGACCATGATGTTTCGGTATGCTCGAGGAACCTCAGTTCCTTCTTCAGCAACCAATTTCAGTCGGAGCTGCTTCCCAAGCATATATGAGGCGTTGGTGCGGGTGTTCTCCAACGAGTTGTGACTAACGGTGAGAACTTCGAAATGCTCAGTCCGGCTGAGCAAATCTTGGAGCTTCCGAATAATAACACTGAAGGGGGTGGTAGCAGTGCTCTGGCTTTGTGCCTTTTCTGAGATCGTTGTACCCATGAAGGCTTGAAGGAAGGCAGCACGGGCTTGACGAATGGACGGGGCGTTGAGATCGCCTAACACGTCTAAAAGCACTTGAATGATGCCCGAGTTGAGCAATTCTGAGCTTGTGATGCTCTTGAGCGCGTCTCCGTCAAAATAAGACACCAAGTTCTTGAAGAGTGAAAGGCCATCACCGGCAACAGGAGTAGAATAACAATCTCGAATCCTACTTGCGATGGATTTGAGCTCTTCCAAGATCCGAACAGCTTCGGCACGAACAGCGGCACCTTCGCCTGCTTCGTAGATCTTGAGGAAAGCTTGGGCATCACGGATGACGATATCGTTGAGAGCATTGTCCATTTTTGCGACTGACAACCGACCGTCAACAGACGAGCTATCCGAATCCGAATCGTCTTCATTCTCTTCATCGGCTTCATCGTCTTGACCGTCATAGTCATCACCATCCTCGTCATCCTCGTCTTCCGGGTCCTTTTCTTCTTTCTGTGTATCGTTTCCAGCCTCATCACAAGCGTTCTCGGTAGAGAGATTACCTGTTGTTTGGAGATCTGCTGAGCCATCTTTGTCTGCGGATAGAGGGGCCTCTGATAGTTTGACAATTTCAGAGATCACACCTTCGCGGTGAAACTGTTGTTGGTATACATGCTCAAGACGCTGGAATAATAATTCAGAGCATCTCAATGCGAGGGATACAAGTGAAGGGTGATCCTTCTGTGAAAGAATAGCAGCAAGGAAAGATGCATAAGGAACTGTTTGCAGGGCTGCCTCGATCAAAGTTGGCTCGAGGATGTGCAACATCTTCAGTTGAGCAATCAAAACCTTTTGTCGGACACTCAGGTTGACAGTGCTCGAATATGCATCCGTCAAAGTTGGGAACAAGATCATTGCGAAACGCTTAAGTTCAGGACGGCAATTGTCCAACAAGGCATGTCTTTCTTCGGTACCCTCCTTGGATTTGGACGAGGACTTCAATCCAATTGACATGCTGTTGTCAAAGTATGAGCTCAGTATGCTGTCAGTTCGGGAGGCTTCACGGCTCGGGACCCCAGGAAGAAGCTCGCAGATGACATTGAGAGTCTCGAACACCTGCTCACGAGGCCGGTGAATCAGAGCCTGCATGACCAAGACGCTGTCCATCTTCACGGCCGTGCTATCTGTGTCCTCCGGCGGCGAGATGCCAGTCAGAATATGGTAGAGAGTGTCTACAACATCCATCTTGAGCAACTCAATCGACAGACGAGGACTGGCTTTGGATACTATCGCCAGCACTCGAAGGAATTGGGTGTGGATGTGCGGCCCAATGAGATTGGTTGTGCCGGGCAGGAGCAGACGAAGAACGGCCTTAAGCATGGCGGGCTCGATCAGCGCTTCCAGATTCTCAGGACGATACTTGAAGCTCTCCACGATACGAGAGACACAGAGACACCCCTGCTCAACTACCTTGGGGTCATTACTGGAAAGAACATTGAGAAGAGTAGGCATGACGTCTCGCACAACTGGGAACGAATCATGGGGCAGATTGCGGCAACAGTTGGCTGCGGTTGTTACAGCTGTGCGTTGCGTGCTTGTGGGGAAGAAATCGAGGTAGGTTAGGCATGCTGTCAAGCCACCTTCTCGTACAATGGAAGCTGGGAAATCGACGGAGATCTTTGCGAGGGTCTGGGATAAGTTGTCAGCACACTACCAACGAAAATGGTCAATTGATTGGACAAAAGACAAAACATACACTTAAGGCCTGTTCCGCAAGATCGATGAACTGGATGTCCAAGAGCTTTTGGCACAAAATTGGAACGGCACCACCATACACCACGTTGGCCACGGAGCCACGAAGGGCCTCCATCAGATTAGCCAGGGAGCGACATGCGAGCAGCATTATTTCCGGATTCTCTTCGCCGAACTGGTTTGGTTGCATTAAAGCGACCAGTTCCTTGACATACGGGTCAGGGGAGAATTGGCCAGAGAGGTTGTCCTCGTTCGAAACGAGTAGAAGGTCTGATAGCTCTTGGAGAGCAATCAATTGAAGCGAAGGGTCATCCTTTGCCCGAAGATTACTGAGAATGTCTCGAAGTCGCGAGGACATGCCCGACATCATACCGCTGAGTGCACGGAGCGTACTTTGCAGTGCCATGGGGCCTCGGCTTCCAAAAAGACTGCTATGGAACGGGTCCAAGTCTTCCTCGTCAAAGGCTGACGGATTGGTATCATCGTTGCTATCACCTGCAGGAGATCCCTCCTCTTCTGCCTTTGTATCTTCATCTTCTAGCTCCTCCTCGGCATCTCGCATGAATACATCTGCACTTGTCTTCGCGGAACGCTTCTTCTGGCGACGAGGAGGCGGTGATTGCGTTGTTGCAAGTCGATCTAAGAGGAGACATAATCAGCATTTTTACATGTTTATAGAGACTCTAGGTGAAGCTTACCATTCCGGCTAGATCTCCGTCTCGTAGGTGGCGGAGATGTCGTTGACTTCGATTCCTCCGAGGGTCGAGAAGATGGTCTATATGGTAAAGGTTCACGTCAGTTTTCCAAAGATGAGAAATACTTCCTCCAATACTCACCCTGGTTGTGACATGGCGTTATGACCACGAGCAGCTCGTCGAGGAGTGGTGGCAGTTGGGCCGGCGGGCGGAGCGGCGTGAGATGCAGAGGTGCGCTGTCTTTTCGATCTCCGGGGAGGGGATGAGGCAGTCGGCTGATTCGGGGCGTCCGATTGTCGATCCCGGCGTGACGAAGCTTTGCGTTTCCGGGAAGCAGCCGAACCAGCGGCCGGGTGTGAAGGGGAGCCGGCGTCAACGGCGGGAGGCGGGTCTGTGGCAAGTCTCGCGGAAGAGCGAGTGTTTCTGGATGACATCAGAAATTGATTGGCTTTGACGTGGGGGATGTGAAAGTGTGCGTGAATGATAGCTTGAGGGAGAACGATCGTGAAAGGTAACAGGGCTGATCAGACAAAGCTAAGGAACGATGCAGGCAAACGCCGGGGGTAACATGGAGATAGGTTCCCCCACACCCCGTAGCAGCCAAATGGGACCCGATCGAACAAACGGGGATGGGAGAGAGGGGTTCAGGATCTTCCACAACGGTCTTGCAGATGAATCCGTAGCGAGCTGAGCGGAGTCACCATACGGTGTACGGGGTATGAAGGTCGGGCGTTGAAGAAACGGGCAAGTACCTCAGAGCAGAGGAGATGGCAGCTCCTGCTGGGGAGATGGAATAATCCTCGAGAGGGTCCTGTCGGCTGGTGGAGGGCCTTTGCCTGGCCATAAGTTACCGAGATCGGGATCTTGGAGATAGAGAGGCGAGGACACTGTTTCAACCCGCCATCGGCAACACCTGGTCCAGTGCTGAAGTCGGGCGTAAACAGGTCAGGGAACGTGGGGATCCGGCAAGCTGTCCGGAGGGCCGTCAAGGCTATATTATTACGGACGAAGAAAGTGAATGTTGTGGGTGGAATATGTTGATGGGTGGGGGTGGGAAGGAGGATTGACGTGGATGGTTTGTGACGACTGGATTCGGAGGGCGGAAGTGCAACATTTGATGATATAAGACAGTCCAACACCCCAGACCCAGAACCCGAATTGCCATTTCGCCTGTTGGGCACGGATCAAGGCCTGAGACCTGTCAGAAAGTGGCCGGTATTTCTAGGCTAGTTTGCTGAACTCTTTTATCCTTGTATGTTTGTACGATGAAATGACCACTGGGTATGACGACGTTTGGGCTTATCAATAGAACAGTCTGGAGATAAGCCCGGGGATCTAAGCTATGACAATCCAGAATAAATCCAGATCGGAAGCAATCCAATGAAGGGAATACCCCAGAAAGTGTATAAAATTGGGCAATATAGAGATAGACTCGGAATTAAGGAGAGAGCCCCCATCACGAAATGAGGGGGCGGCTATCGCACCGGAGCGGCCCCGATGAACCTGGTTTGACTCACCGAACTCTTATTCAGCAGCCCGCAAAACAGTAGAAAGATTCTTTCTTGGCTAGGTAGTTATCCTCACTGCACATTAGACATTCCGGCTTACGTTCTGCCTCCCTATCTTATTCGCCTCCCAAGGGGCGACTACTTTTTCTTCCTTCCCTCCCCCCACTTCCCCGAATCGCCCCCCTCCCGGCGGTTGCTCTGTCCAAAAGCGTCTTTCCCGCACTCTCCCGCCTTCGTCTATATCATCACCCTTCACGCTCGAAATGGCGACAGAAATGGTTGGAGAACAGAGTGACGACGTTCACCAAACTCCCGCCCAGGTCGCTCCTACACCCATGGACGAATACGTTTTCCCCGAACTTCGCCTCAAGCGAAAGATGAACGACCCGGAGAAGACGCCGCTTCTGCTGGTCGCGTGTGGTTCCTTCTCTCCGATCACCTATCTTCATCTGCGCATGTTCGAGATGGCTGCCGACTACGTCAGATTCAGCACCGAATTTGAACTCCTCGGAGGCTATCTGTCTCCGGTGTCGGACGCCTATCGCAAGGCCGGTTTGGCCAGCGCAGACCATCGGTAGGGAGACCTTTGTTCTCCATTCTCCATCGAAATCGCAGGATGCTAACGATATTGTCAACAGTGTCGCAATGTGCCAATTGGCAGTGGACCAAACCTCCGACTGGTTGATGGTGGATACTTGGGAGCCTACACAGAAGAAATATCAGCCGACTGCGCTTGTCCTGGACCACTTCGACCACGAGATCAACACCGTTCGTGGAGGCGTTGAGGCAGGAGATGGAACCCGGAAGCCGGTTCGCATTGCGCTTCTCGCGGGCGCCGATCTGATCCACACCATGTCCACCCCCGGCGTCTGGAGTCAGAAGGATCTGGACCATATCCTCGGCAAATACGGCGTATGTTAATGTCTCAACCCTGGAATCGATGACTACATGCTAACCGACGTAGTCTTTCATTGTGGAGCGCAGTGGTACCGATATTGACGAGGCTCTAGCCAGTCTGCAGCCTTGGAAGGACAACATTCACGTCATTCAACAACTTATCCAAAACGACGTCAGCAGCACTAAGATTCGACTTTTCTTGCGGCGTGAGATGAGCGTGCGCTATCTTATTCCCGTGCCGGTGATTCACTATATCGAGCAGCACCATCTTTACGAAGATGACGGCGCTTCAGCGTCTGGATGATTTGTGACTCGGGCTACGAATGAGTACTACTTATGCAGTCATCACAAACTGACGAGGGAGCATGACCCCGATACGATACCCCAATTTGCCCTCGTCCTGCCTCGCCGTGGGTGTTTACTCCACCTACCGAGGCCCTATGCGGACTACCACTTCTCATTTGCATCACAGGCCACAGCGTGATTTGGACGGTAGCCAAGCCACGGCACTGTACGCGAAAGCGATGATTTACGATGTTTTGGAGTTTATGGAGTGATTTTACATCCGGCTGGATTTCTGAAATTCAATCTGCTTTTTGCTATCTTAGCTATGGCCAGCACTGGGTCTTGTTCTACGACTGGCCCTGGGGCCAAAGGAATGTACATAATGCTTTTCAGACCGTGCTATGCTCAACATAGGAGGGTAAATAGACTTTTCTAGACCGTTGTTAATCCTAAATGTAAAAGAGGAGATGTTGTGTATCTCCGACACGCACCCCGGAGTATCGGTTTTACTCGATACGGCACCGATCGGCCCCCATCGATGATTCACCATCGGCGAATGCGATGGCACCATCTGGGAAATTGACATCGTGATATGGATTATTAGTGATTCCAGAACATAATGCATGTCATCCTAACTTGAATGCTCTATAGCCCCAAAGCCATAAAACAAATTGTCCGGACCGATCGCCCGATGCCGCCTTTTATCTTCCGTTATCGACTGATTTGATCTTGGCCCTCCCACATTTTCCCGATTCAAGGTGACACCTGGGAGGATCTTGTTATTTTACACAGATCCCCCCAGCCGTCATTCTTTATAATGCCATTGACCCTATCACTTTGCCCTCCATGGAACCCAATCCCGTCCTGGTGCCTGCATGGCCTCTTACGCCTCCCGATCCCTCGATCCCCCCACCTTCCGCGACGAAAGATGTGTCCTCAGTCGTCACTGCCATTCATGTCATGTCCACTGAGCGCGCTGCCCTCGCGCATCTTGAACATCTCTACCAGACGGATGCGCGGGCGCAGCAGGATCTTGCTAGGGCGGTGGACTTGATTGCGCGCAGTGTGCGCGAGGCGGGCAAGCTGGTGGTCTGCGGCGTTGGAAAGAGTGGGAAGATCGGACGCAAGATTGAGGCGACTATGAATAGTTTGGGTATCTACAGTGCTTTCTTGCATCCGACAGAAGCATTGCATGGGGATTTGGGATTGGTGAGACCGGTAAGTTCCTACAGTTCCTGCTGCCTGCATGATCTATATCGCGATCTGCGGACATGGCCAAGGCAATTACCCAAGAAATTCAGTGGTTCAGATTCTAACTAAGATTGCGCAGAATGATACGATGCTCCTCATCTCTTTCTCTGGTCGCTCTCCTGAGCTTCTTGCGCTGCTTCCGCATATCCCTGCTTCCGTCCCAATTATCGCTCTGACATCGCACATGCAACCTGAGACGTGCCCATTACTGTCCTTTCATGCTCCTTCTGGGATGGGGATACTACTTCCAGCTCCTATTCACGAAGAAGAAGAAGCCTCACTAGGCGTTAGTGCCCCGACCTCATCTACAACTGTTGCGCTATGCCTAGGCGATGCTCTAGCTATCGCTACAGCGCGGAAGCTACACACTGCTCCAGGACAAGGCCCAGCCGAGGTATTTAAAAGCTACCATCCCGGTGGTGCCATCGGTGCCGCAACGGCAGGCACGCCGTTGACTACACCGTCAAGCGGTGTTTCCACAACCTTTGACTCTCCCTCTTCGTCCATTTCTCTTCCATGGGAAGACCTCAATTGCAGCTCATCGATTCCTCCCTTCACGTTGCAACCACCTCCAGAGCAACGGCGGATTCCAATGGACATGCTTGTTCCTCTTGATCAAATCCCTACCGCCTCGGTATCTCCATCACAACCCTCTAGCGACCTGCGATTACTCGACATCCTTCTCACGGCGATTCAGCACCCCAATGCTAAGTCATGGGTATTCTCATCCCCATCTGAGATATTCCCTCCACGCCGGATTCGATCTCTTCTCTCGCGACACACTGATGTCGACATGCGAGTTTCTGATGCAATAGCAAAAGACTCCGGCTGCCTGCCTGTAAATAAAGCTGACTGGCTACTGGTCCCTGACTCAATCCCGCTTGCTGAACTGCGGCGTCTTGTGTCCACATCCCGAACCGGAGCCGCTTCGGTATCGGTTATTGCCGTCATGAAGGACTCTGCATCCCCCGCCAGTTGCATTGGGGTAATGGAGGTGGAAGATCTACTGGGAGAATATTTATAAAGACATTCTCATCTCATTTTTGTTTTTTGGCATACCATTTACATTCTCTTGTGCATGGTTCATGATGTTACGCCTGCTTTACCTTTGGATTTACATATACTTGTCTCTATACGACCTGCACATATACGCTTTCCTTTGCAGGAAGCATTACCTTTCTCTCATCCAAGCTGCAATGCTTTCTAACAATTTCTGATAATACAAACGATGTAAAATGCTATTATACACAACCCGGCTCCATTTCCAACCCTCTAGGCCCAGAGACGCATTCCCCAGCGCTGGGGCTTTTACACCTTCACAATAGGCTTGATACCCTTGTGAATAGCAGCAATGCCACCAGTCAAGTTCTCATACCCCTTTCCAGGGATCATAAACCCAGCCTTCTGAATCATACCCCGGAACTCATCCTGACTCGGGAACTGCTCAATACTCTCAACAAGATACTGATAACTATCCCGATCCCCAGCAACAAGCTGTCCGATCATGGGAATCGCACTGAAGTTCCAACGCTTGTAAATAGCATCAAAGACAGGGTTATCCACCTTACTGAACTCCATGCAGGCAAAAACACCACCGGGCTTCAGCACACGGTAGGCCTCATTCAGCGCAGCCTGCTTATCCGTGAAGTTGCGAATCCCAAACACAACGGTGTACAGATCCACTGACGCACTCGGGATATGAGGCATATGCTCGGCGTTGGCCTCGACGAAGTCAAGTCGCGGCGTATTGTAGTAGGGAGTGTTGACTGAGCGCTTACGGCCTTCGGCTAACATGTCGGCGTTGATGTCGGAGATGGTCACGCGGGTTTCGATGTCGTGGTTGATGTTGGTTGCGTGGTCGAGCATGCGGAATGCGATGTCGCCGGTCCCGCCGGCGATGTCGAGGATGTTCCATCCTTTGCGGTGCGGGCCGGCGGGGAGGGGGAGCCCGGGTTCAGGGAGCGCACGAAGTGGTCTTTCCACAGGCGGTGGATTCCAAGGGACATCAGGTCGTTCATTGTGTCGTAGGAAGATGCGACGGAGCTGAAGACAGCGCCGACTGGGGGATAGCCGTTAGTCTGTGGTTCTAGGTCCAATTGGTGTACAAAGATGGTCCTAGGTAAATGGATGTCTTACCTCGCGACTCCTTCTCGGATTCAGGCACATTGGTGAAGCCGAAGTGTGTCATGCGGTCCTGTTCGGACTTGAACTGGTTCTGGGTTTGGCGAGTGCAGGAGAAGCAGCGGTAGGGAGTAGCGGGCTGGAAGGCACGACGCTTGGCACTGTGGTGCAGTGCACGCCAGGCGGGATGGGACGACATGATGGGCAATTGGAAGTTGGATGCAAGTTGGAGATGAGACGGGGGAACTTTTCGGCCTCGCGAGATGCCGCGAGACCCACTCGAGTTCCTCTATGGGCCAATCAGGTTGCGTATGTTGCGAGCTGTCCAGTCGTACAGTCGAACTCAACTTCAGCTACATGATCTTTTATGTTTACGGATCTTACGGATCTATTGGGTTTGTAATTACTCTCCGTTGGCTATCTCCGTGTCTCGGTTGATGGGATTGCGAATCTATAAAGCTGGTCGATATCCTTTCTTCGCCGTAGATCAAACGCCTGAACTAGATATCTCGAGTCTCCTCAAAACAACAATATATCGTACATCTCCAGGCCATATGCGAAATGACCTCCAGCAATCTATCTCATTGTTGCTCTACTGGCTTCTTGCATGAAGGGAAAGCCAAAGGCGAAGTCAAGAACATCGCAAACAGTCGGTTCCAAGCTAAAACAGTACATCGGGCCATCAGCACTAATCTTCAGAACATTCAATAGTCTCAACTTACCTCATCTACCCACCCGACCAATCCACCCAAAACGCGATTCTGATCCTTACCGACGTAATCGGCCACGGCTTCATCAATGCCCGACTCATCGCAGACCAATTTGCCTCCAAAGGATATTTCGTCGTGATGCCCGATCTCTTCAACGGCGACAGCGTCCCCCTCAACAGACCTCCGGGCTTCCAGATAATGAACTGGGTCCAAAACCATCTACCTCTTCAGACAGACCGTATCATCGATGTAGTGTTGAAAGAAATGCGTGTGAAGATGGGTTGTGAACAGATTGGTGGCGTGGGATATTGTTACGGAGGAAAGTATGTATGCCGCTATTTGAAGAAGGGGATGTTGGATGTGGGCTTCATGGCGCATCCAACTATGGTTGAGGCGGACGAGTTGAGGGGGGTTGAGGGGCCGTTGAGCATTGCGGCTGCTGGTAAGTTGGATTGTTGTCTCTAGAGATGTGGTTTGGAGTGCTAATGGTCGCTTTAGTAAGGGACTTCGTGTTTAGCAAGGAAAAGAGGCGTGAGAGTGAGGATATTTTGGATAAGTTGGATGTTCCTTATCAGATTAATTTGTTTTCGGATGTGGAGCATGGGTTCGCTGTTCGTTGTGATATGGAGAAGCCTCGTCAAAGGTTTGCGAAGGAGCAGGCTTTTGCTCATGCCGTTGCGTGGTTTGATCAGTACCTCTAGAAGTAGTTTGGAACATTGAGCTACAGAACACCTACTTATGAATTTTCGAAGGAAATAGATCTGCTAAACCACGGATAAGCAAGATAATCCCTTTATTGAAGTAAACTTATGAACAGAATCATATATACACACACTGCCCGTAAACCTTCATTCGAACGCCAAAGGAAAGAAACCCTCAGATTGGGAGTTGTCTAGCGGCCACGGCCAATCACTCAGTAACTCCGGCGGCAACTGGAACTGCAGCATCTGATCGTGCATTCCCGCTGTCGTACTGACAGTTGGTGCTGGGGCACTGTGAGCGTATGTGGGTGGGGGGTAAACAGGCTCGTGCTTGACATTCATATGCATGGTAGTGCCATTGGGAGGATGTGGGGCCGTTGCAACGTTTAGGAGTCGTGATGTGCGCATGTAGCCGTCGATTCGATCGACTTGAGATCGGAGGCGTTGACTTGCACCTGCTGCGCGATGAAGGCCGCATTCGAGGCGGTTGAGGAGATCGGCCATTTCGAGGCTGTCGATCATTGTGAGCATGAGAGCTTGCTTTTGATGCTTTAGAGGACTTACAGTAATGTGCGGACGCGGAGGTAGGATGCGTCTGAGAGACTGCCTTCCATGACCGAGCCGAGGATATATCCAATTCCACCAAGATGGTGAAGCTGAGTTTTGAATGTTAGGATGAGGAGAAAGGGAGACATAGCTAGGAAACCTACCAATGGTGAACTGATGGCCTTCAAATACTCCACCGGCACCTTGGAAAACACACTAAGCAACTCGCCAGCCACATCACACTTTCCGTCGACTCCAATTTCCTCGGCGGACAAAAGCACCATTCTCAATAGCTGTAGAGTAGCCTGGATATTGGCAGACTGGAAACCAAATAGATCTTTCCCCATGTCACCAGTCGTAGGTGGCATTTCGCGAAATTGCGATGGCAGTGCAGAGTACATATTCAGAACACGCTCCATAACCGCAGGCTCCGACATGGAAGTTGGGCTGAATAGCGACCAGACTTCCTGTGTTCCGTTGGCCGAGGAGAATTTCCGCCTTGTGCCATCTACCACATGCTCCAGTATGCGGTAAAGGTCGGTTGTGAAATTCCATCCTTGCATCCAGCACAAGGATTGTCTTGAGACACCGGAGGCGGGACTCTGGCCGATCGTGCTCGATCCGGGTGATACTGGTTGCATTGTGTAGCCTTGTGCGGTGATGTAATGGTCGTCGACCTCAGTAGGATACCGTACGAGAGAATGCGCCTCACGATAGCGGATCACGCCTCCCCATACGACAGTTGAGTAGATGTCGAGGGTGTAGATTGACCAGAACTTTGAGTCAATTAGCCGGGCAAAATCCTCGGTGGACGTAATAAGAACCTACCAATCTCCGCCTTTCCTCAACCTCGATGGGACTTATATCTTTCGGCCAGAGCTTCTCATCATGGAACCCTTCCATGGTTATTAGAGTATGGTACATACCAGAGTATTTCTGCATGTTCTTGATCTGGCCGTTCTGGATACTGACGATTGCAAGAATGGCACACGCACGCATATAATTCATCCCCTTCGCAGCTGCAAGATCTCTGGGTAATGAATCTTTGGCTGCGGCATAGAAAGCCTCCGAAGGGGGCTCCAGAAGTTCCTCCCGGCACCACCGAGTGGAGTATAGCGCGCCATCGCGTGCACGCCCTGATGCCAAGGAGCAAACTGCCATGGTCGAGGCAAAAAGGCCTTGGTTGTGAAGATGTTCTCTGTTGTTTACCTGCTCTATGAAGGATGGCCTGTGAAACAGAGGAAAGCTAAGTTCACTTGGTCAGTATATGAGTCAGTAAGCGGAATGGGTCGAATGCCTACATTGGATAGACGATTTCGAAATAGACCTGAACGAGATTCCTGATCTGCCGGTCACAGGAGATAGCAAAAGCCTTCCAAGAATTACGCAATGCACCATCATCATCGTACCCCTCCGCCGTTGACCAGCCTTGATTAAAAGAGACCCAAGGATCCTCCATTAAAGACGACCGGGAACCCGACTCTGGATGCATAGAGCTCCTAGAAGCAGCAGACCCCGGCTCCCTCTCGACCGGATTCTGACTCGTCGGTGAATCTATCACCGGCTTCGCAATTGGCACATCCCTCGCAGCGGCTCTAGTACCAGCCTTGACACCGCGCCGTTTAGCCGGACGATCAAATGTACACGCGACATCAAAGTCGACGCAGTTCTGACAGCGGCCTAGCGCATCTTCGCTCGGTCTGCATTTGATACTACGCCTATTGCAGAAGTCGCCTAAACGGCAATGCAGTCAGTTTTACCGTCTCACATCCGGGGATCCGCCGAATGCAAAGTGGAGCAGGGTTCACGGTTCACGCGGGGGAAGCTACTTACAGGCCTTGGAGACGCGCTGGAGCTTTCGCGGTTTTTGCGACATTCACTCGGAAGTCATGCCAACACGGTTCGCGGTTCAGAAAAGCCACTAACTGCGGTCCGGGGTTGGGGAAATGTTGCAATGGGGGGCCGTGGAGACCCGGGGGGTTGGCTGGTGATCTGCGCGTACTGTGGGAGAATGGAAAAATATATGAACGGTCAGATCATTGACACAACTCTCAGAAGCAGTCAATCAATGCTCGATCATCAAATCCACCGAATCATGAAGGTTTCAAAGGGCAGCAAAGTAAAGTTGAAGCCCGCGTGGCTGAGTCAGCCGCGTCTCACTGACGCTTAAATCCGCGAATCCGCGATCGCGGGATTACGGCGTTGCGGATTAATTCAAGTATCAAAAATCGTTCTATATGGATTTAGAAGTTGTCATTACAAATCTAGGGTCAACATAAAAAGCTAGTCGTACATGATGGTATCAACGCTGTCTCGGCATTTTAGCCCGTTGTTGGTATTACAAAGCATTATATCATGAAGAGAAGGAATGGATTCGGATTCAGACAGCAAGAGCGACAGAGACTGCATTTTCCGGCTCTTGTTACATGGGCTGTGCTTGGATTTGTCGGCCCTCAAGATTCGCGCTTGGTGGCTTCGGGGACTGCGAGAACATCACCGTGGAGTTTATAAGCTTGCTCCATTCGCCAGTGAAAGGGACTGGGAGTTGAGAATAGGGCCTCGATAGATTCGAGGGAGCGATTTTTGGTTTCGGGGTAGACTGCGTGGTCTAGATTAGCTCATGTAATGGTGCCTGTCCAGAATTTAGCTTACAGAGAAAGACAATGGGTATCCAGAGCAAGTTCAACCCAGCAAAGAGAAAATAGGTACGGCTCTAAGGTTGTGTTAGCTCATTCGTGGGGTATATGCGGTATGCAGCACTTACCCTGATGCCACCAAACATGATGGGGTTGACAAGAGTGGTCATTCCTACACCAATGGCCCAGCCAGTGACACCAAATCCATTGCCCTGGGCTCTCAAGTCACTTGGAAAAATTTCCGTAGGAACCAAAAAGGCCGCAGTTCCCCAAGTGGCAGCATAACTAAGCGCCTGTTGTCAGCCAAGTCCAAAGAATCAGCAGCAGAATGGACAATCTACCCGATGTTGAACAGAAACAGCATTGTGATCGCGCCAGGTGCATATTGAGCCGCCTTGTCGAGCTCATGGAAAAGTGAGACTTCGTATAATGCACCAGCCTGGGGAAAGAAAGAAAGGTCAGCATCGTAGAAAGAATTGAGCCAGATACGCAGACTCACAATCAAATTTACGGCGAACAAGACAGCGGCTCCGCCCATTAAGCAAACTCGACGACCGAGGCGGTCTATAATCTGAGCGCTGATGATCGTACCAAGGATTCCAATGGTATTTATAGCCCCTGCTAAAGCATTCTGTTGTACCTCACTATAGCCGGCTTCTTGAAGAAGAACCGGGGCATAAGCAGTGACAGCCTGTAGTCGTTATGTTCAGTGGATTTGCAAGTAGGTGGAAGTTCCATCTAGTCTTACCGTGATCCCCGTCCATGAACCCATGATTTGAAGCCATATGCACAGCCATGCTCGACGGCCCAGATTTGTGCCCGGTCGCCCACTCCTTCCCAATAAAATCTTTGCAAATTGGAGTGGCGTGCTAGGTTTACTAGCCTGTGCAGTAGTCGAAATCTCTAAATACTCCCGATCGATCTTTTCCGGACTCGATCGATCTTTACGTAACCGGATCAGGAGATCGCGTGCTTCTTCTTTTCGACCCACCGAAGCTAAATAACGGGGGCTATCTGGCAGCATTTTGATAAACAGGACCAGGATCAGCGCTGGGAAACACTGGAAAGCCAGCGGGAACCGCCACCGAACGCCCGAGTACCCATCGTGGACGAATGAGAGACCAAATGAAAGCCAATATGCAACGGCAATCCCTAGATCTGTGAGCAGTCAGTCTCACCGCTCCTTTCAAGTACCAAAAATCAAGATCGGGCGCTCACAATTGGCAATGAACACATAACCGAGAAAGCCGCCCCGATGATTGGCAGCGGAGGTTTCAGAAACCAAGACAGGGGCGATACCCGTCAAAGCTACAGCACGAGTTAGCACCAGGTCAGAAATGGCGCCGTAGCCTCGACTAGTTGGCACTAGCAGGGATGCTCACCACCGGTGCCAATGCCCGTCACGACTCTAGCGCAGATCATAAATTTGGCATTCTGCGCGGCTGATTGCAGGGCTCCTCCTACCAGAGCAAACCATGATCCAGCTAGTAGGCCATTGATACGCCCGACTCGATCTGCAAGCCACCCGCCGGCAAAGCAGCCGAAGATCGCTCCCAAGTAGTACACACTGACAATGCCCCCCTCACGCGTTGTATCCGTCACCGTCCCATCGTGTTTCCCTATACCGACCAGAGTCACATAGGTAGGCGAGGCGTTGACGCCACCCATGACACCCTGGTCATAGCCCTCGAAGAAGATAGAAATAAGCGAGAAAGTTTGGATGACGACGTTGAGCTGGCGAGAAGACAGCCTCCGCCATAGCGTCGTGTAAGCCATGGGATCAAAGCGCCCTAACGGAAGGCCCCGATCGTTCGTATGGGTCCCGCCCCCCTCCCCCGTTAGTTGAGACAGGAGATCTTCAGGTACGAGGCTTGGGAATCGCGGGGAGAAGGACCACTTGTGAGCGCGCCATCATTTAGCACTGGGCCCAACGGGCTTTTTGTACATTAAGCTCCGCGTCTAATTAGCCGTTTTGCCGATCGCCCCTACAGCCGACCTAATCTGGGCTACCATCAATGATGTTGGTATGTAATGTTCAAACCCCGAGCCGCTCGCTTCCAAGGATGAGTTGAGTAGTAATGAGCGACCGCTTGCCAGGCTGTCAAGGTGACTTTTTTCTTAAACTACTGTTGATGGGCAGGTGTTTGATAAAATGTGGTAGGCTTCAAATGTTTGAAAAGCAGAGGTCGCTTGTATGCGTTACGTGGGAAAGCTCCGACTTGTGTCATGCTTGAGATCCATGCCCCTAGAGAATCAGTATGCAAAATCTGACCAATTGACATTCCAATCCTGTGTTGATTTTGTTTTTCCTACCATGAAGAATAAGATTCCTGCAAGACCAGGCTTGTAAGCTCCAAACATTGGGTGATATAATACGTCTGTGGACCCGAGCTGATTTATTCATGAATAGCATTCAACTCAGTCTCCCAATCCCATCCAGGCTCCCTTCCATCGTCAGAAGCAATAGGCGACATCGCCGAAAGCGGAACGCGAACCAAAATATCAGGGTCCACATTCGCGGAGTGTCCCTTGTGTACAATAAAACCAGGCATGCTTACTCCAAGTGTAATTTCATCGACCAAAGCAGGAGAAGGAGGAGTCAAGTAACCATGGCCTTTTTCGAAAATATCCGAGAAGTTGTCGGGGTCTGATGGTATCAGATCAAAGACGGGGTTCTGAGGGTCCATCATTGTCCAATAATCTACTACTGATTTGAGGATTGTCATTTCGGTTTCGGTGAGTTCTTCAACTCGTGGGTTGTTGCGGAGAAGTATGTCACTGTATCGTGCACATTGGAAAGCAAAGGCTTTTAATGCGTTGGCCTGAAGCTCATTAGTATAGTGGTCGAAAGAGAGGAGCAAGGCGATCATTACCATCATCTGAGCATTGCTCCATAATTCGGAAATTTCACCCAAGTAATGGAGTGACGTTCTCAAGTACTCTGCTGAGCTTCGGCTTGTCGAGATGTCATCTCTGTGGAGATGCAATGCGTGAATTGTACTCGCGACCAAAATGCAGTAGCTGTAAACAGAAGGAACCGGCATGTATCCGGCAGCTTTGGCTTCAACAAGAACTGTAACTAAGGATCCGGCATGTATCAAAGATGTGCTGCGTGTTTCTTCTAACCAGGCGGAGGGTATGTCGGAATGTGCCGATGACTGCAATTTCATACCCAGAAGGAATGGATGACTGAGGATGCAGTGAGAGAGATGGTACAATGTGTGCGAGAGAACCATATGTGCGATCTGCTCACGGTCTCCGTCTGGCATATCATTATGAGACCGAGGCTGACCAGGCTCGGCGAGAACAGGATTATTTTTGACGGCTAGCTCCTTCAGGAATTCGAGATCTGTGTAAATGGAACCGTACTCTGAGACAGGATGCCATGGTACTTCTTTAGTGGGCTCCTCGTTCATCATGCACTGGATCGTTCGCCCGAGAACGGCAGCGAGGCCGATGCTGATACCAAACATCCCTGGTTTGAAGGTCATATCTCGAACTTTCTCATCCAAGAGGCCACTCAGTGTAGTGGAATCTGACTTTTTACCCGAACCATGATATGTCGGCAGATTCAGAAGACAATCTGAATCCTTTATAGCGGGCGGTCTTTGAAATGAGCAACACACGAAGCGATCCAGGAGGTACAAAGACCAAAAGAGATTCCGACGCTCTTCTCTCTCCATCTTACAGAGTCTAGAGCTAGGCTCCAGCATCATCTGCAGGTCCTGGCTGATGCGCACTGCCATTCCAATCTTCACCCACGCGCTTCGACGTCGACCGGCTGCTCAAGGTTTCAGCACAAATCATTCCACCCTCTTCCCGGAATTCCTTACCAGTCGCATCAATTACTGCAAGCAGTGCCAAAGCCTGAATGACAGCCACATCATCATGTTCACCCAGCGCGTCTGGCGAAGTTGTGATCAGCTCCCAAGCGCAACGAGCATAATCGTCGATCGTGCTCTGTTTCCGTTCTTTCCATTGCGATCGGGACGAGTAGCGGGTCGCGGTAGCGATCAGGGCGAGCCGGAGGTACAGAGGGACTTGATTTCTTGTGGCCTTGTGATGAAAAAGGTCTGAATTAAAGAAACCATATGGCTTGTTATGACAATGGCGGAAATAAATGTCGCATGCTTCGAGGAATATCTTGTCCGGGGTAGGTGAGCTTCAAGGTGTTCGATGGTCAGTTTTGCCTGGTCAATCCAAAAATCAAGGGACCTTCAAATGGTAAAAGAATTGCGAGTGTACCTGGGAGAGCGATTATGGATAGCCATTGCAATCTTGGAACCTAGGGATTTCAAGTTGGGTGATTCCCGTAGAGAGCGAAACCCCAGCTATGTACGTCGCGACATGTTGGCATTCCCACAAGATTTGCAACCCCATGACCAAAAAAAAAGTTAGAAACCTTGCGGGCCCGGATCTCCGGTTTAAAAAGCACTAAGTTAGATCATATTACTCAATTATATCTTGGCTTGTTACACGGGGCAAGTGGGGGCTTGTCCCGCATTCCTGTTTCTCCGCGTTTAACCGGGGTGGAATCCACTCTAGGAATAACGTCGCATCTTTGGAGCGTGAGTTGCCTGATAAGACCATCATGGCACGTTAGTGATATTTCCAGAGTCCTCAACTACAAGAATAATTCAATGTGGAGCGAGTGAGATAGCTGGGGCCAGGCGGAGACAAGGCGGAGCAAGGTCTGCAGTAGCTTCGCCGCTAACTTGTTTGAAGAACACCAGTCAGAGTCAAAGGTAGACGGCCTGAATTAGGACTTATGAGCGTCCACGGGAATGGATGCGTTCTTATCTCGAGCCGCAGGGTCTCCCTGGTTTCGGGCGTCACACGTCAGCCCAAAGTACGAGAAGCAGGAATGCGGGAGTCGTGATGTGTCGTTCATAAAGCCATTCAAAGGAGATCTCGGCGAACAAAATGCACACCAAGTAACGTCCACACATTTAAGATTCTATTCTTCTTGCTCGGCTTATCTTCATAGCTTAGTTCGGCATTCCCGTGCCGCCCCGTGCCAACGGCGCCATTCCACTGATCAACCCGCCACAAGCTGATTTCTAGGGGCCTTTTTAGGCTGTTTATGCATGGAATCATCTTCAAAAGTTCGCCACTCTCCGCATGGGCCAATACCAACCCTTTATTGGGTCATCAATATCATGATTAAAGCGATCTTTGTTAGTTCCAGGCCAGCCACCGTAAGCGGCCCCCACTATCGGATTATAGATAGTAGGACAAAAGAAACTCCGCTGCGTGGGCTAGCAGAGCTAGAGTACTTGGCGAGGGGCGTGCATCCAGATCACTGAGTGTTGACAATGGTAGGATAATTGAAAAGGTATCAAGTTAGCTTTGGGGACAACTGGGTAAGAGAGTATATCTTCTAGAGGCTTGAAGGATTCGCTGATCCGAGCTTTACCTTATTCCCAGAGGAGGGGCTAGTCCTGCATACGGGCCAGAGCGATCTTACTCAAAAAGGTTCCGAGAACAAGCTACTACATCGCCAGTGTAACCACCAGGCCCACCAACGCCGGCCCTTTGCCCTATTCTGTCATCGAGGCGTCGCTTACCCGCTGAAAGTGACATAAATCTCACCTTGACTTAAGGCTCTCTGCATTATACCCCTCTTTACCGACGTGGAGGCCACAAGAACATGAAAGGTGGGTCAGTTCGACCTCCTAGTCAGGTCTTGCATGTTCCAACTACCGTAAATCCCATCACATTACCTGAAGATATCAATGGTGACGCTGGGGCCAAATGGATTGTGGCTGCAGGTGGTACATTGCAGATTACTATTTTACTTTGCACTTGGAACTTTCTTGTCTGCTGATTTCCTCAACCTAAGTTGCTGCCGCTGCCACCGACGCAGGTTGTTCACCGTTCGCTATGGCTGCGCTTGATGGAAAGCAGATCGGTGTGGTTGTCACCTTTACGATTCTGAACTTTGTTGCAATCACTGCAATGGGGCTTCGGTTCCATTCTATGGCTATTGTACGACGAAAGCTTCAGCTTCACGATGCGCTTTGCATTGTATCCTTGATTATGCTGTTTGGGTATTCTATATGTCTCTTCATCGGTGAGTCCTACCTCCCTGCGATGGTTCATCAAAGCTGAGAAACATCAAGGGATTGCCGACGGTGGAACTGGACTTCACGTATCTCAGGTTTCTTTATCCGCAAGAACGCTTGAGATGAAGGTATCATCGACCAAGCTATCGCATCGGAGTGCATACTGACTTCAAATTACAGATCTTTTTTGCCTCTCAGTTCTTCTGGGCAATTTCCATTGCTTGTTTCCGATTAGGAATTCTCGAATTCTACGTTCAAACCTTCACTACCAGGCTATTCCGAAATTTCGCTTATGGGGCCATGGGCGTTGTATGCCTCTTCTTTATCGCAACCATCGCAGTAATATTGAGACTATGTGTTCCTATCTCATGGAACTGGGAGAAGTCTATTCATGGATCGTGTGGCAGTGAAAGAGCTGCTGAGCTGGCCGCAGCTGGCTTTAACTTGGCATTAGACGTGATCATAGTCCTGTTGCCATTCCCTGTGATCTGGGGACTGCACATGAGTGTGCAAAAGAAAGCTGCTGTTATGGCCACATTTGCTCTGAGTGTTTGGTAAGTGACCTCATGTTTATTGATCTGATGCTTTGCTAACAAAGATTCAGCATCTCCGCAATCAATCTCGCTCGCATTATTCACGTGCTTGAATGCAACCTCATGGATTACACCTTCTGTACAGCAAACAAAGCGATACTAACGGTCGCTGAGATGGCCGTGGGAATTACTGTGGCATGCGTGCCAATGCTGGGACCAGTGATTTTCCCGGAACGTCGTCGAAGATTCTCGAAAGGATACTGTCCAGTCACTACACATAAACGGTGGCATGGCTCTGATTCCAAGGCAAGCCCGCGCAATGATAGTGATACGAATATCGAAGTGGCCATGATACCGAAATGGCAAATGGGCCACGAATGCTCTGTCACTGGGGGCTTGGATGGAAAAGACAGAACGATGCAACCGTCACCAATACAAGTGGGGGATGGGCAGATCGCTGCGTGGCGACAGTTTGAGATACAAGCGGAGGAGGATATAGTACAACCTGAAATTATTAGCCATTAGAAGATGTGAGAGGGTAACTTGAGACCACACCAAATCTCAGTCTGTATAGAAAGTTTGATACAATTCAACATGTCTGAATAATTTAATTTGTCGAGGATCATCTTCAGTGACACTTGCGTCATGCAAGACAGGCTGCAGCTAGATCTATGGTTAAAGGATTCAATACCATGTACGACACGGACTGAAGACACGTCACTTTCATAGATACCTAGGTACCTGCCGCGACTACTTGCTACTGAGGTACTTCGCTGTTGCTGTCAATCGGGCCGATGGAGGCGAGGCCTACATCCATAGAATCAGCCTAACCCCTGCCGTTAAACTGCCTCAACATATAATTGCGTCATTCGGCTTTAACCATGGCCCCAATGGCGTCCTCAGGTGTTTCAGCGCTAATCTGAAGATCGGGGCTCAATTGTAAATAAGAGTGCGTGGCAGCTGGTAGGGTCATTGGCCTTTCGGCCCCCACGCCAAATTCTGAATAGCTGATGAGCGAGGGGCTGAGACCTTTTCCTTGCTTCACCCATATTGAGTCACGTATCATCAAAGAGAGAATACTGCATATCCCGAAATGTTACCTAGACCGGTTTCTTCTCCCCATAATGCCGATCAAGGTCCTCACCTATGCCTACCGCAAACACGGCATTTCTCTCGGATTTCAAAGAGCTCTACGAAGCGCACGTCGAATTTTTGAAGGGTACAGTATCTTCGGTGACGAATCTCCGCTTTCTCATAAGCGCAGCTACATTGCTCGCTATACAATCGATTCTTCGACCGAAGGCGTGACGAACACACGCAATGCCAGCACACCAGCAAGAGCGATTGTCGGCCAACAGTCAGACTTCGATTTTGACGCCTATGCCGAGCTTATGTCCGAGGACCAAATTGCTTATGACGCCTTCCTGGCTAAGGTCTTTTTCCCCGAAGCTGCGGCTGAGATTGCCGCGGACGAAGAGAAGTCCCATGGTAAGTCGAAGCTCGCCATTGTGACATCAGGGGATGTGTTTGCGACAACAAAGTGAGAGTCCAAGCCCAATTGACTGGTTGGACCAGACTTAGTATGGCAAATGCCGATATCGATGTGCGGTTCCGCGCAGTTCCTCTCAGGTGGCGGGGGCAGCTGCAGCCAGCCCTGCTTACAAGCGTGCCAAACCAGTCCTAATCAGAAAATATTATCTTCAATCTAATAACAAATCATCATTATATATACCCTTGTATCCCTTCACGGCTGAGACTTTTCACTCCCTGGGCATTAAAGCTTGGTTGACGGATCCGTTACCAGATCGGGCGACGCCGCCACCGACACAGCCTCACTCGGCCTCGGCGGCCTGGAACCCCCACATTTCATCAGGCATCATCAAAACCATCCCTGATAGACGCCAGTACCTCCTCATCGTAATAGACTTTTCACCAGTGACGCAGACATCTTGTCCAGATGGTCAACACAGGTCGTCCCAGTCGTGACTGTGAAAGTTGCCGACAACGGCGAGTCAAGGTGATAAGGCCGTACACCATAATCCAGAACAATCTGAATTAATCCAGTCTAGTGTGATCTTCGCCGTCCGACATGTCAAAAATGTGAGAAAATCGGACGGACGTGTGGATATCGAAATTTAGATGAAGTCAACGTCTCGTTCCTGATCCACACGCCGCAATCTTACAATGATCAAAAAGCTCGCAAGGGACATCAGACCACCAAGAGCTCACAGGAACGAGTACGAGCGATGCAATTGAGTAGTAGGTCATCTACACGCTCATCGTCGGCAGTATCCTCAGAAGACGATCAAGATCGAAACTATAGCCTCTCCCCATTCTACGAGTCGCTAACAATACCAAATCGAATTTTTGAATCGTGGGATATGCACATTATACCATTTATCATCAACCAATTCTCTTTTCCATCAGCGTGTGGTGGACGGATACATGGTTCACTCGAATGTTTCCCAACCCTCCTTAGAAAGTCCGAGCCCGGGTCTGCTCTCCAAATGGCTAGTAAAGCTGTGGGTTACGTTTACCACGCGAACCGAGCCCCTTCCAAAGAGTCAACACTTGCACAACGAAAGATGTACGGAACCGCTTTGAAACAATTACAGTTGGCACTTGGCGACCCGAAACTGCGGAACCAGGACGACATTCTGATGTCTGTCTGGCTTTTATGTCTTTACGAGGTATGAAGCCAATCTGTACAATCAACTCGGAAGACAACTGCTAATTGTTTCTCAAAGCTGATGCTAGGTACTTCGCCTGATGGAAAAGGCCCGTTAGACTGGAGCGTTCACAGCAGAGCTCTCACTGGGTTGATACGTTCCCGGGGCAAGGAGCAATTCAAGACCAAAACCGGACGTCAATTATTCCAACTATCGTATCACTATATTGTATGTGAATTTTATCATATATTTTCAAGCTGACGAAATCGAATGAGCTAATGCATCCTCTTGAAGCAAATTCAATGCTTTCAAACAGGTTCAGACCCTCCACCAGAAGCCCGCGAATGGTTCGACGCCATCGAGTCAAGCGATGATGGAAATCAATACATGTTCATGCCATCGTTTCACTTCGGCAACCAAGCTGCACGCATTTGCAAAGAAGCGAAATCCTCCTGTGGCCCATTGAACTCTACCGCCGAAAAAATCGCCGCAATCGAAAACGCAGTCCAGACATGCAAGGCATTCGAAATGTCGATGAACAAGACCATTGATGATCTTTTCGCCGGTTATACAGCGAGTAAGGCAGTTTTGCTGACAACAAAATTGAACCAGAACATCTCTGTTTTGCGCGTTAGCAACCACCACGATACGTGCTTGCTTCGCCTGTATACGGTGCTTCTGGAACTTATTCAAAATTTCATCAGCCAGCCAGATATTTCTACCATGGAGTTCTTTCGTCTGCTGGGGTTACAACAGACTTGCATGGAGGAGTCGCAACTCCGTATCAGTCGTATTCTTGAAGTACTGCCCCATTTCCTAACGACAGGGCAGAACTTGAATCTTCCGAATTGGGCGGACTCTTTGAAGTTGATGTGGCCACTAAGAGGGGTTCTGTGCTCGCCTGCTGCGCATGAAACACAAATGTGGATGGCGAAGCAAGGATTACGAACCATTGCGTATGAAGGAGGAATCATGCAGGCCGTGGGGTCTTTCTTCAGCAATATCACGATTTACGAGAGCCCATAGATTGAGATAAAAAATGGAGACTAGCACAAGCCCTGAAAATCAAGATATTGCGGATATTGTGAGTTGAAAGGCAATAGAAACATAAGCATAAGCATAAGCAGCCCTTTTGAAGCCCAAAGTTTAAAGGATAGGCGCCGTGGCTGACCTTGAGATAGTTGAAAAATGGCACTACGAAGCCAGATGGAATAACATCCATCTTTTGTCAATTATTTCCAAGCTTAGCCATATGCAGCGTATGGAGTCATCACTTGAATATATTGGCTCTGGGGTCGCCAAGAGATAACCCTGCAACCCCATCCCCCAAACGAACCAGCCTTACGAGGAGCCCCTCTATCTCGTCCTGGAACAGGGCTATGCTCAGCCTATTAAGTGGGGAACATACTGCATACCAGATGAGGAAATTCAACTCGAGGTTCTTCAGCTTCCGAGGATCATTTCCGATGGTCCAAGCTTCGATGACCACGCGCTAATATATACTCTAACCCTATTCGGGTGGGTGATTCGAGGCTATACCTCATCCGGCATAGATCGACGTCTCAGCCTCTGGGCCCAGACTGTAAGCTTTTGGCATTGAGCGTTGGGCTTTCTTTTTCTTCATTTCTCAATGGCGATCAACTACAGCTGGATCGCTTTGTGGCGCAGTGCCAGATTTCCGGTGTTGTTGCGGGGCGGTGTTGATCCATCTTTTCCCTAGCCCCATTTGAGTTGTGGAGGTTATAAGAGAGTCGAAGTCGCTTCGTTTTCTACATCCTGCATCTTCGTTCACACGGTACTTTCGGCGTCATTTTTTACTAAACATTTTAATTACTTTACTCGTTTCTTCTCGGCCTTGGTCTGCAGATAATTATTCACCATGGGCCTCTTCCGTCGTGACAGCGGTAGCAGCAACCACACCTGCCCGATGCTCACCGACTATGCTATAGAAGCACCCGAGCCTTTTGTTGGAACAATCTCTTTCTATCATTTAAACATGATGATCTCTGGTGCCAGTGCGGCCCTCGTCTGTCTAATCATATTCAGCTTGATGTTTTGGCACGCGACACACTTGAGCAAACCCCGAGAGCAGATCAAGTACGGCTACACTTCTACCATTCCAGAAATTTCGCGCTGATGATAGTAGGATTATGAAAATCTGCATGCTTCTTCCACTATACTCGGTTGTATCTTTCATCTCCATTGTCTTCCCCCACGCCAACATATACCTCGAGCCATGGCTCGAACTATTCCAAGGTGTTGCGCTTGGAGCTTTCTTCCTCCTTCTTTGTGAATTCATCTCGAGCGACACCCAGACCGAGGTGAATCTTTTTTTTGCAGCCTTTGAAGTGCCGCAGACGAAGACCGGCGATGATCCTGTTAATGGTCTAGAATGGTTCAGGGTATGTATAAAATGCATCTAAGAGGCACTAAACAACATGGGCAAGTCAAGGTGGCAAGTCTAACAGTCGATAGAAACGATGGATTGCCATTTTCCAGTATCCTGTCGTCGCCACTCTTGTCGCCATTGTCACGGATATCACCCAGGCTGCCAATATATACTGTCTGGACAGCAGCAAGGCATACTTTGCGCACATTTGGGTAAATCAACCACAGGAAAACAACCCGTGCTAGAGTTCTCGACTTACAAATTCCTATCTAGTTGACTGTCATCTCCACCGTGTCTGTTGCTTCAGCCGTGATATCCGTCCTAGCCTTCTACCGAGCCCTCAGCACCCAGTTGAACTCGCGCCAACCCCTTGCCAAGCTTCTGTCTTTCAAACTAATCGTCGGTCTCTCATTCCTCGAACGAGTAAGACGACCCAACCCTCAACCTTAACCCTCAATCCAACCTAACCTTCATCTTCTCAGATCATATTCACTATTCTCCGCTCAAAAAACGCCCTCAAGCCCACATCCACCCTCAGCTACTCCGACGTCAACTTCGGCATCCCGAGCATGTTGATTTGCTTGCAAATGGTCCCATTCGCACTCTTCTTCCCCTATTCTTACCGTGTCTCCCCATACATCAATGCGGGTCCCTACGAGGGTGGGTTCCTGGGCGTCCGTGCCTGGATCGGAGTACTCAATCCGATGGAGATCCTGCGCGCGATTAAGTTTGCGTTCGAGATGGCGACGCAGTTCCGCAGTAAGGGGGAGCCTGCCCAGTATTCGAATGTCGAGCTGGGGAATTCTTACGCCGTGCAGGTGCCGGCGCCGCCTTATGGACATACCGAGCGGGGGCAGACGCCTTCTTATGAGAGGCTTCTGCATGAGGGGAGAAGGTAATCGGTTCCAACACCTAAGGATAATTTGTTCTAGGGCAGGGATAGGAGTTAGGGTTTGGAGTGATTTTATATGGAGCGAGTGCATTCCCATGGTATGCGGGGTCAATGATTTGTCTTGTTATAACTTAGCGATTGCGCTCAGAATGATTGCGATTGAGGTTTTCACCTTTCCAAAGCAGTCGCCGATGATCTGCTTGTTAAAGACCCCGAATAAAGTAGTATCCAGCGATCCCCAAAATTCGACGCTAGAAGCTTCTAGCAAGCAAACTGAAACCAACCCGTAGCACCCTGGAGCAGTTCGCGAAGCAGTGTTATCAGACACCCGCGGGTTCAGAAAGACCCAACCACCGGGTCAAGACATCCCCAACCCCGACCCTGCATGAACCTCACGGGGAAGAAATCCAAGACATTCAGCATCCGGAAAAGCAGAAACTTCGCTTCAAACTAGCGGGGTGTATCGCAGGATACCGGGAGCCCCTTGTCGCAGGAGCGCACGTTGGTGTTTCAGGTTCGAAAGCTTCTCCGTGTCGGACCCTGACAAGGTACCCCGATGACGAAACCGTACAGCGCGATGCTCGTGGTTTTTTCATTAATGGTGTGAACCATAATTCCTCCGGATGATGCAAAGACATGCAATCGACTAGAAAGGAGGTTCTACCACGCCGCAGGAGCCGAGCCGATCGGCCTGGACGCAGGCCGTGGACGGCAAAACAATATCGACAAGACGCTCGGCCCCGTGCCATTTCTCACCCGTCCTTAATTTTCGGGGTCGAGGTCCAGATTCCAGATATTTGTGATGGGGATTTGCGATCGTGCTGCCATCCCCACTGCACACCGCACGGGCAGAGCGGGCGACGCGGGCGGCTCCCGGTAGCTATCCCGAGATCAAATCCGTGGGTCGTTCATTTACTTGAGTCGGGGCGAGTCCAGAATGCAGTTCGGTGTCTATCATCATATCAAGTCGCGGCAGAGACAATCTATGCAACTGGGTGTGGGACCCTGAGGCGGGAGGTGAGAGTGCGATTTTATGTGAAACATGGTTCTGGATGGATGCTGGGCGAAATGCTGGGCTACGCAGCTGTACTGTACTACCCCTCGGTATGGTCACACGGGATGAAACACGAAACGGAGACACGGGATTGGACTTTGGCTTCCCAGATGGTCTAAATTTTCGGATCTCCACTCTTTAAAAGATACAAGATCATACTACGGGATACGTATGTCGACCTGCCTTAGAGCACTCGTTCGATGATAGGTAATTAAATTTCTTCAGAGACAAATCGAGCTGAGCAACTCGGTTGGCCTCTGCCGGCTGTTGACTTGCGCAGAAGTCTGCTCCTGGGCTGAAAGGTGGAAATCTCTTATCGGCATATTAGGGGGGGGGGGCAGCAGAAGTTGCGCCACCTCATCAATGCCAACTCCACCTTCGATTCGCCTGTGCATTTGGCACTACCGTGAGATTAAAGGCCGGTTCCACTCAGAGCGCAATCCGCCAATAAGTCGCCAGTTCCTGAGACGGTGGGCCTAAGCGTAGCGATGTGATTTGGTTCCTTCGGTTCGGCGTGCGCCTGTCATATCACAGAGCAGTACCTTGGGTAGATTCTATAGACATGGAATGGCTGGCCGCTCCACTCCCCGGTAATACCGTATCACTAGATTAAAGTGGTTTACTATAGTGGGTAGGCCTTAATTAACCGCGTCTGCCTGCTCTTCTCCTACTTTTTCATCTCTTTCCCTCCTTTTCGAGACTGCTGTGCAATTCTCATTCCTTTCTTTTAGAGATCTCTCTGTTACACTCTTTTCTACTTGCGAATTGATTTCGCAGTACCACACTCTTTCAAGAACAAACAGACATCGACTGTCCGTCTCTAGCAAAATGCACTTCATCAACAACTTCTCCGTGGCTCTGGTCGCTGCTCTGGCCGCCACTGCTCAGGCTGAGCGTCATCTGCGCCAGCGTCAGTTCCACCGCCACGGCGGCCGCGACAATGAGCTGCCCACCGTCTACAGCACTGTTGGCTCTTCCTCCTCGGCTGCTCCGGTTCCCGTTGCCTCCAGCAGCGTTGCTCCCATCCCGGCCGGCTCGAGCACCTCCGTGCCCATTCCTCTCGGCACTGGTGCCGCTAGCTCTGGCTCTGCTGGCTCCGCTACCTCCGACGTGACCGTGACCTACACTGTGGGCACCGGCACTTCCACCAGCGTCGTCACCACCACTATTCACCACACCGCCACCAACGAGCACACCGTTTGGGCTGTAGGTATCCACTCTCCTGCATCCTGGACTTCACTGACAATTTGATAGACTGAGACCCCAGCCGTCGATGGCCACTCCCAGCAGGGCTCCGGTGATGAGGGCGAGACCACCATCACCCGCCACTCCACTGCCACCGTGACTGCCACTCTCGTCGAGGCTCCCACCAGCGAGGCTGCTGGCGGTAACGGCCAGACTTGCGGCCCTGCTTCCACCGTCACCGTGACTGCCACCGAGACCGTCACTGTCGTAAGTCCCCTCAATCTTGATCACCCTTCCAAGACCATCACTAACATCCCCAGAACAATGGTGTCACCTCTGTCCCCACTGGCGCCAACCACGAGCAGACCAGCAGCTCCAGCAGCGATGCCGCCGACACAGAGACCTCTTCTGTTGTGCCCATCCCTAGCGCCACCCCTAGCGCCCCCTACGGCAACGGCACCTTGCCCATCCCCCACTCCAGCAGCGCCTCGCGCTTTGCGACCAGCTCCGCCGTCCCCTCCAGCTCCGTCAGCTTCACCATCCCCAGCGCTGCTCCCACCCCCTCCGGCACCCCTAGCTCCTTCCGTCCCTCTTTCCACCGCCGCTTCCTGTAAGCGTCACGAAGGCCTGATGATCTGAGAGCGTTCCGAGGTTATTATGTTCTTGCCTGCGCTGGCGCTGTTCTGACTGGGTGGTACTGGACCCCTTCGCGTCTATTTCCTGCTGTTTTCTGGATTTCACTTGGACCTGTGATTTTCTTTTCTTTTCTTGCTTTGGGTGTTTCTGAGATGAGCAATGATTCTGTTCGATCCGTCTCCCGCGAGCGGGTTGCCCCAAACCCTCTTTCTCGGAGCCTCATCGCCCTTTTTTATTCTTTCTTTCCAATGAGATGTCGATGTTTCATGTCCCATTGGAAATTTTATTATGCCTAGGACCTTTACTCGTATTGTCGGACTTGTGACAGCGCCATTGTGAATAGTGGTGTGGCTTTCCTTTTTGTACAAAATTTACCTATTCCGTTGTAGCTTCTCTTTCCCCCTTGGATTGATCTAATTCATCGTGTCTTCCACCGTAGATGTAGATATTGAATTGATTTAGCTATGACTCCGCTTGGCGGGACCTGTCGATCATGCCGATCGTGTAGATCGGCCATCCTCACATGTCTCGAGAGATTTCGAAGATGGAAGTAGTTACCGAATCCAATTCACAGTAATGTACAAGGGTATCATAGAAAGCAACCTTGGAATACACAAAGACCTCCCCTTATTTCTTACCATCCAATGCCCCAAACCCATCCTGCCCCAACCTCCCCCTCATGCCCTCCCACTCCAACCAAGTCACCCCCTGCAACAAACAATCCGCCAAATCATCCAACTTGCCCACCTCACTCTTCCCATCCTTCCTCAATTTCCCCAAATAAGCCCCCACAAGATCCTCTACATCCTTCTCAATTCCAACCCTCCCTTGTTCCAACCATCCCCCCACAATCTCAATCTTCGCTTTCTTCACCTCCCTGGCACTCATCTTCTCTCCACCCCGCTCCTTATCAATCCAGTACTTCACCACCCGCTTTGGCTCGATCCCGTGGATCTCAACCTCGGAGCTGCGCTCTTGGAGTAATGTGTGTAGGACAGCATAGAGCATGCCCTCGAATACGCCAACGCGGATTGTCCATTCCTGGACGGCGCTGCCGCCAGCTGAGCGGAACCGTTGGCGCTCAATTAGGACATGCGTTGGGTTGTAGGTATGTAGGAGGGTGTTGATTAGGATGTAAGCGTTTTTGGCATAGATGGCAGGACAGAATGATTCTTTTTCTTTATTTTTCTTTCCCATTTTTTCCGGGGTGGGATCTTCGGTCGTTCGTGCTCTGGCTTTTGGCTGTGAGAGACTGGCCTCTGGACTCTGCGGAACAGTCACAGCCTGCACGCCAGATGTCGACTTTAAATCCAACCTCGAGATCTCAGACATGGCGAGCCGGCGCCAGGCTGTCAATTCTGGTACCCTCTCTTGGTCGGAGGGAGGGACTTTCAGATGGGCGAAAGCGAGATTCTGAATCCCCATATCGATACTGAGGATACTCATCGGCTTTTCACTATGCATCCCCCCCTTCCGGGTATCCCCCGTCGGTGGGAGCAAGTACGGAGCAAGCATATCCTGAATGCGCTCCATGAGCATGCCATTTGTTCCAGACGACTGAATTCCCGTGGCGCGTGCGACGCGTTGGAGCTGGACTGATTTCAGCCCCATGAGCCACGGCAATGTGTGGCGCCGTAGTGCCGGGGTCAGACGCATGTTGTCCTTTTGCCTGATCCGGAAAATGGGAACTGTCCTGAATCCAAGCGTCAGGGGATCTGGGGTTGATGTTCCCATTCTCGGCATACCGCGCGCAGGGGTGCCGATCGCGCGCCGATCGGGCACGGACCCGTGTCTGCGTGCGGATTCGGGGCTCTAGGGATGCGGTGACCTTCTTTCTGTCTACGGGAATTGGCAAGTTTGGAGAATAAGGTGATCTGATCTTGATTCACGGGTTGATTTCCCGGTTCCAACCAAAAAAATAACAATTGTAAATGAAAACGCCGTCTATATTTCAAAGATCAAAGACACCCATCCTTGCTCGATGTTATCCCTTGCCCAACGCCGGTCCGAAAAAAAGAAAAAAAAAAAAAGAAAAAAAAAACCACCTTGCCAAATCCAAAATGCATGCGCTGAAAAGCTGACAGTGATTATAATAAAATGTTTCAAAAGAAATAGCACTATGCGAACGTGAGAGGTTCCGTCTCCTGCTCTGCGATCTCATCGCGGAGGTAAAGGAGTGGAGCCCATACACGCCAGTGCAAGACACCCATATGCGCAAGACGCATACCAATACGCTCGATATCATATTGCTGCGGTGATAGTGGGTGCGCTGTAGCCGTCGCCACAGGACCCGTCGTAGGCTGGGGTAAAGTGCGCTGAGATTCGCAGATAGCCAGTGGGGAGAGAGGCAGGTAAGTTCGCGCAGAAGCCATGGTAGCGGTGAGTATCTTATCACGCATGGCGTTCTGGAAATAGCGGAAGAGGTCGGACTCGTTGGAGAGGTGCCATTCGAGTGCGGCTTCGATGGGGGAAATTACTTCGTCGGCCACCACGACGTCGAGACAGCAGGCTGCGCAGGCGAAGCGGGCAATTTCGAGACCTATGCAGCGCATGTTTTGGAGCCAGCGGGCGCTGCCACGGACGTCGACGTGGACTTCCGGGTCGTTCTCGGCGTCGCCGACTCGGCTGTCGAGCTCAATGCCGTCTTCCATTAAGGACCAGATCCGGGAGCGGAAGGTGGAGTAGGTCTCGTCGCGGGCGGAGAGGTACCGTTTTTGAGTGTGGACGTAGGATTCGAAGATGTACCAGGCGATATCGAGGTTGATTAGGTTTTGAATGGTTGAGCGGAGTTGCCAGAGGCGATCAGAGTCGAAGAGGAAGGTTTCGGGGAAGTCGGTTGGTGGATCGAATTGGAGGAGCTGGTCGGATATTCCGCGGAAGAGGGCCTCCAAAGGCTTCATGTTATTTTCTTGTTGGGAGGTCGGGCTTTTGGTGGCGTCTTCCTCTATTGCCTTATCTCGCGACGCGTTGTACCATTGCTGGGCGGACTCGACTCGGAAGCTACCACGGCTGAGTTTGCCTTCAAAATATTCTTGGAGAAATGGAACGGTGTCTTCGATGAGGAGGACTCGGAATGTGCGGATTTGGTGGTTGGCGACGTCCTATAGATGGATGAGGTTGTTAGTATGGGGTCCATCAGAAGTGGAGACGGTGGAGTCGCGTACCAATTTCATCGCCTCGAGAATGGCGAATAACGTTTGTAACCCGTTGACGATCTCCTTCGGATCTTGCGACTGCGATCCCTCGGTGACCTGCTCAACCATTCGATCCGCCCATTCATCCCGCATTGGAGCGCAATGTGTCTTGAGCAGCGCCGCCATCCAAGTCGCCAGCGCCACCATGTCGAGGACACCCTTGCGAATCTGCTGCATCAGCAGAGGAACTTCGAGGTTTTGCATGACACTGGGGTGATCGCGCTCCGGGACTAGAGTTTTGATAACCTCTTGCAGGGTTTCGAACATGGCGGGTAGACGAGGATCAAAAGTCCGCCGAGAGCTCCCTCGAGAAGTTTCGCCCTGACCATCGAGCTGAGATGCAATGAAAGCGTAAATCGCAATCTCCGAAGCTATCGAGTCCCAATAATCGGCAGCTTCCTTCCGCTTGCGCTTCCCCTTCTCACCATCCAAGTCGGGCTTGAAATGTAGGTCGCGGTCGAAGTTGGCATCCATGCGAAGGTTGATATTGCTCATGATACAGGGCAGGTCAAGTTCACTGAGTGTTTTCTTTGTCACGGGAGGATGGCGTTTGGCCTTGCATAATAGTCGTTGGTCGCGCGAGCTCAGCCCCAACGTCTGGGGAATGCAGATAGCTTCCGGGGAAGGCGAGGGATCTCTCCTCGCGCTTGAGGCGGTCGGACGAGCTCCCGGAGGATAAGCGAACGGCGCCTGGCGTCGACGACTAGGGTGCACATTGGCGGAAGCGTCATGGCTGTGAGAATCGCGGCGTTCCTTGTGGTACTCTTTGGAGCGGTCCAGCGGGCCGTCGCCCTCGTCCTGCGTGCGGGCCTCTTTGGTGCCCTGGAGATCCATGGTGAATCTCACACTGCACCGAGGTTAGCTATATTTGGGAACTTCAGGAGATGGCGGTCAAGCCATCCCCGACTCGAACGTACAAAGTCTCTGATTTTTCACTGCTTTGATCGCCCCCCTGTTTGCCTCAGGCAGGCAGCCAATCCGCGTCGGCTTCCAAGTGATGCAAGTGAGCTGTCAATTGTTGTGGAGCAACGAGATTTGCGGATTTGCGACTTCGCGAGTTTGTGATTTGCAGATTCGCAGATTCGCAGCTTTGCAGATTTGCCTCCTCGTGGTTATACTCTCTCGTCTTTCGAATCAAGTCAGGCGAGACATCAACATAGACGTGCAAAAGCGCAAAATCAGCCCGTATGCTGCAGTGTGTCCCCCTCTTAGAAAGGTGTCACCGGCAAATCAGCAGAAGAAAAAGCGAAAAACCAAGAAAACCAATGATTGAGAAAGCGACCGGGACTGATATACACTACTTCGGCTGGTATAACGTTTTCAACCTCACGGATTCGGGTGGACGCAAGCAGCACACATTCCTCTGCTGCTACCCGAACACAGCACAACCGATCCCCCGGTTCAACCACCCCCTGAAATCTATCATTCCGATCAGATCGTTGCAGGGTGACCCCCTTTTCGGTCGGGAAGATCTGGTCAAGGGGAACCTCCCCTAGTGACCCGCACGCCTCACTTTGAGACGCATTGGCCACGTGAGAGGTTCGCCCGAGTTGGGGAACCAGTAGCCTGACGTGGTCAAGTTGCCGATAGGCCGGGATCTGAGGGTCTGAAGATCTTTGATTCCCTGGATCTCTAGATCTCTGAATCAGATTTTGACTTGGTGGGAATACGTGGGGTTGGGTCGGCATCTTAGATGCTTTGGATGTTTTGGGCGTTGATTGCGTCCGGATTAGGGCCCAGTTGTGGCCTGACAAATCAGGCACCATAATCATCTTCACTGAAGTCAAGACAACATGTTTTTAGTTCACAGCCGATATAGAATTGGCCATTTCTCTCTATTTTTTTCTTCAATAAACTGTTGCCATGTCTTGGCATAGTAAGTTGCGACGCGCCACGCCATGTGGCCGTGTCTCGTCTTCGCTGGTTGGCCTTTCTATTGAGATCCGAGTACGGAAACCCTCAATAGGAAGTCTATAAGGCTTTAATCATGGCAAACATCTTGCTTTCTCATAAAAGAAAACATTCATTCCTTCGTGAAATATCTCCGATCAGTTCATTCTGACAGGATATCATCCATCTCCGTTCGATTTCGAGACCCTGGTGATTGAGTAGCCCTGAAGTGCAGCCAGACCGACCATGAATCTCGCGGGGATTATCTACTTTTTTCAGGTCGTCCTGTCATTGTCGAATCGCGTCTTTAATCGATCGATAGGTTCATCTAGGACTTCGCATTTCGAGGTACGCTCGTTACCCGATAGCCCTGCTCTGCCGACCAGCTGGGCTGGTCGGTTGCCCGTGCTGGGAGCGAAGACTGGCAACGACATCTTCTTCTGGCTATTTGAAGCGGAGGACTCAGCCTATGATCACGAGCTCATCAGTGAGTCTGGCACATATACTATAAATACTAGCTCTGACCCTAACTAGTCTGGTTCAACGGCGGACCCGGTTGTTCATCCTTGATAGGTCTGACAGGGGGAAACGGCCCTATCTCCTTCGCCGGAAATTCAACACACCTAATACGCAACCCATATTCATGGACTCGACTGGGCCATGTTCTTTACGTGGACCAACCTGTCGGCACGGGCTTCTCAACCTCTACCTATCCATACCCAGTACGAGACAACGACGGCGTAACAGCAGACTTTGCACAATGGCTCCATACATTCTTCGATCACTTCCCACACCTCAAGTCCAAAAAAGTACATCTTATGGGTGAATCCTGGGCTGGTATCTATATTCCATACTTTGCATCCGCGCTGCTCGAGGGCAAGCACTCCCTCCCACTGAACATACAATCCATGTCCCTGGGCGACGGATCCTGGGGCAACGCAGCCGCATTATCATCCGTGGCAATCGGCACATACATGCACTCACAATCAACTCGGCTCAAGATCCCAAAGGGAATTCTATCAGCTTTCTCCACCGCAGACAAAACATGTGGCTTCGACACCGTCCTCAAAGAAGCATCCATCTACCCGCCAAAGGGCAAAATATACATCCCCGGAAATCCAGAATACTTCAACTACCGCCTAAAGCAACGCGACATGACCGACGCACTAGACGCAGCATGCGACACGGACCCCATCACACCTGCGGAACTTACAAACTCCATTCTAAATTCAAGTTGCTACGGACCCTGTGCCACTTTCTCCACCGCAATGGATTACATGGACACAGCCTCGCTGAAAGACACCGGGGCAGGAATCCCTTGTTTTGATATCTACGACATATCTCACAACTGCAGTAATGTCGACACCCTCCAGCTGATAATGAAATACTTCAGTCGATCAGATGTCCAAGCTGCACTTCACGTCAAAAACAGCGGTACCTACACAGCTTGCAACTCAACTATCCTAGGCATACTCCTTGCAGCCCCAACAGCCGTCCCGCCCGCGTATCACCTCCTTCCGAACCTGGTCACGAAACATAACATCTCACTGCATATCTACAACGGCGAATTAGATATGCTGATCAACCATATCGGCAATGAACTTTCGATTCAGAATATGACTTGGCGGGGGGCACAGGGGTTCTCGAAGAAGCCGAATAATTTGTTCTATGCTGACGATCCTGCCCCTGATTTTGGGAAAGCTGAAGATGGTGACTCGGTTGGGACGTGGAATGCAGAAAGAGGTGTTTCATACCATCTCTTCCGTGGGGCTGGGCATAGTGTTTTTGCGACGAAGGAAAGGGAGATGTTTGCTTATGTGCGGGATGTGGTTGTGGGTGGGAAGGTGGGATAATCGAGGCATTTTTATGTGTACTGTATGAGTTGTGAGAGATGCGATATGGGATGTCTCTAAGGGTCGAGGTCAGGTTGAAATAGTGCTTTCTGTGCGTACAGGATTTTATTTGTTAGCTGCAATTTCATCCTCGTGGTCGGGTTATAAAGGTCCAAGCAGGGAGAAGAAAATAAGCATCAGACGATGTCGACAAAATGCACATCAATGAATAGGAAACCCAGAAACTCTTCCAATTGTCCTGGGTTCAGAAGTTCTTGTTCGTCATAGCTTATATGGGTGACTTGTGGGTGTATCAGATGTTGTGAAACGGACTTACTTCATAGCATGGGTTCGTCAACTCCAAGCCATTTAAGGCAATATCGCACATCTTTGAATTCACGAATTTCTGGATGGTAATTGATAGACTACAACACTATGTTGTTCTCTTATATCACTACTGTAAGCTTTATTTCGCTGATCTGAAACTCGGTACTCCAACTTTGTTGACAAGCTACGCCCGTAACTATCTACAAACGACCGATATTGACTACGGCGCGTCAGGCGTGATGCATACAAGATCCCAATGGTGTAACAACTATGTAGGATTACATCTGATGAGCTCAGGTTTTGTCAAGAAGAAGTCATCGTGGGTCAACATGACTCATGATGAATCATGGTGATGGTCCGAGTCCTCAGGGTAAGCGCTTGGCGAACAAGTTAGGTTCTTGGAAAAGGGTTAGTTTCAAACGTTTGATTCTTTCCAATCTATTCCAGTATTTAAGATCATCGATAGAGCAAATGTAGATTCCATATCATATCAGAATGAACTCGTTGCCCGCTTTGCGCTCAGACCCCACCCACAAAGTCGATGTCTTGTGGTCCACGTTGGCTGTAAGTCTAGTCCAGAATAGGGACATGTAACGACAACGCTCACTTAAAGCTGGCCGTCAACCAGATTTGAAGCGTCATTTAAGCCGACTACTACAGTCACTGGCGAGAGCAGCTTCCACCCTATGGATGTTTCTCATGTTGATACCATCAACCCGTTGAAGTACCTTGGTCCATCTGGCGTCCTTCGGGCCAGTAATCGTGATATTGTTCCAGAGCTATCTAACACGAGCTGGCCTGAATATGATTATGCTCGAAAATCCCCTGTTCCTCGAGGGCAAGTTGTCCGGATGGATATCGGACTTTGGCAAACTGGTATTATTTTCAATGCTGGCGAGATAACTGTTCTCAAAGTATCCGGTCATAATATGACGCTTGCAGAGTTCCCTCCCTTATGGAGCGCACTTCTGAATGGAAATCTCGTCTAGATCTCCCCCGCCGCTTCTAGATCCCTCCGCAGAGCATTTCATGGACTTATACGATAATCTCAATGCCTCATTAGACACTAAAGCACAGCACGTTTTTGTGCCACGATACGGCTAAGCAGGGGTGTGGGTACATTTAGCCGATGGATCACGTCTTAGCTTCGATGATGTAGGGGAAGGGGAGATGCATCAGTTCCATGCGGATCCTAGAGTGACTGTTGATGGGTTTGTGTGGAAGCCGGATGTTATGGATTCGAAGTCGCGGTGGGGAAAGGGGGATGAGTATAGGCATGTTTGTCGACGAGCGAGTGGTACGGATAATGGGGATGCGTTTCTTGCGGTTTTAGTGAGAGGCGGGATTACGCTTTTGGAGATGTTTTTGAGGTAGAGATGGCTGGCTGCTGGGAGGAGAGTTGATGGGGAACATATTCTAGTAATTGATATTGCACTTGCTTTTTATCAGTGGCGGTTAGTTTGGAAGGATCCGAGTGGTTACTTTGATTTCGGATCATTGATTGATCTGTTTGAAGGCAAAGTTGTGTCGGTTGGCTACAGATCGAATACACATACAACATAGGAAACTGTGCACGATGTAACATGTTCATTTGTATTCCGAAAGTAAAGATAAAATTGATGTTTCCGCTAATAGGATTCAAAAATACATGCAGTGGTATCTGTCAGCAACTGATATAGAGGCAGCTGCAGAATCACAGCCTGTCCGTGAGGATATGTAAGGGTATGTGTTCAGATCATGATCATCAAATGTGGGTAAATGCAAATGACACTCCCTAGTCATAATGGATGTCATCAATCAGTTAACGTCGGAAATGTGGCGCTTGATGTCCCATCGAGAGAAGCGAGTCTGCGCGCTGGAAAACGTCGCCCTCGAAGAACTTGTCGCTGTAAGCACTCGCCGGTGTGGAGGGGACGGTTGCCTGTGCTGCAGGGCCAAGTGCTGCGCTCAGTGGAGTGGTAGGGACAGTCACAGAATGAAGGGGCACGCCAACGGCAAGCCCGTATGGGTTCGGGTGGGATGTGAGTGCGGATGTAGAAACCGAGGTTTGATGTTGGGCGTGCGGAAGTTGCAGCGGAGGGCCATAGAGATTGCTCGGTCCATGTGAGATGTCGGCGAGATAGGACCACGGAGAAGCTTCGATGAGACGGCCTGCTTCGCGACTGGCTTTCTGGACGGGGCGTAGGATTATGATGATGTCCTGAGGGAGTAGCTGCATGCTGCGCACTTCTCGCATGTCGGTGACTAGATCCACGAAAGACTGCATGAAGCCTTTACATAGCTGCCAGAACTCGCGCTGGTTACGAAGACCCCCGCCTGGTTCCCGGACCTTCATGCTTGATAATCGAAGACCCAGTGTCTCGGAAACTTCCAGACAGTACCGACAACGACGGATCAGGTTATTCCAAAGCAGTTGGATCCCTTCGGTCTCACGCTGCTGTTCGGTCGCTTCAAGACATCGGATAAATTGCCGTCGAGCCAATGGGAGGGCTTGGAGAGCAGCCGTGTATGCTGATGTGAGTTGGTAGAAGATCTTCTCAAAGATGCGATCTTCCTCAATTTCGTCTAATCCGGTCAACGGATTGATGCGAGATCCAGGTGTAGGAATGGGAGGGAATGCTTCTCCAGAACGAGGTGTGGCTAGCGAAGAAGGGATAGAGGGGTTCATCATGTTAGATCGGCTGCTTGATCGACTGCGCGCGAAATTGAAGGATGGTGTGGCAGGAGAGCCAACAGCGGATTGGCTGGTAATCGGCAACGGGCCAGCCATGGGGATTTGGGGATGTCGGATTGTGGTATCGCTTCGCAAGCGTCGTGTCGGTCCATTTTCACGTGTGGGAGTGACCAATGATCGCTGCAGTCGCTCCGTGGAAGGAGGTGGTCCAGGGGGGCCAGATTGGGTCATCCGAGTAGACACCGGCATCAATTGCTTGAGCGGCGAGAGTCGTTTCTTGGCTGTCCGAAGCGGAACATTCAGACTTGCACAAGCATTGCGCAGCTCTACCAAGCTGCCAAAAATTGCAAGCATCAGCGACCGGACATACCGAGAATCACCATTGGTCACGATCTTGGCAGTGTTGTGGCGCAACTGCGTGATAACATGGCTGTAGGCTGAGACGCATGTCTCGCATTCTCGCTTCACGGCCTCGGTGACTGCCCGCGTAGCGTCTGCATCTTCCGGCAGGGAAGTCTCGGCATTCTCAAGAACATCATTGAGCTGATCCACATGGTAAGAGGCGTTTTCAAAGACAAACTCCAAGCTATGGCGTCTGGTGTCATCACGCTTGACGACATTCATCAATGTGGAAATGTGGGAGTGAACCTGGAATATCGCAAACAAGATGCCTTTAGCACTCTCGATGATTGGTTCATCCGAGCCTCGCTCGCCTTTGTGTTCGGGGAGACTTGACATTCGGTTGACCCAGCCTTCTCGCAAGCGCCGACGCTCGCGTGGACTGCTGGGACTCGACGAGCTGCTGCCACCAGTGGCTACGGGAGTAGGGGCTACCGGTCGTGCTCGTAGAACGGAGCCATGGCTGAGACCGCGCAAGTGGCTGTTACGATATGGGCGGGTTTCGTCTAAAGTGCCCAGATCGGTGTTTTTCCGGGTGATAACACCCATGCGCTTATTGCGGACAGCGACAGACGCCTGAATGATCCCCTCGCTGTTACTGCGATTTCGCTCATTCACGGAGTGGGGGTAACTCCTGGTCGTTGAAGCGCTCCCATATGGTAGCTACCGGTGCCTTGCTGCCCAGAAGCCATGCGATAGTGAGACTTCGCAGGAACTAAAGGCGAAGGTCGTGACAACGACGGAGAGCGAGAGGATGATGCTGAGGCGTCGCCGGTGTTTGGAATCACGGGAAATCTGCTGCTAAGTTTGCGTTTCGGGAGAGTGGGCCTGGGAGCATCGACGACCATATCACTGTTTTGATTGTTTAGTATTGATTCATGGAATGGAAATGGGAGGAAGAAGCCAGCGGACATACGCTTCGGAGCTGTCGGGATCCGGGGTGGTTGCCGCTTGTTGTCGAGTTCTGAGGAACCTCTTTAGCTCCGCGGTAACAGCGACTTCTTTTTCATTGTCAGTCATTCCAGATGACGTTATTTCAGCTTCCGAAGCCTCCAGCACGCGACGCAGAGGGTATCGTAGGGGATTTCCTGCAATTTTGAGGATCTGCAGTTTGTTCATTTCGGACAACCCTGTAGGCAAGTCATCGAGACGGTTCTGCATGGTTGACAGCACACGCAGCGATTTCAGCTTGTTAATCTCGTCTGGTAGCGCGTTGATCTTGTTCCGACTAAGATCGAGAATCTCCAGTAGAGGCAATTTGTATACCTGTCTAACATTAGCATTGTTCATAGCGCTAACACAAAGGGACCTTATGTTACATACGCCCTTTGGAAATTCTCGAAAGTTGTTGGCTCTGATATTGAGATATCGCAGATGGGAGCACTCAGCAAAGCGGTAAGGAATATGGAAAAGGTGGTTGTTGGACAAGGATAACCTTTTGAGTTGAGGTGTTAGTCGCGTCCAAACTTTTGTGCAGCTACACTCAAATGCACTACATACCTTTCCACCTCATCTTTGATGATATCTACCACCGGCTCCGGTATGCGAACGATGTGAGAATGACCCAGGTCGATGGTCAACTTTGGTTTTACCACATCTGTGACAACCTCACTCCCTGCCAGAGAGCGTTTGGTATCCTGGATGCCACTTTCTACCGCGCGTTTCGCAAGTTCGATTGTTTCTTCGTGCGTCAACATCTTCTGCCCAGGCGCTTGCTTGCTACCCGGGTTGTCGCCCATGGCCGTACCCGGTCTTGACCCTTCATCTTCATTTGGCGATGGCGAGCCCTCACTGTATGATAATGGAGGCGGCACCAAAGAGTCGGTCGAACCTTTCCTTCCTTCATCTTCGTCGCCCTCAGCGCGGTAGGGACGCAGTCCCCGGACTGTGTCTTCTGGCCGATTCATTGCAGCGAGCATGGTCGTTACCGGTCGCGGTATTATCGATCAGCAGCACGCCGAAGCGAGTGCGTTTTGGCTTTACAAGCAAAGAGCCAGCCGTCAGTATTTCCCACAAAGCCGACACTTTACCAGACGAGGACGGTATGCGCAAAGGAACATCATCGACTGGGCCGTAAGCCCGAGGGATGCTTGAATACCCCAGGATCGGGAGACTAGGGATCGGCACGCGACGCAGGAGGGGGTTCGAAGTTGGCGTCAGACAATGGGTGATCAAAGAACCGGTACGCTTTGTAGATGTCGAACCCAGCACGGGGGCACTCGAAATAGAACAGCGGACAGCGAACAGCGAACGGCTAACGGTGAACGGCGCAATGATACTCCAGCACGGATATCGCGATGAGATCAGGAATGCGGGCAGGGCGAACAAGGAGAAGAGTAATATGAAGCAATCACAGTCAAGATTGGAGATTCGTGGAATGAAGGAAGTCGGAGGTTGGAGAGACTGGAAGGGCGTTGATTGGACGATGCGGGTAGGCCAACGCACCTCCGCGATCAACGGTTTTCGGATTGCACCCGTGTTGACATGGCCCACCTTATATGTCACGTAGTTGCTGGAAATAGCTTATTTGGTTCATGATTACGAGCTAGGCTCTATAGCCTTTGTTATAAACAAATACTATGCATCTTAGGACCATTAAGCATAGCGACCGCACAGCTTTCTAAGCTGGTTAGTATTAAAGGCTGGTAGCATTAAAAGCCATAGTATATACCCCGTTAATATTTAAAAGCTTTTGAATATGGACCACCTACAACTCTGGAGCTTCATCTAAGAAGTGCAAAGGTATAGGTAACACATTCACAGATGTGATCACTGATGCAAAAGTGAATGTAGCATGTTGCTATCATGAGAAAGTGGCTATGGGAATACATCCAGCAGAACAAATCAAATAATGTACATGACCATCAATATAATTGGAGGATCAAACCCCCCTTGAAAACTCCAGGCCGTTTCTTTAAGCCTTCGCCTGAGCCGGGGCCAACAGGTCAGCCTCGGTGCCAAACGCGTCCGGCTCTGCCTCTGTCTCTCCCATTTCTGGAGCACCAGAGAGAGCCGCATTCCGCTGGTCAAAGACCTGTGCCTCTGTCTTGGCCCACGCCTTCCACTTCTCATATTGCTGGTTCTCCAAATTCATGCCGATGTCCAGGTATGATAGGCCGAACTGGGCACCAGTGGCCTCGGCTTCCTCGGCGGCAACTCGTCGTTCAATATCCTCCTTCAGTCGAAGCTTGTAGAATTCTTGACGGGCAATATCGTAGGCGGCGGTCTTGCTGATATCGGGCACGTTGTTCAAGAGCCAAAGCTGACGCTGGACAACACTGGTAAAGGGAATTTCGTTAATATCGCGTGGAAAAGACGCCTAAGCCAGACATGGCCAGGTAAAGATAGCCAGTGACACACCTTTCACCATCCAACCGCTTTCCGGGTTGCTGAAGGCGGCTCCAGTCGTAGTTCTCAAAGTCTTTGCCGGTGCTTTCGAGGATCACGCGAGGCCGAGCAAGCTCCCAGGGGTGGTCGCGGAAGAACTCTTGTCGTATTTGATCCTCCTCATATTTCAGTCCGACGGGCTTGAATAGTCGACTGGCTTTCTTGGCCTTTCGGGTCTTCTCCTGGACTTCGAAGACGACCTGCGGCTTCGAGGATCCGGGAAGCGTCTTCAGTCGCTGGCGGACCAACTCATGCTGAGGGGCGGGAGTTCGGATAAGGGTCTCGGAGGGAGGAATTTCGCCCACCACTTGGACCCATTGTGGCAGCTGGCTGATCTTTCCGCTGGCGAATTGGTTGATCGCGGTCTGGCGCACCCGAAGGGCCGTAAGGTTGATTTTGCCCATGGCGGCTTCTGACACAGCCCGATGGCTATGTGAATGTGAGCCTCGTAATTGGCAATAGTCGACAATGCTAGGCAATTGTAAAGCAAAGGGCAGGGAGATAATCGACCAAGGATGCGAAGTCGCGGGAGTGAAAAAGATGGGATTGGCAATATGCGCGACTCCGATTGGTCGAAGCGGGCCCGCCGCAAAGACAGAGTCCGCTCGTTCATCAGAAAAACACTCCAGCTTCCCCGTCCTCTCTATCTTCACATTTTATTCGTCTTGTCTGTTTCTGAGGCCGAGAAGCAGTCAGGTCATCTATCCGGGACTGGCCTAGTCGTTCTCTGGACATGCATGGCTGATTCAATGCCACGATGTCTGCTCTCTCATGCCTCAGCTCAATAGGTCCCCCAGCTCGCCGAGCCTGCGAGATCCCCCCAAACAGGCCCTTGAGCTCTCTACTCGACCTTCAATGCCCCGTCCGAAACCTCTCTACCATGCATCCGTCCGAAGACTCTCCTCCCGTCCCCGTCCTTCCGTCGCGTCAATAGCAGACATTTTTGTCGGCTCGTTGGTCCTTGCCGGTTTCTGTCATGACCACTCTCCACGAGGCCGGGGTATATCTACTACGCCCTTGAGACCACCCGAGAATCATTTGCGAAGATTCCGTGGCAAAAATCTGGCTGACCGTGGGCAAATGCCTGCTGGAAGGCGCGTGGAATATTCGCGAACGTCGGTGCAGGCATCGCGACCTCGGTCATGGCTCAGCACTGGCTTGGCGCAAAAGCCGATAGATGACGCCCATGAGCATAATCGCGCGAACATGCCCACGAGGACGAGGTTTGGAGATTATGAGGACAGTTCGTTGTCCGATCTAGGGGAGGATGCATTGCATCGACGTTTCGGAAAAGAAAATCTCATTTCCGACACCATGGTAGAATCGAACCAACCTACACAACTTGAAAGGGGAGAAACAAACGATACGGAAAGTTTACGCATCTCGCCGAAAGAAGAAAGAGCAAATCAACCACCAGACGAAGAACCCGCGCTTTCACATGACGAAAAGGACCACATGGAGACATCCCAGTTTTTCAAAAAGGCTCTGGGCAAGAAACACAATTGGGAAGAGGCTGTATACGTCGTGCTTCCTAAGCCGCAGGCGAAAAGAAAGGAGGTCAATAAGCGTGACGGGATTGAAAGTCGGTCGGTGGCACGTCTCGTGGAAGCGTTGAAGTTCGAGAAGGAGGCGCCGATGCTAGAATTGTTCAACTTATATAGGGAAATACCTTCGCCGGGAGTGGCGAAACTTCCCAAACACTGGCGAGGACATCTTTTGCGCCGATTTTCAAAGCCCCCGAATCGACGATGGGGCGACGCCCGCCGATATCTGGCATTGGTGGATGACATGAACAAGGCCGATCTTCCCATGTCACTTTCTTTATGGTCTTCTGCGATCTCTTTTGCTGCTCGAGGCAACGGCAGCGGTTTGGTGCTAAGACGAGATCTGGTTCGAGCAATTGGTCTTTGGCAGAATATGGAGCATGTGGCCGGAGTTGAAGCGGACGGTGTGGTCTTCAGCATATTGATCGATTGTGCCATCAAATCCGGACAGTATACCGTTGCCGCTGGCCTGGAGGCGCAAATGAGAGAACGTGGCTTAGAATTCGACCGTTATGGGGCAGTCGCCAAGATCTTCTCCTCTGGGCTCCAAAAGAACGTTGAGGGCATTACTGCAACGTTCGAGCAGTTTGTCAGGTCCGGACACATCGTCGATACGGTCGCCTTGAATTGTGTGTGTGTATCTTACCTGCGAGCTGGTGAAGTGAATACTGCAGAGCAAATTTATGCCCGCATGCTCGAGGCACAACGAGCCGCAAAAGGCTCCAAGCCTTCGGCCCCCGACTCTAATGCGCAAACAGAACCCGCTCTCTCGAGCCAGTTTTCTATCTACCGAGGAAGCACGCGAAAGATGGGTCGTCTCTTGAAGAAATCGCACGCCCTTAAAAGCAAACTTCCAGCGTACCATCGGGCTCTCCAGGACTCTGTGCCCATGACACCGGATACTCGAACCTTTTATATCTTCCTCCGGTATTTCTCTCGCCATTCTGGCCAACTCGATATGTTCATGACCGTCCTCCGCGACATGGAAAGTACTTATACCGTCCCCCCTCGCCACCTCATCTACATGCTGCTCTTCGAAGGATTTGGCATTCACGGCAAAAATAAGAGGTCCTGGTCCGCCGAACGACTTCGATTGATCTGGAGTGCATACCTCCGGGCTCTGCGCGATTCAAAATCAAGACTCGACGATCTTTACGAAGGCAACCAGTCCGCGGATATGGTCTGGGAAAATCCGTTGGGTTCTATGATCGCTGATCTTCAACCGAGCCTTCCGACTGAAGATCCCAATGGTCTCTACGTGCCCTTGCCGTTGTTCGGCACACAGAAATATCCTGGCTTAATTCAGGGGGACGATCCTGGTGGTTTCTTTGCCTCTGCGCAATCGGACAAGGTAGATTCTGCACCGGATGCCGTGAAGCCAAATAACCCCGACAAGCCAATTATGACCAAGGAATCTCTTTCAAGCAACGATGAAAAAGCCCCCGAGGGGCCTCAAGAGCCACACGACACTAATGGATTCTTCTCATCTCTTTGGCCAGATGACATGGACCTTGCGCCGGGCCTTATCCCCTCCAAACCAAATGTGATCAATAAGTCTCCTTCAACAAAGAATGAAGACTACGATGAGAACAAGTACACCGATGAGCTTGACGAGGCGATCGCGGAAGGAGATACCGAATCAGCTTGGATCGATAGAGATCGTGATTACGGGGTCATTCGCGATCATGGCGTAGGCTTTGAAAACGGAGTCTTCATCGGACGCAGGATGGTCATTGCCATTCTGCGGGCATTTGGCACAACCTGTGGGCCCAGGGAGGTCTTGGAGGCTTGGCTTCAGCTTGAGAAGATTTGGCGACCTCATCAGCGCATGGCCAATGATGTGTATGCTGTCAAGGAGGAGCTCGATAAACAAATGGCGAAACACTCGCCTCATGTAAAGTAGTCTGGGGATGATTTTTGCTTCGATACCTGTACATTATTCATGGAGCTATATACCGATTCAATTAGATCGAATTCTTTATTCCAATTTATGGGTTTGGGGTACGTTTTAGTTGATCTTGGTGGTGCGTTGGGTCAAAACCGAAAGACGTTTCCACTTCAACCTGTGCATAGCTCAGATAGACTACTGGAAGTTCATTCAGAACACTGATACAGTATGATATAACAATAATATCTTTGACCACAAATGGCCCTAGCAAGCCCTTAAAACCTAGATTTTAATTAGTGAACTAACAAAAGGACCATATCCCAACAAAGCCAGGTTCGAAACAAAGGCTCGGGAAATCAGGGCGTGAATCCAACAACAATATCTCCAAACCCAGTATCTCACCTCTGATATTTCTCCGAAGCGTGCCCAGGATGAGATTTAATCTGCTTCATGAAATGCGAACTAGTACCAGGGGAAATCAAACACTTACGTTCAAGCGCAACCAGCACCGCAATTACCCAGCGCTGGCTATGTTGCATAGGAATATCATGCAACATCATATGCTCAACATGAGCGAGCTCGGAAACAGGAATGTTAGCAACCCATTGTTTCGACACAATAGAAGGGTGGTTAATACTTTTACTATTTTCCTTTCGAAGCTCGTAGTCGTTGTCATGGGTTGGAAGGGTATGCCACCATGTGCCATATGAATGACCCTTGAGATAAAGTATCAAGATCCAGTTTACCGCGCTGTCGGGGGGTTCTTTGCAGAATCCCACGTAGAGGTCGCGGAATTCGGGTGTTGGGGTGGTCACTTGGGGGGATAGCGATACTGGAGTTGTACGGGGGCTCACCTGCAAGAGAAATTTGGAGAAGCGAGTCATGTTATGCAGCTTTGAGTACTAGGCTTTCTTATGATTTTTTGGTCATGCGAGTTGAGTGATCATTCAACGCCGAGGGCTGGGTGACGCCTTTCATATGAATTCACTTAAAATGCGGTAGCAAAGCTAACTTGATCGTTTGTTCTATTGTACGCGCATGCTTTAAAAACATATACTTTTCTTTTATCTTGTCAGGGGCCACAAAAAGATTAATTTCTTGGAATATGAAGAAATGTGCATAATTTGCAGTGCACACAACGGAATTGTTTGAATTTCGAAGTATTTGTCTAGCCCTCTCTTGCTCATTTATCAAAGTATAGGGCCAGTGTTGCGCTGCAGGCCTATTACCCTTTTGGATGGTTGGTTGATGCGAGAGAACAAAATGCCCTTGACACATTTGTTGAGATGAGTCGATTTCTGCCATTTGAGCACCAGTTCCTTGAGATTCTAGAGCTTTTTGAGCTTGACAAAGACAGTCATCAAGTGTATCAACCCTGTGAGAGACAAATTATTTCAAAAGAAAAGACAAAGCCAAGACAGAGTCAAGTAGCGACGAAATCAGGAACAATGCTTTATCTGGGCCCGGTTTCGATGATGATCTATTCAAAACCCTACCAAGCAATGACATTTGTCTCTTTTTAAAAAAGAGAGCGAAGTTTAGTGAACATTCTATCAGTAACATACGCAAGAACATGCGGTTGTTTGGTAGTGCTCCCCCAGTGCCAGTCGGTAGACAACCAAGCGTCGCCCTTATCATGCTGGACGCCCTCTATGACCGCCTCGTAGAAACGCCCCGCCTATATGTCGAAGAGATGGCTATCTTCCCATGGGATGAATTCCAACATATTAGCACCGTCATCCAGCATAGACGGGTTGGTCACCACTCGGAGTGACCCCGGTCCAAGTGTCAAAATTTCACCGGGGCCATCATTACCAGATACTGCTGGCATGTGCTCTATATTGTACTTAAACAAAGACTGACCCGGAAACATCTCCTATTGCATTTACAAGTTCCTATCCAGCGGGAGGCCCTGCCATTGATTGCCGTGTTGCTGGCTCTCTTGCTGTGCAATCGCAGCAGTTGCCAAGGGAGTCCAATTCTCCTCTTTGCTCGGCCAGTGTTCCTGGTTAGGCAATTTTGTCGCATGGGCTTCTTCGTAGTGCTGGAGTAGGTCATGCATTGTCGGGAGCGTCACACCGCAGCAAGAAAAGTCCTGCATGATAGCCTCCAGCTTTGGAACATATGATGGGGGATGGAAAGAAGGCGACATGCAAGTATTAATGATACTGTGGAGAACGCAAGAGGTTAAATTTAATGCTGTGCGACTATCCGCGACGCCCAATTTTCTCCTTTGCCCGCGCGCCTCGGGGTTGCCGCCACTCACCCATTTCTTATCCAATTTCCGGTCGACACACCACCTCGACTCATTCTGCCTCCATTTGAAAGGGAGTCTTGGATGGTCTCAGTTCGGATTCGCGGTGGCTCAAAAGCAAGAGTTACATCTTCTAACGTCTGGAAAGCCTCAGTATTATCAACATCGTCGATATTCATGATATCTTGTATGTCTTCATGAATGGTGAGATCGAATCCTTGGAGTGATTCTCGAAGCTTTGAAATAATGAATTTGCGATTTTGTCGAAACGCCCTGGGCATAATGCCAACGCTCTGCAGATCTTTGCGTAATTCCCTCCATGCTTTTCTCTCATTCGGGGCAAGTGAGCAATCAGAAAAAACCGATCCATCACGCTGACCGGTCTGGACTTGTTTGATAAATTTCTCCAGTAAACGCTCAAAGTTTGCTTGTGAAGACCTATTTGAACTGTTTACCAAATATTCTTCGCATGTGAAATGCCTTGACAGCCACACCTAGTCAATCTCATATTGAAAAGGGGATGGTTCGATGGCTGTCTGACAATACAGACTGGGCAACAGCAACCAACGAACAACACACACACAACCTGCACGTAGTAGAGGTCGTCCTAGGGGAGGTCGCGAATGTCCTTGGTGAGGCCGTGAGGTCGTAGGTGCAATCCTGGACGCAGCAATCCTAAATGAGGCCGTACGGTTTTTCCCGACTGAGCCCGTATGGAATGTACTTAATATAGCATGTTGAATGAAAGAATGTAGTGAAAACTGGAATGAATTGGGTAGATGCCTCCCCTTCTCTCTATCCTCATGTAGAAGCTGCTGCTTACAGAGGAACCAGAAGGCTACACAACACCCTTTCGGTCACTACACAACTCACGTGACTTTTCTACCAATTATGGCCCGTGCTCACTACACCACTATGAATTTATAGGGTATACCCTAGTAACCCGGTAATTTACACGCACACCCCCCGCTTATCTCTCAGTCCCTCTTAATCATCATCTATCTTACCATGGAACACGTTATGGATCATACCTGGAGGGCTTATGAGGATCGAACACTCTCTGAGCTTCTACAGTATGATACTGAGTCTAATCCAGACGATATAGATGAGTATATCGATCCGTTCGATAGCGGGCCAGAACCTGGAGCCGCAAATCCTGTCCCGGATGAGGTAAATATATATTCACTATAATCAGTTCTATACTAGTTCATAATTAATTCCGAACTAATTCATTTATAGGTAACTCATATTCCGACCCCCTTGACCTTTCATCCAACCCATGCTGTATCAGCTGCTGTGATTGAATACGTGCCTTTGCTCCCAGAGTATCCAGAGACTCGTTACTAGGGTATACCCTATAAATTCATAGTGGTGTAGTGAGCACGGGCCATAATTGGTAGAAAAGTCACGTGAGTTGTGTAGTGACCGAAAGGGTGTTGTGTAGCCTTCTGGTTCCTCTAACCCGGTAATAGGGCAAAATGAGAAAAAAAGTCACGTGAGTTGTGTATCGACCGAAAGGGTGTTGTGTACCCACCTACATCCACTGTAAGCAGGCCTAAGGTATTCGTGACACCTCAGGCCGCAACTGTATTCATTATGTCATGCGTTCCACCACTACAATATGTATATTGTTCTAGAACCTTGGGAGCAACTATCTGAACTCCGAAAAGTTCCAAAAAATACCTCGCTAGTTACGCAAATGAGATAGAGAGCATTGAAGCATTAAGTTGTGGAAGGAACTGCAGTTGTCAAAGACCTTGAACACTGGGCAGAAGTATGCCGCCCCAGATAGGCAAAAGTGATCGCATCGCGTGATTACGTGTTGATGTCGGCATCCATCGGATACCGGGAAAAGTGTTATTCCCGCACGTTTATAGGGTTTGCATGTCTATTCTTATATAAATTGGCAGATTGATAGATTAGACAAATCAGAGTTTTTTCAATACGCCTGATCAGGCCGACCGCTTTCTATATTCGACACTTTGCCGTGGGGGACGGCTTTATCTCTTTACTATTTATGATTAGCCAGCCGTTTTGTCTCTTTTTCTAGTGAGGTGGACCAACTCGGTTTTCTCGGATGCAAAACAGGACCCGTTTCGCCGAGCCTATACTTCGATATAGGGAATGTCTTCGGACTGGATTTTCGCTAGGTTTTCTTTAGCAGAAGGACCTACTCGCTAGCGGAAGTGATTGTCAATAAAGGCTGATGCCCCGCTATGGGAATCTACTGGCTAGTCGACCAGAGCGGAGTTGAAGAATGCAGAGTACCTAACAAGTCATCGATAGGACCTTCAAAAACCGACGTATCCTGATACTGCATTCGCACGAATTGTCGACGAAGCATTTCTCGTGAATGCTTCCATGCTGGGCCATCCTGGGTGAATATACCATGGCCAATCATAGGTAAGAGCGCATTCCGGCTGTTACCAAGTTCCCATTCTTTTGTAACATTGTGTGAAAAACTCTTCGAGACTAGGTTTGAGTAGAGGCGCTCACCAGTGAAGTGCGTCTGGAGCATGGCCTCCGGATTCCTGGGGTCCATAGTGAAGTACCCAACCTGACCTAACAACTTGTTCTCAAAGTTGGGCCAATTTGATGCTTTTGGAAGTAGCCCGCTTGGTCGTCCAGCAGGTTCCCATTCACCAGAACTTTGTATTGAAGTCTGAAAACGTCGATAGCCAATGGCCATTTGTACGGTAGTCTTTTCAGAATGGGCTGACAGCCATGCCTATGACTGAAGAGCTTGTTTACCTAGAGTCAAAATATCGGCAGAATCCTGTGGACGTCTGACTTCATTCTGGCGGCTCTCTTGGATCAAGAAGTAGGCCCACCATGAAAATACAAGGACCGATTTGAACTTGTATTATGAATTGACGAAAGGACAATTCAAGAATAATAGAGTCTTAGACAAAGATTCGTGATATCAGAGCAAGAACAGGTTCGCGCCAGAGGGCCCAAATGATAAGGGGCCACGGATGCACCCCGACTCATGCGTCAAAACCAGACCCCACCTCAGCTGAAAAATTTGAAGATAGTTGCTTTGGCGGCCTTTGGTGCTACGTTAGCGCTGCGTTAGTGTTGTCCAAGCGTCATGTTCCTCAGTGCAGGATTTGAGAGTGGTAGGCCCATTGTTGTCTCAACAATCCCTTTCTTTCTGCAGGGGGAAGCAGCTCTTCAGACTCACCCTGGAATGAACAAACTGGGTGATGGCGTATTTTGGGATGGACAAAAACCGTTACTGGCCACCTGTTCCGAAGCACGTGTCCACATCAGGTCTTGTGGAATGTGATGAGACACACCTTAGCGCCTCCATTGGGGCGACTTAGTCCCGGGTTTGGGCTGTGTTACAGGGGTGGGGGTGGGGGCTGAAATAAGCGATTTGACTTCGCAAGGCTCATTATACACTGTATCTCCGTTTCACAGAGCGCTGCTCAAACTTCGCTATCTACATATGCTGTCTTGGACCAATAATCGGCGAAACTACTTACGGAATCCCGGCGTTGAAATATTCTAGTCGCGCCGGGCACTACCTCGATAATAATTTTCCATCGATATTGCTTGCAAGCCCCTTTCCCAGTGTTTTCAATAACTTCGTCTTCTCAGGACAAGGGGCTGGATAAGCGGCTTTGGATTTACCATGGACCCCTTTTCAATCATCGTCGGTGCGGTGGGCCTTGCAGACGTCACATTACGCACTGTTACCTACCTCGGGCATATCAAAAGCGCTTCTACGAAGATTCAAGCCGAGATAAATGTCTTAGATCAGGAAATATTCGCTCTGACAATTGTGAATGAGTCGGTACGGGAAATATGGGAATCCAAGTGTGACCCAAATGGCTTCTATGTGTCTAACGAAAAGTCGTCAATGGTGGACAATATTTGGGCGGACATGGGTTTACTTTTAAGCCAAGCCACGAGCACCATTAAGGAGCTTGAGGAACTCCTCAAGGAGGTTCTCGGCAAGAAAGGCGCTCTCTCACGAGGCAAAATTGAGAATTTCATGACAGTCATCCGCAAAGAAGATCGATACAGCGAATACACCCAAGTCCGTCAGCGTCTAACAAATTACCAGGCGGGTATCCAAATGCTATTCATTGCTCTGAACACGTGTGTTAATCTAGTTTGTATGATGCAAGAAATCACGCCTGACATAGTTTAGCTACTACATGCGCAAAGGCCATTCCGACAATGATGTTGCTATTGGCAACCTCTCAGACAAATTGCACCGTCAAAATACGATGCTACAGCGGCAAATTACCAGGTTCCGTCAGACGCTTCAGGGCTCCTTTGATTCAGATGATGTGAGTTGAAATATTCTACTATTTTTATGAGTCCGGAGGCAGCATCATCGCTAACTCAGTAAGCTTTACGACTCACTCCGATCTGCCGACGCAGTGGCATCGGCCATTAGGTTCAACATGCATTTTGACGTACCTCAAAATGTCAGCAGCTACTACACGGGCCGATTGAAGCAGCTAGAAGAACTCAAAGTCATACTCAAGGTTGACCAATCCCGTGAACTTCAAGATCACCAAAAACGATTCGTTATATATGGTCTTGGCGGCTCTGGAAAGTCTCAGTTCTGTTGCAAGTTTGCGCAGGACAACAGGGAACAGTAAGAAAAACCCCGAGATTGTCTCAATGTGATTAATAAAGATAACTAGTTTTTGGGGTGTCTTCTGGATAGACGCCAATTCTGACGAAACTGTCAAACACTCGTACGCACGAATTTCCAAGATAGGCGGCGTTGAACCCAACGAAAGTGCGGCCAAAAATTGGCTTTCAACCTTGCAGCAACCATGGCTACTTCTCGTCGACAACGCTGATGACCCCAAACTTGACGTTATGCGCTATATTCCGAGAGGAGAAAGGGGCGTTGTTCTCATCACTTCCCGTGATTATGCGAATAGGAGACATGGAACGGAAGGTTCTCGTTTTTTTCACTTCGAAAAATTAGCAATTGATGAAGCTAGCGACCTCGTTTTAGCGGTAACCGATCTTCCACGCCCGTGGGAAACCTCAATCAGGGAATGCGCTGATCGGATAGCCAATCACTTGGGCTATTTACCTCTTGCGTTGGTTCATGCCGGAAAGGCGATTCTGGATCGATTGTGCTCCCTGAATGACTATTGTGAATATTACGAGCGAACATGGGAGAGGATTCGCCGTACTCATGGTCGGAGTCGTTCTCATTCCCGTGGTCATGAGGAGGAAGATTGGTCCGATATGGTTGTGTATTCTTCATATGAGATGATCTATATTCGCCTCGAGAACAAGGCCGACGAGCGGTCAAGAGACGCCCTAGAACTTCTAAAAGTCTTTTCATTTTTCCACTGGGAAAATATTGAGTTTGATCTGATCAAAACGGCCGCTATGAATCCTCGCCGAGAACGAGAAGCTAAACGCATAAACGCAGAGGCGGGAAAAGAAGAACCTAAAGATCAAGGACCCGGGACATGGAGAGGTGCAATCCAAGAAGGGGTCATTGCAACCCTGGAGCCACTAATGAGATCTACTTCAATCTTGCCGGCAATCTTATGTGATGAGGATGAGGACCCGTTCGAGGTGGACCGGCTGCGCAGCGCATTGTCACTACTCGTCCGCCTTGGCATGTTGACGCTTCATGATGAGAATAACAGTTATTGGATGCACCCATTGGTTCACACCTGGGTGCGACGGAGACCTGATACTAGTACTGCTGAGCAAGCTGTCTGGTGTCAAGCAGCCGCTACGGTGTTGGCACAATCCATTTTTCTTCAGGCCCCGAAGGCTTATGAGGCTCAAGATGAGAGGTTCAAAAGAGATATTCTACCGCATGTGGAGAATGTTCGAACATTCCAGGAGGATATCAACAAACGCCTCGAAGATGACCGGAAGAACGCCCACTGGTTTTGGCCATTAACGCGGTTCATAATGTGGCTCACGCCTCATTTCGGGCTCGGGAGGCCCCAGGCAATTCGACTTGCCAAATTTAGTTTAGTCTATCTCCAATGCGGGGAATGGGTCAAGGCAGAGGAGCTTCAAGTTCAAGTCAAGGATTACGTATTTTCGACCTTAGGACCTGACTCGGAAACTGGAGTGGCAATTGCTCTGTTATTGTCCCAGAACTATGCCTTGCAGACACTCAACAACAAAGCAAGAGAGCTACAGTATCAAGTCCTTCAGTCTGCCAAGAACTACTTTGGTCCTGATCATCCAAGAACTTTACAAGTCATGGACACTCTCGGTTTCACATGTCAAGTGGGCAGCAGGCTCCAGGAGGCTCAAGAACTGCACGAAGAAGTCATCAAGAAGCTACTCAATCTCGAAGGCTATGGCCGGGAACATGAGGCCACTTTGACTGCTATGAGTAATCTGTCTAAAGTGAAACTTCGGCATTTCCATCATCAGGAGGCGTTCGAGCTTCAATTGCAAGCCTTTGAGGGAATGCAAAGAGTCCTTGGTCAAACGCATCAGAAAACTTTGGAGGCCAAGGATGATCTTGTGGCTCTTTACGGATTTATCGGCGAGAAGCATCTGCCCCTGGCTCTGCAAATGGGCGAAGAGAACATGCATGTTCGAATCAAAACACTCGGTCGTGAACACCCCTTCACACTGAAGTCTCAGTTGAACGTGGCGAAGATCAAGACTGCGATGAATCAATTTGAGGAGGCCGAGCAACATTTCCTTCAAGGTTTGCCTGTAGCTGCAAGGAATCTAGGTGACAAACACCTTGGGACTCTGACAGCTGAGACTTGGTATGGACATCTCCGCTGGCGCCAAGGTCGGTACTTGGAAGCACAAGTCATATGGGAAGGAGTCACAGCAAAGCACAGATACGAAGAAACAAAACGTGGAGATGGAGAGCATACTGATCGGTGTAAGTGATCCTCGTCTCCTAAATCGTTTCAATTTTTATGCTCTTTTGTGATGAGATGCTAAAAGCCTCGCCCATTTAGTGCAAGCAATGTGGTTCCTAGTCCATTGCCTTGAAGACCAAGGAAAAATTGATGAGGCCCTGGACATGTGTGAGAAGGTCGCTCGCCTTGTTCAAGATTTTGGCGGAGAGGGACTAGGACAGAAGCACAAATTCTGGCAATTTTTGAAGGAAAAGAGTGTGGAATTGCAAAATTTGAGGAAGCTGAACGAGACGAGCAATGCCCATGGCAGTCAATGCTTTCTATCAGACCACGAGCGGACAAAACTTTCATCCACAATACCACCCAAGAAAATAGTGAAAGGCTTTACTTTCTAGAGAGTTCTCGAAGGATTTTGATTTTCGATTTTAGCGTGCGTGAGCTCGACCCAAAACCTGTCTGTCAAAGCACCGGAATCTTTTGAATCTGCTTTGTTCATCGCCACTCGCCCAGTCTTGTATTGTATAGCTACCCGCTTTCCGCAACTTCATGCGTCATCAATTTTGCATTGATATTATGAGAACTGGCCGTGAGATACGAGGGCTGGAGGTGTTTGAATTCTCTGGCGAAGTCATAATTCTATTGCCTCTATTCCTATAGTTAAGATGCAGATCTTATAACATGTGTTGAGGTAGCGTGTCACATCATTAGAGTCATAGAATGCCAGAACTGTTTTGGATCTGTTGATAAGATGCTCCATGGCCTGTGTATATAATTCGTTCTATGTTGACAGTGTATACCCCCCCCCAGTTATTTATCCTCTCTTCATTCTTTTCGCTCTTTTGCCTAGTCGTGATCTCCTTCAAGCTTTCATCCCATTCTTCCACTCTACTGAGCAGAAGGGGCGAAAATACAAACAAAATTCTTTTGGTTATTCTCTCTTTCCAATACGCAGCGCTGTTACCATTTCTTCATTTCTGGCGTGAACCTCGCTCCCAGAAACTCTCTAGCGGTTTGTGTCTTTATGACACAAACCGCTATATCGAATACAAAATTTTGCCAAGTAGCCTTGTGAGTATTGATGAGCAAAAGAACTCACACCTGAATCACTTAACAGATTTATCGTTCAACCTCATTGCTATCCTCTTTTTTATACACTTGTGTTTGCCCAAAGATCGACCATACACGTCCGCGTTTTTCTCCCTGTCGCATTACAATACAAACACGGGAAATTTTGGTCTGGGTGGTGGTGACTTCTTCTTTCTTGGATCTTGTATCATTCTTTTCACTGGACTTCGTGCTAGCTGTATGGAATATCTCCTCGAGCCCCTAGCTAGACAATGGGGTGTATGGAAAAAGAAGGAAGTCATTCGATTCTCGGAACAGGCATGGCTACTGTGCTATTACTCGATATTTTGGACGCTTGGCGTGGTAAGTTTCCTTGCCCTATTTAACCCCATGACACCGTAATTGACTCCTTCAGTATATCTACTACACCTCGTACTATTTCCTAGCCCTAAGAGAAATGTTCACCAATTGGCCAGCCCGAGAGCTCCCTGGGATCACGAAAGCGTACATCCTGGGCCAGTGGGCCTTCTGGCTACAGCAACTCATCGTCATAAATGTCGAGGAGCGTCGCAAGGACCACTGGCAAATGCTAGCTCACCATATCATAACGATTTTGCTGGTTTATACCTCTTACGCATTGCACTTGACTCGCGTGGCCAACCTGGTACTGGTCCTGATGGATGTGGTCGATATTTTTTTCCCTGTGAGTTCATCCCATTTCTACACACGATAAAGCACTGACACTCGGTTAAGCTCGCCAAATGTTTGAAATACCTCGGTTTTTCCACCATGCGAGATATCATGTTCGGCTTCTTTATGCTTTCATGGTTCCTTGCGCGCCACGTCTTTTACATCCTGAACATGTATCACATCTGGACCTACATGCCTGAAACTATTCAACCCGGCTGTTATTACAGATCACCGGACAGTCTGATAATCGGCCCAATCCCACTACCCAAAGACGGCCGGTCATACATGTTTGAAGCGTTCCTGAATCCGTCTGGCACCATTTGCTACAGCGACGGTATAAGGTGGGGGTTCCTCGGTGCTCTGGGGTTCCTTCAGGTTCTAACCATAAATTGGTTTTTTTTGATCCTTCAGGTGGCCATCCGTGTCGTCAAAGGCGTTGGCGCTGATGACATTCGGAGTGAAGACGAGGATGGGGGTGAGTTGGAAGAGAGAAAATACACTTGAAGCAGACCGATCGCTCGATACAAGCGTTGAGGCTGTTAAACCAAAGGCGTGGATGCGCAGGGCTGACGTTCGCGGGTCTGCAAATTCGTCTGGAGTGGGGATGCCAGGGTCTTGGGATCGAAAAGAATTGTTGGGCAGAATCGGGTGTGAGAAACACTGATTCGCCATTGGAAGCAGAAGCTCGTTGAGTTCTTTTGAAAATTGCACCCTTGCCGCGTATGTGTAGATGGCCCTTTTTCCTAGTCCAATTTTTGTCTCTCAATATTAGCAACTTGTACCTGTCTGTCCCTAATCAACAAAGGCTCCTAGATCCGGTTAGTTTTGCTTTATTTGGTTTAGCGCCCCAACACGCCGTCACTTAACTGCGCCCTCCACAGCCTTGACATAAAAGACCCATCTTCGCCCTCTGACTTCTCCATTTCTCTTCCATCCCCTCTATCTTGCACCCATCGCCGCCCCCTTTCTTTATTTCTCGCCCCCACTGACTATTATGCATTGGCCTCCAGACCGACGCACTGCCTCTTTCGTTTTCTCGGAGATGCCGCTCGATCCGACGCCCCAGCTCGTTCTCGCTCCTTGAGCTGGAACGCAAGTCGCACCGGAGCAGAACCACTGGGACGATCCAACCCCAGCAGCACCGCGTAGCTTCGGGTCGATACTCCTAGTCATTCCTCAAGGAATTGGCTGTGCATCATGGTACGAAGCTATCTAGGTCTTTCTCTGTTAGACAGCCTTGTTTGTCTCTGATTGTGCCGGCCTCTTTCACATCTGCAAAATGCCGGTATACTCTCAACGCCGCATTCCCCGCTCCTTCCGCCATCTGAGGTTGCATTGTACAGCTACCAGTGTCGCAGAACGGCACTCGGTTGCCTAGCCGCGAATGCTGTGGCGCCCAGTTGTAGTCACTATCGGTCTCTCCGGTTCGTCCGCACCCGGTCGATGAAAATTCGAGGCACAGCCCGGTGGTATGGGCTAATAGCGAAAATACCGCACACTTCATTGACCCGGTTCGAGACCGCGCTTCCTAGTCAGGTTGCGGCAAGACCCCACGAACACGCAGTCTGGCGAATGGAAGTAAAGCTGGCGAACTATCGCGGGCATGGATTGTTGGCTGGGAGTCATCAGCGAGGGTGGTGGGAATTATTGCTGAGCTACAGCGTGCGGTTGCCTGGCGTCGCCTCCCAGTTTGGATGCAGTGGCATGGGCTAAAGAAGCTGATTGGGGTCTTCCGCACTGTGTAAAAAGCTGATCCCGCCTCACGGTCTATAAAAGAGACTGATTCCTCCATAATGGCAAAAGTGTAATTTGTCCTCCCGATGTCCCTTTCCTCCTGCGACACAGTAAGGAAGCGGGCAAGAAGATGTCAGTCACTGTTTCTGTTTCATTCCCTCCTCTGCAGCCCGACTGACCGACCATAGAAACCAGAGTCGCTTCCCGTTGGACGCTATGATTGCATATGTACTGCATGAGAATCCGCAAACCGTAAAACCTTACGCCGCACTGGATGCGATGGTCGTTCATTTGTTGATGACGGGAAACTTTCTAGAAGAATTTGCACAGCAGGGTATTGAAACGTGGGCGGAATCCGCCCATGCAGATGAACGGATGGCTGTCTCTCCAGGATCCAAGGTAGAGAGGCCAGGAAAGATCTGGCTCGCTCCCGGGAGTGACGGGTACAGTTCCTGGAGGTATGAGGATCTCACGTATGCGTACTTCAATATCTTGACTGTCGCTTCATTGGCGGCGACGGTGGTTGTCACTTGTTGGCCAAGGAAATGCCTATCTTGAAGAGTGCTTTCAACAATGATTCGATAGGCCTACCGTGGCTTATCATATTCGACTGTCTTACCAAAAAGGCACTAAAATACGCGAACATCGACTACTTTCTTCGATGAGCGTGGCTCATAGCACCTCAGATTTTCCTATGATACTGTGATGACCATCATATTATTCCGATCATTTTTCCCCCACATACGACACATTTTGCTCAACCTCACAATGGTCAAAGTGACTTCAGCACTTTGGGCCCTGAGGAGGCATAGCATAGAAACCTGCAATAGTTCATAGAAAGCCGAGACGAGACGGAGGGTACGGCCCGGTATTTCCTGCCAGAACCAGGCCATGGTGCCAGCCTCGCACATTTTAAAGAAGGCCTCCACCTCTACTTCATATGTCTTTGAGACATATACTTAAGTTTTCAGACTCCTGCAGAAGCAAGTCACGATCGTCACATTTCTGAGCCATGTCAAAATCAATCAAAGTAGCCTTCGATTCACGGATGAGAAAACTAAATCGATTGGTATCTCCGTGTCGAAATCCTAGGTTGTGCAGTCGAGATAACACCTCCCTGCAGACCTCAATGTCCTCAGCGCCAACATGCCGTGCATCGGTAATGCGTTCCATTAAAAGCCCGAACCGGGTGATCGAGAATGCCGCTGCAATCAGTTACTGGAGCTCTTGGTAATGAGAAGCCAAGAAAATCCAAGATAGAATGCCTTTCCCTTTAAAAGCAACTCTTTCTTGGCAAAAATGTTTTCTTGGAATATTTGTCACAGGCCAGTACTGGACAATTTGTGTGCCATTCAGAAAAGTACTAGACTGGGGAAAGAAAGAGAAGAGATCGAACAACTACAAAATGATACCACCCCCCCAGTCCCAATTGGGACTAGTTCGCTACACGTGACTTGTCCTCAAACTATTCGTCACATCGACCTCCTTTTTTTAAAGGCCTAGCCCCTAGGCCTAGACTTCCGCGAAGCCCAATTTGGGCCCTAGGTCTCGGCCCAAAACCCAACCCAAAGCCCATGCTGGGCCCCCAAGAAAGCCCAAGAAAGCCCAAATAAGCCCAGATTTTGCATAATTCTGATCATAAAACTGCTCAGTCATCAAGATAATTTACTCTTTCTTACACCTATTCTGGTTTGTATAATGTACATACCACTATGCCTTCTTTGTATAAATCTCTAGAAATTTAGAGAAATGACCGTATAATCCTAAAGAGAATATTTAGCTGATCGTAATTTAATATTCATTTGAAATTTTTATAAGGGGGGGGCTAGATGTGGCTCCTCCCTAGGAAAGTTTTAGAGAATTTTGAGATTATGTTGTGGAAATATAAATCTATCATATAGAATAAGTTGTATACCTTCATAGACTAAAGAAAATCATAATGAAAGTTTACTATTTTAGCTAAATGGATTGAATAATTGTTGGAATATGGACCTATATATTGTTGGCCGTGAAGGGAGGCGGATACTACGAAGATAGGGACCCACCTGAATGGGTTAGGTTCGGGTTAGCGCGGGTTTTGGCGCCTAGTCAGGTCTACCTACCGAAAAGCGAATCTACGCTAGATCTATTACTAGAAGCTGCATAGGAAATTTGGGAAAGCCCAGATATTGAGATCTTCAAGCATCTATCAGAGACTATGCCTCATAGGGTAGCTGATGTTATTAAATCCGAAGGGTGGCATACTAGCTATTGAAATGGATTGAATTTTGGAGGTTTCTGCCTGGCAGTTTTAAAGAGTGGGTCTTAGGCCGAAGCACTCGAGGTCAAATACTTATGTTACACCACTGTAGCTATAAAACAAGATTTATTCTGTACGTATACGAAGCAGACGTAAATAATAAAACTTAATAAGCAAAATATGTAGAATAATTGGGCATAAATAAGGCCAAACTAGGCTATTCAGGCAGGATTATAGTACAACAATGCAGTACACAAGTCCAGAATTCGGTTCAGCTTATGAGCTGTGCACCGTCGAGTGTACGACATCGCTTGCAGTCGTCAGACTCATTAGGCTCGGGTTAATGAGATCAGCGAGGGAATGTGCATATTGTTTGTAATATCAACTTTGTCGCGCCGAGGGTACGAAGAATGTGAGGGTCGTCCAGTACCTACATGTCCCTAGTGCTCTACTAAGGTCTCAGTAGTGTTGTGGCCTGAGGTACTCAACCTCACGGAACTTTCTGTCTCTACATTTGACTTTTACCTTATCACCTCACCCCACCCTTTATTCTCCCTTATTGGCCCTGATTTTGCTGCATCAATCACGTGCTCGGTGCCTGGCTTTTCCGGGCCTGGTTCACTCCTCTTCGGGATTTGATCAGAATGAAGAGGCAATATTATCGAGTTCTCCTTCTATAAACGTGAAAGTATAACACTAGGATCAGCAGTGACAATCGAATTCCCTATTGTATCCCTCTGGAGAAGTATCTTAATTTGAACATGTAGTTCTGCCACATGACTTAATTCTATGTGCGGCTAGGGAATTCCCGGTCAGGGATGCACAACTCAGAACCGGCGACTTTATTTTCTTTGTTTGAGGTTAAAATGTCGCCGGTCCGACGCGTTTTGCAATCCAGGCATTTGCCTAATATCAGATGGATTCCACAACACTCGCTTCTCGCGATTTACACAATTAGGTCTGGAATATGTCTGTGTCACCAGATGAGACCGGAGCTACCAAGTCAGAAGATGCTGTCACTACTGCCCAACCCCAACATGAGAACAGTACCGAGGAACCAGAGGCGATGCATGGCTTTAAGCTCTGGGCCATTTTCATCGGTATATGTTTCGGTGCTTTCATGATGTCCTTGGATATCTTCGTTATCGCAACAGTACTATCACCCACCCTCTTTCTGTTCCATGAAATCGAGTCATCTGACACACCATGGATAGGCCATTCCATCCATCACGTCCGACTTCAAGGATACGTCGCAGCTGGCCTGGTATCCGGCCGCCTACTCACTCACGACATGTGCATTGACTCCACTGGCAGGAAAGCTGAGCGCAACCTTTCCCCTGCGCTGGATCTACATCATATTTTTTTCCATCTTCATGGTCGGAAGCCTCATCTGTGGCTTTGCTCCGAATAGCAATAGCTTTATTGTGGGTCGTGCGATCGCAGGCGTTGGAGCGTCTGGTGTCGCGAGTGGTGGGTTTGTTATTGTTCTCACCGTTGCTTCGGACAAAGCGAAACCGCTCCTCATGGGCATCTGCAGCAGCTGCTTTGCTATGGGTCTAATCCTTGCGCCCGTCATTGGGGGTGCTTTCACGCAAAAGGCAACATGGCGGTGGTGCTTCTGGGTTAACCTTCCTCCGGGTGCTGTGACATTGGTCGCTATGCTCTTATTCTTCAAACCCCCATCTATTCGACGCGATCGGACAGCTCTCCAGCGGATCAAGAATCTGGATCTCGTTGGATGTGTGATCTTCATTCCTGCTATTTTTATGCTACTTCTCGCTATGATGTGGGGTGGCACAGAAAAGCCTTGGGGCTCGGCAACAATCATCGGCCTCTTTGTTGGGTCAGGTGTGACACTTATGCTATTTGTTGGCTGGGAGCACTATAAGGGTGATGGCGCTATGATACCGGGCAATCTAATTGTCAGACGAACTATCACCTTTAGTGTCTTGTTTTCCTTCTGTCATTTTGGGTCTCTTGGCATCCTAAACTACTATCTCCCAGAGTGGTTCCAAGCCGTGGAAGGCGCAAGCCCGCTAGAAAGTGGTACGCGGGTATTGGCTTCTGTGCTCGCTCAGATTGTGGGAACACTATCTTCTGGTATTTTGGGTAAGCTGAACATATCAGATTTCACGTGGACGGTATCAGAGGCTGACATCAGACAGCGCGGAGAATCGACTTCTATAACCCTTGGCTCTTCACTGGACCTCTCTTCATGTGCACCGCCGCAGCGTTATACACCCAGTTCACGGCTTTCAATACACCATCCAGCCATTGGATCGGGTTCCAAGTCATCCAAGGTCTTGGGGTCGGCATGGCCCAGCAAATGCCCTCTCTCATAGTCCAACTAGCAGTCCATGATAAACCGGATCTCATGCCCGCTGCCGTCTCTCTCAACCTATTCTTCCAGTATCTGGGTGCCACAGTCGCACAGGTTATCGGAGGCATCGTGTTCCGTTCGATTCTGGGCAAATCACTAAACGAACATGGTCTGAATGCCACACAGAGAGCGTTGTTATCTGCCGCTGGAACTGCCGATATCCGTAAAATCACCAATGCGAACTTCCCCAAATTGCTGCGTCCGATTTTGGAATCTTATAACCAAGCTATTACTTCCACATTTGTGAGTGGCCCTTCACTGTGCGAGGGTGTAGAGAGGTTTTAATTGACAGATGCACATCGATAGTTTGTTGCAGTTGGTACGACAGTCGCGGCATTCTGCTTTGCTTTCGGGGTTAAGTGGACAAGAATCCATGTGGTAAAGAGTACTGATCCGGAAGCGGAAGAGGTTGAACAGAAGTAAGGACCTGGCAAACCTGTTCAACGCGTCTCGAGAATAAGAGCAAGCCACTATCCGTGTATAGAAAGTAGGGAAGTGATCGATGTTGAGAAAGATGAAAAAGGGAGAAAGACTAAGCTAGATATTTAGCTATAGGTATCTCGTTCATAAATTCAAGAAACAAATTTTGTAATTGCCTAGAACATCTAAATACTGAAAAGTTGGATATGAAGATGATTATATATAGTTCAAAAGGTTCAGATGATAATTCGAAGTCCACGGATGCATTTGACATGTTTGAGCCTAGTAATTACGGGAACAAATATTAGTTTACTACACGGTTCACCATTCATAAATCTTGGATAGTAGGTACGGGTAGGATTCTACTCCACGAGCTTATAGTGCTGCCTGCCTGAGGATATTCGGACATCGACTCACCTCCCCACTCCACTCTCCTTCCTTCGCCAATGGGTATTGAATACCACCAATTATTACCTCTCCCTTATTCCCCTAACTATCAGCTACTCAGCTATTGAAAACAAATACTACGATACTAGACTTCTACGGTACAACTTGAGAAGATGGCGTTATCAAGGTATAACCTGGATTTCTCGGTTTCAGGGGGTTAATCTTCCAATGTAAACTCAACGGCCCAGGCAAGAATTGCTGCGCAATTTATCAAGTTACCCAGAATAATTCATAAGCTATGAAGCTTACAGGATACAAAGTGTATGATCGAAACTTGCAGTTATTTTACCCCAACCGCCACGAGCGAAACTGCCTTCAAAACTCCTGGCTCCGTGGGACACAAGGTCCGCATCTCATCCGTCATCAAAACCTTCAACTTCGCTTTCTGCCCCTCTGAAAGATCTTGGCTTGCATTCATCATCTGCGTGACACGTGTCATCATCACCTCGACAAACGACTCATACGACCGGAACGGTATGTCGACTGGCACCTCATATTGCCGAGCGATTGAGCATGTCAAGACAACTACGGCAGATCTCAGATTTCTGAGCTGAAGGATTGACCCCCTGGTGATTCACACCTGGCCGACTGAAGACCGTGGCGCTCACAAGAGCTTCGCCACAAGCACCGTGGTAAAAGGTGAAACTATTACGAAAAGAATTATCTTTCCGCCTAATGGCGACTTTGATATGCCTAGACTTGCAGCCCCGTCTTGGCACGCTCAGGTGCCTCGTTCATTATTTATGGGAATGGGCAGCCTTATCTAGGGTCAGAACTAGTTAACGCCCCTGCCGCACATCCAATCATATGGAGATGTCGCGCATCGACGATCCGGGAGGTTTTAGCGCTCCTAGAGGATCCGGGTTGGTGGGTCATTACGAGGAGAACGATAGATACAGAGGATGGACCGAACCGCTATACCGGATTAATGAATGATCCGATGAGATTATTTCATTTGTTACTCAGACCTCCTACAACATCTGCCAGATTTAGGGATATAGCCAGATTTAGGGATATAGCTATAAAAAGTGGGTTTCGCCGCTGATTTGTCCCTATTACCTATCAAAACAAAGGGAAGGGTACGACGGGAAGAAAAACCTAAGACGAAATCGGGTTGAAGCCCCCACAAGCTGAAAGTCCCAACTATAGTGTTCCAATGATACTGTCAACACACACCGACCATCCTTGATTTCCAATCGAATTCACTTAGGTAATACCTTGAAAGGATTGGAAGTAAGGGTATACGACGGACGGAGGGTTTCCGACGATATCACACAGCTGGAGGCTGTCTTTACGACCGCATGCAGACCTAAGTCGCGCAAAGCGGGGGAGTGCGCGGTTACAATAGAGCGAACCATCAATATGTGGCTGAGAATAAAGTTCAGAAAGTGAAGTTAAATCAGTACAAGATAGATCCGTGAATCGGAGCTTCGCAATTTGCCGATTGGCTTTGCACATAAACCGCAATCTAGGCCCGGTCCGAGTTCTATAGAGAGATAGAGAGCGAGGCATGTCCACGATTGCCCCACCACTATGAAAGGCGGCGACTATAGGCCGCGAAGAAGTACGGAGTATGGCAGTTGGTAGATCAAAGCGAGTGTATTAACATCGCAAGAATTTGCCAATAGCGTTCACCGGATGGGATGGTTATAGGGGCAGCAGATAGGCCATTAGTGGTCGCGGTCTCAACTGGCCACTCTTGGAGAGCCACGTAGCAAGGTGAGGCGCAGGGTATTCCCAAATATTTCGGCCGATCAAATGTACTTATGGTCTGCATCCCCACTTGGGATTCTGACTGCACCGCATATCGCCTGTCGCCTGTAGTTTAGCGTGGGACCAGCTCTATCGAGATTGTCGCATGGCATACCAAGCTTGAAATGCTAGCAAGTGTATCTATTATATTGGTACTTAAGAGAGTGGCCGGCCCGGGCCTTTGTGCACCCACCATTTTCAGACACACTCGCAGCTCAACAGCGTTCCACTTAATCCCTTGATATGATCAGCACGGCGGAATGATGCGTGTAGAATCCACCGGGGAAGTAAAGCCCCGAGCCGCGTGTGACCGATGCCACGAACTCAAAAATCGCTGTACGCGAACGAGGGGATCAGAGAGTCGGTGCGACCGGTGTGAGAGACTTAATATAGACTGCTTGTACAATACAAGTGCCCGGATCGGTCGTCCGAGAATCTCTCGGCCGGCTCATAAAACCGCCTCGACTGGTCCCGGGGACAGTCATGCGAGACACACAGCTAAACGACAGGCCGTCCAGTCGGGACAGCAACGTACCACCAACGCCAACTTAACGTCCTTTGAACATGAACGTGTTCAACATGACAATAATCTGGACCCAACGTCTGGTGATTCTCCCGGGAATCAGGAACCCGTTTTCGGCCTTCTAGACCCTTCAATTCTCCTTGAAGGTACACACGCACGCAGTGAGCCCGCACTCAGGGACTGGCAGATGGCGCAAGCTAAACCCTGGCCAGCCATACCCGGCGAGAATTTGGATTGGGATTTACAATTATACTCTAACGACTTCACGAATCCCCTCCACGACGACCTGACGGTTGGGCATGCCCAAACATATCACCGAGTGGACCTCCGACACCGATGCAAAACGGGGGTTTCAGATGACCCCAATTCTGCAATGGGAATGCCGGAAAAGGCAGCCCCAGTGAGAACTGGCATGGATGAGCTTCTGCGGCTGCAGTGCCACTTGAGCAATCTATTGACGGGCGCAAGTGAACCAGCCACACCCCGCCAGCCGGCCCTGGATGAAGTGATGATGGCATGTAAAGATCTACTAGAGTTGCTCCAAGGTCGACAATTGAACTGCAGTAGGCCATCCACTCCCGAGCATCCTCACGGCAAACCCTGTCCCGCCGCGTTAGACCCTCTGAGGATAAACTACATTTCCGCATTGCAGGTGGCTACGTCTTATGCATATACCCTGGAGCTGCTGGATCTCGCGGTGGATAATCTCAAGACCCGAGTTGGGAATTTAGCGCTCGTCAGCCTGGGCATCTTCAATCTTGCGTCACAGCCGGCAATGAGCATCTCTGTAGGGGCTTACATGATCTCCAGCATGATTCATCAACTGCGCGATGCCATCAGCCTTCTGACGCTTGAACACAGGGGGAAGCCGTCACCGCACGTATCATCTACGGGCGGGTTGCAAGCAGCCACTACAACAGATTCAATACAAGCTGCTGTGAACATGGTTCATGAGATGGAGACTTCTTTACTGGAGAAGTTGTCACAAGTGATGAACAATCCATTTTCAGGGTCCATAGCACTCGGAGTGGGTGGGAACCATGTATGCTTTCAATGATGTTTTTATTTTGATCCTTCAATATTCAATACTCTATGAAGACCAGATGTCCGAACCCCCAAACCTTGGCCGTTCGAAGGCAGAGCCCGACTAGGCAGCCAACCAATGAGAATCTTCTATCCTAGCCTTCGATGGCAGAAGTCGCCAGTCACCGGCAAGTTTCAGAGTGCCAGCATAATAGGTCCGGTGGATGCCCAAAACTGACCAGGGGTGTTAGCACGCACGGTGCATTAAGAAAGACAAAATTCTTCGGAAAGGACGTCTACCTTTCCAGAAACCGGCTAGGCACTCCATCTTCAAACATGCAATCACCCCAACAGCCCGGCACAATGCTCCCAGAAACGCGACCCGCCATCATCTACCTCCACGGCCACGGAAGTAACGGGACAATCTTCCAATACCAATCCCGCAGAATCATCCAAGTCCTCGGAACCCGCTTCCGCTTCCTTTTCATCGCCTCCCCCATCCTAACCCTGCGACTACAGTAGTGTTCGGAATCAGCTACAGTAATATTTGAAATCAGCTATACAGTAGGTAGGTAGGTAGATAGGTAGATTTCATTTACCCTGACCCCTCGCCGAAGCGATATGCAGGCTACGACAACTACATATATCTATGTACGTACATGTGAAGTGTGCCACTTCCTGGAACGGACCTAGAGCCTCGCCAAGGTCTTTGGTGGACTAATTGCCGTTTACATTGTTCAGCTACCCTCGTGGCACGCGACTTTTAGAATAATACCTAATCATACAATTTTTAATCCATCCAAAAAAGGGAATCCTTGGCATATTTAGACATTTGCGGTTCTTGCGGTTCTAATATGAGTCTTCCTTTATCCAATTTGGATCGACCTGTTGGCTAAAGCGGTATTAGGCAATAAGGGGGACAGCAGAGCCAAGTGGCGCCATGAAAGGCTTCGTGGTATTACCTCCCTTATTGTCCAACAGAAGGTATTCCAATATTTCTGCAATACAATAGACCTTATTTGTCCGATATAGGGGGCTTATATCGTACGAACCGGGCTCATAACTGTCGAATATAGAAAGCGGTCAACCTGATTAGGCGTATTGAAAACTCTGTTTTGTCTAATCTATCAATCTGCCAATTTATATAAGAATAGACATGCAAACAATATATGCATGCAGGAATAACACTTTTCCCGGTATCCGATGGATTCCATACCGACAAAAGTGATCGCATCACGTGATACCATGTTGATCGGGCCCGCGATTCACGACTGCTCGAAGTTCAATCATCAACATGTTCAGCTCGTCTGTGTTATAACCCCAGATGGCCACTAGGGGTGTCTTACCTCGGTCCAGGGTAGACCTGGACTTCTACTTGCACCGTGTCTTCCGCAAGAAATCTTTCAGGTTGGTCACCCCTCCAAGACGCGGCTCCATTCACTAACTTGGACGCCAGGCCGCTTCAACGAGAAGTTATTACCGCAGTCGTGGAGGGGCATGATGTCTTTCTCCAAGCGTCGACGTCTTTTGGCAAAAGTTTGTGCTTTCAATTACCCGCAGTCATCAGTACCGGATGTGAGTATTTCTCGCGGTTTACTCTAATCTATACCAAGAGCATCTCATTAATTCCTCACTTTTGAAATAGTGACGATAGTGATTTGTCCTCTTCTTGCGCTCATGGTAAGTGTCGATTATGTATATTCCAAGACTTTTCAACTAACCTGGCAATAGATGGATCAAGTCAATGCTCTTCAAGCAATTGGCGTCCCAGTTTCTACCATCAACTCCAACACCCCAATGGCAGAGCGGCGCCTGATTATGGATGACATGCTGTCCGGACATCCTCGCACACGCCTCCTCTATGTTACCCCAGAACTCTGCCAGATGGACAGCTTTCGTCGCAATCTGCAGACGGTTCATCGACAAGGGCAACTGACCCGTGTTGCAATCGATGAAGCCCATTGTATCAGCGAATGGGGCCACGACTTTCGCCCCGCGTATCAGGAGCTTGGATGGTTCAAGAAGAACCTGGCCAATCCACCAGTTCCTATTACTGCTCTCACAGCCACAGCCACACCACGAGTGCGCTCAGATATCATCAAAATGCTGGGTCTCGACACCACTCAGCTCAGACTCTTCAATACCCCCTCCGCCCGCCCAAACATCCACTACGAAGTTCGTTATCTAGAACCATGGAGCGAACATGATAACGATGGCCCCGCGAGCCAAATCCAAAATCTCATGAAATGGCTAAAAGCCATCAAATCCCGCAGAGAAGCCCGAATCGGCGCAGAAGAAGCCGCCCAACTCCCTCCAATATCAGGTATAGTTTACGTCGGACTTCGCGCAGCCGCAGAACAAATTGCCAGCGAATTATCCAGAGACAGCACTATCTCTGCGGTAGCATATCACGCTGGCCTGGCACCACAAGACCGAACCCGCATCCAAGCAATGTGGACTTCACCACAACCTGTTACCCGCAAAGACGGAAAACCACCACCCACCTTCTCCATAATCGTCGCAACGAATGCCTTCGGTATGGGTATCGACAATTCCCATGTCCGATTTGTGGTACACTGGACGCCACCCCGCAGCTTTGAAGGCTTCGTACAAGAATCAGGTCGCGCAGGCCGTGACAGTCGTGCAGCTGCCTCGCTCGTCTACTACAACTATGAAGAACGAGACCGAATCTTCGACCGGCTCAACCGAGATACAGAGAACGTGCGCAATCGGGGCGTGCAGAAGCAAGTCGTTGATGGTCTGCTCAAAAACCAAGCGGCTAGGATGGAAAGTTTCCAGAAGGTTATAAGGTACTGCGAGACTGTTACTCAGTGCCGACATGATCTAATCAAGGATCTTTTTGGTGACTTTGAGCTGGAAGAGATGGGTTCTCAGCGGCCTCCTTCTTCGCAGGCCCAAGCGAGTGGTGGTCTGGCCTCGACGCCGTGTGATTTTGCTTGTGATTTTTGCAAAGAGGGACATGGGGCTTTGGCGAAGAGGAAGGCGAAGATGGGCCTTCAGTTTAATGAGGGGTATGAATCCTTCTAGTGTCCTTTTCCATTCTCTCATTGTATGGATGCCGTCGAGTTGCATTCTTTCAGAGTATGGGGAAATATTTATTCATGATGGTTTTAAACCCCGTCTTGAGAACCTGGTTACTTTATTTGTCACCCACTACGAGTGGGATATCCAGATGAACTGTGAAATGATTTGATGATAATCAAGCTATAAATGAACATCATAATGTAGTTCTCTGAAAACTACAGACTGTAAGCCTCGAACAACGCATCATATGTTGTCTTTGCCTTTAATCTGATCAGAGTTACGCTTGTTTTGAGTTCTGGTCTACGGGGTACGTCAACTGTGATAAAATCTTCCAGTTTTCCACGCCCGGCGGCAATCTGCAATCACCGCTCCCGGGCGAGATGAGACGTGATACATACATACCTGAGTGACTAGAAATATTCATCTCTCGTCAAAGCATGGGATGAGTGCATCGAAGTACACGTCGAGAGACCATTTGGTCCAAGGTAGAGTACTGCGACCGGATTACCAATAAGAAAAAATCATGTATAAAAATCCTTTGACGCCTATGTAGGTGTAGGTAGCACAATCACATTGAATCCACAAGAATTACCAAACCAATTGTATTCTCCCCATTTTTAAAGCCGGAATAATTAAAGCTCTGTCTTCAAACCGCCGAATTGAATCACAAACCGCCGAATTGAATCACAAACCGCCGAATTGAATCACAAACCGCCGAATTGAATCAAGACCAAGATTCCAGAGGCAACGTGACGCTTTTTCAGTAATCAGTCTAATAGCCCGGCGGAGGAGGACCGCTGGGAGGAGGCTAGAAGAACGAATGAGCAAGTTTCAAGTCAGTGTAAAATGGAGGACATACCATGCCGTAGCCGCCCGCACCGGTACCAGGAGGTCCGGTACCGGGAGGAGGGGGAGGAGATCCAGAACCCGGGGGAGGCGGAGGGGGGGCCTCACTCGCGGGAGGGGGAGGAGCAGGGCTTTGGGACTGTTGCTGTTGTTGTTGCTGAGCGGCGGCATACTGCTGGTAGTAGTTATAATAGGCGACGTAATTTTCGTAACCACCATAGGCAGCATAAGGGTCAGCTCCATAGTATTGGGCGTACTGAGCAGCATAGTCTGTGGCATTGCCAGCTGCAGGAGCGGCCTGGGAGGTGGGACTAGCCGAAGGGCCGGGAGATTGACGGCTGCGATTGTCACGACGGTCGTAGCCACCTCCATATCCTCCGCGGCCACCGCCGCCCTGATAACGATCACCGCCGCCACGGCCACCGCGATCGCCGTGGTTTCCATAACCGCGCTGAGGGGGGTTGTCCCTGTGCTCCTCATAGGCAATAGTGACGTTTTTAATGAGATCTTCGCAGAGTTCCTTAGCACGTTCAACTTGAGCAGGATCAGGGCCACTATTGGAACGTCAGATAGGTTCAGCGCTATAAGAAGCAAAATGACTTACGCAACGTGCAGGTACATAGGCTCATCGCTCTCATGACCAGTGGAGTTCTCGATAAAGCCAGAATTCCGGCCCTTGATCTGAACACGGCAGCCGGTCGAGGACTGAATATGCTTCACATACTGACCACCCTGGCCGACAACCTGGGCACGCAGGTTAAATCCCGGAATGGGTTCAAGATCGATGGGGATGCGCTCATCTGGCCATTTGCGCTGTAGCAAGTTAGCAAGACTCGGAATATAGCTAGGTGGGTTTCCATACGCGGCCATATTCGTCCCTCTCGACTTCCTCCCGTTGGGGACGACGGAATCGTCGTTCGTCAACCAAATTGGGGAGCTCTTTCTTCATCATGTCGTCGATGATCTGGATGGCCTTGTCGAGACCTTCCTTGCTGGTGCTGGTCACATGAAGGTAAAGTGGGGGTTTCTGTGCCTGTTAGCTATTGCTCATATCAATTAGAGAACCATCACTTACCGCGGCCGTGGCCATGTTCTTGTCCGGGTAATAGTTTCCTCGGGTCGTGACATCTGGTAGTGGAGTAAGCAATGAGCTCCTCTTCAATTAGAACACACGGAGTAAAAGGCATACCGGCGCCAGTTTCGTCTTTAATCTAAAATTCACGCAGCCGAGGTCAGCAGATGCAACAGAGGGGAGGTGAGATGCTATGAGTTTAGTGGGTCTCGTGTAAGCTTCATCCGACCATACAAGATTCATGGGAACAAAAGAGAAGGGCACTTGGAGTTACAGCCACACGTGAGAATCCCATGCAGCCCAGCATCTCTGGAAAATCAGCAACATCGGAGTAATTTACCATCTTCTGAGTAGAGCCCTTGGTGAGGGTGTAGCGGTTGCGCAAGTCATTGATCTCGATGTCTTTGATGTAGTCTCCGTCGGCAACGTAAACTTCGTGATTGGGCTTGTCAGAGCCATTCTGGTTCGAGGGTGAGTCTGATGGCATGCCAGGGCTTGCGCTCTTCAAAATTCAAAATCTGTCAGCTCGAGCCAGGTTGAGCGCGCAGGTATTTTGATGGTACACTTACCGACATGATGGGAGGAACATCAATATGCTGAATGCCCTTTTTGGCTTGCAACTGAGCATTGATCTTAGCCGCAGCGGCCGCTGTAAACAAAGGAAGCCAGACGGTTAGCGCTCAATATTCATCAACATAGAGATGCGCGCAAAGCGCAAGACATACCAGCTGCTGCTGCCGGATCAGCAGGGGAGTCTTTTCCCGATCCGGTGCCCGCGGGGCTACGCGGTTCACGGCTCAGTGGGCTGCGAGTGCGAGTGGGTTCCGATTGTCTACCAGACGGAGACCGCGAGCGGCGATCGAAACGGGAGCGCCGAAGCTCAGGCTCAGTCTGGTCAAAGCGCGAGCGCTTGACGCGACGGTCGTCATCAGCCATAGTGGCAAAAGTTGGGAAAGCGGAGGAGGTGGGGGAAGTGAACGATTGAATGCGCGAGGAGAGAAAGGTCCAGATTGACCGAAAGGAGTTTGTTAGGAATCGGGCCTAGCGCAATATGGTGAGAGTCCCAAAAGCCGTAAATAGGACCAATGGCTCCGGGTGAAAAAGGCGACGCAGGTTGAGGCGACAAGAATGCCGTCTAGCAAGCAGCTGTCTTTATCAGCGAAATTCGAATTGATATTCGCGATCATCGAAAACCCCCGGATCACGTGCTGGTATAAAACACTAGGCCTAATTTGGCTAGTGGGCGGTGAGTCAGCTTGGCCGAGGTCGGAAGAGCAAAAAGAATCCGGAGAACCTGGAGTGATTCATCGCACAACCCTCGTCCTGATCCCATTATGGCTTTCAGGCGCCCATTGACACTGTCCGCGAGGGCTTCGCTGCTGTCTCCGACAGCAGCTGCTGCTCGGTCTCGCACTGCTACGGCGCTGCCCCGATTTGAGAGCATCCGCTCCTCCTCCAGCTCGACCTCTGCTCTGGCATACAAGTCATTGCACCGCCGCTCGCCGCTGACCCTGCCGGTTGCGGACTCCTCTCCCCAGTGGGATGCACCCACTGCTGTTTCGTCTATCTTGTACGAGACCCCAACGCCGCCAACCAATCCCCCGAAGCGCCACATCCTGAACTGTCTGGTTCAGAACGAGCCCGGTGTGCTGTCCCGTGTGTCCGGAATTCTGGCCGCCCGTGGCTTCAACATCGACAGCTTGGTTGTTTGCAACACTGAGGTCGATGACCTCTCTCGCATGACCATTGTGCTGCAGGGCCAGGACGGCGTCGTCGAGCAGGCGCGTCGCCAGCTGGATGACCTTGTCCCCGTCTGGGCTGTGCTGGACTACACCGAGTCTGCTCTGGTTCAGCGCGAGCTTCTGCTTGCCAAGGTCTCCATTCTCGGCCCCGAGTTCTTCGAGGAGCTGCTCCAGCACCACCGCGAGATCATCACCCCCGAAGGTGAGCACCATGCTCACAACATTCAAGAAATTGAATACCACCCTCGCAACCTACCCCCCAGTCAGGCTTTGCGTCACAAGCACGAGCATTTGGATGCTATCACACGCCTGACTCACCAGTTCGGCGGTAAGATTCTGGATATCAGCACCAACAACTGCATTGTTGAGGTGTAAGTACACTGACCTCTAGAATAACTTGATCGTGAGTCACAGCTGATTTTTATATAGCTCCGCCAAGCCCAACCGTATCGACTCCTTCCTCAAGCTGATCGGTCCCTTCGGTATCCTCGAGTCCACCCGTACCGGTCTCATGGCTCTGCCCCGTTCCCCTCTGTCCGAGCCTACTGAGGAGATTGAGAAGGATGCCGCCGACGTCGTCGATGCCAGCACCCTGCCCCCTGGTTAAGCGCCTTTCCATGAATCAACTCAAAAACTCCATACCCAATATGAGCTGGTTCATCTGCTGCGCATTCCTTCAAGTTTGTGATTTTCGTGCGAAATGCTTCTCTTAATAGGAGATTAGGTTTATCAATTAGATGTAAAACATGCAAATTTCAAACCTCTCGATATCTCTAAGTATCGCAGCCTGCGTCAAAGAAGACTTGATTTTAGCCCTAGAAAACAAAATAGTAAAACAAACTTCTGATTGATAGCAAATCGATTGGCATCTCATGCACTCTAATAAAGGCCTAAACGCCAACCAGTATCTAGGTAGGTACTTCTATTTACAGGATTTACACGAATGGGGCCATTCCTAGGTATCTAGGCCGCTTCTATCAGGACAGTCTCACTGAGTACCCTCATGCAGTTGAGTATCCGGACTCAGGCTTGAGCTCCCCGGTTGGTGATCTGCTCGGATAAGTCACCTGCTTAGTCAGCGGTCGAGGTATCCATCCATCCTTCAAAGGTGTTCATTTATACTTGCTTTATTAACGTCGAGATACATGCATTCCCGGATAGCGATGTGCAATTTGGGTGACGATACGACCCAGCCAATGGTTATTTGGCCCAGCTGCCAGTCCATTTTCGTAGAACGTGAGCATCAGCCCGTCCTGGTTGATATATTCCAGCATGCTGGTACCGCTGCGAATAACTTCGAGCTAAGCCAGTAGCTGTATAAGTCGGCAGGGTCTCGACATCACTCAATACCATCGTGGACCAGTCATCACGCATCATGTCAACATAGACGGCGGTGGATGGTCCGCGGAGATTCTCCATGGGCAAACCCGCGGTGCGAAGAGAGTCGTATACAGCCTCTAGGAGTAGACGCTGCTGTGGATCAACGGCATCGCTCCCCATTAGCTGTATATTGAAGAATGGCACATAAAAGGGGGCAATGTTCTCCTCAAGAAAATAGGACTTGGTGGCGTTCGTCGTTCCATGATAGGTTGCCTCGGGGTGATAGAAATGATCAACATTGAAGCGATTCCTGAGGATTTTTTTTTGGAAATGTCTTAAAGGTTATTCAACAGCTCCCAGGGTTTGCTGGGGTTATCGTACTCGCCTGGAAATCGGCAGGCGGCTCTAATAATGGCAATTGGTTCAGGCATGGAGGGCAGGCGTTTATATCAGTTAGTGTTAAAGAAACCGAGGAGCTCTGAGAATACAAGATGATAGCTGGGGTAGTTGATTGACATTGAGGAAAGCTCATTCATTATATACGCATTTTCCTTGTCTTCGAGGTAGCCTAGGCGTCTCATTGAGATTGGATCTGGGGCCGTATGTGGTAAAGCTGATATCTCACCGAAAAACCCCGATCACAATAACTTACCAAACTCCACACTCTGAATGTATGCTCTAGGCTGGATCCTGCGGTAATTCGGTTTCAAAATACTGGTTCCTAGTGAGTAAAATTTATAGAGGAGGGGAGCTGTAACAGACATTTTGCCATTGCCATGCGAGGTTCGGATCCATCATTACCGCTGAGCCTGGGAACATCTGATTGGACCCCATGGAAGGAAATCCATAACAAAAGTTCTCTTCCAGACCGTTTTCATTGAACCCTCCAGTGGGAAAGGGCATCGGCATGGCTGAGCCATTGTAAGCAAGGACTTGTGTGGGGAGGGGGGGATTTAAGAAGGCCGACTGACCTGGATTTAGGGCGATATCATTGTTCATAGCCTGGCCCTCTGCGCCCATATTAGCATCCCCCGACTCTTTAGCCAGAATAATGCTGAGGGTGTCTGCTGCTGTCTTTGCTTCAGCTGATGAATTCCTTGACCGTATCCAGATACCATGTGCGGTTATTAGGGCTGCCAAGATTTGGTCCCAGTTATGGATATCGGTCAGAGCATCCGGGCTACCGCGCCTCTGTCACGCGAGGAAGCACAGCAGCATCGTGGCTGTCAAAAACTCATGCTTCATGAAGGAGGAAGCTCGCCATCGTATCATACAAAGCTGGCCATCTGGGCCGGTTTCCTCGTCGAGGATTCGCTGGATTCCCAAAATACCCAATGCTGCCTCTATGCAAGAGCTCCGCGAGTGGATGTATGATGTGTGGCCATCAGAAGATGTGGCTTGGTTCGGGCTTAAATACTTGCAGTGTAGCATGATCTGACCCTTGTGGAACATCAGTCTGAGGAAGAGCCGGTGCATAATCACTTGCGGGGGATCAGTCACGGCCGCAGCCATGGCCTTCATACGGAGGTAGGCAGGGACCATCGCCTCTGCGTCATGCAGAATGCGATCTAGTCGCATTATCTCGTCGTAAGCCACTGGTCGCACTGATGCAGTGAAATCGACGATCGCACCCAAGGCAGCAAAAATCCGCCGCCGAGCAACCAAGTGCGAAACTGTAGTAATCTCCGTCTCTGGCCTGGACAGAGGAAGCTCAAGGCAATCTTCATCGAAATCCGAGTCATTCAGGTTACGGGCCTCCACGGTGTCACATTGCCAGTCCTTGATCATGCGCGGCATGCCCATTTGGGTGGAGATCAGGATATCTCCCTGCAGAATGGTGGCCCAGGCCCGCCGTCGCATCTCTCCCGCAAATGGGGAGATTCCTGGCAAGTGCGATGGATCCCGGTGGTAACCCATGCGCAGAGCTATATTGACTGAGATTCCCGAAAGGATCCAGATGTCCCGATCAGCATCTTTCCGAATTGAATACTCGATGGTCAGGTATTGGTATAGGGGTTCAAAAACATATCGCCCGGATTTGGTGTACTCGCCCAAAATGAGACACTGGACTATCTTTTCGCGGTACGTATCCACCAGCGAATTGCGGACTCCCGGAGATGAGGTGGAATCCGCCGCACTTGAAGCCAGCACTGCGAGACATACCATGGAGAAGAGGAGACCTGGCCACATCACCGAAGTCTGGGATGGATTCTCCCCAAACCGTTCATACTACAGTCATCAACGTTAGAATCACAAGATACTCTGGTCATGTTATTTGGCGCACTCGTTCGCATACCACGCGTGAAAACTGAGCACCGTGTAAACAGGCCGAAGGGTTTGATTCCCTATATTAGTCGATTTATATGCCTCAGGATATTGCTGGTCAGGGTCTTACATGACGCCAAGTCCAATCGATTGAAGTGCTGAGAAATGTAACGATCGACAGCGGGCCTATCGGGCAGCGCTGCCAAGATATCTTCTTTACTCGCTGATTTACATCCATACAGCAGGAAAGTATGCAGCATAACAGGATTTTCAACATTTCCGTCGCCTCCTCGTCCGAGCTGCTCCTTGAGGTCCGCAATCCTATCTAGGATGGCGGCCCAATGGGTTCCTCCGACGTACTGAGCGTCTGAGGAGCTAAACCATACGCTTCCGCCGTCGGACTGAGCCGGAGAGTCCTCGGAGTTAGTGGGCCCTTCCGGTGAGCCTCCTTGAGTGTGGTCGTTGAGAACACACGCAACGGAATACCGGTCCGGTCGATCTTGGCCATCGGAAGTGGTCTTCTGCATCAGTGAAACGACAACCTGCTCCAACTGGCTCAGCCGATCCTGGACGGTTCCTTGGGGGCGACTCCCGTGGGTCTCGTGTGGCTTGGGCACCCGTCGGCGCTGGGGAATGGACACGGGCGATTGTGGGCCTTGGCTATTGGGATAGGCACATGATAGAGTCAATCCACGAGCGGTGCAAGTCGAACAGGGCTGTTTGCGATCGCATCGGAGCCTATCGGTGAATTTGGTCAGATTTGATTCGGAGAGTCAATGATGCTTGGTACCCACTTTCTTCGACGACATAGATTACAGGAGAGCTGGGTTTTGCTCCAACGATTGATGGGAGCCGAATGAAGGCTGGCTTCGTCTGCAGGCGGAGGCTCCATCGTGGCTATCGGGGATATGCAGGCGCACGTTCTCCAGACATGCGAACTGTGTGATACTATGTACGGTATGCTGGGCTAATCGCTCGGAATTCCCCACATCCCGCTCCGCACTAGTATTAACTGGGAACCAAATACTCCACCACGGGCTTTAGCTTGGTCTGTTCGGAACTAGTACGCAACAGAACTAGCGTAAAACCAGTCAGATCTTAGTATCAAGAGGCCAGGGCCTGCTCAGATCTACCTGGGCAGAGGCCCTCCCATTCATAGCAATCGATTGGTAACTCATACTCAGTACACTCAAATAAATGACCCAAACGCCCACCAGTAGGAAACTAACATTTTTAGCCAAGTATAGGCTTTCCTGTACATACTCAACACAGTCTCGTCTCTTAAATTCTCACGTTGGCTCCGATCCCGGTCCCATTGTAGAAAACAATATCTTGATAATTCTCGAGCTTGATCCCAACCGTAGCCACTGCATCAACCAGTAACGATTGTCCAAGCGCCCTGCGCAAGGCATCATATCCAACTCCACCTAGCACCAGATCAACCGGCAGGCGTGGTGTATGTGAAATACCGGGTGGGACATCAAAAGGCAATTTGTAGTTTATTTTACCAATCGGCTCATTTTTCTCGTAGAAAGCGGTTGCATCAATCGATGTGATTTGGATGCTGTTTTCTGTCAAGGGGGAAAATAATGTGAACTCGGCGGTTGAAGACCAGATATGGATCTGGAGTGTGTTATAGGGTCAGTAAAAGCGATCCCGGGTCTTATTGTGAGGGCCCTACCGTTGAATCCTGAATGAAATTTGGGCCGCGGTCTTCTTCATCGCCATCACCCGGTGATCCAGGGGTAGATAGTCGGGGCACAGGAACGTCAATTGGCACGGCGGAAAGCCCTCTGCCAATATTTGGTAGAGAAGGAAATGTTCCTTCGTGCGTTTTGATAGTCACTGATGTGTTTGAGCCTGAGGCAACAGAGGACATCAAAGCTCTGCCAGCTTCTTTCCCATCGACACCGCCGATGTCTAGTGGGCTCCACAAGAAATCGATGGGGACGTTGGTGTTGTTCCCAGGAATAATCGCGATGTTGCGAGCCATAATATGAGCAAGTGCTGTTTTATTGTATAGCATCAGGACATCCACGAATGGAATCGTTGCAGAGTAGTTAGTCGGGTTCGTAAAGTTCATTTGAGTAGAGACGTAGAGTGAGGATTCAGTGGTGTTCTTGAGTTCAAGCGATACGACTCGAGGGTTAAGATGATCAATCGACGTTCCAGGGGCTATGATAACGTCAATCACAGAACAAATTGGTTTAATTTATACTATCTAACTTATGAGATCATTGAAAACATACTGTTTACAGGAACATCCCCATCTGCGGGAATGCCCCGCACAGCGAAGCGTCCAAGACCAGTCGAGACCTTCGTGTCTACGGTGGCAGCGACGTGCAACACCACGGACCCGGAGCCCCAGAGCATTTCCTGGACGACCTGTGCCAGCAAGTTGCTGTCCGTGACCTCTAATGGGATATCCTTGATTGGTGACTCTACAAGCAGAGCTGAAGAGCCGTCCTGATCTTCCACGAGGGTGGAGTTGGCGTCTTGCCATTTTTCCATGTTCAATACTCCAAGCTGTTCGCCTTCGTAGAAGACATTCGCTAGGGCTCGGACTTTGGGAACATCCACGTGGAAATTCATTTGCTCCGGCAGGTTGATGAGAACTTTCACCATGCCAGACACGGTTAGCTGCGAGTCTGGGGTCCCGGGTTCTGCGAAGGGATCGGGAAGCGAGAATTTCGTGTCGGACATGGTAAAATTCTTGATCAAATCATCGAAGGCACCTCCCGTAAAGTCCAGAGGAACAGTGACGCTGCGCAGGAAATCTACAATCCACTCGGGTGTTTCAGCGGATGGTGCATCTGCACCACGGATATAGACTGTCGTCTTATCGCCACGCATATAACTCGAGACCAGGAAGTCCAAAGGAGAGCCCTCCTCATCCGGACAAGTAGCAGTGAGCTCGTCGGGGAGGTTTTTGATAATTCCCTGGACATTGACACCAGTTGCTCCACCAGGGCGAACCTGGATCTCCGATGTTGTCGCATCGGCGATCATGATGTAAGGGTCACCAGGGGAGCAATTGGGAACCATTATCTCAAACCCAAGGGGAGGAATCACCAAAGCGATAGGAGAGTCGATCAAAGCAGCCAATAAAACATCGACTGCCATGGCTCCATCCTTGTCATCATGAACATCCAACTTAATGATGTCAATCTTTGGTAAGGCAGGGAAATCTTTTTCTGTGAGCAAGTCAGTATATGGTCAGGTCTGTCAATACGGGTAAGCTCACCTTCGAATGTGACCGTGTCTGTAATGGTTTGGGCTCCCAGGCCAATTAAGCCTGATTTGAGGTGTATTGTTGCTCTTCCCTTTATGCTAAGGCGGCCCAATCTCCCTTCCATCCAATCTAAAGCGACAGCATGTATTCCCTTGATATCACCAGCTTTGAGATCTGTCAAGAAGTCGACCTGGTTATGATGGCCGTTGCGAATGTTGACTTTGATGGATGGGACTGTGGCGTTACCAACGAGTACGTTTCCGTATTCTGGAAGATAAACATCCACATCTGACTCCCCAGTTTCAACCTCTCTGGCAATCCATGTAGCCAAGCGACCGAAATTGCGCATAGACTTGCTCTTCACACGACCCGCGTCCATAACAAACTCGCCCTGAACTCGAGCGCGAACGCCTTCGGATGTCGTGGAATCTATTGAAAGCGTCGTCGGTTTGAACACGGCAGCTTGTTGAGCATATTCTTTTACCACGGCCGGCGCAGCAAAAGCAAAGAGCAGAATCGCCAGGATGGCTGTAGTTAACAAGGCAAGCGAGATAACGGTCGGCCATCGCACCCGGCTTCGTTTCTTGGGGGATCCATCTTCCAGGTGTGATGCAGCAGATGATTGTGATAACCTTCGCTCTGTTCCATATGTGTTGATGTCATCGTCGCGACGTTGTAAGAGAGGGGTCGACTCTGACGACAGTTCAAATGATCGGCGAGGCTGGTCAGGACGACCTGCAGCCTCGAAAGAGGATCTGGCCTGGCCATCCAGCAAAGGCTGGCTTGCCTCATCCACCATGATGGCCAGAGTGATATGATAAAAGTTAGAGCAGTGGATAGATATCTCTGCTGTCACAAAGCAGAGAGATGGAGGAGAAGAGATGGGGGTCCCTCGATGACGATAAGCACGATAATGGAAGGCGTGGGGATTGACACCTGGAGCAACAGGCAGTAAGGCAACGAGGCAATGAGGCAGACCCACGCACCATCTCCGGGTTTTAGAGTTGAGTCATTGCGCCCACTCTTTCTTTACTTCCCCCCCGGTCTCCCCCAATTCCCTTTCCCTCTTCCCCAATTGCACCTGCACAGTCACCCTGTATACTTCCATACCCCCAAAGACCATCATGGCCAGCGGTCTCAAAACTGCCGCCCGTTATGGCGCCCAAAGTGTAACTCAATTGGCCAGCTCCACCTCTACCCTGCCTCGAACTCTCCAGGCTAATGGACTTCGACGATTTGCCTCCCAGACAACTCCCTCTCCCTCTCCCCGTCACCTCCTGTCTATCGCGGACCTGACACCCGCTGAATTCGCAACCCTGGTTCGCAATGCCTCTTCACACAAGCAAGCCATCAAGTCTGGAGCCATCCCGACAAGCCTTATCGGCTCGCTCTCCGGCAAGACCGTCGCTATGATGTTCAACAAGCGAAGTACTCGTACTCGTGTTTCCACAGAAGCTGCTACCGTTCAAATGGGCGGCCACCCCATGTTCCTGGGCAAGGACGACATCCAACTCGGCGTGAACGAGTCGGTTTACGATACTTCCGTCGTTATCTCGTCAATGGTTTCCTGCATTGTCGCGCGTGTCGCAAAGCACTCCGATGTGGCTGATCTAGCCAAGGACTCTTCCGTTCCCGTTATCAATGCGCTGTGCGACTCTTACCACCCCCTCCAAATTATTGCCGACTTCGTCACTATCTACGAGGCTTTCACACCCAAGGCGCACAACGTCTCCAGCTTGGGATTGGAGGGTCTGAAGATCGCCTGGGTTGGCGACGCCAACAACGTTCTTTTCGATTTGGCTATTGGTGCTACTAAGATGGGTGTCGACATGTCTGTCGCTACACCCAAGGGCTACGAGATCCCCGCCGATATGCTCAAGGTTATCAAGAGTGCCGGCGAGGGTGTGCCCACTCCCGGCAAGCTCACTCAGACCAATGTTCCCGAAGAGGCGGTCAAAGATGCTGATATTTTGGTCACCGATACTTGGGTGTCCATGGGCCAGGAGGAGGAGTCCAAGAAGCGCATGAAGGCTTTCAGCGGTTTCCAGATTACTTCCGATTTGGCCACTCGTGGCGGTGCTAAGGAACACTGGAAGTTCATGCACTGCCTGCCCCGCCACCCCGAGGAGGTTAGCGACGAGGTCTTCTACAGCGATCGGTCCCTGGTATTCCCCGAGGCCGAGAACCGCTTGTGGGCGGCTATTTCGGCTCTGGAAGGATTTGTTGTCAACAAGGGCAAGATTGTGGAGTAAAGGCCAGGAGCCTGAGGAGTATGATACTTCAATCTCCCTGAACAAAGTTCGGGACTGGCTGAGCCGGGGATACATAACTTTCAGAAATGTAATTATTCACTATCATGAAAAGCATAATCCATCGCTAGCGACCACTACCCCGAAGTATCCATGATACCACCATTGACAACCCTGATGATTACAATAAACCCATTTTTAATGCCATTCAAGTTCGGTAAGCTCGGCATCTATGACTTCAGGCAGTTTCGGGTCTCCTGCTGATTAAGAGACGCCCATCCGATGCTGGTGGAGCCTTCGGATGTGTCAACGCCACATTAATGGTGGGGCTTCCGATCCCCATGATGGAGGGGCTACGGTCAGAGTCTTGGTTTGAAGCAGACTGTAGTTGTTTGGGAGGTGCTTTTCATTGCTTCTTGTCTAATTCTAGATTGTCAATTTACGGAAATTTTGGTATGGCTGTTGTCTACCACATATGAACGCAGTATCCGATGAGTTCACATCAACGGAGATCGACAACGCACGTTGATAAAATCTCCGAAAGATGAAATATAGAACATACAAAGCACGGTCACCGAAAGAAAGATTGTTTCCGTCTATAGCAGTCCGCACTTTCGTCCACGATCGACCGGGATATCCGCAGGTCTACACTCGGAAGAGTTCTTAAAGAAGTGACAACCCCACACCCCCCACGCTCGGAAAGTCACTCCCAGCCTGACGTTGATCGGAACGGTAAACCTCCAGGCGGGGAAAAGCCGATGGTCTTATACATATAAGAAGCACCTTGAACATACCTCTTCTTTCTTATTGCAGTTGGACTCTGTACATTTTATACTATACACAACATGGGTTTCGAAGATCAGCGCGTCGCCATCGTTGGCGGCGGTCTCGGCGGCATGTCTTTTCTTAACGCAGCCTTGTACGCGGGGCTGAAGAACGTCCAGCTTTACGAACAGGCACCGCAGTTCGGTGAAGTCGGTGCCGGTGTCAACATTACCTCCAATGCCAATCGTGTATTGGACGCCTTTGGTCTGCAGGAGAGCATGACGCGTCGCTCGTCCCGCAAGCTGCCCTGCTACATGGAGTATCACAGCTATAAGTCAGGTGAATATCTGGGCCACATTGAAGAATTTTCAAAGCCGCCGGCTCGTCTGCTGCACCGCGCAGACTTATTGGACTCCCTCAAGGAGCGTGTGCCCCAATCGTCCCTCAACCTCGGCAAGCACTTGGCCTCAATTGATCGCAACTCTTCCGGCGCACCGTACACTCTGCACTTCCAAGATGGCAGTACCGCAGAGGCCGACATCATCATAGGATGCGACGGTATCAAGTCCAATGTTCGTCGAGATATGGGTCTAGGCGACACGCCCAACTACTCAGGCCAGGTCGTGTACCGTGGCTTCGTCGATTACAAGGACCTCCCTGAGGAGACCGCCCAGCTACTGCGGAAGACTGTCAACTTCCGTGGCCCTAAACGACACGTCTTGATTCTACCTATCGGTAACCGGGAGACTAACAGCGATCGCGCTGCCGTTATTGGATTCATGTCTGAGCCGCTTGAGGCCTGGGACTCGGAGAGCTGGATGTCTCGCTCGGATATCGCTAGCCTGCAAGAGCACGTTCGCGACTGGTGCCCGCAGGTGCAGGATATCATCGAGGGACTGCGTAAGAGCTCGCCTGATGGCAAGATGCTCAAACAAGCTCTTTACGTGCGCGATCCAATCGATAAGTGGTACGAAATGGGTCAGAAGAATTCCGGTATCATCCTGCTGGGTGACTCTGCTCACTCCACTCTTCCTCACCAGGGTAAGTTCCTCGCAACAACATCAACAGATATTTTACTAACAATTGATACAGGCCAAGGAACTTGTATGGCTATTGAGTCGGGCATTGCACTCGCGACTATCCTGCGCCATTGGAAGGGTGATGATTTGGAAGGAGCTTTCAAGTTCTACCAGGACTTGCGCAAGCCTAGGACAGATCGTGTTACACAGACTAGCTACGATGCTGGAAGGCTTGCTAGCGCCGACACACCAGATCAGATGACTGACAACTTTAACCCGGGGGCTTTGGGAGAGCGTATGAGGTGGATTATGGAGTATAACGTGCTGGAGGACTTGAGGGCCAAGGGTGCCGATGTCCTGGATTTCCATGACTCCCGACTTTGAATATATCAGGGATGATTTGGAAGTGCTGTATATTTTTCAACCTTTTGTATAAATGAGTTAGTATTCATGTCCATCGAAAAAACATTTGAACCATGTTTCTCATCCATGTTTCTCATCATGCCTAGGTATATGTAGGTACTTGTACGGTTATGGAGAGGTGAGTAGCGCTCGATGCTGGTGACGTAGGTACCAGAACGGACTCGCAAGACCACATGTGCCAAAGGCCGATCATGGCCATAATACTGGTAAGTCAACTGTTTGTTCATGGTTGAGGTTGAGCCCTACAGGTGGATGGTTCCGGGTAGATTTCGTGGCGTTGCATGATCCTCGGTCATACCATGAAGTTACGAGCTATGTGATATAGATCAAAACTTCGCCACCTATCCCGAACCAGCCCACCAAGCTAGGAGTTAACACAGTAGGAAGGAAGAATAAATATGAAACAGCATTCCTCGTTACACCTGAAGCTATACACAGCTTCAAGTAACTATTCAACCGAAAACGTGCACGGTCACTTTCACATGCCAACACGTGCGGCAACTCCGCATTTCCACGGTTCTCCTCTTCTTTTCCTCGAAGCCTCTCTTCAACCCAGGCCACCATGGAAGTGAGTATACTAAACACAATACTTCATGGTCATATGAACCTATCTAACCCGTATCCCAGTTCAACAACCCGGTGGGCTTTCGCTCCCGCCGCTCGTACCCCAACCTCCACCACATCTCCCTCGCTCCACTCACTCCGCGCTTTCCAATCGATGATCTGGAACCAACAGACTACTTCTCTCCACGAGACGAAGTAGAGAGCCCTCGAACCTCATATCTCTCCAGCGTCTCAGTCCCCAGCACTCCACCCATCCTCTCCCACTCACGCAGCAACTCTCGCACCCGCCACACTCGCAGCAAGAGCTCCACCCGCTCCGGCATACTAAGTGATTCAAACCTGCACAGCAAAGATGTAGCACTCCCACTCCACCACCAAATAAAGAAACGCAACGGCACATCACACCACCAACGCCCATACAGCGAAAGCCAAGCTTCCAAATCAGATGCAGAATGGATGCTCCGCGCAGGAATCGCACTCGCCTCATCAACCCGCGAGGAAAAGGGCCAAAGCTGGCTTTCCAAGCGCGAGAGCTCAACAAGTCTCGTTTCAATGCCATACGAGACCGAATCGCCCCGTCACCATAACCGGACTAAATCCAGCTCATCTCGTAAGTCGAGGTCCGGTGCTTCTACGCCTGCTTTGTCGCGCCGGAATTCTCGCTCCCGTGGCGGGAGTAGACGGGGTAGTCGGGCTGGACTGGCTATGACATCTATGCCGCTTTTGTCGGGTCGGGTTTCTAGTTCCGGGACGGGGACGGTTAGCCCCGAGGTGCGTGTACAAGGTCGGTTGGAGCCCGATTTCGTGGATGAGGAGATTCGCGCGGAGATAGCGGCGTTGCAGCGGGAGAGGGGGATATCAGATGAGGAGTCGGAGTACTGGGATGAAGAGAGTGGATCGGAGGATGAAGATGACTTATCGGATCGGACACTGGATGAATTCGACGAGGCTGATTTGCAGCGGCTTACGCGTGAGCGTGGGTTTGGGCTGGGGACTTGGATTGATCGGTTGGTTGAGTGGACGCTGTTTGGAGTTGATGAGTTACCTGTTTCTGTTGTTCCGACTACGACAAGGATCGGGGCTGCAGCGACTACAACTACAGTTACGTTTGAAGAGCCGGATTACTCGCGCGACAGTGATGAGCTGCATCATGATAATTTGTCACTGCTTTCGGCGGGGGATGAGGCGGATGGTCTTTCGCTTACGGATGGGGAGTCGGTTGCCGAAGTTGAGAAGCCTGGTGCGCAGGGTGGATGGGAGGATGCGTCCTGGTTATTCCGGGTTGTTAAACGGGCATTAATATAAGATGAAGAGAGACCGGGAGACCCGTTGACGCTTTTCTTCTCACTTTGTCGATACCTTTGCTTTCCTATGCTTTTGGACCTTCTATCGGATAACTAGATTGATGGGGGGCTTTTTACGGTTCAGCCTAAAATACGATATCAAGCATATGTTTTTCTTCCGATGCAAGTGTATTCTTGAAAGTTAGGTTGATAGGCAGCCGTTTGATAGTCTGGAAGTATGCGCAAGACTAACGTAGGAAACGTGATAACACGCCCAATGAAGGTCTTCTCCGACAGAACTATATCATGACAGCATCAGATATACCGAGTACTGCACAGCTGCGCCGATAAATAAAAAAAAGAACAGAAAAGCAAGCGAAAGGATGTACAAGACTCCCGGGAGCGCCGAAAGGTTCAGAAAAGACGATGTATGCCATCCGACATTGCAATGAGATAACGCAAGTGAAAAAAGGAAATGGAGCGAGAGATCGAGGAAGTTCAAGCCGCGAGGCAAGTCAGGGTAAGAGAGAAGGAGAAGAAGCACACATAAACCAGAAAGGAAAAGTAGTATTCGGTTGGAGGGTTCATTGGGAATTGGAAAGCCAGGAAAGTCAGGGCAAGGCAAGGACACAGTTCAGCTTCTGGAAAAAGTCAAGGCAGTAAAAAGAAAAAAAGAAAGAAAAGTGTCAGGTCATTCGCCTTTGCATACTAAAAACGCCAATCTGAGACCAGGTAGTTTCTCTAAGGTCATGCAGGAGGTATCATGATCGTGGCATACGTCGACGTATTGTGCGGTCGGGGACGTTAATGAGACCGTCAGGCACGGGGCGGAGCCGGGAAATGTTGTAAATGCAACGTGGGGTGCGCGTGTGGTTGTGATGCGAGGTTTTGCGTTGGGTCGTCATGTTGCTTATTGAAAAAGAGTTTGCTGGGTTGTGTCATCCCTCACCAGGGACCAACCCTGACCGGCGTTCCGAGGCCGTAGGTCCCGGACAGGAGCTGATCACGTATGGAGCCGAGTTCATTGCCGCCAGGGCTGTGGGAGGGCGAGTCCGGCCCGTTCATCCATCCCAGGCTCGAGCCGAGCTCGTTGACTACACCCTGAAGCTTGCCGCCCGATGTCTGGTTGTGCTTGGCCAGCTTTTGGTCCCAGCCACCGTATTGCAGCTGGATACCCCCGCCACGCTTGGCTGCCTCTCGGATCACCAGGACCCAGGCCTTGCCGATTTCGTCATAGGCCGAGTCCCGCTCGATGTTGTTCTGTGGCGTGTTCCATCGTGGCAAGGCATGAATGATATCGGTCGCCCCGTCGAGGTAGCTAAGTGAAACCGAAGGCTGAGGCTCGTTGGGAGGAAGGAAGTTAGGTGTGAAGTCGCTCAAGGCTTCAAGAAGGTTCGTGAGTGGCTGCCGGACTCGGTTATACGCATAGTCGGACGCTGTATTGCCACCCAAGGGGAACGACGACTGAAGCGCTGCCTGATAGTTTCTAAGCACCTGCAGCGTTGACGAGACACTAGGTCTTGGGGAAGTCTGGGCCACCTCATCGGCGAGCTGAGGGTGGCGCTCGCACATGGTTCGCACCACGGTTCGTAAGGCATCGGTGTCCAAAGTTTCTAGGAGACGGGGCAGGGAGAGAGGCCTGCCCGAGACGTTGGGTCGGGACCGCTTAATGTTTCGGAAAGAAGGGAGTTGGCGAGGAGTAAAAGCAGGCGAGTTGGTGGGCGAGGCGGACATGCGTCCATCGTGGTCGTTGCCATCGTCGTCGGCTTTCCGCTTTCGGCTGGTATAGGATGACGAAGGCGTAGACACTGGGGGTTTATAGTCAGTTGAATGTCCTCAAAGCCACTTCCAAGCTCTGGAAATCCACAAGATCGAAAGGGGATGTCGTACTTATTCGGGAAGGAGAAAATCGAGGGTTCTCGTAGAAGTGAGGAGGGAGAGGAGGCGTGGCCACCAAGCTGTTCATGATGACAGCCGGATGGCAATAAGATAATACTGAGCTGAATAGGTGACGAGCACAGCAGAGAAGGCTCGAAAAAAAAGGTGCCCAACACAGGGTGAGGTGGGGAGGAGAAGAGAGAAGAGAGGCGGTGGAGAAAAGAAAGGCGTTGCGGGCGGCAACACAGTCCGACTGCGCAGGTCTGAGGTGACTTCTCGACGTTGCAGACCACGTCTCCCTGCAATACGAGAGAAAATTCTATAAATGAGTCGTCGACTTCACCCAATAATTGAATTTCTCTACCTAGAATTCTACAGACTACGAAAATTACGTGTCATGTGGTGGCTGCAGATTTGAAGTTGTAGGTAGATGTACCGGAGCTGAGTAGTTTCATCTAGAACCCTTTCGAAATCTCTTTCTACATGCCTGTTCTTCATCTTCAGACATTTCTATGCATCAAGGCTACTCCTACAAGGGATCCGTGCCTAAAAATTCAACTGGGATACTACAAAAAGCGTTCTATTACTGCCGGTGATACCCGCTCAAGCCTCTGCGTTCAGGCGACATGAATTTGACCTATCAGTAAGTATTAGGAAGCTCGGCATGACCATGAGACTGTCATTGAATCTCTTTTTGACTCCTTAAAAACTAGCATGGGATATCGTATCTACAGGTACAAAGATTGGGCCGCCACAATGTCACGGCGCACCTTGGTGAGCGCCTCCTCGAACTTGCTCTCCAGGTCCTCGCTGCCCATCACCTTGGCAGCCTGTGCCATTTGTCGAAGACACTCTTCCAACCGGCGGAACACACGGATCAAGCTACCCTCGTAGACATCGGTCATTTTGCTAATGTTCAAATTAGTTGTGCGCGACTCATATAGATAGGGGCGAATGCTTACCAGATATCAGCGAAGCCCTTGCCGTTGGCCCACTCGTAGATAACCTCCATCAATTCCCAGTGGAAACTCTGGACATATTCATCTTCGTTGACAGCCATCTTGGACTCCTGCGACACCTTGGCGATGATGCGGGCCTGGGCTTGGATCTCCTTGAGAGGCTTCGCAAGCTCGTCCTTAGACAGGGCGGGGGCCTCCTTGACCTTCTCCTCGAACACGAAACAACTGATGACGGCGGCACACTGCTCAGGAGTAAGGTTGTTGAAGAAACCGTTAAACAGAAGCTCGGCGAGCATAAGTTCGTCACCAGTGCTGATCTCACAGGCGACACGAGCCTTAAGCTGCACCACCTCCGCCTCGTTAATGAACCCGAATCGGCGAAGCACACGCTTGCGGCACTTCAGCTCATCAAGCTGGATGATAGCCATGGCGTCGGTGATCTTCTTCTTGGTCTCCTTGATCTTGGTGCCAAGGTTGACCTTTTCGGAGTATTGCTCGTACAGCTCCGGCAAGCGTGGCGAGCTGTGCAGGGGGTTGCTAAGCAGACGGGACTCCAGAACTTCGATTTTCTGTGACACAAATTAGCTCAGTTTTTTATGAAAATAATGTATACTACTCACCCGGAGCAGCTTCTTGAAGGATTCATCCTTGATGCCCATATTTTCGATGGGGTCAAGGAGGGCGTAGCCATCGGGGAATCGCTTGGCGACTTCATCCAAAGCTCTCTTCACGCCATTGCGCGAGTCAATTGAAGTCAAATCTTTGGGAAGGAAAATACGCAGATGAGCGAAAGCATGGATACAGCCAATTGCAACCGGAACAACTTCCATGCGGAACTTCTCACCCTCCTTGGCCGGTCGCACACCGGGAGGAAGATCCTGGAATGTCTTGGTCCCCACGGAAGGCCCATCAGCAATCTTTAGGAGAACGTCCACGATGTATGACTTGCTTGGGGGAATCTCCTCCGTGGAGTTCTTCGGGGGTTGTCTCTTAGTAAACTTCACAACGGCACCCCAGCCAAAATCTTGGTCTTTATCCTTGACCTGGACCAAGCGACCGGCCTGGAAGAAGGGAAGTGCGTAGTTGGGGTGGCTGATGACGGCCTGAACGTCCTCTGCAAATCCATCCAACTGCTTGCGAAGATCGTAATATTCACGGATGGTTCCCTCATCTTCAATGACCATGTTGGCCTTTTGCTCCTCAAGTTCATGGAGTTCCTTCTCCAAGCCGGAAACGTTGCCGGTGTTTTGGAACTGCTTGAAACATCTCTCGAGCATAAATTCAGGTGAAATTCCTTCCACACGCATCAAATTGAGAATCATATTGTAACCCAAGTGGAAAGCAGAGTTAAGGTGGTCTTGTTCACCACGCACAATCGTCTTGGCAACAACAGGGTCCATCTCCTCACCGACCATCATGATGACAATACCACGCTCATCGAGACCACGACGTCCAGCACGACCAGACATCTGAATGAACTCGGACGGGGTGACCCAACGTTGGCTAGTTCCATCGAACTTTCTGACACTAGTGAAAACAACAGTCTTGGCGGGCATATTGAGGCCGATAGAGAAGGTTTCAGTGGCGAACAGGACCTTAATGAGACCCTCCTGGAAGAGAATCTCAATGGTCTCCTTAAGAATAGGCAGCAGACCGGAGTGGTGAACACCAACACCTCTCCGAAGAAGAGGCAAAATGTGCTGGATCTGAGGCAGTGCCCGATCTTCAGGTGACAGCATCGAAATGGCGCTGTCGAAGACCTTGGACACCATCTCCTTCTCAGAATCATCGTTGAATGCAAGTTTCGATAATTGGAGGGCACCGTGCTCACACTCTCGTTTGCTGAAACTGAAAACAATGACCGGGTTGTACTTCTTGAGCATGATCATCCGTACGATCTTGAAAATGTCGGATGGACCCTGGTTGCCACCCTTGGCGATCGTCTTATCCTTACCTCGGCCCTTCTGCTTCGCATTAGGGTTGGCAACATCCTCGCCCTTCTTGTCCGCAATAGAACCCATTGCTTTCTGGAAATTTTCTTCACGGAACACTCCCTTCTCATCAACGACAAGATGGATACCCTCGGCACCGGTGGGGAAGAAGTAATGTTGGAGGGGGGTGGGACGGTAGTCGGTGTACACAACGTGAACAGGTTGGTTGTGCATCTTGGTGACCCATTCGGCGAATTGCATAGCGTTGGGGATGGTGGCAGACAGGAAAACGTAGCGGACCTTATCGGGGAGAAGAATGATGGTCTCTTCCCACACAACACCACGGTTCAGGTCACGCAGGTAGTGAATCTCATCGAAGATGACCCACTGAACTTCACGCATAATCTCGGAACCGCGATACAACATGGATCGCAGGATCTCTGTGGTCATGACCAGACAGGTAGCAGTGGGGTTGATGGTCACATCACCAGTCATCAAACCGACATCACCAAACTCTGCCGCAAATTCTCGGTATTTCTGGTTGCTCAGTGCTTTAATTGGACTGGTGTAGATCACACGCTGGTTGTTCTTCAAACTTTGCGCAATCGCATATTCGGCCACCACTGTTTTTCCGGCACTAGTATGCGCTGACACCAAGACACTCTCCTCGCGCTGGATCGAATAGACGGAGACTTGTTGGAAAGGATCGAGTGTGAAAGGATAGACCTTCGCAGGGTCTGCTGGCGGCTGGTGTTGCGAAATCGGGATGTATGGGTAGTTCGGGGGGATTGCGACCTGATGACGGACTTGGTGAGAAACCACCATGTGAGTTGAATCTTCTGATCCTCCCAAACCAGCAGCAGTTGCGATTTCGCGTTCTTGCTCAGTTTCGAAGGTATCGGCAACGACGGCGTCGGGAATTTGATCGAGGCGAGGACGCTTAATGTCTGGCGGCGCGGTCTCAGAGGGGGGTTCTTGAGTGCCTTCCATTTCAACGTCAGGCTCCTCAGCAGGAGTCTCCTCTACCACGGGTGGTGCATCAGGGATCTTGACATCGCCGTTGGCTTGACGCTTCTTGCTCTTGTCCTTCTTGGCACGCTTCGGCGCGCTGCCCGAGGGCTTGGGCGCCTGAGGCGTATCCTCAAAGACGTCAAAGAGCTCGTCCATCTCCAGTGGTCAAAATTGACTGGAAACCACAGAAGTTGAGTTGACGATAGTGAACTACCACTTTTTTTCAATGAAAAATGAAGGAACCCGATAAAGAAGGCGGTGGGAGACAATCGGCGGAGGACGCTAATCAATATATGGTAAGTCACGGGATCAAAGTCCCGTGACTTGAGTCGTCCCATTCCGCACCTTGCGATGTTCGCTCTGGCTCCGTCCATTCCCGATCGTCCGCTCTCTCTTCTCAGTACCTCCACGGTAGGTGCTCTGCAGTGCAATTGGGACTCCTGCAGTCACGGCAGACTCACTGACTCTACAAAGATGTACGCCTCCTCCGCCGCTCGCGCCCGTCTGGCCACTGTTGCCCGTCGTGGTTTCTCCACTAGCCGCGCCCAGCTCGGCAGCCCCTACCATTATGCTGAGGGCCCTCGCACCAACATCCCCTTCAACCCCCTGACCAAGCACTTCTTCTGGCGCTACTGGTCCTTCATGGGTTTGTGAACCGTCATTGCCCGAGTATAGACCCCCAGGACTGACACAAAACTCATCTAGCTGTTGGCTTCGGTGCTCCCTTCGGCATTGCTGGTAAGCTTCCAATTGTCCTGACAGGTGCCTTGGTGATTCTAACGGCCCTTTTTTCTAGTCTGGCAAACCTACAAGACCAAATAAATTGTCCTACACTGCTTTGTCGCGCAACGGCAGCATGGTCTATTTCGCGATGGAAATTCTGGGTCGGGCGTCGAAGCTGTTGGATATCATGTACAAAGTTAGAGAATAACATTGGCTTTTCATTTATTGCACGAATTTGTCAATTGTAGTTGCGTAGACGTTGTAAAGTGTAGATTAAAGGACGTTGAAATATGGATGAAGTCATTGGCTGAGCGGATGTGGAAAATCAAAAATCTTTGGTTCGGCGTTGATAGACAGCTCGCTGTGAGCACCAACCCACCAACTCCACGATTATCACATATTATCCACCAGAGATCGGATCTCTGTAATCGCGAGTCCTTTCGCTTCTCGCTCCCAGATATCTACGGTCCTGCCATCCCATGGCGGGGTAGAAAAAAGGGACCTAATAGAGAAAAGAAAAAAGTGATACCCACCACCGAATATGCGCAACCTCAAGAGCGTGCGTCTTCAGGAGACGCAAGTTGAGGGCCAACTTCCTTTGACTGCTACAGCTTGGGATACTTCTTCCGATTCGATTATTTGCACCTTTGGTCCGTCAGAGGAGAATGCAGTCATTGAGTTGCGCAGGAAGCGCCCCGAGGTGACTTCCGCGGAGCCTTTGAGCACGGATGTATTTGAGTGCCTCGCATCCTGGGATGCGCCTAGTCCTTTACCAGACCTGGCATGTGACCGCGTGCTTTCCTTGCATTACTTTGCCGATAACCTTTCAGCCTGTCTAGTGCTGGAGGGCGGTGATATTATCATTGTGCGCGAAGAACCCCTCCCCGGCGAGGACAAGATTGAAATCTTAGGCTCTGTGGATATTGGAATCACCGCTGCTGCATGGTCCCCGGATGAGGAGCTTCTAGCTATTACGACGAGAGCTCGGACGCTTCTGTACATGACTCGGGAGTTCGAGAATGTGGCCGAGATCACCTTCACCGAGGCAGACTTGAAAGCTTCCCAGCATGTGTCTGTTGGCTGGGGTAAGAAAGAGACCCAGTTCCAGGGCAAGAGAGCCAAAGCTATGCGCGATCCCACCGTGCCAGAGCATGTAGATGAAGGAAAATTGAGCAGTAACGACGATGCTAGTACTACTATCACCTGGCGCGGCGACGGCGCTTATGTTGCCGTGAACAGCGTCGAGGAAGGAGCTCGTCGCGCTATTCGAGTTTACTCGAGAGAGGGTGCTATTGATAGCGTCAGCGAACCCGTGGATGGGCTCGAGAGTGCTCTTAGCTGGCGTCCAAGCGGGAGCCTCATTGCTGGAATCCAGCGGTTGGATGACCGGATCGATGTTGTGTTTTTCGAGAGAAATGGTCTTCGTCACGGCCAATTCACTCTCCGTCTGACAGAGGAGGAACGGCAATCATGGGCCTCGCAGATCCAGCTGTCATGGAACGTCGATTCAACCGTGCTCGCTGTTAGGTTCAAGAATCGTGTCCAGCTCTGGACTACGGGTAATTACCACTATTATCTCAAGCAGGAGATTCCAATAGTGGTCAAATCTGATTCTAAGCACCCATTCTCTTTCGAATGGCACCAAGAGAAGGCCCTCCGCATGGTTATCGGATCTGCGAGCTATATTCTGGATATTGATTACGTTTTCGACATCCATCATGGCTCCACTGTGATTCCTGAAGATGTTGGAGCTGCTGCCGTGATTGATGGGAAACTTCTGAAGCTCACGCCCCTTCGAATGGCCGGGGTCCCACCTCCAATGGCTCACAATGATTTGCTTCTCGACTCCAACATCATCGATGTTGCCTTCAGCAAGTCGGGCGCTCGTATTGCGGTCCTCACGGAGAGGAACTTTTCTGTTTTCCTGTGGTCTCTCAAGAGCCGCCCGGTCCCTATGCCAATTCTCGAGTCTAGCTATCCTCTGTCCGATGCCCCGGCTATGCGGTCCAGGCAAATTGCGTTCGTTGGCGAAACGGAGGTGTATGTGCTTAAGGATAATGGTCCTAACACTGACCATATTGAGCGGACCACTCTGGAGACCAGAGACTCTCGAGTCGTGTACCAGTCAGTGGAGCCAGAGCAAATATCCTCGATCTTTGCCGGTGTCGGACACCATTCTTTGTGGTTTTCACACGCTCCTCAGCATGGACGCCCGGTCAACTATTCCAGCATCGGTCTCGTCGAGGGAGATGAAGTCGACATTGCTCCTTGGCTGGAGGGCCCTACTGTTGATACACACTGGGCCCGTGCTGTATCAATTAGCGAGGAAGAGTGCGTTTTGATCTCCATGACGAGGACCGGTACATTGTACGCCAATAAGCGAGTACTCGCAAAGAACTGCACATCCTTCCTGGTGACCTCGGCGCACCTGATCTACACTACATCGCAACACTTACTGAAATTCATTCATCTGAACCATGTGGACGAAATGGAGGTCCCAGAAGATACACCCGAAACTGATGAGCGCTGCAGAAGCATTGAGCGTGGCTCGAAGCTGGTCTCGGTCATTCCCTCAATCTTTGCCGTTGTTCTTCAGGCACCCCGAGGAAACATCGAAACCATCTACCCCCGCGCCCTGGTCTTGGCTGGTATTCGCACGTTCATCGACCGGAAGAACTACCGGGCTGCTTTCATGGCATGTCGTAGCCAGATGGTGGACATGAACATTCTCCACGACTATGCCCCCAAACAGTTTATGGAGAGCGTCCAGCTCTTCATTGAGCAGGTCAAAAAGATCGAATTTATCGATGACTTCCTCTCACGCTTGAAAGAGGAAGATGTTTCACAGACTTTGTATAAGGACACCTTGAGGATATCCAAGACTGAATCTGCGGTTGTTGCTCAACCCGATCCTCAACCTTCTCCGGGTTTGATCAAACAGCCCAGCAAGGTCAGCAAAGTCAACGCCATCTGTGATGCTTTCCTGGCGGTCCTTCACAACCGTGTGGATAGCAACCTACAGAACCTGGTGACCGCACATGTGTGCAAATCCCCGCCCGATCTGGATGCCGGTCTGGGCCTGGTTGCTCACCTCCGAGGTATGTTTCTAGTGTTCCCATGAACGAACCTGTCATGGTCGCTAACGTCCGAGATATAGTGCAAAACCCCGAGCAGGCGGATGATGCTGTTGAGCACATGTGCTTTTTGACAGATGCCCGCCATCTTTACTCCCATGCCTTGGGTTTGTATGATCTCGAGCTGACTCTCTTGGTTGCTCAACAAGCGCAGATGGTAAGCAGTAGCACGGCCCATCACGCAACTTTGCCTGACCTCTTTACAGGACCCTAGAGAGTATCTCCCATTCCTCCGAAAACTGCAGACGCTTGCCGAGACTCGGCGCCAATTCGAAATTGACAACCATCTTTCTCGATTCGCTAAGGCTCTGAAACACTTGTTCGCCATCAATGCTCACGAGGAGATCCGCACCTACGTTGTTCGCCACGTTCTATATAAAGAGGCTCTTGAACTCTACAAGTATAACCCCGAGGAACAGAGAGAGATCACACAACTATATGCCGACTATCTTCAAGGGGACTCGAAACACAAGGATGCCGCAATCGGTGGGTCAATAATTCAAATCGCGTGAAAGAAACATCATAGCTAATATATTACCCAGCTTATGAATCACTCGGGATTTACGACCAGGCCTACCAATGCTACCATGTGGCTCATATGTGGCGCGAATCGCTATATTGTGCGATGATGGCCGACTTGTCACCAGAAGCCCTCACTGCTCACATCAACGATGTCGCCACAAACTTGGAGGATGAAGCACGCGACTACGTTGGAGCAGCAACCATTTACGCCGAGCACCTCAACGACATCGTCACCGCTGCCCGGCTCCTGTGCCGCGGCTCCAAATTCGCCGACGCCGCCCGCCTCCTGACGCTGAACGGCAAGAAGGACCTTGTTGAAGAAATAGTAGACACCGGATTAGCGGAGGCAATGGGCTCCATGACCGATTTGCTCGCTGACTGCAAGAACCAGCTCAATGCCCAGGTTCCCCGAGTTGGCGAACTCCGCGTGCTTCGCGCCGCCGACCCTCTCGCTTTCTACGGAGGTGACCCAACCGGAGGCGAGGGTGGTGTCGATATCCCCGACAATGTCTCACTTGCTCCCACCGAAGCTACCACTCTGGCTGGTCGTACCATGTTCACCCGGTATACGGGTAAGACAGGGGCATCTCGGCAGACGTCTCGCACGCGCCGTCGTGAAGAGCGCAAGCGTGCCAAGGGAAGAAAGGGTACTGTCTACGAAGAAGAATACCTGGTCAACAGTATCCGACGACTCATTGAGCGTGTTAACTCGGCCGTGGCCGAGGCGTCGGCTCTGGTGGATGCATTGCTCCGTCGTGGTATGCGGGAACGTGCAGCAGCCGTTGATAAGGCGTTGGAGGATGTCTTGAAAATGTGTGCAGATTGCCGAGACGACGTGTTTGAGGTTCCACAGGTGGAAAACAAGAATCAGGAGGATGAGGATGGAACCCCGATCGAGCCTCCTCCCCCGCTTTCCGGTGGTGCGCGCGTTCTTGCAGAGAGTCTAGGCATTGTGACGGGCGGCATTCCTAAAGCGGTGCCTGTCGTTAAGGAGATGAGCAAATCGTCTTTGCTTGTTTAAGCTGGATAGAAGCATTCAAAATGTTCAAACGATTAAAATGTTGCACGTTGTGATCTTGTCCCACGGGCCAATGCATAGTAGTCTCTTGTTGGGACCTCGGACCCTTGAAAGTGCTCGTGCGTGTCTGGGGAAAATGATGAAGAACGCGATCGAAGTTTATTTACATAGAGACAGACCCTTCCAACCCTTCCAACTAAGTCAAGAGGTTCAACCATCTCCCGAGGTCTGAAAGATCCCACATCCCGTCGCTATGCAATTGTAACATCGCAATTAAAGCTAATATAGCCGCAAACATTAAAATTCGGGTGAGAAATGCAAGCCCCAACAAAGCAAGCCAAGCACTTTCCTACGCAGCCAAAGCCGTTGGAAAGCCGGAAATGCCATGTAATTCCAAGGTCCAACAGGGCCTGCCCGTCGGAGTTCCGCCCTTGCATAGGGCCCCGGGACCCTAAAGCAGGTCTTCCCCCTGAAGATAGCAATAACCGAACAGGAATACGCGAGGACCATCCGGGATCAAGCAGATTACCCAGTCGGAGCGGGGTGATAAGACAATCAGCAGACCTGATTTACCAGAGTCCACATCGTGAACCCGCTATTCCGCCGCGCTCGCGACCTTAGTGGCGCGATTTCGTGAAATGCCCCCGCTGGAAGATGCTTAGCTCTCCAGCCACGCGTGATGCTCGGATGATTGTTGATGTCTCATCTCCCATGCAGCGAGTGCGCCCAATCACCATGCATCATTGGGGATTAATTGTTTTGGCCTTTTCAAGGTGGAGATTTTTATCAGTGGTCTGGAGATTGTGTGTATGTCGGTCCTGTAGGGTGGGATTTTGTATTTGAAGGAGCCCTAGCCCCCCCCTGTCGGTAGTGGTTGTAGGCGATCCTAATCGATTCAGAGATGTTGGTGCGTCAGGTTTGCGTTGCGCTGGCCATTGCGGCAGTTACGGGGGCCATCCCGGCTCCTACTAAACATGTCTTGCATGAGAAGCGAGACAAGCACGCTTATGACTGGATTAAGGGTGCTCGAGTTGAGAGTGATGCGGTGCTGCCTGTCCGTATTGGATTGACGCAGAACAACTTGGAGAAGGGTGATGAGTTGCTGATGGACGTGTATGTGATCCGAATTTATATCTGGGGTGGTTAAGTTTTGTGCTAACATTCGTTCAGGTCGAGCCCGTCCTCTGCCCGATATGGACAGTACTGGTCCGCTGAAGAGGTGCATGATATGTTTGCTCCTTCTGCCGAAGCCGTGGACGAGGTGCGCCAGTGGCTTCATGCTGCTGGAATTGACGCGGCTCGCATTGTCCACACCGATAACAAGGGCTGGTTGGCATTTGATGCCTATGCACACGAAGCCGAGAAGCTGTTCAAGACCACATTCTATGAGCATGAGCATGTAAGCACGGGCAGCATGAAGATTGGATGTGATAGGTAAAAGACTCTGTTCTTTCAAAAGGGAGAAAAGCACAAAACTGATCATACTATAGCTATCACGTCCCAGAGCACATTCAGGGCCACGTCGACTATGTCACACCAGGTGTCAAGCTGAGCCCCGTTGTCAAGAAGCGCAGCCACACCAAGCGAGCCTCCAACCTGGCTCATTCCAAGCCCAATGCGAAGGCTGTGTCGGCTTCTGACAGCCACTTCCAGGTCCCCGCCAAAGCCTTGTCGCTTTCCAAGGACCTGCAACTGTGTAGCTATAACATGACCCCTACCTGCATCAAGGCCTTATATGATATCCCCGACGCAACCAAGGCCAGAAAGGGCAACTCGCTCGGTCTTTACGAGCAGGGTGATTACTTCGCCAAGTCGGACATTGACCTATTCTACAAGGAATATGCTCCTTGGGTTCCCCAGGGCACATATCCCATTCCGGCAATGATTGATGGAGCGAACTTCTCCGTGCCTGCTGATAGCTCGTTGAACACAGGCGAATCCGACATTGACATTGACATGGCGTAAGTGTGATGTTCCAAATAGTCCTAGACTCTTGATTCCTATGCTAACAGATCTAGCTTCGCTTTGATCCACCCTCAGACCGTGACTCTGTACCAGGTGGATGATCAACTTTACGAGCCAGCGGAAGTTGCCACCACCAACCTGTTCAATACCTTCCTTGATGCTCTTGATGGCTCCTACTGCACGTATGAAGCGTACGGAGAGAAGGGCGATGACCCCAGCATTGACCCAGTCTACCCGGATACTCGTCCCGGTGGCTACAAGGGAAAGCTTATGTGCGGCGTTTATAAGCCTACCAATGTTATCAGTGCTTCCTACGGCCAAGCCGAAGCTGACCTCCCCGTCGCCTACACCAAGCGCCAATGCAACGAATTCCTGAAGCTCGGTCTGCAGGGCCATTCCATCCTTTTCGCCTCCGGTGATTATGGTGTTGCCTCCTTTGCCGGCGATGGCGATGCCAACGGCTGCCTGGGCCCCGACTCCAAGATCTTCAACCCCCAGTATCCATCCAACTGCCCGTACGTGACTTCCGTCGGAGGCACCATGATCTACGCAGACCAAACAGTCGAAGATCCCGAGAGTGTCATGCACGTTAATCTCGGTGGCACCGCCACCAATTTTAGCACTGCTGGTGGTTTCTCAAACTACTTCCCCCAGCCTTCGTATCAGAAGGAGGCCGTCAAGAAGTACTTCGAGAAGGCGAAGCTAACCTACCCCTACTACTCTGAGCTCGGTGTTGATGTCAACACAACCAAGGGTCTTTACAACCGCATTGGCCGTGCGTACCCCGATGTTGCGGCTAACGGAGCTCAATTCCGTGCTTATATGAATGGCTATGACTATCACTTCTACGGATCCAGTCTGGCGTCGCCGTTGTTTGCCTCAGTTCTGAACTTGGTATGTGCAATCTCCTGATTGCGAAATGACTGAAGGGTGCTAACGAGTTCGTATAGATCAACGAGGAGCGTCTTGCCGTGGGCAAGGGACCCGTCGGTTTTGTCAACCCTGTTCTCTACGCTCACCCGGAGGTCCTCAATGATATCACCAACGGCACCAACGCTGGATGTGATACTAATGGATTTGCTGCAATTGAGGGGTAAGCAATGATGTCTTTTAAGGAATCACCTAGTACACTGGAAATGCTAACAATGACTCTAGATGGGATCCCGCTACGGGTCTGGGTACTCCTAACTTCCCTAGGTTGAAGAAGCTGTACATGAAGCTGCCGTAAATGATTCTTCTATTCACTGTGAATATGAAATAGATTTATTTCAAATCTCAAAATCCAATTTGGGGTCAGCTTTGTTTGAGGGCTTACTTAATGTACAGTTTTTAGAAGGCTCTAGGCTTTTGAAACTGAAGCATGTAGTTATCAAGATCGACTTTCCTTTATCTCAACCCCATATTTGCTGTCTTCAACACTCTTGGAAATACAGAATTACAGTTTGAATCGGAAGCTACTTTCCGCCATTATGGGAATAGAGTACTACTAGCGATTTGGCGCTATGACCTACCGCCTGCCCTAGTAGATCCTACAGTACTATAAGTCCGGCAGATGTAGGGTAACAGGAAACCTACTTGCCTTGCTAAGAAGGTCAAGGCAGGTTACCCTCTTATTCATGTGGGTCAGCTAAGTTTTGAAGATAAATTGATCGGCCTCGGGGCTTGGGAGTACGTAACTGGAAGGATGGTTACCGGAGACCTATCCTAGTGGAGACAAATAACTATAACCTGACCAGCAGTTTGACATAGATGTTGATTATATGCCAATCGGAAAGAGGAAGTTAATGAAATGGTGCTCAAAGTACCATGCCTTGGCCTATCTTGGCAAGCCGGATTCCGCTATTTCATTGCCAACATGTTTTCTTATGCTCTTTTAACTCTTACACCCCCCATTTCTCGCCTGATTCCACAGAAAAAAATTACAATCCTGCAGCACTTGAGATATCCAGTTTTGATTACCTTGCTTTAAGTAGCAATGAGATATGGAAGAATCAATTCAAGGTACCAGTCCTCGTAAATATACAGTGGGTATCTCATGGAATGATGTATATACAGGCCTAAAATTTATAGATCTGATCCTTCTGGAACCCCAAACGGCTAAGAATGCCTTCGGCTCGACGCGTTCCAACCAAAGAATCCTCCATCCCTGGCGGACCACAAACGAAGACATGGGAGTTCTCGTTAGATCCCTTCATGACATCCCGCAACAGCTCCTCATTGATATATCCCTTGGGCAAAGCGGAGTCTTTCTCCGCTGGGTGACTGACAGTATAGATGTAGTTGAACCGGTCGGGGAAGCGCTGCTTGTAATGTTCCAATTCTTCCCTCAAGAGTAAATCCTGTTCTGTGTTGACACCGAAAACAAGGTTGATCTTGGTCTTTTCATTGGGGTTGTTGAGGATGCCCTGAATGAGCTGGTAGATAGGTGTGATGCCGGCTCCACCTGCGATAAGGTGGACTTGGGAGAACTTGTTGGGCGTCCATGCGAATCCTTTCAAGGCTGTGGCAAACGTGAGGGTGTCGCCCGGGACGAGGGAGTGCAAATGGGTGCTGGCCTTGCCATTTGGATAGTGTTTTACCATCAACTCGAGAGAACCTTGTTGATCTGTTTAAATTCATTAGCGGAATCGTTCGAGGTTGGAAGTAGACGCCATTTTACCTAGGTCGCTGATGGGAGTATACGGGCGGGGCACAGGGACCCAGCTTCCCTTAGGCCAGGAGATTGTGAGAAGAGCAGCTGAAAAGTTATCAGTAAACACCTTCTCCCAAGCCACAATTGGAACATACAGGTCAAAGTTAAACCACTCGTGGCATTTTTATCGGGAAATTCAAACACCAGGCGCTTGGTGTTGTGATTCACCTGTTTCACATCTTGTACGCGCAATGTTGTGAACCCAAAGCCGCCGAAAACCTTCGGGCCATCTGTCGACTCGGCATATCCTGTTGGGATGATAATTGATCGAGCCCCGTAGTAAGCTCCCACGCTAGCAACAGCTACCACAGATGCTATAACCGGCCTAGACTGGAACAGCTGCCAGGAAAGTCGTGACGATGCCATTTTTCTATCGATCTGAAGCCTTTGCGGAAGAGTTATTGAACGCACAAACGAACAATCCAACAATCGAACAGAGGTGGCTGCTGCAGCTATAAAGGGGACTTGATATTTGAATGGGGGCCAGCTTACTTCCGAATGCAGGGCCTACACAAAGCCCGGCCAAAAGCCGGTAAAGGCCGACGCAAGCTTCAAGTGGGCGCATGGTGGGCCGGCGGTGGGCCCTTCCCGCCATCAAGCAACTTCCAAAATACGAGTCGGAATGTCCAGCCCCCGACACTCCGTTGCCTCACGGTGAATAAGAATCCGTTCTTCTGCAACAAATCTCTCATCAACCAAGTCTATAATTATTCGAGACGTTGAAACACAATTCTTCCAGAATTCAAAAACGATGACCTCATACCCGCTCGGATTCCGACTGGCGCAGGGTATTGGCTTGACTGGCGCAGCATGGCTGGCAGGTAAGCCATTCTGTTGCTTATTTCTATACAGGCTGCGAGGTCATGCAGATGATACATCGATCAAACAAATTGGAATAGTCAGAGGGCATGCTAATAAATCATTCTGTAACACCTGAACAGGCAACATTAGTGGACTGAGCACTATATCCACCCCGGCCCTCATACGATCCTATCGCGAGGACAATGTCCCTTCAAATACGATCGCCAAGCAATGGCAGAGGATGTTTGAGCTCGGAAAGGCCAAAAACCCCCCTGTAGCTGCTGCGGTTACCGTCTCTTTCGGCTATCTCGCTTGGTCTGTCCGTCCGGGAAGCTCCTTGTTTAAGCAGGCGCCCTTGAGCCGCACAGCGCTTTTTTCCACTGCGGCTATCATGACTCTTGGAATCATTCCTTTTACTATCATGTTCATGTCTAGCACAAATAACGCGTTGATTCAAAAGGCCTCGGGTCCTTCCGAGTCTTCTGATGAAGAAACTCTTGAGCTAGTGAGGACGTGGACTACTTTGAACCAGCTTCGGGGCTTACTGCCTTTGGCTGGCGTTTGCTGTGGATTCGTGGCCTCTTTCATCTAATGGTGCCAACTGTGAAATATTCGTCTCGTCTTTCTTGGAGATTGAAGATCATGAAGATGCACATCTCTCTTCATCGAGCTATGTGGCGCCTTCTTTTGTTCGTCCACCAGTGGCTTAGTACTATTCTTCGCAATGAACATTCTAGGCCTACCAGTGCACGGCCTCAGGTGGAAGTTCTGGCTGTCTTCTGGATCCTTTCCTACAGCCTCGCAACCCAGTTTATCCAGATTCCCTTCACTGAATGTCACCTGGTCACTACACTTGTGCATGGAAAATGCCAATGAAATTCACTTCGGAAAGCTCTTGACCTCTGCTTTATCAGTTTAGGAAAAATTCGACTCGTTCCTGATAAAAAACCCGAAACTTTCAGATGTACCGGATAATGTCTGGCACCTTCCGTTTTAGTGCTCACGCCTCGCTGCTTTTTGCTCACTTGAGTAAGATCGGGCACGCTCTTGAGCAGCCCGAGTTGCTCATTTAATATTACGTAATCGTACATATCACTCACTGAGCCTGACCTGATCGTCCTGTTTCGCTCACTGAGCCTGATCCGAGTGCCTTGATTTGCTCACTGAGCCTAACTTGAGAGCCTAAGTGATACCAAACTTTAAAAAAAATGTAACACGCTAGCCCCGTTCAGGTGCAGATGTTTCTATGCTAGCTTGCATAGTTACTCTATCATCAAAGGGACCATCGATCGTGGTCATCTAGCTTCTGTCAAGGCAGTAATCACGTAAAAGGATCTATGTATTAGGCCAATCAATTCTTAATTCAGGCTCTATGTTCCTATGAGTGTTTCAACTTCTAGCCCCGTTGTATACTGATGAGACTAGAATATAGTAATAGGCGACTGGTTATTAGTTCTTTTGCATAGAATGACTACCTTTTGCTTTTTTGCCGCCTATCCAGGGATACCTATGCTCAGTGTACATGACGGCCTTTATGCTCGAAAATGGCCTCTTGATCGACCAACGACATATTGGCAGAGTAGAAAATGGTGAGATCAAAAAGAAGCGGTGCTTCCGATGCCCAGGGTTCGGCCATCTAGCGTGGTCGTGCAAGGAGACACCCCGATGCGGCCACTGTGGTGGCCAACATGAGCGAGCAAGATCGGGCATCAGAATGCACTGCCTGGAGTGCAGCGGTGGACATCCAACTGGAGACTCACTGTGCCCGACACCAGCCATGGCACCTTCATCACATTGTTAGAGAACAACCTCCGAATACTACAGCTGAACATCATGAAATCGAGGGCGGGCATGGAAGCTCTCATCAACGATCATCAAAGTCAGAACATGGACGTGCTCCTGATCCAGGAACCATCAATCACCACATACCGAGCTCACGTGAACCACTGCGCATGACGTCTGTACCAACCAACGGTGGAGAGTGATTCGATTCGATTCTGAAGCCTCATCTACGTTAACCGCAAACTTTCAACCTTCTCGCACCGACAAGTAAGATGCAACCATCTAGATTTGACAGCGACCAAGATCTGGACGCTGACTCCCAATTTCTGATACTCTCAGCCTACATTTCGTCCTAATTCAGAGCAGCGTTTTGGTGGGGTTGTACGACTTTAAGATGGTTGAGGTTGAATCACTTTCCAAGAAGGTCGCTGATCTGGATTGGTAGCTATAACCGATACTATATTGTATCCTTTTCCAGCATCAAATATACAGGTATGGGTGGTTGGAAAGAAAGGCCACAAAAACGGCTTTCTTTTATTTTATTTTATTTTATTTTCTTTTCGTTTCTGATAGATTACGTCCAGAGGCCAGCATTACTCTATCACCCCTCTCTACAGGTAAAGCTCACCAGGGGTTTTATTCATATACCATGCGAGAGCTGCATACATGCACGGCTGTGCATATTTGGCCCGCATTCAGAAAGACATGTTGAGTCTCCTGTAATATGAGAGTATGTATCACAGTAATGGAGCGGTGAGAAGGGAAAAGTGAGAGTATCAAGCTATTTTCATTTCAAGAACAAGGAGTGTATAGGATATGGAATGAAATTGTCAGATCTCTCAGAATCACTCCACATGGCCTTGGCGAAATCACTGGTATTCAAATTGGGATATTAATATATCGCATGTTTTCAGTTAGCCTTAGACATGTCGCATGATATTTCCAAGTGGCACACCATGGAAATCCATTTTCTGAAGACGAATTGCAGCTTGATTTCCTCAAATGGCCACTTGCATCCCGGTTCGTATTGTCGGCCGTTGGTTGAGGCACTACAGGTAGTCTCTAACCCCCAAAGTGGGTCCTCGCTCGATCTCGGTTGATATTCGTAATGCTGGCTTTTCATGCATATTAATGCGTCTGCACAACCAACAGACAGAATGTACGGATCCTGCCACATTGACCGTCGCATTGAACACCTCCTGGCGTGAAAATCGAATACCAGGGGAATACTTCAATGTTCATCAGCCGGCTTGCCACAACCTAGGTATGAGGATTTACGGAGACGCAAAACCATTATTACTTCAGAACAACAGGCGGCGGCGTTTGAGCAAAGGGGCTTCTCCCTCTTGTTCGCACCGTCAATTAGTATGCATTGATCTATTCTTTCACTTGTATGCAGGTCAATTGTCGGTCAGAGAGGCCAAATTGATAGGTGCCTTTCTCCGCGGCTTTCGACCGCGATCGTAACCCTGATAATTCAATGAGACTGATATCGGAGGAGTCACACGGTGATGCACCTCCAATGCTGTGTTGTTCCTCTTGCGCACACGAGCAGTGCCAAATTAAATTAATTATATGTCCAATCATAATCGCCACATTCTTCGTCGAGAGATTTCCATTAGGTGCTGCCCAAATATATCCGGATGACTATATAAATATCATTCTAGCCAACATCCATTCTATATTTTCATCAATTCTACACCATTCTGAGCTCTGTTGATTCGTCACCGGTTCAATTGTATCCTACCTATCCTTGTTGTCTACCATATTCCACGCGAAAATGGCCGCTGACCCTGAAGGCATTGCGTGGTTCAATCGATCCTCTCTCAAATGTGCAGGCTACGACGCGTCGAACAACTTGGACTTCTGGAACTACATTCTGGTCGACGTGATCATCAACAGCCAGCCATCGTTTGATGCTCATGAGGGAAAGTCCCTGGAGAAGCATCCTCGATCAGCAAGTCAAGATGTGGGATCCCGCAAAGTGGAATCATGGGAACTGCTGAGTTATGGAAATGCAGCAACAACATGGCTTCTGGAGTACGTTCGCTACCCCAGAAATTTCACAATCAATCCTATATGAGGTTTAATTGACTGACTATTGTTAAGACAAAAGCATAGCCAGGACCCCAGGTACCGATGGACGGATATGGCTGTGATGTACGGCAAGGACCCTCAGAAGCTGGACAAAAGCTTCAAGCTGTGTGGTGTCGCCGACGTCGACTTCACGAAATCCGCTATTGCAGGGTTTGTTGCTGTTCCCATGCCCACCAAGGAGCAGAAGTATCTGTGGCTTGACCTGACCTACCCTGTTCGAGGAATCTATCTGCCCGTATCGCCCAAGGGGGAGGGTCCCTTGGGCGATATGTGCAAGTTCCTGCGTCTAGATTTCAAAGGTCGCGGCTTCGCTTTGCCGTATGGCCGGCCTTACGAGGACAGCCTCGTAAAAGGATGGACTGAGTCCAAGAGCAAGGCCCGCGAGTTGCTAAAAACGGAGCTTTCCAGTCCAGTCAAAATTATTCCAACGGACCAAATGGGTCTTTTCAAAGCACGCCTGAAGCACCTGAATCGGGCTTCGAAAAATGGCGCCCTTCTCTGCGCGGCGGATGCGATTATCGCAAATTGGAAGACGACTAGCGATGAAAAGGTGTCGAAGAAAAGACTAGATGACTACCTGAGCCTCCTAGATCGGGCGAACCAACAAGAAAAGCTCTCTGCCGAAGATGACAAAATGTATTACGACACGTTCAAAAAGAAGGCCGACAAAAGTGACATCGATGCATTCGAAACGAGCCGACCGGAGACAGACTTGCGAATGACCAAGTATCTGAGGTACCAAGAGTTGGTAGCTCCGGTCATGAAAGAGCTCAAAGAATCGTACTCCGAACAGGGAGTACTGGATAAAGCCAAGTTTTCCCAGGCAATAAGCAAAATCAAAAATCGGGTCGAATTCTTCCAGTGCTTGAGCCTGCCGGAACAGGAGCTGTTCCAACATGTCTTAAGACCAGATGACCTCAACACTATTAAATCGCAAAAACTTAGCTCCATGTTGGAATCTTTTGATGACGGTGATGCAGCCCAGCTCCAGGAAACCTACCTGACGGGGACGAAATTCCCCCTGTACCCCGATGTAATCGACGGCATCTTCGACGACAAGACCGAATGGAAAGTCCCCGAGTCCTTGACAGATCCAAATTGGAAAGAAGGGTCCTCCAAAGCGGATGCTTTGATGCTGGGCCAGGTGTATTTCCTCTGTGACCCGGTGATGGGACTCGGGTATCGACCGAATACAACTCTTCGGTTAGACATTGATGGCCTTTATTATTTGCTGGCCATTCCACGGGCCCTCCGAGCGCTCTCCGACCCCAAGAATGCTAAATCCAGACCCTTGGACACCTACGAGCATAACTTGGTGATTGCTTTTGGTAGCGACCAGGTGAAGCTCTCAACGGAGGCCGAGGCTGCTGGGTATGCCAAAAGTCACACTGAACACAAAAGTACCACCTGGCTGGATTCAGGATTTGTGACGGTGAACCAGACGATTAGCAAAACTTTGATACCGGTGCCTTTCGCCAGCAAGTTTATGAACGACCAGATCGACAGTCGGAGGGATCAAGAGCATAAGCGGCTTGCCGCTGAGCACATCCGGACCGCCACTCACGTTGACCTGCTTGTCGGCAACATTATCACCTACCAGCAGTACATTGCGGCCAACCTCGGCCAGCAGATGGAATACACAACAGTTTGGAGTGACCCATACGAAGAAATGCGCGACGTTGTCAACTCCTTGATCGTTGCAGGACTGAGTATGGTCCCGCTCGCCGGTCCCATCCTTGCTGCTGTCGAAACCGTCGCCTACGATGCCATGTGCCACCCGGAATGGTTTGACGACGCAGCTAATAAATCGGGTCTTTCTGCTGGTACAGCTGCGGGGTCTTTAGATTTATTTAAAAAAAGTGAACGGGGGGAAACTGATCAAGTATATTCGAAAGCGCTGATCGGGGTACGGGCCATGTTCTCGGATGGAGTACCCGCGCCCTTCGTTTGTCATGATCAAAACCTGTTAGGGGGGTAAAGAATTTCTTCTATGGGTTCAAAATCAGTCGATGTTTCATTTCAATTTAAAGAGGTGGTGGAATTCGCAGCCATAGCTTCGTTTCTTTGCCTGGATTTCACGAGAGCGAATACATTGCGTTGGTTGTTAGGATTCCATTCCTGCCGTTGAATAGTCATAGCCTGCTAGTCTTGTTTTTTATGAGTTGACAAAACATGAAGTGCTGGAAAAAAGATGACAAGAACTGGAGCTAGAACAAGAACGGGCAAAACGTCAACGTTATAGTTACGGCGAGAAAAGCTTCGCTTACGTGAAGACAGCAACCAACCTAGAGATACATGCATCGAGTCAAGTAATATGAAGGCAAGTTTTTGATAGGGTAGAGAGGCAGAACTACCCAACCAAAAACAAAACCTTCGGGCGTTAGGACATATACATGTAAATGATATACGGTCACGTTACCCTTCCTTTTCTGCCGCACTGCATCGCCCACAGGCTATACTTCTATCCTTCTGTATTCTTATTTAGCAATACACACCCCTTTGCCTCTAGAATCTCACGAGTCTTAGCTAAGTAAATAAGAGATGCTCAGTAATTAGACACTAAGCGACTATAAGTGATCACTAAGCACTCACTGAGCATCAGTGATTGCCCACAAGACGTAAGACAACTTTGGGACTGACTGAATACCTGAAAGCGTGGCCTGTCTGTTACACTGCTTTGCAATTATTTCCAGGAAAGGTCTTTCGAGGTAGAATAGCATACCCGCTATCAACCAGTCAGTGAGTTGAGTAAGACCTTGTATCAAGATCTCTGAGATCGAAGTATTTGATACTTCTCCAGAGAATGCATCTCTCAGTTTCAAACATCATCACCGTTCTAGTCTTCGGATTAAGCAATCTAACATCAATACAAGCTGTGAAATGCAGATGTGAAGAGGACATTCGACTATTTCAATCTGCGTGTGATCAAGTTGGGGGTGTCTATCAAGATTATTTGTTGGAAAAATACACAAGTATGTCCGGCTAAAGCCCTCAGTATCATTCATTGGATTGATATAGGCATGCCATTGAAAAATTGATTAAGCTTCTGCTATCAAGAAACCAGTATATTGTATTGCGAATTATGTTCTAGAAAGCGGAGAGAAAAACAAAGATGGAAAGAGACATTGTCTTTTGCCTTGGACCAAAAATGGCCCTTGCAGAAGGAAATGGGGTATCTTCCAGGCTGTCTTAGCAAGTTCGCTGCATCGTAAATCTCATATCAGATCCTTTTACTGGGAAACAATCTCGCCAGTCTCAGTCACAAGGTGGTCCTCAACAGTGATAGGACCCTCACCAACACCGGTCAGAATGACACGGCTGACACCATCCTTGAGAACATCCAGAACACGAGAGTCAATGTTCTCAAGAGCAACGCCAGGGGCAGTGACATTGGCCACTCTCTCGTAGAAGGCACCCTCCCAACCAATGGTGTTGGCACCAAGGATAGCCTTGACAGTGCCGGCGACCAGCTCGGAGTCCTTGTCCTCGTAGTAGATGACGGCGTTCGGGCCGGCATCGAAGGTGTAAGCGGCGACGGTCCGGCCGACAGCGCGGTTGATGTCGTGCACCAGGCGAACAGCGGCACGGGAGACATCGTTCATATAGAAAATAGGGGGCCAGGAGTCAAGGCAGGTGGCGTGGAAGGTGTTGGAGTCACGCATAGTGATCTCAGCGAACTTGGGGAAGTCCTTATCACGGATAGCAGCCTCAATGGCATCCATACGCTGGGGAACGACGGCCTCGGCGCGTGTGGCAAAGAGGTCTGAAGTGTGGACGGTAGTCTGCATACCCTCGGTACTAGGAACATCCTTCTTCTCGGCGCTGACGACCAGGACCAGGGCGCGCATCTCAGGCCAGTGAGAAGCGGGGGCAACCTCCTCAGCGAGACTGTCGCTACCGTCAACGAGCTCACCGGTGCGCCACGCGACATAACCGCCCATCAGGGAGCGGCAGGCAGAACCAGATCCCTGGCGCGCAATGCGGCTGAGCTCGCGAGGGGACTGAGGGAGATCATAGAGATTGGCGACAGCCCGAACGAGGGCAGCGAAGCCAGCGGCGGAACTGGCAAGACCAGCAGCAGTGGGGAAGTTGTTCTCGGAGACGATACGGAGGGGGAGAGTGGAGAGCTTGGGGATTGAGGCATCGGCATCCTCAAGGGACCTGCGCAGAGCACGCAGGTTGGAAAGACAAGCGAGAGTGCGCTTGGAGGACTGGATTTCCTGGGGCTTGCCGTTCAGGTTCAGGGTATCCTCAGAGGGGTACTTGGCGGAGCAGGAGGCGGTGGTCAGGGTGCGGAGAGATTTCTGGGAGAGAGTGACCGAGAGGGAAGAGTTGGTAGGCAGGTTGAGAGTGGTATCACGCTTTCCCCAGTACCTAGAAACACCACTGTTAGCAAAACAATTTCATTGTTGGGACAATCAAGAGGGGCAAAGGCCCAACTTACTTGATGACGGCAATGTTGACCGGGGCAGTGGTGGTAGCCCGGTAAACGGACTGGTTCGATGTAGAGGCCATGCTTGCTTCAAATTAAAGATATAGGAAGAACTGCAAACAAAATAGGGGACCACAATGCATTCAGGAGGGGCGGTGAACTTCCCCTTGAGCGTTTATATGATGGCGGGCGGTGAGGGCAAAATTATTTGGCGATCGCCCGCTTACTTCGCGATCGTCAATCCTTTTACAAACCACGATTTCCAATGGGTGCCGGTGCCAGTACTCCCTCCGCAGAGCCACCTGCGGCTTCATGCCCTGTTGACCACAAGACACGCGAAGTGTGGTTGCAGCAACACAAGAATTTACCACATCCTCCGTCCGCTCCCTCCGGCGCCGCCGAACAAACACAAGACCCAGTCAAACATCAACGCCCACTATCTACAGACCGCGAAGTCAGCACGATACCCCGAGCCGGTGAGGTGGGTGCAAAAGACTGTCCCGAAGCCAATAAAGTCTCGCCCGCTGCCTCTTCACCATATGCTGCCTCGCATGGATGTCCATCCAACGCCGAAGCCGAGACCGGCCACGATGAAGCCTCGGGCAACTGGATCTATCCCTCTGAGAAACAATTTTTCGAAGCCTTGATGCGCAAGGGCAACACCCCGGGATCCACATCATCCGCTTCTGAACTTGCAACATCTGTCGCCTCTATTATCCCCATTCATAACGCGGTCAACGAACGCGCATGGCAACAGATTGTCGACTGGGAAAGCAAAGCTCCTTCATCTGACCCAGGAAGCAAAAAGTGCGGAGGACCTAAGCTGTACTCATTCCGGGGCCTCGGAGTTGATCCGCAGTACTTGAGTCCGCGTGCGCGAATCAACGGATGGCTTGGCTATCAGCTGCCTTTCGACCGACATGACTGGGTCGTTGAGCGCTGCGGTGGAGAGCGCGTTGAATACGTGATCGACTTTTACCAGGGTAAGACCGGAGGCGGGAATCCGGGCGGCTTGGCAGGCAATGCCGGCCCTGGGAAGCTGAGCTTCTACTTGGATGTTCGGCCAAAGTTGAATTCCTATGAAGGCTGGAGATTGAGATTCAACGGCTTCGTCGGCCTATGATTCAGTCTGGCTTTGAAGCGTCAAATGTATAATTCATGTATAACCATCTGTACGATATTGCACAAATTTAAGACCAAAAGGAAGCAATGTTCTCCATTCAATATACGCCGGAGCAAAAACATTAAGAAACTATAATAACAAGAGGAAATGCTCAAGGCAGACCGTGAGTGCATCATGCATCGGGGATATCGTGCGAGGGCATAAAAGATATAATCGACCGCCAGGATGAAATCAAAACAGGAAGATGATGATAAATCAGGTCTATCCGAGGACAACAGCAAGAATTATAATCGTCAGAATGACAGCAAGAATGACAAGCAAGCAGCAGGCCTTGGTGCGTGCGTTCTTCTGGTATCGGCTGGCACTGCGCAACTCGGTGTTTGCCCCACGGGTGTCCTGGTTGACGTTCTGGACGTTTTCGCTGACGATATCGAGCTGGCCGCCCTGCTCATGAACAATGTGTGCGACGTCGCGGAATAGTTCGTTCAACTCGCCAACGCTCTGTTCAATGTTGCGAATCTCTGTCTCTCGCTCGATGATTAGAGACTCCTGGAAGTCAACCTCGCCCTGGTCTGCCAGACGAGACTGCTCTTCCAATTGTTGCTGCTGGAAGTGACCCTCGCTATCGGCAACTCCAGGTTCGGTGTCGTCCATGGCAGTTCGCGCGGCGACTGCGGACGCACGCTGCTTCTCCAAGGCACGGCGTTGGACGGTCTGGAACTCGTCCAGGCTTGCTTTGAACTCGGATGACAGCTTCTGCTGAGTCCATTTTTGTGATGGCTGTGAGAAAATCAGTTAGCAGTAATTAAAATATGGGAGAGCAGCGATAAACATACGTTCACATCTTCCCAAGTCTGGATCTTCTTAAGGCCCTCTCCTACATCCTTGAATCCCGATCGAGTCTCCTCTAGGAGATTGTGCACCCTTTCCCGCACACGCTCAGTATCTCGCTTTGTTCCGAGGAGCGCAATCTGGTTTGACAAGCGAGAGATGTTGGAGGTCAGTGTGAACAACTGATCGGAGAGCGATTCGGCGAGATGGTCGAAGCCAGGGTCGTCGCGATATACTGAGTCATCTTCGCGGCGGAATCCGGACTGAGCCTCGAGGGAATTCAAGCGGTCATAGGACATAGTGGGCAACGCTGAAGAACAAACGTAGAGAAATGAGGAGATATGCACAAGGCACGAGATAAGCAACCTGCTGCCTCCCGGGACTCACATGACGTATTTGCACTAGTCTACATTAGGGTTAGTTGCATGTGCCACCAGCCCAAGCCACATTATCACATGATCCGTGGCTGGTGTATTTTGATAGTCAAAATATTCCATCATCAACACGGCTTCCTACTGCTCCCAACGGCACTGCGCAACCAGCCTCTAGTCTTTCTTGACCCCCGCCAACACCGTCGCTGGATCTCCCACTACTACCAGCAGGTCTTAAAGCTCCTGGGATGGTCAATCTGATCATGCTCTAAGACTATTCACATCCTCTCTTTCAGAGCCATCCCACTCCAGCTAGCACGATGGCCGCCCCTCAAACTCGGCCGTATAGGCGCATCCTGACGTCGGCATTGCACCGCCGATTTGTTCATGCATCAGCGCTTTCCCTTCTGGTCTCATATGTCGTGGCAATTGCAATCGGCGACAAAACATCCTGTAAGTTTTGCGGCGCTGCGGGAGCTTTCCAAGCCGTCCCCGAGCTGCATGGACTAACATAGATGCCTTTTGCAGTTTTCTGGTCATGGTTCCCCATTGGCGGGGCTGGAATTCGCGCGGTCTTACTTTTCGTTTCATCCCTCGCCGTCTTCGTGCTGCGCGTCGGCCAACTTCACCTAGGCTCGCGAACGACAACATCCTCGATCACGACCTTCAGATATCTCTTCCCCCTACAAGTTGCGCAGACATTTGGATGGTACCTCTTCTCAGCTTGGTGGTTCACCGAAATCTACCTATGGTCATCCTCCGCCGAGGCGGCTTTGGAGATGGTGAAACGGGGCAAGTACGTTGACAGGAATCAAAGCGACCTCTCGAGCAAGCGCTAATATGATATAGGCTTCACGAGCGACCAACCCTCAACGAGCGCCCTATCTACATTCATACATTCCATATACTCTTGGCATGCTGGCAGGCCGTAGTCCATCTCGCCAATGATTACGATCGAGTTCCAATCCCTACCGTGAAGAGAGCTTCTGATGCGCCCGATGTGCGGACACATCCTGTCCCTGCGACTTTGAAACACATTCAGGCCCTGCTACCCCAGACACTCATTGATGGTTTTACACGAACCACGTGGGTCGCTGTGGTTACCCCCTCGTATACCAATTCGTGCTTCGACAAACCGCGTGGAGCTGGTCTTTGTACTTCGCCAAGCTCTTCTGGAACTTCCCAAGATCGTCTGCGGAACCTGCTTCGCTTCTTCCTCCAGGATTCATTTTCTTGATTGCCCGCTCTATTTTCTCTGGCTCTCTGCTTGTTCTGTGCTGGCAGGCGGCTAACCTGTTCTTCTCCATCTTCATCGGCAAGGAACCATTGAAGCGTGGTCAGCCGCTGACCTCCGAAGCCAAGGACCCCAACGGCAGCTTGATTACTGGACTGAAGGCTAAGAAGGTGGCTGTGAAGTCCTTTGCTTTCTGGGAGCTTGGACTCATTAGTCAGCGCTTGCCAGAGCGTCGCAAGGCTATCTTCAATGAAATTGACCGAGATGGTGGCTCTACCTGGTCGCAGATGTTGGCCTGCATGACGGATGTGGTTAAGGGTATCAACACCCGGATCGAAACTTTCAAGGCTCCTGCTCCTGGTTCTAAGCCCGCGGTTACAGCCGATGCCCCTCAGCCCGTTCTCCAGACTCTGCCACGGTTGACAGATGCACCGAAGACTGAGAATGTCTTTGCGGCGTCACCAAAGGCTAGCTCGCGCCAGCAGCAATTCGGCGATGCTTTCAGCTCAACGGCCAAATCATATGGACAGTCCGCAGACTGGACTCCCATGGCACGGGCTCGTGCTCGCCAGGTTATCGATCAGGCCTCGTCGGCAATGCTCAGCCCTGAGCGTAAACAAAAACTCATTGCCACTGGGGAGGATTTGAAGCTGCTCACAGGAGGACCGTCTTCAACATTCAAACCGGAGAACGTCAACCCTACCATAGTCCAGGTTCTCCGTTCCCCCGTCGGTCAACTCTTCCGGCAAACCTACGCCCAACGGGCATCTAGCATTGTTCTCGGCTCTCCGGATTCGTCTCTGAGCCCAATTGTTGACGCTATAGACTCATTGGCCCGCCTTCTGATCGCCAGTCTGGCAGAAGACCAGTACGGTAAAGTCCAGGCCGATGTGCCAGACGTGGTCCGTCTGTTCACCCAAACCATCATAACCCTAGACACGTTTGTGCACCAGGGCGGTCTCGACGCGCACTGGACAGACGTCAACTTTCCACCTTCCAAGGATCCCGGGGCACAGGCGGTAGCCCGCCGGGTGCCGGAGGTGGACCTTGTTTTGGATGCCCTTAAGAGTGGCCTACGCGATTTGTTGTCCTCCTTTAAGCCGTACCTGCGGGAGATCGGTGTTGTGGGCAAGGATCTCAGACTGGCCAAGGAGGCAGCTGGTTTCGACGAGGATTGATATTCATGATGTATGATTGTTTCATTTTGTCCAAGGATTAATTGTTGTATTAAATCGGCGTCGTCATAGGCGATGGTCGCTAGCTCTCAGCTGTATTCCCATTGAGGTTGGCTTCAGTGGACAAATGCATGGTCAGGCGTTCGTCTTTTTATGGGACACAATATCACCTAAAATCAGAGTAAATGGTCGCCTGCATATGTGTGTATACAATTACAACGTCTACGTTGGACATGTTAATATTGTTGAAGTTGTATATTGTGTAAACATTCGTTACTCAACATGGGTCACATGACAGCCATCTCCGCGAGAACCTCATGTTGAGCCCCTCTTGAATCTGCCCTCATTGACTCGTCTGTCGCCGTGTCATTTGTGCCGAGAACTTATGAACTATCTATAAAGGTCATTGACTCCGTGAAAATGTCGCTGCTGACGAATGTCTATCATCTGCGCCGTGTCGCAGACACCTTTTCAAAAGCATGTTTGATATGCCACAAGCCGTCAACCAGTGTGTTGATCACGCCAGATAACAGGGTATGATTATTCCTGGCTAATTGAGCCATCTATTTGCACTTAAAAACATCTTTGAATCCTTCCAAACCTCGAGTATATGTATCCATTGACTGAGTTCAACACAGGATTTCTTCTACGTGTGCCCCGCACACTTACAAGACCGCCACTTCTGCTCGCCCATCATCAACGCAGAAGCAGAAGCAGCGCGTCGCAAGGAAGAAGAGATGGCGAAAGAGATTGAAAAGGTCAAAAAGGAATATGAGGATAAGCAAAAGCGCAAGAAAGAGCGAGCTGCCAAGGACGGCAAGGAAAAGAAAGATGATAAAGACGAGGGCAAGTCTAAGGAAGAAGAGAAAGAACGAGATTCTAAAGGTGATGAAAAAGATAGAGATGACAAGGTAGACACTGGACATGGAAACGACTTAGTCTGCTATACACAATTGGCTGATGGTTTGCAGATTGACTCGATTCGGAAGGCTGGAGAGTCTAAGGCGGATGATTCTCAGAGAGTGTTTGCTCTTCACAAGCAAGTCTTGGTCGAATTACTGGACTCTACAGTTGCTAACAATGACCCAGGAACTTCTATCAGATGCGCATTGATCGGTTGCGAAATATCGAAATGGCCAAGAGGAACCAAGAGAGAATGAAAAACCCTGCTCTATTCCCATCAGTTCCGAAAAGAGACCTCTAATTACCAACTCTTGAAATCATTGTCGTCGAACTCAAACATAGCCAGCATGTCTTGATGCCACTGCGAGGACTGTGACCTTCCAGTCTCACAGACATCACACCACTCGCCAGACTTGCTTTGCCATCAGGAAATGGCTTTTCATTAACTGCGTCGTATTGCTGAATTCTGAGCTCAACGGAAACATAGCTCGTTTCTCGTCACTCACCACTACGAATCATCTCCATATCTACGCGCTCCGCAAGACCGAAGCAGAACCTTATTGTTACAGTTTGGATGTAATCAGCAAAGCTTGAGCCACCGTTGCAGCAGTGAGCCTTACAATGAGCCTTGTCCCTACATCCTCATACGCAAAGGCCAAACTCCAGACCCAAAGTATCTGTATACATGAAACAAAAAAGGCTCGCCAATCCTGCAGGAAGGATATTTACGGCCTCCCGTCGGGCTAAGACTTTCCATATACCCAGCGAAGATCACCCTATCTAGCATCTCACCTTGTATATCCTCAAATGCAAGCTATCTGCAAGGCCCTCTACATCCGCCTGCCCGACCGACTCAACATATGCCACATCTAGAAAGACCATCGAGCAACATACCTAAATCATAAACTGGTGTGACCACCCCATACAGTCATGCCCACCATAAGCCGAGCCCTGGCGCTACTTGTGGTGGGGTAAACATCTGGAATAAGCACTAGAGCGAACCCCTCTTCTAGAATCTGGCCCCCGTCAGCCTTAGCGGGCTGTCGCAATGCCAAGCTCGATGAGGAATGCGTTAGCTTGTTTCTTAGTGATGCTTTTGTGAAACTCTGCGAGCCGAGCACAGCTGCACGCCTGAGCGGGGTTTTGGTTGTACGGATCGGGGGATCTCGTGAGGCTCTGATGGGGGCGGAGCGTCTAATCATGCGATCTAGCACGGAAAGTTCCTGTCCGGGTGCTGCCTAGTGCAAAGAGGTAAGAGTTGCGTCACGAAGTTTATGCTATAGCTCTACATTTCGGACTCTAGATCCCAGCACTGTTTCATTTCGGGGGTTCGTAGACAAGCATGTGTCAGCTAATTATAGCTTCTCGCACAGATTGTAACCACTTTTGAGATCATTTATACAGTGATCCAGTTGCCTAGCAATGCCTCAATCTAAACCCTGATCTCGAGCGTATCCAGATGCGTCAGTGAGCCCCGCGTGCAAATTAGGTATCTCGCGTCGAGAGGTGCCAAGCAGGCTCCTGAGTCCAGGTAGGAATATTAGACTAGCCCTACGGGTTTTAGCGTACCCGATAGCGCAGGCGCATAAGTGAACCAGCCAATTCTTGCCGTAGATGGCTGCGCGTCACATGTGGTACGCGCGACTAGGATGTGGTTCATCTTGGCGATATTGATTTTCCAACATGGAGCTAGATAGCTCTGCAGTTCTATGTGTCGAGGAACCTTGATAGAACACATCTAAAAGACCCTCTCCCTTGGGTTTAGAGAAACTCCACCGAACGTAAAGGACTAGCCGCCTAACACTGCTTCATAGCACATCTTAATTATCAGATCTGACCCCTCCCCATCCCGAAACAGCCTAACTTCCAAAGAGTTACAGATTCATGCAAGGCGATCACATTAACCCTAACCAAAAAAGGGGGCCAAGGGGGCGGAAGTTTAAGCACTAGCCTCACCGGCGAGGATTGTACAAAGCTATGATATCAGCGTCAGACTCGTCCATTGTACGCAAGAAGTATGTAGGACTCCACCGCGAAGCTGAGAGCTCCCCTGCAAGGCAGTGCACTGCCCCACCCCCACTAGGGTCTGCTCGCCAATAAACTTGTAGTAGTGCATTCCTGGCCTTGGGCCAATAGCCCTTGAATACCGAGGATTATGCGATTCGTGGGTTGTGGGCCAGGCACTGGGGCTGTTAGTCTTGTTAATTACCGGATAATTGAATAATCAAATAATTCAAAATCAAATAAAGTAATTAACATCCAGCAGTCGAATCCAAGCAGGGGCCCCTAGAACGGGTTTTGCAGGTGTAAGTAATAATGGAGCAAAACGGGTGGATGACAGGTATTACGAATACGCCCAGCGCAGAGAGAGGCGCCAATCGGGAGGCATAGGAAGAAGACCCGCTTTTGCACAGCCTCCTTCTCTGTTCCCAACCTTGGAAAAGTGTCTCCATCCACATGGGGGAATTAATTACCGAGGTTTCTGGCGTCATTGGCGTCTGTGCTGGTCTCTGAAACGAACTGACAGTTGTGTGGAGTCATTTGTGTACTGTGATCTTGACTTGTTTGGTCTGGCGCGCGACTAAATGGGTTTCAGAGAGTTGGGGATGCGGCCCTTAGCCTCGTCACGGTGGGTGAGGGTGCGATTGGCTGGGCGGAGTTGGCCGTCTCGCTTCACTGCTGTGTAGCTCTTGGATGGCGAATTTGTGTAAGGCTGGAGCTGGGAATGGGTCTAGTCTACAGCGTATGCTTATGCTTGCATATGGTTGGAGAGGCGTGATTCTTGGTGTATAGATGGCTGACGCCGTGGACTCCCTCTTAGATGAGACTACTTCCTTATGGTAACATGGTTCGCGAGTCAGATCCTAACAGAGCCGCTAGTGTGTCCTCTAGTCTCGTCCTATAGGACTCCGTAGCTCTTACACAAGTATCACATGAGCTGAACGTGTGACTCGCGAGAGAACCTGTTCAGACAGCCACTTACTAGGTCTGGAACAGCCCTAATACCCGATCCAATGATGCTGGTCGCGGAGCTGCAGGCGGAGATAGAGCCTCACTGTTGTCCTTGCTGACATGAGTGTACCCACCGTGGATCAGGTACGCAACGGATTTCACAGAAGGTGATATTGAGCGAGCTCTCGCCTCCACTGACGCAAGTGGCCGGAAGATGGTCGTCCCAAAGGCTGATAGCCCACGAACAGGGACTGGAGGGCTGCGAAGTGGCTTCAGGGCACAGATCAATAAGATTCGTCATTGCCTTGTGGAGTCCTCGTCGATCATCAGGCTTAGGCAATGCGCAGAATAACATGATCGATCCAAGGGTGAACAAAATAAAAGAGGGAATGCGTATATTCTTCGAGTGGGAATTTCATCGCTCGTAAAAGCTGTCATGCATGCATGCCATAGGATATTGTAGATCATCAACTCATCTCGCATCTCATATATCATATCTCACAGGTTTCCTCGCCCAGAACCGTCACTTGACTCAGGGCCCCGCATCCCTGGAGGCATACGAATGCCCAGTGCAGTTGGAGGGAGATTTCCTGCTCCACGAACGGGAGCCTTGTTGGCGATGTCCACTCGGGCTTTGGCGAGGCCAATGGCCGGCACCACCCACTGACCGCAGTTACACTGCAAACCCTGCCATGCGAATTTACCAAGGTTGGCACCGCAGGAGGTGTTCGGGCAGGCCAAGCGGCCAGTCAAGGGAGCATCACCCTCGTAGTCATTAGGGCCGGCCTCAGGGAACAAGCTGGGGCGCATCCACTTCATGGGGTGTAAGAACACATGAGCACATTCCTGATTCGATCTATACTTGTTGCTCTCTTTCTTCTCCTGATCGTGAGAAATAATGTATTTGGAATCAGCGATTCCACGCCTTGTTCGAAATTAGTCTCTTAAACTTTACCGTATTGGGAAGGAAATACGAACCGGCACTTGCGACACTTAATCTCCACAACTTGAGCGGTTGGTTCCTGGGGCCGCTGGGGCTGCTCGTCTTCGAATCGCACTGACTTGAGTTCCGGGGCACGCCCACACGCCACACTTTCCTCCACCTCGCGGCGGTACAGCCAGCGCTGGTACACGGGGTGATCTGCGACCTCATCAGGGCAGCCCATCTCATGGTAAAGGTTCAGCTGCTCCATAAAGCCGTCATTAGGCTCGCAGAGCGGCCGTGATTGGCGGATCACCTCCAGAGCGGACTGTGGTGTGAGCCCGCTGCGCTGCTGGTGGAGCATGTAGGCAATGCAGACAGTTGCGGATCGGGACTTTCCCATGGCACTAGATCGCCGTCAGTCAGTGCGCTGCCACAAAGGCGGGCCTTCCGCGCCTGCCCGTGTCTAAACATGAAACGCAAGAGAAGCAGAATGACACAGGGACGATCCAATAGGCCGTGTTGAAGAAAGTATACTTCCGCCACGTGCAGATCGCAATGGATACAGCACGTGATGACGTAGGAGGCAGTCACGAAACGATAGAGAAAATGCCGAGAAGCAGACACGGCAGAGAAGAGGAGGGGAGAGGTGCAGGAGGCGCGGAGCAGGGTAAACCTACCAATGCACTAGGACGCTGCCGCCCGCGTCCAGGCCGGACTGAATAAAGTTGACCGCAGCCGGGAGATGTTCGAGAAGATTCTCATCATCGACATCATCGATATCTATTCTGTGCTGCTTGAAGTCTGAAAAAAGATTCTCAGATGGAGCAAGTCTCAAGACAGACACCACATGAGTGATGTTAGCCCGGTCAAGAGCCGCTTTGTTCTTGAGGCAAAAGATGCTACAAAGTGGAGATGACGGTTAGCGATACAGAAGACAAGGCGACATGGTTCACCACCAGGCCCACTCCAAATGAGGCAAAGCAATAGTAGAGCAAGATACAGGGCGGTAAACTCACCCTCCGATGTAGATGTTCTGGCCGGGAATCTGGTTCATAGCCATGGCGCTCTGAAAGGCAGGGTCTTCCTGCATACGAGACGTCATGAAAGCTTTAGTATCGTAGACTATCAACAAGAAGATCTAGCTTAAGCAACCAGCAACCAGAACGAAGTAGGAGCCTCGGCCCTGCCAAACTCAAAAAGTCTATTAGGGCAAGGGCTCAGTGAAGCCAGGTGACTACGCATGCCTCAGGCATGTTATAGGGGAACCCTTCCAGAGAGAATGTCATGGACACTGCAATGCCATTCACGGTCTAGGAAGCGCCCACAAAGGCCAAGTACAAGCGATACAGCCAATCTCAGCACAGAAATGGCCAACTAAATCCATTCCCAGATGTGGATTAATCCGACGCTCTGAAGCTACCCACGAACGACTGTTACTCCGCATTTCGAGGGATTGGATAGGACATCGCGTACTTACAAGTGGAATGACACTCAAACTCCGTGGTTGGCTACCTTGATAACTAGCCCCTCAACCATCCTATTCCCCGCCACTCAAGCCTCGTAACTATTTACCGGAAACAGAAAGCTCCAGAAATCCAAATCTCGGTGTAGAAGCTGACGAAAGTCCTAGCCGAGTGGTTCTCACCGCTGTGGGGCCCTACATGTATCCTCGAGGATTCAGAACAGCCGATTCGTTAGGCTGCAAGGGATCTGGCCTGTTCGTGGTTCTGACTTGCGGGTACGTAACTTTGAGCGAAGGCAGGAACGATGAATCGCCATCGGCCCCGCGTGTCGCTGAGCCTGACTCGGCCAGACGGTCACATTGGCCGAGGCTTTGACGCACACGCGCTCTTAGACTGCAGCCTTCCAATAAGGCTGACGCCTGGCACAGCCTTGTCTGACTGCGTCCATGCTGACCGTGCCATGTCGGACAGTCGCTGTCCGATGCTGTGCAGAAATACCGATCATGGATCGTGTAGGTTTCCTTGCATGTACAGCCCCAACCTGTACTACATTACAGAGCGAACCGGGACCTGACCACGATCCATCGGGTTCAGGAAAGTCTATTGTTACTAGTGGGCTTGGAGCTTCCTGGGGAACCCGCAAGCCACAGCTCGAGAAGGACCGGTGATAACAGGAATTAGTGCCAAGGGTATACGTATCGTCGCCATCCTACCTCGTACGACCGTGTCTTTTTAGCGGCAAATAAGTCAATGTCTTGAGGGGCGTCAGGCGATTCCATATTTGAGGCTTCATGTACCGAGTGGTGTACGGTAGTGTCCGGTGGTGTACGTTCAATAGTCACAAAAAAGACCATAGGGCTTACCTGGCCCGCCCTATGGGCTATTGGGGGGCCGACTGAATAGGGTAGCCCCTGAAACTAAAAGTGTGAAATATAGGCAAAACCAATCTACCATTACCGAGGTTCCCCTCGTTGGATTTGGTGCTGTTTAGCGAATGATGAACCAGGGATAAAAAGGGAAACAGAAATTGGGAAAATTCGATCCATGACTCTCAAGCTGCCACAGGTGTGGAGCACAGGGGTGATGAGTCAGCACTTCTCTTCAACGTCCAACGTGAAGGTCGATCTGCTGTTCGCGCTAGGTAACCTACCATCCAGAATCATCAAGGTCTGACGAGATTCTCGGGGGCTAGGGATCACCAAATATCTGTGATGCAATTTTCCACCCCTTCACCCTCCTTGGTCTTTCCAATGCTAAATGACAGCGGACCACCAGTGTGGCAGTGCATGCATGACTGGGCCCAAAGTGGGGCGCGCTAGGAAATCAGTGGGTCGGCTCCAACGACTCAGCATTGTCCGTTTTATGGAAGGAATGTTCTCTCTGGCCTTTGCAAAGTTACTGAACCCAGAGACACTGTTAGCGGGAGGGATCCGAAGACTCCGCTGACGATCATATCGAATACGTTATCCCTGCAGATTCTATGGTCTTTCTCTCGTACGACATCTACAGGATATCCGTAGCGACAATCCTAGCAGATATAAGCCTACCGCCAAGGCTACCAAGTCCCTACGGTGCATATTGTCACTGGCTGTAAATCTACTCATCCGTTGCTCAGCCTGGTCATCGACTTTTTGTCCATTGTATTGGCCCGACTGTGGACGTCAGCCTGACTGGCCACGCTAACCAGGGTTCTTCTACGGAACGGTGTCTCTTTCCCACTACTACCGATGGTCTATCGTATTTCTCAGGCCCCAGATGAAGCGCTCTGCATGCGACACCCTACCTCTCACCTTGACGAATGATGCACATCCAGGTAAACACCTCCCCCTCCCCCTCCACATCCAAGCGGCACCCGATCATCGCGAGGCGTCCAATATACGAGACATCTAAAGTGACACCCCACTCTGGCGTCAAGTTTTACTGTATTGATGCCAAGGGATTTTTATTACCCCGTGGTTGGTCCTGGGTGATTCATTGAGTTGTGAGATCACCTCCATTTATCCGTAAGATGCATAAGGAACCGTAGAGGGAAATAAGGAAGGGGTCCAAGGCTAGAACGTCTTCTAGCTTCCATCATCCCAGTTTCTGGAAGACCAATAGCCCTAGAATGCTGAACCATGGATGATCCAGAATTGTGAGCGTACCGTTGGTAGGGTATTGTACCTGAAGAACGCGAGTCGAAATTACGGGAAGCCCGCGTACTCCTTAAGGCTGACGGGGGGAAGGCAGAGTTAAATCCCAGCCCTGTGCCCTACTGACAAGGGGGGAAAGACGTAGTGTGTCATTTCGAACGTGGCGACCACCCACGCGGGTACGACAGTAATCGAGATCTGATGATCCTATTCCAAATTCTCCACCCGCCAACGTTCGTACTGGTATGTAAGTCTGTAAGTGACTTACATACATATACCCGTACCACTGCGCCTTTTTCAAAGTTGCCTCTTTTCGCGCCCACGTCAGGCCCTAGGCAGGTTAAGTCCGCGTGAAGACCCATCGGTTTTCATATTTCGATCCTCTTTTGCCTCTTTGTAGGTTCCAGATTTCCCTACTGTTCCCACTACTCTCCAACTCTTCCCCCTTTCTCCCTTGGCTTCAGCTCAGTGAGGATGAGATCACCGAGATCGCCTCCCTTTCCATATTAAGTCCGCGCGAGCCTTTGGATCCAATCAACTGGTTGCACCGCCATCATTGCCCGAGACTTTCTAAGTGCCCGATCTCTTCTTTCTCAATTCCTCTTTTCCTTGACTCGACTAGTGCCGGAGACTTGGATTTTTTCGAGGGGCTGTATTTCCCTCAGCTGTACCTTTCCTCTTAAGCCAGCCCCGAACATACTGATTGTTCAGCTGGTGGCGGGGTGTCCGCGTTAGACCTCTATACTCGCGAGTCGCATTGCCTTTCCCTGTCCTGACTGAGGACGCTTATTTACTAAGTGAAAAAAAACAAAAGAGCATGTGTGGTTCCAATCCCGTGCACTGCCATTGACTGGGCCTATGGAACACAGACCGAGGCTGTGTGTCACTCATTGCAAACGTTTCATCCCATGAAGCGAATCGCCCGAGGGTTTCGAGGTGTGTCTCCGAATTCCAGCCCTATTCTTTGCGCGTGCATTATCAGCTCGGTTCCACCAGGCTGACTTGGAACTAGTTCTTAGACCGCATGAAACTATCCTTGAGAGCTCTCGCCACTTTGAATTATCTTTAGAAGCTGGACCTTCTATCGGTGGTTAGTCCGCTTAGGAATCGGCGTTTCACGACCGGTCGTTTACACCCAACTGGATTGGGTTATCGCTGCGTTACGATCTTGATTCGATCTGCTTAGTCCCTGGGATTCTTCTCTCGCCGTTTCTTGCGACACTTGTTTTTTCCCGTCTCAGCTTCAGCTCGCCTATGTCCACGCGCAGCGCCACCTCGAATGCGTTGTAGAATGGACCTTCGACTTGACCCTTCGCCGAATTTCTTTGAATCCAAGGATCTCGACCGCCACGACGATAGATCCCCTCACATGATGTCCGATTTGCCATTCTCTTCGCACGGCCCGTTACCTATACCGTCCCGTCCCGCCATGAATACTGCACCGCCGCCACTTCCCCCGCCCTCGAGGATCCGCGATTTGGAGAACGGTTATGATGCCGGTTGGTTGCATGGAAATCCTGGACGATCAACAAACGCACTCCCTCCGATCAACCCAAATTCAAGTTTATTTGGTGGCCATCGAAGGCCCGAAACGGCAATTAGAAGCGATCCTATGGCGGTAGATGAACTGGAAGGAAGGCAGAGCGGATTGCCGGTTTCACGCAGTCCAGAGGCTCAGATTAAGATCGAGCCGCCACCTCCAACAGATGACGGATTCCCAAGTTCTATGGCTGTGAACTCCACAGGCCCGATTCTCAAGGGCGAACGAGACTTCTCGCTGCGAAGTGTTAAGGACTCGTCAAATGCGTACGATCAGCATCTTCTTTCGAAAATTGGGAACTCGCTTTCGCCGCGGGGATCCCTCAGCCATGGATCGGATAATCGGGGCTCTATTGACCACCGAGGGTCCGTTTCAGCACTTACTGTTCCATCGCGAACATCTAGCAATTTGCCCTCACCGGGGCCATCGGAAGGATCTACTCTTGACGTGAAGTGGTACAACAGCCCCCAATCAGCTGGAGGCGTGTCTCCTAGGAGTAAGATAAACTGGAAGGAGTATGTCGAAGGCGGCCGCAGCCCAAGCGTGGAGAGTAATGCTCCTTCATCGGCAATGGACTATGACTCAACATACATGCGAGATATTGGTCGACGACGATATCGAGGAACAACACCTTCCCGGGAAGACAGCATCAGCCTACCCAGTCGATCAAATCGGGGAAGTTACGACCAGGCCGTGTTTTCAGATATCGAAGGCGACTTTGCCCCAGACGAGCCCGCCCCGCCGCGACAGTTTATTCTCCGTGAACCTACTCCCCCATATCCGGAGGGCTCGAAGCAGGGCATGAAACGACGAGCATCTTCTCCTCCCCGGGAACCCATCACCGATGATAGGAATACACTTCACCTGGCCACGAGCAACGGCGATCTGTCTCAACGAAGGACGAGTGGGCATCCGTTCACCAATTCATTATCGGTAAACAACTGCGGCTACGCCAGTAGCCAACGGACTCTCTCCGCTGCATCCTCCCTGAGCATTCGGACTTCCGGATCATACTCGTCTGCCCTATCCATCGGAGGTAGCAGCATGACCAGTCTCTCGCCATACGATCGACCCTCTCCTGGAGGACTATCGCCCTGTTCCGACCTCGACACCTACCACGAAAAGTCCATCTTAAACCCTAGCTCCCCGGTGGCACTCTTAACAATCTCACGGGGCACCAACTCCCTCGAGCCTCCTCTCACAGACTCCACCGGCAAAGTATCCATGGCACCCATCCTCAGCATTCCCAAGCCTCCCCCTCTGAAGATCAGCGGTCTATACATCTGCGATTGTTGTCCCAAGAAACCCAAAAAATTCGACAATCCAGACGATCTCCGGTAAGCATCTCACCTAGCATTGTTCCCCTATCCATTCACTAACCCCATCCCAGAGCCCACGAGATGGAAAAGCAATACGCATGCCAATACTGCAACAACCGATTCAAAAACAAGAACGAAGCTGAGCGTCACCAAAACTCCCTCCATCTCCGCCGCCATTCCTGGTCATGCGCCGCCCTTCGAAGCTTCCAGGCCGCTTTCCACGGCTCCGTCTCACCGTCCTACCAAACGTCCGCCGGGCCCTCGCACGATACATGCGGGTACTGTGGTGAGGAGTTCGCGAATTTCCCACGTCCTGATTGGGACCGTCGCTTTGAACACTTGACTACCGTGCATAAATTCGGCGAGTGCAATAATGCGAAGAAGTTTTTCCGCGCGGATCACTTCCGCCAGCATTTGAAGCATAGTCATGCAGGGACGAGTGGAAAGTGGACGAATATCCTGGAGAATGCTTGTATGAAGGAGGAGGCGCCGCCGGAGCCGAGGGATAAGTCTGGTTCTGGTGCGGCCGGTCAGGCACAGTCGAATTCGGGGTCTTTGACCTCGAATACGATTGATGAGGTTCTTTGTGAGCAATGATAAATCGTGGTCATCTCGAGCTCATCAGGTCTGGTGTTGTGGTTAGGTTCTTGGTGATTGATAGTGCTTCTACTTAAGCGTGAGCGCCATTGAAGCCAAGGCTAACCACAACATGCCCTTGTGCTTCCCCGATCTACCGTTCACTCTTATGTCCCTATGTCCCTTTGGCCATTTACTCGCGCCCACCTACACTCATCTCTCACCTCATCACCTCATTTCATAATCTTCTGCTCCGCAGCAAGATCTCCACTCTCCTCACCACCTGAACTATCCAGCTTCCCCTGCAGCAAAGCGAAGGACAGCACAAGGATATCACGAAGTTACACGAAATCATTTTTGTCATATCGCCGGAAGGGAGTTTCGAGTTTCCTGGGATTTAGGTACCTCGTACCTGGTTGCATTAGCCGGGTGGAACTATCATTCTCCAAGCGGAGACTTTTTATTTTATTGCCATCGATGGAGTCGGTTCACGGTCGGGGGTTTGGCTTTGCGTCTTCATTTTGTTCATACATATATCTTTCCCTTGGATTCTTTTGGGATTCCCGTCGGCCACCTTATACATACATGTGGTACGTTAGTGCGACTGGGGCGTTGTATATAGAGTATTTTACTTTAAATGTCGTCGCTCCGAAACATTTGAAAGGACGAATCGAGAAATTGTACACGGCTCTTGCTACTCTTCTTGAATATTTCGTAGTTCTCATGTCGTGCGGGTTTAGGAATCTGGAGACTGTGGAAGCGGAAATCTACCTACACTCCAATGCTAAGATTAGCAGTCATTCAGACTTCATTCAGACTTGAAGGAAGGCGCAAGCAAGCTGTGAAAGTAAGGGTTTTAACTAAGATTCATACGCCCGGAACAATCCTCCAATCTTCTTACGTCCTGCATATCTCCGGGTGATGCAGACGGTGGATCTGCTACTTGAGAATCGTGTTTTGTGAAGAATTCTCTTTTGAAGACAGAGTCTTCATATAGTTAAGAACCCGTACTTCACTAAGCGAGAAGCAACTCCAACTACCGTTCAGATACTCTTACCATGGAAAATAAGTACGAGGCATGTCGAGAGAACGGTGGCAGGGGCAACGTCCACAAGTTACAACTGACCCCAGAACAATTCCCACCATCATCTGTATCATTATTCATTCTGATCCTTTTCCCACATCTTACTACTACCTCGTGTAATTTACGCAAGTACATTTCAGGTAAAGGATGTCGGATCAATAGCAGAGAGTTTCTCACACGGATGCTCCTTTCACAAGGAACATTTAAGGACTGTTCTAGAATTCACTTACTGGCATCTCTAACTTGACTGTCCATGACCAACTCTCACCTTTCGTTCTTTCATCGTTTCGATTTGGATTCAAGCAGTCTTCATGGATATCGCACCTTCCAGATCGTACCTTCCATGTATTTCCCTTTCTTGCCTTCCTTCCAACTGCACGTCCGACAGGATCGTTTTTGGCCATTTAGAAAGGCTCCCACATAACGAAGATGCCAGAACGACGGTAAGCTGCGCTGATGAACTGATGTCGAAAAAGTCCATGCTGATCTATTTCCAGGTATTCCTCTGGCCACCAAGATGAACGAAAGACTTCTTCATCCCCATCGCGAACACAAAGCACGCCTCGCACTCAAATTAGGGAGCCGAGAAACTCCGTCTTCGAGTACAGTCTTCATTACACTGGTCCAGTCCCAATAGAGCGTACCGTTGCCTTGTTGGCCCGCGAAGCAGAAGATAGAAAGCGGGGCCGCTCAAGCCATGGACACGATAGATACCGGGAAAGCCAAGCTCAGAGCCATCCGCCTCGGAGCGTTGAAGATCGCAGCTACTCAAACCAACTCGTTCGATCTAAGGATCAATCACACCGGGCAATTCGGAGCCAGAGCGATAACCGACATAGCAATGGCCGTGAGGGCTACCACGAGGGCAATCGACACCATGGCCAAGTATGTCTGAGTAGCCAAGGCCACAGAAATGGCTTCGATCCCAGTACAAAGCACGAACATGGGGCCGGCTGGATCACGACATCGGACACCCTCTGCGACGAGATTTCCAATTATGGAGAAGCTGAACTTCCCAGCGTTCCTGGACATTCTCTTCCTAGAATTGAAAGACGTGGACCAGACTTCTACATTGTCAGAGAGGCTCGTGGATGCCGTCATCCTCGGACTCAAATTCTGAATGGTGGTCCTCGTACCTCTTGTCAAATTCTTTAAAGGATTTGCGATCGCAAGAAGCTCACAACATTAACGCTGCCAAGACAGTCTTCGGCTTTGGAGCAAGCGCATTCAGCATGGCTACCAATCCTAGAACGGCCATCTATCTCAGGTGGGGAGCCGTCGATCCGGCTCTCAGTCGTAATCGCTACTCTTGACATGAAGCTTTACAGTCCTTTCCCACTGTCCCCCAGAACTTTGGGGTACACAATTATTACGCAGGATTGCCCCAAAGCTTCGCTGTCGCCGTCAGTCTGATAAATACTGAACAGCCACCCCGATCAATTCGTTATTTCAAAGGCTACAGTAATCTACTATCGTCATCCAGTCTTGCTTTCAAGGCATATCTGACAGATGCCTGTCCTAATAATAGTAATGAGAAATGAAATTTCGTGCACTGTTCCGTCATTCACGTCTCCTGCACCAGAATCTTTCATTTATCGAAAGTCTATCTCTGGCCTGGGACCCTTTCAACCAGATGACACGCGGGTATACATAACCATAGTTGGCACCTCTAGACCTCTAGGACGTTTCTGTTCAACACCTATACACCAATTTGAAGAATTGAACCCCAATACCATCATTCAATGTGCAAACTTTACTGAAACCCTCTAAACTATATGACAAACCCCTAGAATACATACATCTACTCAGTAACACTATCCTGGATACTCCGCAACGCACTGCTCTTATGCCCAGGATCAATAGCAGCCGCATTCCTCGCCCTCCTCCTCGCATCGGTCCAAAGCATAAACTCGCCATAGCTCTTCGGCATAACCTTGACATCTCCCTCAACCAAGAAAGTATAATTGAACATACCAGTTGACTTCTTCGTGCCGTGCTCCACATCCCGAACCTTCGAGTCAACGCGCACCTGCACACGAGTGAACTTGCTTCCGTCTTCGCGCTCCTCGGGCTCGGTGTACGCTATCGTGGCGCGGAGGTAGAGTACGCTGCCGACGGGAACAGGGTTTTCGAAAGTTGAGGGATCGAGGGCGAGGAAGTTGGGCCGGGCGTGCGCGAAGGAGGCGGCGCAGCAGAAGGCTAGTTCGAAGGATTGTTTCAGGAGGAAACCACCGAAGATCATGAAGTTGTGGCGGTTGCGGTCTTGCGGTTGCATTATCATGGCGGATTTGAGGATGGTGTCGCTCATATAGACTTGGTTGTTGGGGCGGGTGGCGGGGACTTGGGGGTCTGGAATGGTTAGTTGTGTATTGGTGTAGATTGTGCAAAATGGGGTGCTCACTAAGATAGGACATCTCTTTTGTCCACATTGAGTGGATCAGGTCACTTTCCTCATCATCGGGAGACTTCTCAAGGAGACTGCGCGTGCGGAGAGCCTTTTTGGCTTTAGAATTCTCCTCGCCCTTTCTGAAGAACTCTTTCTCCTCGTCCGTCTCGATGATCAGAGGTGCCACCGGGACAGGCCTAAAGACAGTTTAGTATAGGGTACGCAACATCGACTTTGAGAACATACTTCTTAGTGACCGGGTCAAGCGACACCATCGTAAAAGCACAAGTAATCAAAACGTCTTCAGGCTTCGCAGGTTCACCCTCTGCACGAGCCTTGGACACCTGGCAAGAAATCTCCATACTGGATCGCCCCGTCGCATAGGATACCCGGCCCGTAAGCTCGAGATCGCTAATCTCCATCAGCGGGTGCTCAATAGTGATACGATCCACAGCAGCAGTGACAGTGCTGACGCCATCACCAGTGTGACGGTACGCGACAACACCAGCAAGAGCATCGAGGTCCATCAACAAAGAGCCAAGTCGGATGTGACCGCTAGCATTGAGGTAGTGGTCCAAAAGCCACTTGTCTTGACCCAGCGGCAGAATCTGAATCAATTGTATTAGTGAAAAGGTCTCTTTGAACATGTTCAACACATACAGCACTGTAAAAGCTGTCCGACATCTTCTTCGGCGTCAAATCCGGCTTCACTTTCGGCGGCTCAGGCTCACCGTCCTTAGCAGCCTTTGCGGCCTCCCGACTGGCTGTCAAAGCATCAATCCAAGCCGTCTTGACGCGCATCGGCATCCAGGCAGGTTTAAACGCGGCATTTGTCGGCGTAGAGTGGAAGTCCCGGTTCTGCGACCTGGAAGATTGTGTGGCGGCGACAGCGCGTGCAGGCAGCGCAGCCGCAGAGAGGCTCTTAGAGCGGACAATAGCAGTCCTTCTTCCCGCGAGACTAAACATTTTGCTTGTGTGCTTAGGTGAAGATGCAAGGATGAACATAGCTATGACGATATTGAAGCCGAGAGACAACCCCGGTCGCTCCCGATCGGGTTAGCTCTCGGCAATCCGGAGATTCTCGGGAACGAATTGCCGCGCATCTCGGGTTGTATAGTTCTTGTTGGTAATAGAGTGTCGAAGGCTTGGGGTAGAGGTCTTGTAGATTAAAAGAACGAAAACGTTTGATCCATTCGCACTAGGGTCTAGTAGTTCGCCGTAATTTAGGCGTAGAATGCCATCTGCAGATCTCGGGAACCAGTTGCCCTGAATCGGCGAGCCGGTATCAGACCACCACGGCTCACCCCTCTGCAGAGAAAGCTTGGCTTGTGTGGAGAAGTAGACTCGTGCTTACATACGTATTTGGGTGTATGCATAATTGAACCCAAGGGTCTCTCGACCGTGAATCTCTCGACCGAGATCTGACTCAAAGATGAGGTCATTGATTAGATAGTTCCGAAAGCATCTATATAAACTCGGTCAATATCCAAGAAAGAGCTCTTCATTCATCTTTGAATACACTGGAATTGAATCCAAGCAGTCCCCGTCATTCGCAATCATGAGTGATCCTACCAACCCGAACATCAAGAACAGAAGTACTCAGCAATGGGGTCTCTACCAGCGCGAGAACTTCCAAAAGGTCAACCAGGGCCAAACACCACTTTTTAATACCAGTATGCATATTAGTCCCCTCAATCTGCCTCTCTTCATTTATCTAAATATTACCCAGACCCCCAAAAACTTGAAGAAAGAGCCAAAGAAAAGCTCTCCGAAGGAGGCTGGTACTATGCGTCCTCCAATGCCGGACTGTCAAACACTCACCTCGCAAACCGCCAATCCTTCTACCGACACCGCATCATCCCCAACCAACTAGTCGACACCAATAGCCGTGATACCAGCGCCGAGATCTTCGGCCACCGCGTCTCAGCCCCCATCGGCTTCGCCCCAATCGGTATCAATAAGATTTACCACCCAGCCGGCGAAGCAGCCGTCTCCAAAGTCGCCGGGGAACTTAACCTCCCTTACTGCCTCTCAACAGCGGGAAGTACATCGATTGAGAAAGTGGCCGAGGCAAACGGCTCCGGACCACGCTTCTATCAACTCTACATGCCTCACGATGACGAACTTACGTTGTCATTGCTGAACAGGGCGTGGAACGCGGGGTTCGACGCTTTGATTCTAACAACGGATACATGGCAACTCGGCTGGAGACATGATGACGTCGCGACCTCGAATTACGCTTTCTATCGCGGTTTCGGTGCTGATTTGGGTCTGACGGATCCCGTTTTCCGGAAACGGTGTCAGGAGGATGGAATCGATCCAGACAAGGATGTTGTTGCGGCGAGTACGAAGTGGATTGATTCCGTCTGGCATGGACGGGCGTGGTCGTGGGAGAAGATCCCGTGGTTGATTGAGCAGTGGAAGAAGATCTCTGGAGGACGGCCGTTTGCGATTAAGGGGATTCAGAGTGTGAAGGATGCGAAGAAGTGTGTTGAGTTGGGGGTTGATGGGATTGTGGTGAGTAACCATGCTGGACGGCAGGTTGATGGGGCTGTTGCTAGTCTTGATGCTCTTGAGAAGATTGTTGAGGCTGTTGGGGAGAAGATTTATATTATGTTTGATTCTGGAGTGAGGGGGGCGAGTGATGTTGTTAAGGCGCTTGCGCTTGGTGCGAAGTTTGTGTTTGTGGGAAGGCTATGGATTTGGGGCTTGAGTATAATGGGAGAGGATGGGGTGAGACATGTTATGAAGAGCTTGCTGGCGGATTTGGATATTTTAATGGGTGTTGCTGGGTTTAACTCAGTGAAGGACTTTGAGAAGGAGATTCTCGGTAAGTTTTTTCGGCCGAGTTGGAGGGCTGGGTGTCTATGTGCTAATGGTTGTGCAGAGTCCGGTCCTAAGTCTTACTCCTTGATCCCGGAGAAGGTGCTGTGATGTTCTTAGGTTGCAGTGGATAGAAGCCAATGAATACAAGTGTGATTTGTCCATATGAAAGAGTGTTTGGTTCTAGTTATACATGGTGACATGATGGGCCAATTCCAGGACATGTCGAATGATAGTAATGTGTGCAGGGAGGCTGCGGCTCTAAATGCAAGAAACGAAGGTATTATCTCGCCCGAGAGATTCGGGCGGTATGTGCAATGGGTATCACCCCATGGAACGAATGTCGGTGAAGTGGGTCGAGACGGTCTCAAAACGTATGCGCCAGACTCGAGGGTATGAACTGAAAACGCCGGTATGAACTGTGGACGATGTGTAATGAAATGTTGAAGGTCGAGGTGGGCGCAGGCTGCGATGGGAGATGGTAAGAAGTCGATGATTGAGATGAAGGTGCACTATGCTCGAAGGAAGAGCACGGATAGAACGGTCATGAGCAGCGAAGAGCCCACGCCGAGGGAGAGATGGGATGCCGAGCCAGTGGCAACGGCTGTTGTGGAGGCCGATCCTGAGGCAGTGGCAGCACTCGTAGAACCTTCAGTAACCGCGGCAGTGGTGTTAGAAGAGGAGAAGGTGCCATTTACAGACGTAGAGTTGACTAAGCGTCCTCCAAAGCCAACCTGTACGTTGTCGAAGTCGAAGACGGTGTAGACATTCTTTAAGAAAACGTCTCCGACAAGCCAAGTATTATTTCCAAAGGAGTCGTGGCCGACAATAGTTGAAACACAGCCGCCGGTGCTAGATGCGCCGATGTAGTCTTCCGGCTGGATAGAGTACTTGATACCAGAGAATTCAAACTCCAGAGTGGCAGTCGAGTTACAAGGAATGATGTAGTTCTCTCCCGAGGGTGAAGATCCGGGGATAAGTGCGAACAGAGATGCGGCATCGGCCGGGGGAATCAGAATATAGGTGGTGCCAGTGTCGATGGTGGCAGACTTTCCGGTGAGGTTGACGGCTTGGTCGTTCACGTAAACATCATCCAGGGGAATGGTCCAGGTGTCTTGGTTGGTTGCAGTGTAGCTGATGTTTCCATCAAACTTGGTGGTATCAATAGTGCCAAAGTTGACCTCGCCATCCTTGGGATCGTCCGCAGCACGCGACAGACTAAAGCCAACGACGTTAGAGCCGAGCAAAGCCTTCGAGGCAACAACGTCCATGAAGGAAGGAATAGTCCAGCCATCAGCATGCGATCGTCCCAAGCCCAAGATACCGTCAATGGGGTAGTTTGTAAATGACTCGTTCACCGAAAATGCCGATCCGAAAGTGAACGTCACGTCCATATCTGCAACTGACCATATGTCCTGGCCCAGGTCCATTTTTACATCTCCGCTTCCGTAACCGATGCTATAGGAGGAGCTGTTCGAGTAGTAGCTACTCGACTCAGACTTGTTCCATGTATGATGACTCGTGCAGACGCTGTCAGTGCAGCTGGTGCCGAAAACCCAACTGCTGGGGGATCCGGTATCCAAGGCGAGCCACATTTCCTCCTTCTGTGAGCCAACTTGCACCACGGCGAAGTAAGAGTAGTCCATTCCATCTTGGTCCAGTGGCGCACTGTTCGGCAAAGTCGGGGTATTGGCTTCAACAATCGAGTAAGTGTCACGACGAACGGAGGCTTTCTTGATGTCGAATGTCAGTGGCTTCTTAGCGGATATGTCATCCTCAGTCGAAGGTAGCAGAGTCCATGGCATGAAGCGGCGCAATAAACCAGTTTCCACTTTCAATTCCCACGGGTAGAAGGCATGTACGCCGGTCGAGAGGCCGGCGAGGAGCAGACACGGTGAAAAACGCATGATCTCGGGAAGAATCTAGGAACGAGAGAACTCGGGCGTCATCGGATCAAGAGGCAGCAGCTTCGATGAGGAGTCCCTCAAGCTGCGAGCAGTCGTTTAACGGTTTGATGCGGAGATAGACTTGGTAATGGCGATCAGCGGAAGATTCGCGAGCTCGGTCCAGAAGATAGAATCGAGAATTACGCAATGTACAGGGGACTGAAAGGAAAGAAACAAGCAACAAATAAAGCAAAGAAAAAGAAGGACGACAATGAAGAGGTTGGAAGTGAAGTGAAGGTCGGATGCAAATGCAAATGCAAATGTGAGGGGGGGGGGTGGCCAGCTGGGTCTCCCCAGAACCAGTGAACCACTGCACTAGCGAGCCAGTGAACCTCTGCAGGAAAATGCTCCCCTGACAAGTCCGCTAATGCCTTTAACGGTTTGGTGCGGTGGATCCCCAGTCACGGTTCAAGTCCTGATCGTCTGTTCGGTCGGAGCTAACCTTGCGCTAGACCCCGTTACTCTCTTGGGTCCCTGATAAAACTTGGAATTGCGGGCTACAAGTGCCTAAAAAAAGGGCTTTAAGATTGCATCTGCTGTGGGACCTATCCTGATTGATTTCCTCGATCATGATAGTCTGGGTTGGCGTCGCAGGTGATACAAGAGTTCACGTCAAGGTTCATCCTTGCGCACGGGTCCACGGCTTTTTCAGGGGTTCATCAACTTCCACCTCTTCTTTGACTAGGCATTCCTGCACGAACACCGGTCTAGACTCGCTTTAACGGATTATCAAGGCTTGAATGGTTCCATTGGGCTGAATCCAGACCAGCCGTGTGGCCAAGCTGCGTCCCAATTCATTGCGTGGCTGCAAGCCTCGCTCCACCGTTGGAGACTGGCTAGATGCAGATCCTGTGCGACGATCTGTGTTTACACCCCCGAGTCCGAACGCTGATCTTGGAGCTGGTCGAGACTTTGAATAATAGGTAAATGCGACCGGTGCAGTCTGCTCCCCAGGGGTTCCTACACCGATTTTTTGCCATCACTATGGGGCGCATCCGCCACCCGAGACATATGACCGATCAGGTTACGCATGCATAATTCTACTATCAGACTTGACATGTAAATGATCAATTGCTGTTCAATGGATAGAAAATGTAAACACAGTGCATCAGAATGGAGAAGCTAGTATTGAATTATCAAAGTTGGGTAGCACAGACAATTCGGTGCCCCATCCACGGTACCCGGATAGGCCAGGACAGGGGCCCAGACCATATCCCTAGACCAATTTGACAGGTTCTATCCTAGCATCGTTTTAGACATATTTCCCCTCTCTCCAATAAGGTTTCTAGGCGACTATTCATTCATTTAGAGTATCGCTTTCTAGCTAGGTATGACGCTATTTTGGTCTTCGGATACGCGCATGGACCGAGTTCTAACGCGCGCGGATGAACTCTTAAGTAGACAGATCGGAAGATTCTCCAATGACGTCCAGGGTAATAGTTCTCATGGGTCATTTGAATGGAACTGAAATACTTAACGTAGTTCATGACTTTGACGAAAATGGTCTCCACTGGCTACCTGTAGGTGCACTGTAGGACAAAGACTCCGAAACCGAGCAGATCAATGCAGCAGATCACGGATTCGGACCACAGTAGATTTAAACATTGAATACCAGTCTTCCTATATTTTTTTCTAGAAAAAGACTAATTGAATCAAAGGACAAATTTAAATTGGTCACACAGTCTGAGGGTCTAAATACCGGATCGGAAGAGACCGGAACGTCACCCCAGACATTGAGCGGCAGGGTGATTGAGTCACCATCCATTGAAAAAAAACCACTTTTGCACCAATTGCATTGATAAAGATCTATCGCCCTAGATAGAAACAGAATTCAACGTTTTCCAATCCATAAGCTGAGCGAGTAGCAACCGTGGATAATTGTCCAGTTCAACGCCACGCTAATTATAGCATCTATCTATGAATCATTCCCACTTCCAATTGAAAATGAGTAATCAATTGAATATTAAACACCCGCAAGTATCTTGTTATTCCAAGGAAATACACACCGAGATAATGGGACCCCATACCCGATAAATACCCTTTTAATCTATGAAGAAGCGGATCACATCACCCCGATCCCCATTCATCTCATCCCACAATCAACCTCGGAAGAGCGTAAAAACTTCCCGCTCCATGACCTATCCGGAAGCACATTCATGAGCCCAGAGACACTAATTGCCAGACCCTACGTCACGCTATCTTCGCCTTACCGAATCCATCCGCTTGTAGAAGTCAACCGAGCCAATTGGATAATATGAAGACAGGTCACCCGAGTCTCATGACCTCGGGACCGGTAGCTCGGGTTTACATAGAGAATGATCGGGAGGTATCTCGGGTATTTTGTAGATCTTTTGTTGCGTAGATCGTTTCGGAGACTAGTGTGGGGGACCTCGGCAACACGAAAATGGTAGATGACGCGACAATTTACGGGGCTAATTGCAGATTGACAAGGTATTTTCGAAGTGACATCTTAGAATGGGTAGATGGGAAGAGTCGGTATTGTATCGAGTATTTAGATTCAGGTGCCAGGAAGATTCAGAGTTCAGAGTTCACGCTGGAGCTAATCTGTAGCAATCCACGCGCAGAGATAGTGATAATAGAAATAAAGTAATAAAGAAAAGTTACACAAACGCTAGTCGAAGAAACCCTCTCGGCGATAAAACAGTGCCTCACAAGAAAAAAAAAAAAAAAAAAGTCATCAAAGGCCGTTAAGCACACACGCAGTCAAGGTAAAAACCCCTACTTGCGCGCAACCTCCTTAGGCCCGAGAACATCATCCAAAAACCCAGCCCACAGCTCCTTCAAAACGCCCGGCTCGGAAGATTTCCCATTGGCCCGGCGCTGAATCTCCTCGCCAACGCGCGAGCGACCCACTGCCTCGGTAAGTGAAAACGGATCAATGTCAATGGAGTGATTGTCGACGACTTCGCTCATCGGGGAGGCGGCGACGACGCCGGCACCGGAGACTGTGTAGATCTGGGGCTTCATAAGTGGGGCGGAGGTGGAGGTGGAGGTGGACTCGTGGTGCGAGTAGAGGTCGGGAAGGACCGGAATTTGAGTCTGGCTGGATGCATGGGTTTCCATGTCGGACATTATGGGCATGTAAACTAGGTCGACTGTGGAGGTGTCGCCGACTGCTTTGGAGGAGCGGGATGTGTTGAATTGGCGAGTGGGTTGGCTGTTTGAGGTGTTAGTTTGGTCTGCAATGGATGCATGGGGTTGGGGATATGAAGTCGTGTGGAATTTGTAATTTGGAGGACGTACTCTGCGAAGGCATTGCTGTTGATGCGGCGCATGGCAATGCTGAATGCACGAGACTGGAGGACATCGTGGTTGGAGAGGCGCTCGATCAGCTGTAGATTGGTTAGATGGTTGACCAGGAGGTAGGATAGATGGACAGAGTACGAACCTCGGATTTGCTGCCAGCAGTACGGAGAGAGCGTCTTTGGCACTCAGTCTCCAAGTCTGGAATGCTGCGAGCAGCGTAGAGAGAGGCCTTGTCGGCAGGGTTGGCAGGCTGAGCAGACTGGACGCCAGTGATGTGGAGGCCACGGCGAGCAGGTGCAGCGATGGGCTGCTGGGAAAGCTGACGCAGAACGCGCAGCGAAGTTTGACGAGGAGCGGCCATTATGAAAGTGATGAGGTATGTATAGAGCTGCCTAGATAGGCCGGGGTAGGGTGAAGTACAAGTAGATATAGAAGGAAGTGGTGGGAGAGATAGGAAGGACCGGATGAAAATCCAAAAGTCAGAGTCAGAGAATTCTTCGAATGGACGGAAAAGGAGAAAGGGCAACAACAGGCTGCTTTGTAGCTGTGAGTAAGAGAGTCGGGGGAATCGTTGGGGAGAGCTATGAAACCCACTTCTTGGCGGTCTGGACCCGTTTATCGATAGCGTGGATCCACGGAGAGTGAAGTGTTGACGTCTTCTACACAGGGGTAGTATCGGTGAAGACTCGAGATAAGCAGAACCAAGGATGAGACCGAGATAAAAGAGGGGAACTCAAGGTTTAACATGGTTTATATAGGGAGGGTGTACAACATACCCCGATTCAACAGTTCCGGTGTAATGAGATCTACGGCGTAAAAGTACCGGATACCTCATCCTCGGGACGGTGTCTACGGGGTACACCGTGTACCCACCCAAGATGAGCAGGTGACTCGATGTACTGGGTACTTCTCCTACTTTCTGCTCCGTACTTTCAACTCCGTGCGCATCATTTCCACTCTATCTTGAGTCCCCACTCCCACTCTCCACTCCCATTATTGGATATTCTTTTCCCGCTCGCTGCGCGGTGCAGTAATGGCTTCCCTAGGGAAACCCGGGGAGTCCTCCCTCCCTCCGGAAGTGGTCCTGATCCCCAATCACCGCCCTACAACTGGCTGCGACACCCTGACAAACGGGCCTTTCCCCGCCCCGGAAACCGCGTCAGCCATTCGAGATCGCCCCAACTGTCAAGATCGCATGACTTTCAAGCGGTGAGACACACGTTGTCGCCTGTGACTCGTCGTGCTTCGTAGATTTCCTACTGATGTACTGAGTACCTAAGCACCCATCTAGGCACCCTATTTCTTCTCAACAGGGGGTCCTGTCGGTGCTATTAACCACTGCAGCATCTCGGTGAGCTTCTGCATTTCCTCGCGGTCCTCACGGAAGCCTCGGATTCCGATGTCGTGATCACCAGACCCTGGACTCCACGGTGGCGCAGCTATCCTCATTCTGCGATGGGTCAGGGGCAACGAAGCTGTAAGGGCAACTGCCGCCTTGGCGGGATTCCGAGCATCCCCCCAGATTCTTCCCCTGGGTGAAGCCATCCCTAGATTGAGAGTGATACACTTGATTGGAAAAGTCGTGCATTGTGTGTTACCTAGGATATATACTCTAATCTTACGACCAGTCGCTTCTATTTGCCAATCGCCCCCCCGGGTACCTTCCTGCCCATCAAAGCTTGGCTCCTCGCCCTTTAGCTATGGCCCGAGCGTATGGGTGCGAGCGGGATGCCGGAACAAGATGGTCGATATCGCCTGTGTGCACAAAATCAGGCGATGCTTGGTCCAGGGATGTGATGCCGATGTTTCGCATCGCCGTTTCCAGCTCATCTTGCATGACTGGTGGGTCCAATTAGATTCGAATAGTCTATGGCGCCTTATGCGGATCTTCACTTACTATCAATCAAATGCTCCACTCCTTCTTGGCCGTAGTTTGTCGCGAATAACATGCTTCGCCCCATGCCTACGGCGGTTGCGCCTAGGCATACGGCTTTGAGGATGTCGGTCCCGCGGCGGATACCGCTATCTACGTAGACTTCCATCTTCTCGAATACCTCTGGACATCGTCGATGGATCTCGAGGAGGGTGATGATCGACGGCGGGCTGGTGTCGAGGTTGCGGCCGCCGTGATTGCTGAGTAGGATTCCGTCTAGGCCAGCTTTCATGGCCAGCATGGCGTCGTCGGCGGACATCACGCCTTTCAGACACACTGGCTTGTGAGTGTGTTGTCGCACCCACTTTAGATCTTCCCAGGTCAGGCCAGGGTCGATGAAGCCGGCCATGACCCGACCAAGGCCGCCGCCTTTTTTGTCGTTTTGCGCCTTGGAGGGCGACATGGGCACCGATAGACCCTCGTCAGCCTTGACGCGTTCGTCGGCTTCGCGCTTGCCAGGCCAAGCAGCGTCGACGGTCACGAAAATGGCTTTGATGTTGGGGTTTGCTGAACACTGGCGAAGTAGAGCAGCGGACTTTTCACGGTCGCGGTTGACATATAACTGGAAGAAGAAACCGGCAGAAGGGGCAGCTGTCCTCAATTCGTCCATGGTATAGGAAGAGTTATTAGAGATCTGGTGAAACATCAGTACAGTTGGTCCTTGAAAGGTCCAGTCCGAAAATACCCACGCCCTGCATGATACCCTTGTTTTCACAAGCCCTCGCAATAGCACACTCCCCATCGGAATGAATCAACTTCGCCATAGCCGCCGGACTGACGAAAAGCGGCAGCTTGTAATCGCCTCCTAAAATCTTCGTACGACCGTTCACCTCCCGCACATTTCTCAGCACTCTCGGACGGAACCATATCCGATCAAAGCACGACTTATTAGCATCTCGCGTAATCAAATCTGTCGCCGCGCTCGAGTAAAATGCCCATGTCTTGCTATTAGCCGTCTTCGACGCGACAACCTCGAAATCATGCGAATTGATCAAGGTCCCCAACGGCGGCTTCTCATTATCCAAAAGCACCTTTGGGTTCTGGCCTGGTGGGGGCTTAATCCAGTCTTCATCGATTGTAGACTCATCGAGCATGCCTTTGAGTTTGTCGGCGCTCAGGTTGTTTTTTAATACGCTGGGCGCATGGACTTCTGAGTATGCTTTCGTCGCGTCTCGGCCTGCGTACTTCAAGATGACTGTTCGTTTCAAAGATGAGGTTAGTCTTGTGCATTTAGAAAACATTGGAAGATGCGTACTTGTAGATCCGCCGGGGTGTTCATCCAGAAAGTCGGTCACATCCCAGACCTGGTTGTCGACTACAATCCAGCAGTCTTGGGGACTTCTGTGTTCTGCAATGTACTTCGCAGACAGAGGTTTCTGGTCTGCCATTTGGTCGAGCGTTTGTGTCTTCTCGTCCGAGATATGTTCAATCGCACTGATTGCGCTTTTCGTCCCAAATTACGGGAACACGAACGCAGACGTTGTTGGCGATAAACAATGAGAGCGTGAGGGGTGGAGGGAAAACCAGCCAGCCAGAGACGACTAAATACTCAGCAAGGGCCTCTTTCTCCAAAAAAGTTGTGATCGCGGTCGATCTCCGTGTGGCCAGCGTGGGTCCACTACGGCAATGCCCCCGGACTTACCCCGGACTTACCTTCACCTTTCGTCGCAATGGATCTTTCGAGGGGGCACTCGATCATGTCCCAAATGACAGATATTCTAGTCTCTGTCTTCGTATTGCAACGATGTGCGATATCTCAGATCTCCCCATCGCTCTTTAAACCGTTTTTGACACTCTTCCTTCCATGTTTTTCTCAATAGCGACCATCCAAACACCTTCTCTCGAGAAGCTCGGCATTCACCTTCCTTGAAACCTCATCGTCGATCAATCACAGTTGTGAGATGCAAGACCCTGACGGCCAGACTCGGGGTATCACCGACCGAAATACGGAGTTCTCTCCGGGTCGGTAAGTGAAGCGCTCTGGTCCGTGACCAGATTACATAAGAGGTGTTTATGACATCCAATTGGATAGTTACCGTAGCACCGCGGCATGGTAGACACTTAGCAATTGAGGTTTAAGAAAGAACCCTTGCAAATAGCGATTTTGGCCAAGGAAATCTGGCTGTTGTACGTTAACAGTAGCTTTGTGGCGGCCGTTGGAAACATTCGATCTATTATCCTTCTAGGCTTACAGCCCTTAGTTCCGTCCTCAATTTCACGGGTCAGCGACGTGACTAAATCCTCAAATACCGTATGCCTGGAACGGGAATATAATTTAAGTGGACCTAAATAGGCGGCGGTAACTTATTTTCCTAGACTCATTCGAAAATATTGAGAGGTATACCTTCAAAATGGAATATAAAGATATCTAGAAAGAATTGATTGTATTGACTTCTCCCTGGCACGCATTACTCATGCACTAGCGTTATACCTGTATTCATAATGCTGAACCGTGACGCACAGTACTCAATAACAGCACAATCATCATACAGATGCTACAAGACGTGAAGGACTCCCAGCCTAACCCCCTTCCAGCTAATTCCTTGAACATCTTCATGCTTGGATCATCAATGCCCTGGATAGTATGCGAGCAATGAGAAAAGCGAAGAAAATGAAAGCAGTCTTCCAATCAAGCTTTCTTTTTAAGCACACCCGAAATCCTAGGTAAGCAACTGTACGGTTCATCGGCCACCTCAATTTCACCAGGGTTTTCCCACTCCCCGGCAGCAAGAATATCCGCCTTGATATCCCGATTCAAACAACACCCGACAAGTCCGCTCCAAGCAGGATTCAAACAAGCTGTTGTCATATTAGCCTCTCCATACAACTTCCAAAGCAAGACCCGTAACGTGATAATCAATACGTACCTTGTGTGATAGCCGTAGCAGTATCCCGGTTCTTCTCATGCTCCCAGAATACAAAGCTCCCTCCCGGTTTTAACAATTTCCACACCGCCCTCATCACACTCTTCACATCTTTCACTGAGCACAATACCTGAATACTTAGCACAGTGTCCATGCTCCCTTCGGTAATCCCCTCCATTATCAAAATGTCGCTGTCTTCAACGCCACACGCTAAAAGCTTGTATTTATCCTGGAGACCAAGTTTCTTGACCTTTGCAGCAATTGTGTCTCCGTAGTTAGGATTAGGGTCAACGGCGTATATAAAGTCTACGAGGGATGGAACGAAGCGCTGGATTTGGTTGCCTGGTCCAGGGCCGAGTTCGAGGATTCTGCCTTGAGCGGAGCGGACAAGGGAGGGGACAACGGTGGTATTTTCATAGGCGATGAAACCGTCGGCTATGTAAAATAATTAGTATGTAGGGATTTGGGTTCGGGATGGGAAGCTTACAGTGCGTGATAAACAGTTTGGCTACAGCAGCCTCTCGAACCCTTTGGGGATATGCAAGAGAGGCGAAACCGTCTTTGCGAAAGGCTTCTTTAAAAGCCTTGTAGTGCACTATTTTGGAATGTTGGTATGTTGGTACAGGTAAGTACAGGTAGGGAGGGAGGAATTACATTGGATGGATAACCAGATGAGCTGGAGTGGCCTAAAGATGCCATTAAGACGGTCTTTACCAGCCATGGTGCTTTACTTAGCATAACTTGTGAGCATAAAGATGATCACATGTTGAGGTGGCAGCGGTATATGTACTCACGTAATACAAATGGCCTCGAGAGAATTTGTGTAAGAAAGTAAAATGTGCGACAAGAATGTAGCACGCAAGTTGGGTAGCGCAATTTATAAGAAAAAAAAGTGGGGGAAGAATCTCTTCGAGGATTTATACGCGGGCCACTATTCTGCTCTTACATGGATAGGTAAGCTGGAAGCTAGACGTGCCCTATTGGTTCGATTTTCGGGGCACGTGCGGTAGACTCGCTGTTCAATCCTAATGTCAGTTTGAGAACTTGCTATTGGAAAGAACGCTAGTATTAGCGTGTCGTAGACCGTCCGACTCTACGCCATTGCTAGGGTTCGAATCAAAATATTCGCAAGCCATGACCTCTCATTGAGCTAGCCTGGGTGGGGGCCTACAAGTCTCCAGTCATCGAGAGTCCCGTACAGTCTTATCGTAGGTCTTTCATCAGCCAATTGACAGTGTTCAATTTCCACTCTCTATCCAAAATTATACAACAAGCCGAACTCGAACCCGAGCTCCCAAAGCATGAGGGCCATGGTTGCCTCTTCCTAATAAATTATCTCCGAGCCTCCGCCGTTACAATAGGCTATGATCCCGAAACCGAGAACCCCCTTAAAACGGCCTAAGCGCTTCTAAAGCGCGAACTTTTCAAGCGATATCCAAGTATATCAAATATCATACGCATGAAGCTTGATTAAAGAGCTCCAGTGAAGCTTTGTTGGATTCATAGAGCCTTGTTGACCAAGCTCCCATAGAGCGGTCTATTCTATCAATGTCCCGCAGAGGTGGTGATGAAGGCACGCGGGTGGTATACCAAATTGTGAAGTTTACTATCAATTTGGTGCATTCGATACATAGTTCATGTATATTAGACAGAAATTAACAGATATATAAATTCTTTACAAGAAAGGGGATGGCTTTGAAAATATGAAAGGCGGGTGTGAATATATTTCTGGTAGATGATCTAGCCACGCACTTCAAAGAGGAGGAACGCGGCATTAGTCATCCGGACGGTCTGGCATGGCAGAAAGTGAGCGCCAACTTAGTAATATAGCACAGCCACAGGTCCGGAAGCTAAGCCCTGAGTGCGGCTGATAACTTCAGTTCCTGAGTCAACATAAAAGTTTGCCGCATATACAACCTTGCATGTGTTGAGTCATACTTCTCTCGACGACACTGCATATCTGTTTCACACTGCATTTTTCTCATGCTCATTTCCTTTGTGCGAGGCTCTGCCCTGAAGACTTTTGGGGATTTTCAAAACTCGATCATCAGGAAGGGGATCAAAGATACATCTCTCATCTCGAGACTCTGGAACTTCAAAAATTTAAGCCGGTTAGGTAGGTGGAGAGTATGGCAGAACTTGATTTTGCTATTTAGCTCGCTCTCGATCCCTGATATCCCGCCATGGCGCTTGTAATATCTCGCTAATTGTTGCCTCAGGAATCGCGCGAGAAAACACTCTCGTTTGTCATTTGCGTCCTTATTCAGGCTGCAACACCAGAAGGGGTTTTTCTTCGATTGCAAACAAAAAGATGTCCGCAAACATGTGTGACTCCCTCAAGCCACTCCGATATGTCGATGTATGTCTTGCCCCCGATCCGCAAATTTCAACCTCTGACAAATTTGATAATTTAGATCGGCATCAACCTGAGCGATCCCATGTTCGCTGGAACATACCATGGAAAGCAAGCTCACGAAGCCGACCTTGACGATGTCATCCAGCGCGCCAAGGATGTCGGTTGTGAAAAGTTCATGGTAACTGGATCCGACCTTGTCGAATCCGAGGAAGCTATCAATATTGCGCGGAAATATCGTGAGTTTCTCTTTGCATTTTGACTAAGATAGCCCACTGACCGTCTTAACTACAGCCGGCTTCTGTTATGCCACAGTAGGTGTACATCCCTGCCAGGCTAAACTTTTCGATGAGTACCCAGAAGGTCCATCAAAGATGATCGACGAGCTCCGAAAAATGGCCATCGAGTCGAAGGATGCCGGACTTGCGGTTGCATTTGGCGAGATCGGTCTTGATTATGATCGCCTCTTCCACAGCGCCAAAGAGCCACAACTGAAGTATTTCGAGGCACAGCTGGACCTGGCCGTGGAGATCCAGATGCCACTCTTCCTCCATTCCCGTGCTGCTAGTGATGACTTTGAACGGTTAATTGCCTCGAGACTTGATAAACTCCCCAAAGGCGGCCTCGTCCATAGTTTTACTGGAACGATGGAAGAGATGGAGCGCCTCATTGCGCTGGGTCTTGATATCGGTGTTAACGGCTGCAGCATGAAGACCCAGGAGAATCTAGACGTCATTAAGGCAATTCCCTTGGAAAGGCTTCAGATTGAGACTGACGGCCCATGGGTATGTTTTATATCCATTGCCGTGCTTTGCATATCCCCCAGCTGACCCGGTGTTGTAGTGTGAGATCCGGCCGTCGCATGCGTCGGCGAAGTTCCTCGAGGGTGCTCCTGAGCTGCCCAAGTCTGTCAAAAAGGAGAAATGGCAGAAGGGCATGATGGTGAAGGGCCGTAACGAGCCTGTTGCTATTGCTCGTGTTGCGCACGTTATCGCTCAGGTCAAGGGGATCTCTGTTGAAGAAGTCTGCGAGGCGTAAGTTTTTTTTTTTTTTTTTTTTCCATGTGCGGAGGTTTTGTATACACTGACAGTCGATATAGTGCTTGGAACAACTCCACTAAGATGTTCGGTCTTGGATTGCAGTGAAATTGGAGTCTTCTGGCATTGGCAATGGCCACGCCATTTGTGGGGGGATTTTATGGTATAGGGTAAGCGGTGCTTCCATTCTTCAGATGATAGAGTATCTTCCGGCTTGTTTGAGACGGCCAGCGCCGGCAGCGGGTCGCCAAAGGATGATTTTATTCCAGCCATGATTGAAAGAAAAATAGTTGTAAAAAGATATTGAAGAAAATAATGGTTCCCTCAAAATTCTTGAAGCAGAGCATATGGATCTCAACGAGCTTGCTGAGCAGATTATCGGTCTCAAAAGCGAGCCGAAGAATCTACAGGCGGGTCATTCTGAAGGAACGAAGAAGGCTGTCGTGATGTTACTTTTGTTCAGGAAAACCTCAAGGAGAAAAAAAAGATGATCGACGAAATGAAGGCTTTTGGCTCAAATCTGAAGACGCTGCTATCTGACAAACAGACAAAGAGCGCGAAGCTTGAGAAAGAGAGAATACGACTCCGTGATGAAGGGCAAAGGACTTTGGTTGGCTTCGGAAGCTGCAGAGTTTCCCCGTGCGCGATCCCGAAGCTGACGAAGATTTAATGTAAGTTGCCGCGAGATGGATATGACAATGCGTCTAACTACCATGTACCAGGATAGATGCATTTTCAACCCTTTCTGAGCTTGCTCCAACCTTGAATCAAAACCTCAGCGTCGAAGCTCTCAGTGTGAGTGCCATATACTATCTTTTCTACATCAGATCAATAAAGCAGTCGTAGTTGGGTCTCTTATCAAGGTTATACCACCGCCTTTGCCATACTATATGATATAAGAATAAGTGATGAAAAAGTAGTATCATTTCTCGAGTAAACGTTGAGTAGAATAAAGATTACCTAAACTGCCAGTCCATTGGATATTGATTTTCACATGAGTAGTCATCATATCCGCCATCAAGTCTACTCGCAGGTATCAATAATTTCATGGTCAAGAAAAAGCATGTCGGTGTCTCTGTACTCCAAAAGGTAAGGCTCGCACCTTTCGGAGTTGTCGTTCTGAGTTGCTGGCGTGGACTCATCGAGGCCCTCGAAAGATGATTCACTGGAGGTCTTCAGGAGTAGGGTATCGTTTTCGAGGAAGTACTCCATGTGGTCTTGTTCAGTAGTGTTGAGATTGGAATTGTCCAAGTCGAGGGGATCACTGTGAGGCAATGTAGATTCTCCAAAATCCATGCTTGTAGCGGCATCTGGGTAATGTTGTGGTAAGTTAGGCTCCGGGGTAAAAAACGGCCTGCACTCTTCATACGCTTTAGGTCTGCGGGTCCTTCGCTGCGCGATACGCCATAAAGATGAGTGGATGGTGGATTTCAGGCTCGGTACACGCGGCTCTGGTGGAACAGTTTTTTCGTTAAAATCATTTGATTGTTGGAGCATGGAAGAAAGTTTGCTTTGTATTATGGGGTTCATGCTGCTTAAAAGCATGGATGTCATAGCTTTGGAGATGATTGAGATTGATGCTGCTCGTTGATGTATTGCCTGCACATGGTTAGATCTCAGGTTTTCGCACGTGATAAAACCTTAAGCTTACCTCGCGATAGTCCGGGTTAAAAACTGCAGGGGCCAAGTCGGATAAGCTCACAAGGGTGTTCTTATCACCAAGCTTGATTTGGCGATCTCTTGCTGTAGAGGAAATGATCAATTTTCGAAGGCCGAAGTCAATGAGTCGAAGCATGGCCTCGGCTAAGTTGTCAATTGATTCATGCTGCGGCGATGGTGATCTCACTCCATCGTTTGGGAAGAGAGTGTTTTGTCTGACAAAAGCCTTCCCAGGCTCGCGAGAAGACAATGAACACGCGGCCTCTTCAAATTTTTCCGGGTGCATTGGATAGTAGCATTCTGCAGAAGGGAAGAGCCATTCAAGTTGACTCATGTGTTCAACGTGGGGATGTGTCCGTCTGTGAATATTTTGTTTCCCTTGTGGGTATTTGTACTCCGCGTATATATCGATTGTCGCCAAGGAAATTGTCGGCACACAGGGTGGAACATGTGGATCGGGAGGGTTCAGAAGCACAACGGGCAGAGCCCGCCCTTTTGTGATATTGGAGGTTATGGGAATGCGACACAGACCAAATGTGATGTAGTGGGCTCTGATGAGATCGGTATTCGTGTTATCGCCATGCCCCTTGAGCACGATGGCAAACCCTAGGTCGGACCAAACCTGTGACGGTGTGAGCGTAAGTAAAGAATTCCATGGATATACGTTCAGTACCTTGGAGTTACAGAGCATTTCCGACAAGTTGCAGATGAGTGCAGATGTTGCGAGCTCCAAGCATGTGTGCATGCCGATGGAGAGCCGGATCTCCAGTTCTGGAGCCTCAGCAATCCAGATTGAAGGTTGATCGGGCCATTGAAGAGCATTAACCGGTAGTTCGATAGACATGATTTTACTGGAATGGATGAAATGCGCAATTGCGGAGAGCTGAAGCTGAAGTGGTGAATCGCTAGCATAGAAGAGACATCGACCCAAGTCGACTGTCCGGCTCATTTCGCCGTCAGTTGGTCACAATTCGGTTCTCACTCCAGCGTTGGCAAATTTCAATGAAGGCGCCAAGCTTGACCATGTTTTGGGGTAAACCGGAAAGTCAAGTGCGAGCGAAGCGCGAGAAGTGTTCAATATTAATTGAGATGGGGGTTGAAGCCTGAGGCTCAACCGGAATCCGGGGTACCCCATGACGTCGACTTACAATGTGAGGTTCGATTGTAAATTTATTTCTACTTCAGGGCTAATGCAGTTTTTGAAACCTCATTGAGCTCGCAATTTCGCATACAATAAGTTTATATAACCAAAATTCTCGCCATCTCCATCATATCAATTGATCGTCAGGCTACATGTTCACTAATCTTTACATGTAGCTTGACTAAGGTGACCAATAATCTGGAGCCTCCCGTACTTCGCGGGGGCAGACATACAGGTAAGAATCCAAATGCCCTGAGGCATTGTAGAAGGTCTAACTCATAGCTACTTGGAATCCACTCGAGCGCGTTGAAATGCACGAGTGACAGGATGTGGAGCCGCTGATCAACAAAGGCTCCAGCTGTCTTATCGATAACGATAACGATAACGATCACGTGGGTGTTTAAATGAAACTGGCCTCAATCAACCACCTTCATTCCTAACTTCACGCGGTCAAACATGCCCCTGGAGGAGGGAGAACATGATCCTCCGACTGGACAAAATGACCAGCATGATCATGAATCGGCTTCCTTGCTATCACCGACCGATCAAGAGGAGGAAGGCCTTATCGTCCATCCTGATCCGGCCGGTTCCCCAGGTCCCCTCAACCGCCCCCGATCCAAGCGCCAATCCTCGATATCACAGCCTACTCTAGATGGACATCGCCGTACGCCCAGGACTACCAATAGGGTTCGATTTGTGGAGGAATCCGCAGAGGAGGAAGACGACCAGCTTTCAAATGGTCGAGCTTACAGCCCCGACGATGCGCAATGGCTCGACGAAGAAGATTACGAGTTCAATGAGCATTTGGAGTCCGGAAATCGCAGCGGGGGACAATCAGTGCCACTACTGACAAATATTGAAGCTCCCAGCGTGACCTTAGCGACTTCGGAAGACTTCTTCCCGGAAGATCACCTTGAAGACGCGAGACCTCGAAGCGGGATGAAAATGGCCTTCATGAACATGGCTAATAGCATTATTGGTGCCGGTATCATCGGTCAGCCGTATGCGCTCCGTCAAGCGGGTCTTACAATGGGCATTCTGCTCTTGACAGCGCTGACTGTGACGGTGGATTGGACTATTCGCCTCATCGTGATCAATTCGAAGCTCAGTGGAGCGGACTCCTTCCAGGCTACTATGCAATACTGCTTTGGGAGAAGTGGTCTTATTGCTATATCAATTGCGCAATGGGCGTTCGCGTTTGGTGGTATGGTCGCGTTTTGTATCATTGTGGGTGATACGATACCGCACGTTTTCGCCGCCCTCTTTCCCTCGCTGCGCAACATGTCATTCTTGTGGCTGCTGACGGACCGTCGAGCTGTGATTGTTCTATTTGTCCTTTGCGTCTCATATCCGCTTTCGCTTTATCGGGACATTGCCAAAGTGAGCTACTCCTGTCTTTGTTTTGTAATTGTCCGCTAACAGGTCCACAGTTGGCGAAAGCATCTGCTCTCGCGCTCGTCAGCATGATCGTAATCGTCGTCACGGTCATTACCCAAGGATTCCGGGTGCCAAGTGAATCGAGGGGGGAGTACAAGAGCATTCTTATTGTGAACTCGGGCTTCTTCCAGGCCGTTGGTGTGATTTCCTTTGGTGAGTAATGTTCGTTTGTGGTTGTTTCGAGTACTGCGCTAATATAATGCAGCCTTTGTTTGCCGTATGTTACCTGCCCATGTCGTGACGTTCAAATTTTCAAAACTAATGTCCTCCAAGACCACAACAGTCTCCTGATCTATGGATCTCTGAAGAAACCCACACTAGATCGCTTTGCCAAGGTCACACATTATTCGACTGTAGTCTCTTTGTGCATGTGTCTAGCCATGGGCCTCGCGGGATTTTTGTCCTTTGGATCGAAGACTCAAGGAAATGTGCTCAATAATTTCCCAGCCGACAATATCCTGGTCAACATTGCCCGACTGTAAGCAATAGCTGTCTAGTTGTGGAAAGTACCAATGCTGACATATTCAAAAGATGTTTCGGCTTGAACATGCTCACTACCCTTCCACTGGAAGCATTCGTCTGTCGATCAGTTATGACAACTTACTACTTCCCAGATGAACCATTCAACCCTAACCGGCACTTGATTTTTACAACGACTCTGGTTGTGACATCAATGGTGCTGGCGTTGGTGACATGTGATCTAGGCAGCGTGTTCGAATTGATTGGTGCAACTAGTGCTGCCGCCCTGGCATACATCTTCCCTCCGCTCTGTTGGATCAAACTTAGCAGTGCTACTCGGAAAGAAAAGATTCCCGCATATCTATGTGTTGGATTTGGGCTTGTTGTCATGGGTGTGAGTGTAGTGCAAGCTGTTGCAAAGATCATTCGAAGTAAGTCTGCCGTTGCCTGCGGGCCACTCAGGTACCTTTCCATTACGTAAAGGACGTATGCTAAACTTTGTTACAGGCGACGGCGAGGGTAGCTCATGTGGAGCTCCTTGAATGCACACAATCCATGTCCTTCTACCTTACTCATAGACTCAAGCCACCATTGATGGGGACGATACCCTTGTACATATATCAATAGGTGCTTATGGAGCCACCATTATCAATTGCCTCAGTTTCAAACTTATTCCCCCAATTCGGACATTAATCCCAAGGCGCGTATAACAATGGACATTCATCTCATGATGCACACAAAGAAGCTTCGGGCATCTTCCTATTTGATATTCAATTTATCGAAAATTTATGTCATTTGGCATTTATGCTAATGGAAACTCGGCGCATTGAAGTATTATTTCATATACTTCGAATGACCTTACTGGTCAAGAAAATACCAGCCAAACTTCAGGCAGCTATTAAACCAGATAACCTCAAAGCACGGTTACATCTTCATCAAATAATAATACTTTTGGATTTTATTTCAAATGGTTTATGAACTGATAAAGCCTTAGAGATGTGAACGTAACCAACTTGTCGCTAGTGCTATGCCAGCGGGGGCTGATACACTCTGTCCATGAGAGTGGAAGCACTGTGATCACTATCAATGCTTGTTGCTGCTCGACAGATCCGACCTGGACCTTGTTTGGTCCATATTATATTGAACCCCATCAATGATTCGCACTCTCTGAATTTCCGGATACTTCCGTCACTCTCGATCGGTAAAGTTGTCTCTGGCAAAGAGAAGAGTGCGACTTGGTCCCAACAGTCACAAGGTCACGTTTTCTATGCTTCCTGCCGTCAGTCTTGTCGTGATCCATTCCCGAGATTCGCGACTACTTTCAGCCTCTACCTTCACTTTGCTTTCTCGTCTCCCTCACCGAACCTTTCCTTCTCCCAAAACTTCTCTATTTTCCATCAACAAGGCCTTTTCACTTTTCCCCTTCCATTGATGGCTCATAGTCTGCTATCGTTCATGAACACCGTGCCCCCAAGAGACATTCTCGGGATCCGTAGACTGATCCGTGCCCTGACACTCTAACCATTGGTTTTTCAACTTCATCCCTGGGCCGTGGCTTCCTTCCTGGAGACTGCCTTAAACTGATCCTCCCCCGCAGTCTTTTCGTTTCACCTTTTCAAGCACGGGGCTGTTTGGGAATGTTCAAATCAAAGAAGCAAAAGCAAGACCGCCGTCGTGGCCGTCAGACAGTATGTTATCATCGTGTAACCCCGCCGTTGCTTCCTGTCTCTCGCCATGCTGACCATGCCCTTCTCTAGGATGATAATGGGTCACCTCGAAGTCCCGGACAGGGCTCTGTCGGGCCCATTGATGAACGCCCTAGAAAATCCCAGATGGCAAGTCGCCCAAAAGTCTGCGCAGTGCGCCTGACGGTCGCTATGCTAAACATGAGTTTCTACAGGGTGATTCTGCTCATGGCCAGCCTAATAGCTCGGCCGACGCGGCGAAACACGAGCGTCTGATGCGACTTCAAATGGTATGTCACGTTGTCAATCCTCTGGGGTTTAGTCATGGTCTTGCTAAGTGTGAAATGCATAGGATGATCTAGGCACGGCTCGACGTGAACGGCTATCCACTGAAGATGACCCCCGAAACATCCATCGTGTCCAGCACGAAGTCCTTGAAGCGAGTCGGGAATCTAACATTCCTGGTACAGAGGCTTTTAGAAGAGCCAGCCAGAACCGGACCGCACTGGCAGGTTGGGCAAGTATGTCATTGAAAATTCATGCTTTCTTGGTGAAATCCACTTATGTTTGTTTAGACGCTGGGAAGATCGTTGCGACCAAAGAAACAAGCTACGAACAACTCGCAGACATTGGCGGCGGCCAGTCTCATCGTGCCGCTCTCAATGCTCGTCTTGCGGAAGCCCGAAGCTTTCACAATGAGTCCACGCGCAATGCATCTGCAAAGCATGCCCGTGGTAATTCCAGAGCCAGGACCCAGGCTGCACATGTTCATCGTCACGTCACTCCTGTCACCACCAGGGCCAGTCCCATACCCGTCGCGGGCCATTTTCGTCTCCGGTCTCCCCCAGACAATGCAACTACATCGGGCAGGGAACATATTGCGAAGAGTCACGATAGTTCATCCAAGTCGTCTTCTCAAGGAGGTGGCTCTCTTGAAGCACGCGGCCATGGCCATGACCATGCCCCGCAGGGACCTGGGGTCGAAGCAGTGAGAAGCCGGGCTGATACCACGTCTCGCAGAAAGATTGGAAACTGGGCAAGCAATATCTCAAGCCCGCAGGTTTTTCTGGACAATCTTCGACAGCATGGCCACCTAGCGGTTCCACCTCCTGGCACCCGGACACCACCCAAGCCGGTTCAGTCTACCTCTCGACCCATCCGGTCTTCTTCTCGGTCCCCTCGTGTCGTTTGGACGCCACTTCGGTCTGCTTCTCGGCATTCTCAGTCTGTTACGCTGCCCGCTCAGAGTTCTCCAGTCTTGATCCAGCCTGATCTTCATCAGTCCGTACCTCAGCCTACACCTCAGCCTATTTCTCACTCTATTCCTCAGACTTCTCAGCCTATCGCTCAAAATAGAGCTACAGGAGATCCCACTTTGGACTCAGCTACCAGCAACGCGTCCGCCCTTGAAATTTCTTGCCAGTCTACAACTCCTCCGCCGCGGCGAATGTTGGTGCCGACCTCTCGTCAGCCACGCAAAACCGACCTTTCTAAGTCCATGTCCGATTTGCCCCTACAAGGGAATCTTTTGCTGGATTTCGAAGACACTGGTGAGGCCAAAATGCATATGCAAGGCCAAAAGAGACAAATAACTTCTGATTACCCCGAATTGATGGGCTTGGATTTCAAGGAACCTCCGCTTCTGGACTGGTCGACTTCTGTCACTCCAGCAAGGCCAAATCAGACACCTGCGGAAATTGGAGCTGCGATCTGGGCTGAGGCTCTTGACTTCAATCGTGCTCGTGGCAATTCTGCGCTTGAAAAAAGTATCCTCGGTGAATCACACTCTCGTGACAACGGTCCTCCTGCGACACCCGCGTTTGGAAGCAGTATTTTTGTTGCCTCTCATTGTGATGAGAAACTCATTCCAGTCGGAGATAATCCATTCTTTTTCCCTACCCCTTTGGTGCCTACGACTGAGAACGCCTCGCTCCAAAGCAACCTTTTCTCAATTATTGCCTGCATAGGCCAGGAGCACAAGAACGCCGTCCGCGATATTCACTCCTCAACCACGTGTCAGTCTCTTTATCAACCTCTCTTCAATAGCTACCGTTCTCCAGGTGATACTCCCTTATCTGGAGCATCTAAGAAGAGCAAAGCTCGCGATATTCCTTCGCCTTCGCTCTTGTCGCCTGATAAAGGAAAGCATGCTTATTTCACTTCTGGCTTTGAGAGATTGCGTGTTTCAGAGTCCCCCACTCGTGTGAATGCCGCTATCCCTAAGCTTCCTGCTGTTCCTACGCCTGTCGATGGGCCCAGGATCGTTGGGACCTTGCGTCACTCTCGATGGGCAGAGCCACGGCTCAAGCATCACGAAATCGAGAATTCCAAGTCGAAAGTGATTGGTGTATGCGCTTCCCTAGAGTCACAATATTTGCATCGTCATCATTCTGTCTGGGAACACCCAGAGAAGTGGGAACCCAGGACTAAGGTTCCACGTACTACCTCCGAACCTGCTGCGACGCAGCCCGCACAAACTCAGGGTCAACAGCAAGTTCCTGCCTCTACGGCCCTGAATAATTTGGGCTCACCTCGTGCTCTTTCACGGGCTCTTGGTCCTGCCTTGGGTCCTGTGAAGATGATATCCCAGCAACTGGGTGATCTCAATCAGGCATCCCGGCGTGAAAACCGAAACTCGTCGGCTGGTAGCGTTACTTTTGTTGCTAACTCCTCCTGGTTCACTCCCACGGACACACATTGTCAGTCTAGTCCAAGACCCAAAGCCATGGGTCTCGAGCCGTACAACCTATCGACCAAGACAGCAACCCAGTCTCAGCGGCAAGCTCCCAACACCACGGACTTCAATGATTTAAGTCTACCGCGCGCTCCTCCTCGGGTCCTTGGTCCTGCCCCAGTCCCTATGAGTGTGTGGTCCCAGCGACAGGATGACCTCAGACGGGCCGTGCTGCTTGAGAACCAGAACACGTCTACCGGTAAAATCGCTTCCACTACTAGCTCCACTCAGTCTATTGCCCTGAGCGCCAAAAGCCAGTCTAGTCTGAGACCCAAGCCTAAGGCCAAGGGTCTCGAGCCATACAACCCTTCCAGCAAGAAACATGGCGACTGAAATCTCACTCCATGACACTAAACCGAGTCAATTGTCACGACTCAGTTGACAGTCATCTTGCAACATCAGATTCAGCGATGCTCTGCCCAACAAAAGCTTGCCTTTGACGCCTGGGTGTCTCTGCTGCTCTCAATGGTGTTACAAGTTTCTCTGCTCTCTAGTATCTCCCTTCCTGTTCGACTATTGCCTTAGTCTCAACCCAACTCTTAATAGTTGAGTTTCGTGGGCGTGATGCCCCTTTCGTCCGTTCTCTGTCCGCAGCTTCCACCGCTTCTTTTTTTCCTTTCCGATTTCTTCACTACTCTATCATCTCTTCGTTCGCAAATCGCTCGCAGAAGCTGCGATCTTGCCATTTTCTTGCGTTTGCTTTTTTCTCTCCCTTTTATCGAACTGAAACAGAGAAAATTTATTTAATCTTTTCCTCTTCGTAGATCTTGTGTAGTGCGAACGTAATAAACCCCTGTGAAGCTCACAAACGTACTAGCTCATCAGGGTTTCGCGGTTTAGGCGTTGTTGATGAGTTCTGTAGACGGTTAAATTGAAGCTTAAATAGGCATACGGTCGGCCCGCTTTATCTCCGCATCACCACGTGCCTGTGGACTTAAAAAGCTAGTTTCTGGGTCTGATCTTAAACTAAATCCCCACGTTAAAATAGGAGATAAACTATCCTACTAGTATAAAGTAACAGCCGTTACAGAGCCGCTCGAAATCAGTTTCACCTCTTTGTTCCCTTCGATTTTTTCTCGAACTCTATTCTAAAACACGCCTAGTCTATGTTTATTTTAGCTTCTCGTAAGGTCGTATTTGCATAGAAAGCTATATGATTGTTTTTTTATATAATTGTTGGAATATAGACCAATGCTGCATAGAGTGAGACTACCCTTATAATTTCTTTCCTCAATTCTAACGGAATATCCATTTTATATTCTGACACCCAAGGTCCCAAAAAAGTGTCGGCATGGAATCCATCGGATACCGGGAAAAGTGTTATTCCTGCATGTTTATACTGTTTCCATATCTATTCTTATAGTTATAAATTGGTGGATTCATAGCTAAGACAAATCAGAGTTTTTCAATACGCCTGATCAGGTTGATCGCCTTCTATATCTGACAGATACGAACGGTCACGTTACCCTACTTTGTCTGCCATACGGCATCGGCCTTTAAGGCATATTTCTATACTTTCGTACCCTTACCCAGCAATACACACCTTTCCACCTCCAGAGTCTCACTTTAAATACCTGAATACCTTTTATCTAAAAATTTACTACCCTGTTACCTTAAATTCTAAATAAATTGCATTAAATGCCCCACTTGGCATGAATGGTTTCTTCGCAACCCATGGGTTATGTCAATGTCTAGTTTGACCACACCGTTAGATCACTCCGTTATCACCACTCCATTAAACCACCTTCATTGGCCGTCTAAATTTGACCTATAAAGACCACAGCAATTTCCATTCAGAAGTTCAAGTTTTGCGGTTGGACTCACGAAGTGACAGAAACAATGGCCGACCTATCCTTACACTTTTATCTGACCGATTCAATACATAATTTGCCTGGCAGAATGAAGCAGTGCGCGGAATACAATACTAAATGGCCTTGAATCTAAATTCTGTCGGAAACCCCGATTAGAGACCCGTGGAAAAGATAAAATATATACAATAAACGCATAATCAAATCAGAAACCAACGTCTGGCTCTAACAATCGAACAGAACCACACAGCCAGACGAAACAGAAATCCCAAGTCCATAAAAGTTGGTGCCACTCGTGGGTTCCTCGCCGTCAATGTGGGTCTGAGTACCGTACGCGCCATGGCACTCACTGTTAAATATGTATGTTAGTTTCTTTTTTAATGCTCACAAATGACATAAAAGTCGGGCATTGACTTACGTGAAACCGCTCGTGTCACAGTTGGCACCCCAGGAAAAAGTGTCGTCCAAATAGTCGGAGCTCCAGGTGAGGAGGTCAGCGCAGGGCGAATAATCACCTTCGTATGCGCCAATATCATTTCCATCTGGATCTAAGAGAGTGACGCCCTTGCCACTGCTAACGGTAGTGCCACCGTCTCCAGCGCCGGCCGAGTTGGTGGACCAATAGCCGACAGCGGAGCACTGAGCCGCCATAGCTGATGGAATACTGGTGGCTGCAAGCAGCATAGCCGGAACAATGTTGTACATGATCATCTTGAATGGGGTCTCTCGATGAAGAAGTTTGAATCCACTGGTCTTGGTAAACTAGATTGTCTTGAGAAACTGGAACGAGAAGGACTTGAAGGGCTCATGTTGATGCCCTTTATATAATTGTTTCTTTCTATTAACGGACCTGTTGATCTTTTCCATAAGTAGGTAGTATTGCGAGAGCCTATCAGATTACCCTACATGCCAAGACGCTTTTGTCCGAGTATACTAGGTCATCTTGATCTCCTCATCCATGTGGAGAGTTACTGTTCAGGTTTGCGTAATATTTGGGGGCTAGTTTGATTGAAGCCACTGGTTCAATTCGAAGAACCAACTCGTGTCGAATTCCTTCAGTCTTGACTCGATGGGGGCAGATATATCTTGTCAGAGTCGAGCCCTTCTCATGCATGCTCTGCCCCATTTCCCTCAAATATTGTTCCTGATATAGACAACATCCTATCGATCATTGTGCTAGCTGTATTCCTAGTTGTCAACGCGGAGTCTCCTGGAAGTGTATCTGTTTCATATCTCATATCCAGGACTCGTCCGAGTACATTGAGTTTCAAACGTGCATTTATTTATTCAACGAAGGTTACCAGATAGCTCCAAATACCACCAAACCTCATTAGTCTCGTTATATTCTATAATAGTAAATTCGAGAAATCTAATTCTCCTTGAGACAAACTGTAGAGTTTGAAACAAGGCTCTACGCCTCCTGTGAGTATACCCAGATCATTATATTACATTGTTTATGATCTCACACTTGCATGGATTAAAATAGCCGAGCTGGGGCCGCCCAGTCCACCTAATTGCGACCCTATGAATACGGCAGGTAATGGCTATCTCTATTCGCCAGAACCTAGTGCCGCCAAGTCCGCCCCTATATCGGAGCCCCGGCTCATCTAGCCAGACCGAAGCATCACGAAAAGCTGGAAAATTCTGGTTCTAACGTGACTGTATGCTTCAATACTCCTGAAACTAACTATGAATTTCTAGTCTGCTTGAAAACTCGCAGATAGATTGGAATACCAAAAAGCTTCTTATTTATGCGATATCATTTGGAGGCAAGTAAATCCTATAGGGCAGGTTGATCTGCTTATGACTACCTGTTTCGCAATAGTGCTTGTAGCGAGACTGACGTCACCAATATTATTATGAGACACGCGTGTATCTGAGAGCAAATGTTACCTTGTCGTTACGTATAGCTTTGGCAATGTAAATGGGGATCAGCCCCTGGTGGTACAGCTCTACTCTCGATTGCTTGTTCACAGATTCCTTGGACCCCAATTGTCGTCATCGTCGGCCTTTCCGGTTTCTCCGTACGCAGATAATAGGTCTCCGCAAGCACACTGCAGTAATATGAACCAATAGCGAAAATGCCGCACATACGCCTGACCTTAGTCGATCTGTAACTATCTTGCCAATAAATACCGGGTTGGTGGCTATAGTTGATATGAATCGTGAGGGTTATCAGCAGAGATGGCGGGGATGGTTACAAATAATTTTCAGCCTGTGGTTCTGGGATTGGCGTTGCCTTCCGTCTTAGATATAATGGCCTGGAGTGCAGATTCCGCCTCAAGGGCGGTTATCTACAAATCTATTCTGATCGCAAAGCTAAAATTGACCCTCTAATTTCTCTTTCCCTTCCCACTATCATAGCCAATGCCCTGGTATTTGGAAAACATGTTGATAACTTAGACGTTCGGTCCTCTAAACCACATAGATGCAATCCTGCGGGGTCGCCTTATCCCGAGTGGGTCCCAGTTAAGGGGAATGTGTCCCCAGGGGAGGTGGCGTTATAGAGCAATATGGTATAGATTATTCGTTCACAAGGTGTTCAATTAGCCTTTATAGTCTACTCGTTCTTCAAATGAATTATTCTCTATCTGTTCCCCTATACAAAGAACCAAGTTGATTATATATCGACCTCGCTCTCGCAGTCACCAACCACTATATCTGCTCTGGTCCACGACTCGGCCGACCGAGCCGTCACAGCCATCGAGCCTCTGATAGGAAGCGACAATTTCGCGACCTGGAAACGTCTCATGACCTCCTATTTGAAAGCCAGGCAGGTGTGGGATCTGGTGTCGGGCGACCTTCAGCGTCCTGACTGCTTGTTCAGGTACGCCAAACCCATTACGGCGGATATCCACCCCTTGGTGGAACCGCACCTTCTGGGGGTGGTAAGCCCACATCAGCATTCATGTCACGGGACTGGAGACCTCCGGAATGAACTTGAATAACGGTACCGGAGAATAGAACTCACTACGTTTTGCGAGTTATTCACCCAGCTTCGCGAAACGACGGGCGATCACTGCGCCAATGGCTTGGAGCCTAGGCTATCCCAATCGCTCGCTGCATCCCTGTTAGGTGCCGCTCTTTCACCCCTAACTGGGCGCGAGGATCCCTGTCCGCGCGGCCAATCCAAGAGGCCTGTCACCGACCCCGTTCGGTGTCACTCTTCCACCCCATTTGGGCGCGGAAAGCTCGATTCAAAGAGTTCCAGGCCACGTACTCGATGGTGATACTAAACAATTACCCTTAGTATTATTCAGCACGGAGCCTTTGCGTGTAACATTTACCAGGCCCATGCATCTGCACAGTATTTCCAGGCGCCGTGTTTTTCAGCCTCTGGGTAGTCTCAGAGTGTGGCTGGGCTCCACACGGGTCGGGGGGATCGTGGCGCGCTTCTTTATGATTGCACTCGAGAACGGGCTTGAGATTGAGCAGATCTTTGAGAGGGATCTAGTCTCGATGGACGAGGAAGGTAGAGAGATTCGGCGGGAGTGGGTTCCCGTGCGGGAGGACGAGGGCCCTGAGAATTGGCAGCGGTGGTGTGTCATTGCGGTTCTGAAGAGGAGAGAGAGTAAGCTGTGAGATGAGAGATGTGGTCTCATTTACATTACGTCGCATAGCGTAGCGTTTACATAGCGTTACCCTTATTACTTATAACGAGAATAATGTTAGACTGAAGAACTATCAAATCCAGGTGTATATACTTACGTGAAAAAAAAGTCCTTGGTCATTACCTTCAATACTCACTCTATATCGAAGTCTCCAAGTCTCTCATCGTTAATGAGGGGCTTTCTTTCAACGCGACACAGGTAAGGGCAAGGTATACTAGAGCTGCGTAACTACCAGTGATTATGAGGCCAGACAGGGAAGTAACATAATATCTACTTCTGTGAATATACCAGGAGACCGAGAAATTTGGCTCCTTAGTCAGCTTGATCAATCACCTAATCGCGGGGTAAACTACCATGGGGATGAGAACTCAGCGGAAGAATAAAAGATACTTCCGGTGACAAATTAAATACATGGAATCTAGATCCTAGCTCTCGATCTGTAAACCACGCTACACCCTATTCGTTATCATACAACTCGTGGTAAAGAAACTGAAGTTACCTCGTCATTACTGAAGACAACCAACATATCACTGTAACCTGGTTTTATTTCAAATTTTGTTGTCCTGTGGCTTCGGTTGATCACTTGTGGCTGCTGCCTAGTTGGGAACGGTAGCCAGTTTGGACCGACAGTCGTCTAGTCCTACTCGGACGGCGGAGTATTGCCCCTTGAAATTAATGTGGTTCTTTTCTCCGTTCCCTCTCCAAGAGCACATCAGTTCAATATCGTGCTGTTTACTGTGCTTTATGCCAGTGGACCTATTTTTGTTGTCAATCTGTTTTATTTGTCCACATTAAGCTGTGTGAAGATCAGGCTTTAATCAGATCCAATGAGAATTATCTATTCTGTTCTGTTTTTATCTTCATCCTACACAACAGCTCGACTTGATATACGGCAAGAGATCGTATTCATTGAATAAAGTTCCGGGATCTAGTTCCACGTGGTGAATAATGAATATCGAGACCCAAACTACATAAAATCTGCTAAACATCACACAGTAGACACAGGTGACTCGTACAAAGTACCAATTTTGTTACAATCCTACTATCTTGTTCCCAGAAACCAGAACGCCGTGTTGATCTCCCAGCATGATAGATTAAAAAATAATTTTGACGCCTTGGACAAAGATCGAAACAAGCTCATATGATGATAAAAATACCCGCTAATTCAACACCAACAACCTTTTCCATCTCGGAAAAAAATACAAAGCAATGACAACGTTTATTTTGCCTGTGGCGGTCCCTGTCCAGGAGGACCATCAGACATGCGAGGTCGCTTGGGGTCGTTGGGACCAGGAGGGGCGGAGTTTACGCCAGGTGAAGTGGTGGCATTCGTGACATCGTTCAAAGGAGGGCGTTTTCCGTTCAAATTTGGCGGGGGGACACTGCCTCCTCGATTGGTGGGTCCGGGACTTTGCACGTTGGGACGAGTCAAGGGACGATAAGATGAGACGGATGGGCCTCGCGAAAGAGGGCTGGCAGCGGCACCGGCACCGGCACCGGGAGCACCGACTCGTCGTTGCAGGTCGGTCGCCGGGTTCACAAAATCGCGCGAGTTATTCGGTGCAGGTGAGCCTGAGCTACCGGTGAGCATTGGTCTGGTGATCGGGACGCTCTTGGTGTGATCGACACCGGCAGTTTTGCGGATAGATGGACTCTCTGCGTGTGGATCAAATTGGCTTCCCTGTATTTGGCCGCCATTGGGGTTGTCACGGAGCATGTCGGCTGCTCGAGCGGAGAAGAAACCGACTGATTGGGAGCCTGGAGGCTGGTTTGCGTCTTGGTTGGGGGCTTGAAGAGGTTCTCTCTTAACCTGTTGCGGTCCATTGGAGTTTTGAGCGTTGGAGTTTGGGACAGGTTGCAATTGAGGTGCCACAGCTGGTCTAATATTGGGATTGTTCTGGGGCACGCCAGGCGCAGCCATCGGTTGTTGCGGTCCAGGCATGGCCGATGGGGTTGGACGTGTATTCGGGGGTAAAGACTGTCTGACGGCAGCATTCGGCCCGTTCCAGCGTTCTGGCTTTGAAGGCGTCACCGCATTAGTGTCAAATCGACCTCCAGGAGGTCCCCTCGGGGGAATAGGCCGGTTCATTGGGGTAGGTGGTTGCCGTGACGTTTCTGGCTCTAATGATATCTCGTCCGGGTTTCCTGAATCTCCTACTACGAAGTCGGCTTCATCGAAGAGATCGCCTGAGCTAGGTTAGTTGGATTGTTAGACGAACGATGTGCAACACTCACTGCCGAACTCTCCGTCGCCATCAAAGGCGGGTTTGATCTCAGGAACATTGCTCTTAGCTTGTTCAACTGGACGCGGCGGAGGGAGGTCATCATCTTCTGCCATTCGTTTGGGTGGAGGGAGCTTTCTCGGAACAAAGTCAGGGTGACGGTGAAGCTCTTCGACATCCCATTTGCCAGGCCCTGCTTTAACCTTGGTGACTTTGGTCAGGTAGTCTTTGTCGTAGACGCAGTTGCCCAGCACATTTCCAAAATTCCGCAAAGTACGCTTCAAGGCATCCGTTGTCCCCTCTTTCTTAGATTTCTCGAACGCTGCGGCTTTCCCCTTGCAGTTCTCAATATGACCATAGCCAATGTCCTGGGCTGATCAGCCATTGCCATCGTGTCCCAACACGATAGAGCTTACCTCGTGAAATGCCCCATCACGCAGTGTAACTCTCACAATAACAGACAATCCCAAGCTAATCTTGCCCGTGTTTTGGTTTTCCTCGATCTAATCAATAGATGTCAGCACAAACCCCCAGTACTGATTGGTCTACGGCAACGCACAAAGTCGATATCAATTTTTTGGATCGAACTGGACCAGCCATTGAACCCAAATACTTCGTTTGCAAGGTTGATGCATTTATCCGCGGAGAGATAGTGTACTTTCTGCCCTGCGGCACCAGGTCGAGAGGAGATGTATTCGGGTCCCAATTTCCTATCGAGACGAGCTTGCAGTGTGGCAATTTCCTGCGCGGTATATTCGCTGATTCGGCGCTCCGGTTCTTCGAATGGATTTGCGATAGCACCTGGGGCATTGGGCATCCTGACGGATGCGGGTCCGCCACGGTGTTGGTCGCCCACACTGAGAAAAAGGGTCAGCCCTTCCGCTCGATGAAGGAATCGTTCGTGTTCGATAGAGGTATCTCACGCTGGCATATTAGAATTGTGCTGTGTTGTTGGCTTGACGTTGGTGACCAGAGCGTGTCAGGCGCGTCTAAACAACGCGGGCAATCACGGTATCACGTGTTGATAAGCACTTGATAAGCAGGCACCCAAACAGTGCAGAGCCTCATGTTTGAGGGACTGAACGTCCTAAGCTCCTGCCCAAGATCCGCATTTTCCTAAACCCCCCTCCTTACTCCTCTATCTATAATCCAGTCTTGCTCTCCCAGACTCCTAAATGGCATTGACCAACTTCCCTCATGACAGCAATAGCGAGTCTGGCTAGAAGGTATCGACTACAATCTAGGATCCTAGAGAATAGTAAACCCCCTCCTTAGCCAGATCCTAGAATCTCTCAAATTTCCTAGAGCCAGATCTTTCAGAGCGATTTAAAGTCTTATCCTAGTAAGATCTGATAACGACGTGAGTCAAGGTGTGAAGCACCAAGACAAAAGCAGCCTTCCGCAGTCACTTCAGATGTAAGATTTCATTTAACAAAGCTGCTCTAGTGATTGTGGTTAACGGCAAGTCTCGTAGATCTGTTCAGTCTCAATTGGTGTTTAATGAAGCAGCGTTATGATTGTACTGTTAATTTCGTTCAATCCGATATGGGTAATCAAATCAAATCATCGACGTCTGGTGGAGCCTTCAGGTCACAATCAGCAATTACAGTGTTTACTGGATGTTGGTCTGGATTTGATCGTGTCTCAAGATATTGTCATACACTGTGCCCCAAAGGGCTATGTCATTTATCGTTCTCTGTAAAGCAATGTGCACCCGAAGGTACTCAGTGGAGCAGCGCCGCCAAATTATTGAACGACGAGGCTTGCGCTGGGGACAAGTCCAAGCTCCTTCAACGTCTCTCCGAAAAATTCAGCATCATAAACCTTCCTGGGGAAATTCTGGATGAAGCTTTGAACTTCAACGCCATCCTCTTTCAGAGCAGCGGCAACCTCGAATAGAGTTGTCGTGACGGGCATAGTCTTCATAATGTTTCCTTGGGAAGTCTGGAACCTCAGGCGAGCCTCGGTATAGGCGGACGCAGGCTTGGACGCAACTGGACCAGATGATGTAGGAGCTTGAGCTGCAGCGGGCTCCGGGGGAGGGGCCTGGCCTGCACGCTCCGCGCGTTCCCGCTCGGCCTTACGGCGACGATCCTCCTTGTCTGCCTCGATCTTGGCCTTGATGCGCTTGCGGGCCTCGATCTCGTCTTGCTTCTCCTTCTTCTTGGCGGCGGCTTCCTTCAACGCTTCTTTCCGCTGAAGCTGCTCCTTTGCGTCCTGGTTCTCCTTGGTGCTCTTCCGTCGGATTTCCTGGATCACTTATCAGTCAGGGCTTCCCAAGATGTGAGCAATGGTGTACATACCTCATTGCGCTTCTGGTCCGTCTTCTCCTGCTCGGTTTGAACAGCCCTCTTCGCGGCGAGCTTCTCTCGCAGCTCATTGAGGCGCTCCTTTCTCTGATCCTCAGTTAATGGTGCGAGCTCCTCGGTAGATTCTGAGAAGTCCACATGCTGAGACTTGGAAGCGTGGAACTCGGCCTGTGCGGTGGAACGGAACTTCTTGCCACAGTCATTGCAGACCAAGCTGCGAGGCTCCTCGCCAGGCTGAAGGGCCGGTCCCTCGTCATCTTCACCCTGCTCTGCTTGTGCCTTGATCTCCTCCAATGATTTGTCCTGGTTGTTCTCGAGCCATTCCAACGCGCCCTGCACTGCGCATCGTATTAGTACAAGTAATCCCGAAAATGTCTCAGCGTGAGTGACTTACAACCACCGGTTTTTGAAACTGCTAGCTGAGCTCTTTCCTTGTCAAAGCCCATCTCAATGAGCTGGTCCAGGTCGGATGCCATAGGGACGGTGAGAGGATGCTAACGTGTGAGCAAAGCGAAGGGAAACGTTGTGTCAGAGATATTTGATCTGGAAAGAGTTCGCCTTTAGATTTCCTGTCAAAAATGCCAGGTAATGCGAGGAATGGGAAAGGCCGATTAGTGCAGGTGGGAGATGAGCTTGCGGGTGACGTATCGTGAAGGCGGCGAGCGACAAGTGGTGTGGACCGCCCCATACAAATCTTGCTCGTTTACTGCAGTGTCGTTTACCGCATTGCACAAAACGACAGTGAAGAGAAAATGGGGTTTATAGCGCAACGAAACATTATGTATGATACTTCTCCGAAAGTTTATCAAGAGGTAAATGCATCCAAATGTCCAGGGCTAGAAAATGGGCAGTTCCAAGAGCGGGGAGTCGTCCCGCTTACCGATCAACCACAGATCTAGTATAGAATTCCTCGCACATTTCTGATTCTATAATTTGGAAGGAAATCTGGGCATATGTAGGTGCAAGCCTCTCTACCTGGGTATCTATCGAGATAGTCCACATATAAATGCCATGTACCCAGCCGATATGTAGATCGCCTACCGCCAGGAGCTAGAAGTGGGTATGAACATTGCATACTGTTAGATAACGAACCCCACAATCTGCCCTAGAGAGCTATTTCGAAGTACATTATGCTTGTTGAGCAGTAAGATTCATCCTAAAAAGCACGTAGCCGACAACCTTTTCCTATTTTGCAACCGCCCAGTTACCGATCTCATGTTTATTTGCTAAGTCAACATTGACGTTGGCGATTTGATCTTCGCATGAAAGATTTGGACCCAGATACTATAGGTAGGACATCTGGGAGTACCCTTTGCCTTGTTATGTTACACGGCCAGTAATCTCAAGCCACTGACATCGCGGGTTTATTAAGCTTCCCACCGGCACATGCCGCTAATAGAACGCCCGAGGGATAAACGTGATTTGGCAATCAATGCCTCACACCCCTGGCGATGAAGCTTTCCATGATCCAGGTCTCATATCAAATGAGCATGGGGGTACTGAATTTCCTTTGGCTCTTCCATGGCGTAGCAAAGAAGTAACCCCCTTCATAGATCACTACCCCCAGACGGAGAACCCCACCGCGGATAACATCACATGCAGCAACGAGCGCATGTTCACAGCCCGAGGATGACCCCTGTAGCCACCGAGGCCACACCCAACCAGCTAAGAACCCCAAACAAAACCACTGCATAAAAGATACCGGAGAAAGTTCATAGTAGATCTTTAAAGAAAGGAAATCTAGAACAAAGCTAGTCACGGGATTGCTGAGTCAGCTAATCTCCAAAGTGGACAATAACCAACTCCTGAGGCGCCAACTCCCTTGACTCGATAAACCTCCTCTCGTATTTCTCCTTCGCCATCGCGTCTTCGTCGCAGTTTTTCCGTTCCTGTCTCCGATCGCCTATTTTCTTTCTGATAATCATCAACCGCCATAACCATGTCCGTCGAAGTTGACCCGCCTGAGCTGGGCTTCAAGCGTAAGTCCGCCGATAATACGGGTCTACACGGCCGGAAGCCAGCGATCGGAGGCGCAATAGGCTGATTCTAGAGATGAACAGGCCCCTTCAATCAGGAAGTTTGCCAGATCCTCCATCTGCAAAACCCAGGCCAGGAAGCGGTTGTCTTCAAGGTTCGTTTACATTTCCGCCTCCGTGTTTGTTAGGCATCACCGCGACTAACTGGGCTCTGTTTTCGATATACAGGTCAAGACTACCGCCCCAAAGCAGTACGTTATACCCGTGCCCGACAATGTGGCTCCGCTGCAAGTCCAGAATCTGACTTTATATCTAGCTACTGTGTCCGTCCCAACTCCGGCCGTGTCGAGCCCGGCAAGACTGTCGAAGTCCAAGGTTCGAATCACCACTGTACTGTGATTAGCGCGGGATTGAGCTGACGAGGCGGTTATAGTGCTTCTGCAAGCTATGAAGGATGAGCCCGCGTCGGACGCAAAGTGCAAGGACAAGTTCCTGGTTCAGTCCGTCGCGGTCGGCCGCGATATGGAGTTCTCAAACGTCACCGCCATCGTACGCTATCTCGCCACACCCACAAGCCATATGACCTCAGCTAACCATTGATAACAGTTCGAGAAAACTTCCAAGTCCGCCGTTATTGAGAAGAAGATCCGAGTTAATTGGTTGGCATCCGATGCCAACCTTGCCACTGATTCCTCGAAGCTCGGCGCAAACGACTCGGTTCGTACCCTGTTAGAAACTCATGCGCATAAACTGATAAGGTCCCTCCAGGTACTCGAAGAGGAACCCCCGGCCTACACCTCTCCCGGCGGAAACTTTGAGACTCCAGCCCCGGGCAAGAAGAACCTCGCCGAGCAAGCATCGCCCATCCCTCCCCCCGATTTCTCCGAGAAGACCAAGTCCGAGTCCGAGTCCCCCCAGTCCAGCGAGCCCGCCGGCGCGTTCGCAACCGCCAAGGCCGCTGTAATCGGCGCCATCCCCTCAAGCGACGAAATGAAGGCACAGCTTGCCGATGCGAACGCACAGATCCAACGACTCAAGGACCGACTGGCAGATCAGGGCTTGCGACAGCGGAAGACTGGCGTTGAGGCGAAGGCCGCTCCGGCTACAATGACGCAGCAGCACGGTCCCGCCGAGTCAGGCGTGCCTGTCCAGATGGTTGCCGGGCTGTGCCTGCTCAGCTTCTTGATCGCCTACTTCTTCTTCTAATCTTTGATTAGTTATGGAGGTATTCTGGCTTCTTATTGCTCCCTCCGATCACGTCGCGACGCCCCGCTGAGTTCCCCATCTGCTTTTCTTCTTTCTGAAGAGTCTGCCGTTTTGTTTTTTTCCAGCATCAGCCTTTTCTTCTGTCTCCTTTCTTTCTGAACTCCCACCGGGTATCCATATTTTTCTTTATTCCGTTGTGATTTCGGCTTTCGATTGTGTCGAAAGCGTCCTCTGGCTCCCCTTATCCTTTTCTTTTCCTGTCTTGTCTAATATCAAGTTACGATGAACGGACGTAACGTCTCGCTTCTCTTTGTGTGATAAACGATGATCAAGCCCGCAAGATAATGCATCCTCTTGCAGTTAACCTTGCTGGCATGTAGGTTAAGTCTTTGACTACCAAAACTATCTCATCTTCTAGACTCTCAAAACCGTTGTGCAATTGACAGTGACGTATGTGGAGATCAATACCCATGTTCTAAAAATAAATCAATTTTGATTCCAAGCCGTTATGTACGCCGTAAGAAAACACCAGTCCATGATCATGATCACAAGAAAAAAAGGAACTATTCAACACTGGATCTCACTCTCTTTCCATCCATCGCCTTCCTCGCCAGCCGGTCCGGCCGATGCAGCTGAGATCCCCTCGCCTCCACGGCCTGTATACTCCTTCTTACCTGTGCCTCCCCCGCCGACAACACGTCCACCCTGCGCACGCTTAACGCGGCACCAAGGTCCGACATTGCTGTCCAGAATGAAAGTGTAGATAACCCACACCCAGCTTCTGTGGCAAGGCAGCGGCTCGTAGAACTCCCTAGCAATAGAATGCAACTTATGCAATCTGGTCCAGGGGATAGCAGGGAAATCATGGTGTTCATTGTGCAGACCCACGTTATATGTCAGGATGTTCAGCGGGCCATAGTAAGAGTAGGTCTCGGGCGGGGCCAGGTCTGCAAGGGGGTGGGGGGCTTCGGTCTTGGAAGGCGGGTTGGTCTTTAAGTTCTTCAGCTCGGTGAGGGATTCTGTGCCGCCGTTCTTGGCGTTCGAGAAGAAGTAGTGCTCGGCGATGAAGTGGCCTGCACAGGGGTGGAGGGAGCCTGCGAGGAAGGAGCTGGCGATCAGGTAGTAAATCGGTTGCCAGGAGCCAGCGAAGCGGACGAAGGCGTAGTCAAAGCTTAGTTGCACGAACAGGTTGAGGAGGTGGACTAAGGTGAAGGGTGGGCTGTAGATGAACATGGGGCGCACGGCGTAGAAGAGGATTTGGAAGGTGCAGAAGAATGTCTTTCCTAGGAGGGAGTTTAGGAAGAAGGCTTCCAGTGCGGTGGGGAGATCGGTGTCCAGGCCTGTTACGCCGAGGGACTTGTGGTGTGTCAGGTGGTAGGGCTAGAAGATTGAGTGTTAGTATTGAACTGTGATCAATTGGTACTGGGTTGGAATTTGCCGGGTGTAAGTAATTCCCCCGGGATTAGGCAGACATACCCTGAATGCAGCGCTGTATGGCAATCCGATGGGGAGGTTCGCAAAGATAGCCAACAGGCGGTTTGCCAATGGCGAGCGGAATGCCAGGTTATGGGAAATCTCGTGGATAGCGAGGAACAGGTTCTGGTTGGAGGTGGCTCCGATCACGTATGCTGTAGCCAGGAACTTCCAGTCGAGGATAGGAGTGTTACGGAGGAGGTATGCGCAGGTGATTTGCAGGGAGACAACGCCGAGAACAACCCATTTTGTGAGAGATGTAGGGCCGCAGAGTTTTGTAACCTAGAGCAAGACTCGGGTGTTAGCAACGAGGAATAACCGTGAAGTGTCAGGACTAAGGAACCAGGAACCAGGAACCGGACATTGTGCCAGGTACCACTGGACGGCCCGAACCAGGAGCTTCAATTGGGGTCGAAACTAGGTCGAACCTGGAGCATACCTCTGGATGAGCCTTGATAATTGCCTGACGTCGTGAGCGGTGCGGTTCTTCAGTGTATGTCCAGAAGAAGTGGTCGTCCACCGAGGAGGTCTCCGGCGGCGAAATGCGTTGCGAGGTTTCTGAGGCCGAGTTCTTTGCCTTGGCGGCGGCCATTCGGAGGTGCGGTGACGCCGTTTCCACTACCGAAGACATAGTTGAGAATGAAGGGGGAGTGTCGTGAGGAAAGAGTGGACTGCAGACTGCGGACTGCGGACTGCGGCAAAAAGGCGGAAGACAGAGGTTCCACGTGGGGCGACACGGCTGAGTTGGATGGTTGGATGGTTCGATACACTTGGCATGATCTACACGTTACTTTACCTTACGATTCTTCTTATTATTAATATCGCCTTGGGCATTGCTTCTGAGTTTAATTTTGGTCTTGGCCTTGGCCTTGGACTGCGTACACTCTATCACATCCTAGTAGTCGTCTCCACGACTGATGACCTCCTTCACATTGGGACGGAGCACAATAGTCTGCAAATAAGGTTAGATACGGCGCATCAACATCAATAGGCGAACGATCTTACATGTTCATATTGGGCAGTGTAGGAGCCCTTGTTATCGCAAAGAGGGGGGTAATCCTGGACAATTCCAGCCGAGACAAGGTTGTTCAACTGTATACTAGTCAGCTTGTAATTTTGATGGTTACCAGGGGTCAACATACGCCGAGCAGGTACTTATCCTGGCCCAATCGGTCAAGATAACGTCTGCAGAAAGGTAGAGTACCAAAGTTCTTGTGAATCACGTTAAGCAAGTTCTTGGCCGATGACAGACGCAGAGGAACGTTGGGCGCATCGGCTGCGAGGGCGTAGTGGGAGCATTCCATCTACTAGAGTTAGAGCTTCCTTACTTCTTCCGAGAATGTATGAACTTACGTCTTCCCGGACGTAACCCTTTCCGGTACTGCCGAAAGTCTCAATGGCGAAAACCTCGCCTTCCTCCATCTTGGTCTGGTCGCTGCCCTTGACAATGGGCACACTCTTTCCACCATGAATAACATGCTGGTCAATGTTGTGACCGTTCAGGTTGCGGATACACTTGACGGGATACATGTTACCGTTGAGCTCGACTTCGTAGCTCTCCATGGCTTCTTGGATGGCGGCGCCAATGTCGCTCATACGGACATCAATACCGGCTTCCTGTAGTGGGATTAGTATCGTCCGTCAATCTGAACAAAGAGAAGGGGGAACTAACCCGGATACCGGTGTTGGTGGCATCCTTGACGGCTTCCAGCAAAGGGTCGTAGACCGGGTCGAATGTCATAGTGAACGCACTGTCAACAATGCGGCCGTTGAGTTGCGCACCGAAATCAACCTTCATCACATCTCCCTGGTTCAGGACCATCTTATTGCCTGCGTTGGGAGTGTAGTGTGCAGCGCAGTGGTTAATGCTGAGACCGCAAGGGAAGCCCATGCCACCCTTGAGGTTGTCGCCTTCCTCCAGACCTGAGTGGCCTGTCAGAGCACGCACAGAGTCCTCAATGCCCTCCGCAATCTCAGTCAGAGTCTGGCCGGGCTTGATGTTCTTCTGCGCATACTGCCGGACCTGACGGTGGACCTCGGCACCCTGGCGGTACTCCTGCAGGAAGTCATTGTTCATGCGATCGAGATAGCGCTTTTCCTCGTTGGTAGTGCGGTAGGCGTTCTCGCCGACGTATTCGCAGATTTCGCCCTCGGGGTATTGGTTGTTGGGGAAGAGGTTGGAGACCGGGACTCGGGGTGGAGAGCTCTGGACCTTGGCGCCGCCCTTCTTCTTCTTCTTGGACTTGCGCTTCTTCTTCTTTTTGGCGGCTACCGTACGATCATGTTAGCAGCCTGGTTTCTATACCCGTCATGCGGGCCGGGCTAAAAAGCGGGGTTATGCGCAGCAGAGCACACGACACCATTACTCACCTCCGGCAGCCCCGGCATCTGGAGCACCTTCACCCTCTTCCTGGTCGTCATCCGAATCATCCTCGGCTTCATTGGGGGCCTGGTCGGCCGCGGGGGCGTCGGCCTTCGCGCCGTTTTGACCGTTCACTGGTAAATCGTCAGTTTCAGGATTCGGCATCGGTACAATAAGTACGCACGGTCAAGCTCTTGCAGCTTTTCAGTTGCCTGAGCTGCCATGATGCGGTGTGGAGTGTAGTGTAGTGGAGTGGAAGAGGAGGGGAAGCGTTCGACGAAGGAACTCGGGGAAAGATTTTCGGCACGATAAGATAAGGCGCTTGGTTATACAGCATAGCGTCTGGTTTTTGACCCTTTCACTTAGCTTTTACTATTATTTCGGGGCATTTCGAGCTCTTTGTGAGACTACATAGTGAGTTTAGTATTCTAAGTTGTAACATAAATATGATTCAACGTACTCTGGGTTTTGGAGTAGCGGTGGCACGAGCTGAAATCTGCAGTACAGCTCGACCGAGAGGATAGACTACCGGGACCTCCCCACTTCAGTCTTCAGCTCTCTTCTAAGATCTTTCTAGGTATCTCTTTAGAGGTATTTTTACAATATCTTTTATCCCTTTCTCCAACGTATCTACTTCAGACACATCTGAGCGGAAAAGCCACGGCTGCTTAATTTGAACGATTTGTTCTACATTACATTCATGGTCCGGCTGTAAGGCGGTTTTTTCTGTTGAAATCATTTGACGGTTCGGTCAGGCCGTGGTGTTAATCATCTATTGATTATGGACAAGACTTCCTGATAACATTCTAGGTCTTCTTAAGTATATATTTTTAAAAGTCTCCTTAATTATACCACTGAGATGCGCCTGTGACGATCAAAAAAAAAGGCGACGAAGAGGTTGAGACGCAATGTAGGATGTCCAGGTGAGACTGCATAATGGAATATCGTGAAGGCAAAGACGAACCAGCAGCTGAGCAGATCATAAGCTCCTAAGGGCACGGATACACCCCTCGCCAATAATAGCGCCATAAGATTTTGGCTATCTCTTCGGAAGACGTAGCGGCGGCTCGCGCAACTGACTGTTTTATTTTTTGGAAGGCCGCGTCACCTTGTGCTTCGAAATGGTCGATCAGGGTCTTGACAACTGCAAGGTCGTGCTCCATATTTCCCATAACATGCACCCCTGCAGCTGCATCCAGGACTGTCTCTCCCGTTCTACTGACGAAGAATGGATTCGCTCCCAAATCCAAGAGAAGCTTCACACCTTTCGCGATCCCCGCCTCGAATTCATCAGACGAGGCGCACAACGTAAAAAGAGATGAATCTTGTCCTGGGTGATCCACGCCCTCAACATCTGCTCCGTGCTCTAAAAGCAGATCGGCCGCTCGTCGATTGTTATGTTTTTCGCCATCTTGTCCAGTTGCCACTAGGGCTAGAAGGTTAAGCTTCTTCGTAGAATATTCCATAGGGTCGTCTAGCTCGCGGGAATTCACATCAAACCCAGCATCTAAGAACCTCTTTATGATGGCGGCGTTTCCCTCGATTGCGGCTGAGACCAGGGCGTCCTGGTGTCCAGCATAGCCGGGTTGAAGTTTGATTTTGAAATGTGCCAGCACGACATCAAATGCATCTTCGCCTCGACTCACAGCATTGTCGAGGATTTCATCGATGTCCATGCCAGTTGTTTCTTCAGAAAAACATGTCTCGAGCAGGCATTTGAACACATCGAGGGTCTTGAAAGAGTGCAAAGCGTCATGAATGAAATATATATCAAGGCCATCTTCTGGTGACAGCTTGGAACCCCTTTGAAGTAGGAGCATGGTGATCTTAGAAAGCTCCTCGCTGCGAGGTACAGGGCATTCCATAACTCCTTCCAATGGATGTGAGCGCTGGCTGTTTGGATCTGCTCCATAATCTAGCAACAGCTTGACCATTTCAACTCGACCTCCTTTAATCGCCGCGCATAGAGGCTGGTGTAATTCTTGATCTGGACTCCGCTTTGAAAGACAGCCACCTTCCTTAAGGCGTTTCATCAGGTCTTCCAAGCCAGCCGAGGCTGCCCCAAGCACGAGATGTCGGTATTCATCCCGGCTTCCCTTTCGAATTGTTTCATCCACGTCTATCCGTTCCAACAAGAACCGGGAAAGTTCGGAAGAGTGAGGCGCGGCCAGGTTAAAAAGTTGAAACACGTTGATATCCGATGGCATGAGACCCGGTTCTTCTTTAAGGAGAAACTCAGCAGCCGCTGCATTACCACCCTCGATCGCGTTCTGAACTGGGTTCGGGTCGTAATCGATCAATTTGAGATCTGGTTTTGCTTCAACAAACATTTTGAAGATGTCAAGATCCAGAGTCGCGGCACAGGAGACTGCCGAGTCGCCTTGGGGGCCAAGTTCATGAGGATTGCACCCTCTCTCGAGAAGAAACTTGATAATTGGTACATGTTTATTCATCGTAGCCAAGCATATAGGCTGCTCGATTATAATATCTTCGTCCGTGATGACAGGGTAGCGGTATATATCGGTGAACTCAAGATCGACTCCATGATCGGCGAGAACTCTGACCACGTCTTCGTGGCCATTTTCTGCCGCTGCAGTTAACGGATTCCCAAAATAGGTACTGATCTCGTTGAACCCGGTCCGTGGATTGGGATCGACGCCGAATTCGAGAAAGACTTTGACCACATTCGCATGGCCATTCTGTGCAGCCAGCATAATTGGCTTCCATGATTCCCAGCCTGTATTTGGTGGTACGCCAGCCTTCAGCAATTTCCTGACACAGGCTTCCTTTCCATGCTGTGCGGCCCAGGCGAGTGGTCCAGGGTTGAGACGGAATGGTCCTAACTTTGGGAGAGCTTCACGATACAGCTGAGGGTTTAATAGAGCATAGAAGAACCGATTCGTTTGGCAGAACCAATTGACATCGTCCTCATCGAGATACCGAGATACCCCCAATACCAATTCGGGGGGGATATCGAGAAGACACGGCATGGTTGCAGGAGTGATGAAGAGGCTGAAAAAAAGATTGTAAAAGAAGGCCGACGTCTTGAAGTTGCGGCCCCACTCTTATAAAGATCGCATCTCCGCTACCTTTTTCTGCGCCCCGGGATAATGCCTCGTCCCTTTTAACCTACTATCTCACTTCAAATATGATAGCCTGGATTCCATAAGTCTCATATCGGTCGGTCTTCATGACACTAATATAACTCTGGAGCTTGTATTGGTCAGCCTAACTTCCAGACGTATATCTAGCCTTGGAACTTCTCTCCTCCTCTCTTATTTTTTTACAAACTCCCTTTGCTTTCTACTTCTCCTACGGTAGTCTAAACAGCTTTCTAGTCCCTGTGACTCTATTTTCAATCCTTCTGGTCCCTCTCTCATCGTTGTGAGGCCTTGGAGCTATTCAAAATCTGACCAGAGATGGGAAGCCACCGTAGACTCTCATGCAGTTTGCCTGGTCTCTTTGTTTCCCACACTGCTCTTGATCTCCATATCCGGCCACCAAGTGACGGTGTATGCAAACCGATTTCCACATCTAATTTTTATGATCGCTTGCTTTTGACTCGGGACTGCGTATTCATGAACCAATGATGTGCTTCATTAGTTGAGGCTGTGTTATCTCGTCCACAGGTGGCAATGACGTCCAGATAGCCAGTGGATCGGAATGGTGGTCCGGAGAGAGAAGATCCGCCTTGTCTTATTTCTATGAGCTCCATGAATGTGGATACCGTTCTGAGCAATGCCCCTCCTAATTCGCACGATAAGTTGGACATCCAGTTCGGTCTATCCCGTGTAAAGGCACCGGGTTATGAAGGAAGAAATGGAATAAACCGGTGCAGAATAGGATGGAATACTACCAAGAATCAATATAACTACTAAATACCGATCCCTGTAGCTTAAAAGAGGGGGGGGGGGGGTACGAGCCCTAAACCGCTTCGGATCAAAAGAGGAGGCCTAGTGCCGTTATCTAATCTGATGATCAGCCTGCCCTCGTGAGCAGTCGAAAACCTCCAGATCTCCTGAATATAACAAATTAGGAGACTATCCACTATCAAATATGATCTACAGCAGTATCTAGATACTTTGTTCTCTAATCCTTCACCGTAGAGCACAAGTGGTGCCTATCTGTCCATAAGCCCCCGATGACGACACCCTCCGATCTGCCGCACCTCGCACTTCACACTCTACCACCTCCCAACTCCTACAGCTGCGATCCCCCCTTCCTTCAATGTAACCAGCTCCGACCAAATATAACCGGGCAATGCCATCATCACGCACAATATCCTTATTTCTCCACGCTCCGGCGCCCGGGGTCGCCTCGCCCTCGCTGCCCACGTGCTTCTTCCGCTCCTTCTCCAGTCAGCATGGCACAACCCACAGGCGACCACAGCCACAGCGACAGCACAGAGCGCAGTTCAGTCCCAGATCCCAGCCCTCCATAGCATCATTCTCCTCGTCATCAGCCCGACGACGGGACCAAAACTACTACGAAGTCCTCGACCTCCCTCCAACCGCCACAGCAGCAGAGATAAAGAAGTAAGCCACGCCAACCCTCTCTTACCCCGCTCTAATCCTCCTCCCTACGTTACACAATGCCTGAACATATAATCTAACACACTCCAGACAATTCTACGCCCTCTCCCTCCGCCACCACCCGGACCGCAACCGCAGCGACCCAAACGCCTCCCAACGCTTCGCCCGCATCTCAGCAGCCTACAACACCCTCGGCAACGCCAACAAACGCGCAACCTACGACCGCGACCACGGCTTCCACCTCCAACACCGCACGCCCCCAGCAGGAAGCCACAGCAGCTACAACGCAAACCTACACAAAGGCTACGCCGGCTCACGACCACCTTCCGGCCTATCCAAACGCCGTGGCACATTTCACGGCCCACCGCCCAGTTTCTACGAACAAGGCGGATACGGCAGTACAGGCCGGACGGAAACAGGATCATGGACTGCCGGGGCGGACTTTGCGAATGCCGCGTCTAGTGGAGGAGGGAGTTCGAAAAGGAGAGATCCGGAAGATTACGAGGGATTTATTGACCGAAATCCATTGGGACATTTCAATGCGAGGGGACATTTTAGAACACAGAAGGCCGAGGATATGAGGAGGAGGGAACGGTATGCTAGGGCTAGACAGGCGAGTTTGAAGGAGGATGGGGCGCGAGATACGAGTTCGAAGGGGGAGATCAGGATTCTTAGGTTGGTTGTTGTTAGTGGGATTTTGGTTGTTACCGGATTACTCGGGGGCTTTGTGCACGGGGTTATGCCTACGGGGCCGGCTGCGACGGCCCAGGATCAGGCTAAGGCTAGGGTCAAAATCGCTGCTGTTGCGGCGGAGAGGACGAGGAAGAAGGAGGCTCAGGCGAGGGAGAATGGCAATGCAGCTCATGGTCAGTCTCAGACTATGTCGAGTTGAGTATAGCTATGTTGGGTTCCCCTGGAAGCTACTCGGAAGCTACAAAATCCAGACATATCGGAAGATCATATCTGACGTATAACTACTGTATATATGCAACACATTTTATCACACAAAGGAAAGCTTGAGATTTGATATACAAGACGTATGCTCTAGCAAGGGACCTACGATACACACAAGATTATGGGAAATCAAAAATAGATAAGCCTTCGTTGTGTACCATCTTGCCCAAACAGGATCGATGTAGCGACGAAGGATTATTCATTTCCACAGGCTGTCTGGAAGACGCTTAAGCCTCGAAAGTGAAGCTGGCGCCAACCTTGTGGGCAGCCTGGTTCAGGTTCTGGGTATCGAAGGAGGCACCGAGGCCGAGAGTGACACCGGGGCGGAGCAGGACGTTGTAGGCCAGAGCGGCGATACCACGGTCGTTGATCTTGGCCTGTAGAGATTGTCAGCGGTTATCATAAGATTGATCAAGTGGAGGAACGCACCTTGGCGAAGGAAGAGGGGTCCAGGCGGTACTTGGAGGCGACCTCGAGACCGACAGCGTTGCCGGAAGTGGAGTCCCAGGAAGCCTTGGCACCGGCCTCAACCTGAGCGTTCACGCGGTGGTAGTAGCTAGCGGAGAACAGAGACAGGTTGTTGCTGGCAGTGATGGCAGCGGAGTACTGGGGAACGCTGTAGCCGACGGCAGCGGAGTACTTGGTGATGGCAGCCTTGGTGACATCGTAACCACCCTCAGCACCGACGAGGAAGCCCTCGTGGCCGAGAACGGCGTCAAGGTTGGCGGTGGGGCCGTTCAGGAGGTCGAAGAAGGCGCGAGCGTGCAGGTTGGGCTGCTTGAAGTAGAGGTTAAGCTTGGCGCCCTTGGACTGCTTAGCGGGCTGGTACTGAGTGAGGATCTCAGCCTTGAGGCCCTTGGCAATGTTGTTGTCAAGCTCGAGCTTGGTGTCAAGAGCGTTGGCGGTGGTCCAAGCCTGGGTCAGGGTAAGGCCTGGCCGGGAACGAATTATTAGCTTAATTGCGTGCGTGGAAGAATTGGAAAAAGCAAAAAAAGTCACCCGGCGCGATGCGAACCCACCACATGAGTAAAAGAACGTCATGGGTTGGGTTTTGACAGCGCCGGGATCGGGTGGTTTGCGCCGGAGGGGACCCTTACCGGTAGGAGCATCGACGTACTTGGCCTCAAGCTGTGGACGGATTTAAATTAGTGACTGATTTTCTTTTTTCGCGATAGAACTCGCGCGGGAAAAAACTCACCTGGCCAGCAATGGGTCCCTCGTGAGCGGACTTGCCCTTAACGGTGAAGGTAACACCGTTGGGGGCCTTGGACTTAACCTCAAGGTTGGCTAGAGGATACGGTTAGCGGGATGAGTTTCTCACGTGGGAGCTTGGGGCAAACAAACCAGCCGCGGCGTGGTAGAAGTCCTTGTTCAGGAGCTATGGGGCCGAGGGGTATTAGCTATCAATTCGTCGGGAAAAGTAGATCAGCGGTTTCGTACATCGTTGGTCGCCTTGGCGATGTCGGAGAAGGCAGCGGGGGCAGACATGATGGATGAGTTGTGGATGAGGGTGAATGAAGAAGAAGGGAGAGAAGTTCGATGATGTTGGGGGAGGGTGGGAATAGTTGGAAGGGGGCTCCAGTCCACGGGCCGCTGGGCGTACTTTCATTGGTTCTCCGTCGGTTGCCGGGAAAGCCCGCCGATTGCCGGCAGTAATGAAGGCGGTCAGGAGTCGGCTCTTATTTTGAGATCCCGTGGTAGTTATGCCTCGTGATATGTGTATAGTTCAATCTGATATTGGAAGGCAAGGGAGTGAGTGAGGGTATATACACTCTTCTATCTATCGCTAGACCTAGTTCAATTTCCTGTTTATAGCTTCGAAAATGACTTTTTACTCGACGTGCTGGTACTTTTTGTTGTGGTAGGCAATCGATCTACATTCAGGGTTAGTGTCATCCCGTGTCGAAATCCTTGAAACGCTAAATGAAACTCACCTTCCACTGGGATCGGTCTGCTTGGACCAGGTAGGGGTCCAGCGCTCGACAGTACCCGCACAGTAAGGGGGGAAGTGCTCGTCGAACATAGTGCGGTACCAGTAACTAGATAAAAGTCAGTATCAAGCAATTTGAATAAGCGGACGAAAGGAAAGACGTACGCCTCCTTGGTATCGGGGACATCGGTGCCCCACTCGGGCTTGGGGTTCTTCATCATCTCGTCGGTAACGTGGGCCTCGGCAGCATCCTTCAGGCCATCGATCCAGCTGTAACCGACACCGTCGGAGAACTGCTCCTTCTGGCGCCAGAGGATCTTCTCGGGGAGGTAGGGAGCGGCGTCAGGCTCGTCAGAGGTATCGAAGGCCTTGCGCAGGATGTACTTCTCAATGTGCTCGGAGTCGATCATCTTATCCTTAGGGTCGATAGCCATGGAGGTCTCGAGGAACTCCTTGTCCAGGAAGGGAACACGAGCCTCAAGACCCCAGGCAGAGGTAGACTTGTTGGCACGCAGGCAGTCAGCCAGGTGCAGGTTCTTGACACGACGGACGGTCTCCTTGTGGAACTCCTCACGGTTGGGAGCAGCGTGGAAGTACAGGTAACCACCGAAGATCTCGTCACTGCCCTCGCCAGACAGGACCATCTTGACACCCATAGCCTTGATCTTGCGGGAGAGCAGGTACATAGGGGTAGAGGCACGGATGGTGGTGACATCGTAGGTCTCGAGGTGGTAGACAACGTCAGAGAGAGCGTTCAGGCCGTCCTCGACGGTGAAGGTGAAAGCGTGGTGCTTGGTGCCTAGGAACTTGGCGACCTCCATGGCGGCGGCGGTATCGGGAGCGCCGGGAAGACCAATGGAGAAGGAGTGCAGCTGCTGGAAGAAGGGGAGGGAAGACAGCTCACTGTTGTCGTCAATACCGACGAGGTCCTCGGAAGAGGCGTTGGTCTTCTTAGCAGCCTCCTGCATGCGCAGAGTCTCGCGCTGGGCGATGGCAGCCACCAGACTGGAGTCAAGGCCACCAGACAGGAGGACACCGTAGGGAACCTCAGCCATCAGACGCTTGCGAACAGACTTCTCCAGGGTAGTGCGGAGAACCTTGAGGTCGACCGGGGTGGAGGGGACGTTGGTGGGGTCCCACCACTTAGGCTCGAAGTAGCGGGTGAGCTTGTCGGTGGTGGAGTCATAGACGTGACCGGGAGGGAAGGCAATGATGTTATCGCAGACGGGGTGCAGGCACTTGAGCTCGGAGGCGAAGTAGACAGCGCCGGGGGTGGTAGAGGAGCGGCCGAGGTAGAAAGAGGTGATACCAATGGGATCACGGGCAGCAATTACACGGTCCTGCTTCTTGTCCCAGAGAACCCAGGAGAACATGCCATCGAGGTACTTGGGGGCATCAAGGCCGTGCTCCATATACTGAAATAATGTAAGCAATTGCTTTTGTAAGAGAGCTGCTTGAACGATTGATGTACGTACCAAAGGAATGATAACCTCGCAATCGGAGTGTGTCTTGAAGTTGTACTTGGTGTGCAGGTTCTTGCGGAGAATGCGGTGGTTGTAGATCTCGCCGTTGACAGCAAGGGCGAGGGTCTCGTCATCGTTGACAAGGGGCTGGGCGCCGGAGTCTAGAAAAGATAAGATGTTAGAATATGATATTGATGGCTCAATTGGTCTTCGGGGTAGAACATACCGACACCGACGATGCTCAGACGCTCGTGCGCGAGGACTGCGGGACACCATGGTTAGACGTGACACGACGTTTCCAGCATGAAGAGACTCACTAGTCTGGTCGCCAATGAAGTTACCGCCTGTTTAGGAATGTTATGTTAACCCTTCAAGCTCCCAATGTATGTCGCGCTTCCAGTCTGTGACTCACTCCAATCGGGACCGCGGTGACGCACACTATCGAGGGGTAAGTTAGCGACAATTCGCAAAATTGGACTATACAGTTGCGCAGGTATGATAGAATAGGAGATACTCACGCCTTGGCCATGCGCAAAGCCGTGGGCTTGAACTTTTGCACATCGGGGTGACTATGGGGAATCCACAGTTAGTACTGACACCGAGTTCCGTGCATCGTGGGGGAGAATGGCGGGGGGCGAATGATTAGGGCAGAGTATGCAACGCACTGGTGACACGCGAAGATTCCACACATGACGGGCGGTTTAACACTCAGTGATGAGTGATAGAGTCAATTGGCGGGGGAGTTGTTAAAGGAAGAGGAATTGACTAAGCTCGGGTTTCTATGGAGAGAATCCGGCAAAAGGCGATTTTTTTCGTTCCCCCCGGCGGGGGCGAGGGGCGATGTCGGACTCTTTTGAGTCACCGATAAGATAACGTACCATCCCTTGGCAACATCGTGATTTACTCTACTTAAGAAGATGTTCAACTTTTACTAAGGTATGATGATAGATCAATTATGCAGAGAGGCTGCATGGTAAAACGCCAATCCATTTTGTTAAGAAACGCCGCGCTGGTTGCTAAGTAAAGCAATGATGCTCCCCTCGCCGAGGAAATGCCAAGTCAGGTCTTCCTCGCACCGGATTCCCATTAAAAAAAACACAAATTAAGATCCTGGGTAATGCTATTGGAAACCATCGCCTACATGGGCGGGTTGTCCTTAACGACCTGCTTGACGCGACGCTCATATGCCGGACGATCCTTCTTGAAGAGGTTGTAGGCCTCGGCCTGCGCCGGCGAATCGGGGTTCGGGTCATTCAGTAAGTCTTGGATGCCGAGCAAGAGCTGCTTGATGGTGATTGCCGGGCGCCATGCTTCCTCCTCGTTGAGAATAGAGAGGCAGACGGTGCCGGAGGGATAAACGTTGGGGTGGAACAGTGGAGGAGTGAATTTGCCTGCAGAGACACGTTGGGTCAGCGCAATCCATGGACATGATGGTTATGGCGGGAAATATAATATTCGCAGTCGCGTATATCAACAGTCAGTGGGGATCGATGTTAATACGTACATTTCGGGGGCTTGGTCGGGTATTCTGGAAGCGCAAAAGATTGCATGCATCAGTACCAGGATCGCCGCGTGGAATGCGCAATGCTACTCACCATCGGGGAAAATCACGTCCATCTTGAAGATGCCTCCTTCCCACAGAGTATCCTTCTTTCCGGGGATAGCACACTCCCAGCGCTTCAGGTCCAGAGTGCCCTGTGGAGTCTTCTGGGGCTTTGCGACAAAGCCAAAGGGATGGTCGCGACGCCACTGCTTACTGTGAGATCCACGGTGGTCAGCACATTTTTGGGAATATATTCGCCGCTCAGTTCTATAGCACTTGGGGTATCACATACCGTTCCTCTTGGAGGCGATTGAGGCACAGCGACATCTTAAAGGTTGGTGATTGATGATAGTGGGTCCAGATCAAGAAATGATGAAGTTTTGTGTCAAAGTCGCCGGGGTCGGGACGATGAGAATGTGAAGTTCGCAAAGAGGTGAGAGAGGAGGGAAATGCTCGAGAGAAAGATGAAGAGCTGGCCAACACCCTCAACTGCATGGAATCGTTTCGCCCCGCCAGTTGGCTTAGTAAGCTGTTTGTATGCTCCAATTGGGTTCACAGCTGTACTTGCCTTTCAGTAAGGCATGATCAGCTCTCCACGGGGATGCTAGTTGACAAGCCTGGTACAATTGTCTTTGATTGAAACAGAGAGCCTCCGATATTGCCATTGCATCACTAGAGCATGAATCAAAAGAAAGAAATCACAAAGATTCGAGGCACAGAGCATATAGTCTCCTATCTCCAAGGGTACACATAGCTTTCATGGATCTATTCACTTTCCTCTCCCCTGTATTAAGTTAACTACCAGCCCTATAATCTTCATAAGGTCCTCTAACAGAGACATCTGAAAAATACGTATTAAATTACTTCCGCAATTCAATGCAATCACAGACTTTTGAATACTTGAATCAAAATCTCACACCAAGCACATTTAACCAGGAGAAGATTAGAAGCCGGAACAACTCACCACAATGTGTCATAGCGTCACCTGGTATCATACCCTCTGTGGGCACGTCGACAATGCAATGTCAACACTAATCTATTGCGACGATGCCATCTACACAGGTACAGACTGTCTACCATATGCAAATAATATCGACATCCCCGTCATTGGACTATGCGAAGAATGCATCATTGAGAAGAATCGTGAACGCACTGCCAGACCTGGGCTGGAACTGCAATCAAAAGAGGAGCATGCACCTCTAGTCGAGACACAGGCCAACGAAGCTACTACGACGGATACAAACATTCAGAGCCAGGAAACCAGCATTAGATATGATACTTGGAACAATGAATATGAACCCAATACAGATGAGCCTTACGGTTTACGTATCACTTATACTAACGAGATGGTCTGGCAATGGTTGAACAACCCCGTATCGCCAGTTCCCCTATCTCCAGGCTCAATGTCCTCCTATGATGACTCACCTCAGCCTATGCTCAGGAACCGACACTCTTACATTCCGGTTCCTATGAGGATGATCAGACCTAAGACCCAGCCCAGTACTCAGCGCTCGGATATTCCAATTCCAATTCGTATGCTTCAGAAGACAACATGGGAAAGCACCCGGCCATTGGGTGCAATCGGGATGCGGCTGTTTGATCGGATTACGCTCTGAGGGTTGAATGTTTGTTCGTAGAGTATACATGAACTGGCTTGGTCTAAGAGAATGATAAACGGCTGATGAATTTCGGTTTGTCCATTACGCGCTTCTAGATCACTTCCCGATGGAAAGAACACTGCAACCAGGGATATCATTATCGTGCCAAGTTTAATCGAAATAGCATCAATCCACGTAGACTCCATCTTCAAACTTCTCAAGTTCAAAGAACCGAGCCTGTATGGCATTACCATTGAAGACCCGCCCTTCCAAGGCATTCACAGCCTGTATCGTATTAGTACAATGCTGAGAATATAAAGACTGGAACATACCCTTAAAGCCGATAATGGGCTAGTAAACTTGACAAAGACTGGAATGGGATTTCCCACGTCGCGTGCAATGTAAACTCGCTCCACGCTCCCATACTATAGCACAATTAGTACCAACGATCCTCTGGGTAAAAAAAGCACGTACCTTTTCATTACACTCCTCCCCAATCTCCTGCATCAAGCCACCGCCCTCAGCAGCATGCAATTCACTCTCGAGATCCATCCCATCTAACATCCCCTTGAGAATAATTACCTCACTCATAGGCCCAAACTTCCCTTTATCATCACCGCCTTTCTTCTTCCCGCCGATGATCGTGCCCCGTCCAGCGGGCGTCACGAATCCTCCGCCTTCAGAGTCCGGTCTCTTCTTCCGCTTCTCGGCCTTGACTTGCAGCGGCTTTACGATGCCAGAGCCGGTAGCACCGAGTCCGGAGCCCTTGGTCCAGCCGTATTTTGAGAGAAGGCGCTCTGCGAAGCCCTTCTGGCCTGGGCGCAAAGAACGGGCTGCGTCTTCGCCCAGTTCGTTCTCGGGTTCATTCTCGGTTGGTTGCTCTTGAGCGAAGACTTTTTCTAGATCTGCTTCAGAGGCAGGGATATCTTCTGGGGGTGGCGGGAGTGTGTATCGCACGGGTGCGCGGGAAATGGTTGCGGATGTGGGTTGGAAGGTATCTAGAGGGCGGGATGGAGGTGGAGCGGGAGGTTCTTCTGTGGGTGGTGGGGGTTGGGTCTGGGAGTAGTCGTTCTGTTGTTGGCTCATGCGTGCGCGACGGGTAAAGGCATCTTCTCCGGATGGATCGTCAGGAATAGAGGGTGGAGGTGGAGGCGTGGTATTGTTGATATTCGGAGGAGGCGCAAAGCTGCTCGGAGGAGCGAATTGCCCTAGTTCAAATTAGCGTAACCCCTTCCATTGTGAGGAATATAAGCGTACGGTTGACTGGTCGATCGTAGTCGTCGCTGTCCGAGTCCCTGCTCAGCGAACGTTTCATCCGATGCGCATATAGCCGGTCTTTCCATTCCCGAACTTCCAAGATCTTCTCATCGCCATGTCGATATTGTTCGTAGTTGTTCGGTCTAGACGGATCATAAATATCCCCCCAGTCTTGCATGATTGCTTGCGGCTCGCGGTTCTTCTTGCGCTTCTTTCTCCCGCCGCGCTGCCGCTTGTCACCCTGGTACAACCCGTAGTCATCATCTTCTGTACCAGCCCAGTCCGCTAAGGAGCTCTTCATGGGCGCAGCAGAGTTGGAGGCCTGACCTGGGCCAGGTGGAGCAGCCTTGGGCAGTGTAGGTTTGGGCTTGGGTTTCTGGTTCGCGAACTGTGGTCTTTTGGTGGGCTGGAATCGGAGAGAAGCTATTAGGTGGAGAGAAGGTGAGTCTATCATGTCTGTGTGTTTCCAAGAATTCAAAAGTACCAGCGTTGACTTGCTGCTTCTTCGCAGCCGAATCGTCGGGTTGTTCGTCTGTCTCGGAACTTTGTTTGAAGACGACGGGTGCACGAGAAATTGTCCCAGGAGCAGATTCAGCGGAGGGGCCGAGTAAGTTTGCATACAGCGACATCATGCCCCCTTTGGGCGGGCCTGACTCGGGAGCCATGATAGTTGTTGGAGCTATGCGGAAGTGCGGAGGCTGAGATCCATTGATGTCCGCGATAAAGAGGATGTTTGTCACGTTTGCATCGATGCCACTATCAAGTTAGTTCACTCTTGCGCCAACACTTTTCCAACATGAATGACATTTGAATAATTTTCTAATAAGCGAGGACCTTGTCAATAACATTTCTTTAAGCAGTCTACACAGTAGGTCAAAGTCGTGGTTTCTAAGACGACCTGACTGGCTAGCATTCGGGGTATCACCCTGAGGATGCTGTAAGATGCTTCCAGCCTCAAAGTTCAATACAGGTTGGCTTGTTGATTTGAATTCATTTCTTTGGCACGTGGGTATAATTTTCTTGGAAGACATCTAATTTGTGACCTGATCATCACCAAGTAGTCCAAGTTCTACTCCCTAGCTTCCTCTCTATTAACTAAATATTTGGTAGTATAGCCCCAGAATATATTGAAGCCCAATCGAGTCTCTCGAGAGTTCTATTAGCTTATTTATTCACCTACGTCAAAAAGGCCATCAACATGCAACAATCAAGCTGAGCTACTTCCTCGCTTTCCTCGGCTTATATGGCACTGCTGTTGCAGTTCCAGCACGCGACGATGGTAAAGACTTCCGATCTACCTGAAAATCGCTTACCTAGTGTCTCGCAGTCGTCACTCATAGTTAGCGACCACGAGTCACGCTTGGCTCAAACCATGGATCTAATCGGTTGGAATGTTTGTCTACTAAATAAGATAAGAAGATTCGACTGCTTAGGAGATTCCTAGAGGATGTTCTATTTTATTTGTCTATCCTAACTCACAGCTTGAGCTGCTCACGCACAGCAGACTTGAACTAATCCGGCCGACACCAATTAGCAAAATTTCCTTTCCAAGGCCCCTTTGAAATAGGAGTGACATACCGGAATAATCTGAGCCTTCTCCATATCCCACACACCGCTGGTAACATAGATATCCTTCTCCAACAAGGCGCGAACCTCAGCCTCGCTCTCAGCAACAGCGAGCATCATGCTACCCTTAAAGGAAGGAGACTCGCCATCAGCCGGGTGAGCCTCAAGCATGGCACCTATTACAACCTCGTATTAGCATGCAAGTCCTGTAGAACTAGGCCGTGGTGTATAGCCAGCCAGCTACGGAAGCTGATCTCGGCCAATTCGAGTATGAAAAACCAGGAAAACATACCGCCAGCAACGATGAAGCCCGATTCAACATTAGGCTTAACACCAGCAAGGTGGGTACTGCATCAAATTAGTTAATGTCCCTCCATCGAGTCTCAACACTTGTCGCGTGGGGAGCGGGTAAACTTACGGCCGAACTTCGAGACGCTTGGCCTGTATGCCGGGCTTGTCCGGGAGGATGCAGAGGAATTCTTTCTTGGTGGGAGCGGAAGACATGGTGCGTGTGTATGGTGATCTGGGTGGGAGGAAGGAAAATGTGGTTGTTAGACTTGGGGAGAACCTGGAGGGGAAGCGGAGGAGTGACTGCCGAGCGTTGGGGAAAGCGGGGAGGATGCGTTGCACAGCGTGGGTCAGCATTTAGGCGGCTTGCGGTCTAAAGCGGCTCCTTTTGTTTGGGTATAGGGTTGATTGGAAGGAGGGATGCGGTGTAATGTTAAAGGCCAATGGTTGGGGAAGGTAGTGAGCGAGAGGATCGGCAATTGTTCCGAGGCTTGTATAGCCGGGTTCGGACGTGGTGGGCTATCGGGGAAATCGGTACATACTCAAAGAGTTGGAGAAATTATATACACGAATTAGAGGGGATTATCTATTCCAGTTCCGTGCTGTTCTGTACTAGCTCTCCGTACACTGGATGCTAAAGATCTTCCAGTGGAAGGTTACACAGAACCCAGAAAAAGAAAAATAATTTAGACTGATCCGTTTAGGATACTTGGAAAAGGAAAATAATCACGACATGACAGTAACGGTCCGGTTTTCGGTCCCTAGAGGAGTTTGCAAGAAAGAAAAGAAAAAAGGCGCGTCGCATCGATCGCGGCCAATCGCCAAAGACACCTTCCCCAGAGGGAGAAGGAATTATGACCACAGGGTGACAACAAATTCAGTATATGAGGTCTCGAGAACCAAACGAACTCTATAGACCTGCTTCTTGCCAAACAACAATTTTCCCCGTAGCGCCAAGTAACAAATACACGCACACTCCCTAGAACGCGGCACGAAGATTGGATTATGGAAATCATTAGGCTTTCCGTCGACCATCACTCCAGACAGCGGGATGTGGAGGGAATATCAAAACACCGCTAGGCACACTGTGCTGCTCCGGTGAGAAGTCGATGGCGGGGGAGACGGTAGGGGTTCATTATAAGGAACCCCGAGTCGGCCAGCTTCCCGGCGAAAGAAGTGCAAGCTATGTCATCTAGTACGCCTTGCGGTCTCCCAGGTTGCCGGGCTTCTCGTCCGTGTCGATGTGCCAGACCACGTAGTTGGGCAGGCCAACCACCTGGTAGCCGGCGCGCTTGGCCATCTTGGCGAAACCCTCGGTCTCGGCCTGGTTCTCGAAAGCATAGGAGGGGAAGTTGATACCGGAGCGGTGCACATCGGCCTTGACGAGGATGTTGACGCCGCCAATGCCGTCAAGCTCGACCTCCTCGTCCTTGTTCTTGCGCCAGTCTCCCATGCTAACCAGGTATGTGCGGCCGGTGTCGTACTCTTTGTAGCCCTCGGCCAAAACGACGTCGGGGTCAAGGGTCTGCTTCAAGCGCATGGCCTTGTCGGATTCGATCCACGAGTTATAATCGACTATCGAAATGGTCAGACGAGCGAATTGAATGAATATACGTGATATGACTTACAGCGACCCTCGATATCACGGCCATCGCGATAACGGTGGAACCAGATGTCTGCGTCAAAATATTAGCCCGGCCATCCACAGCTCTTCATTTAAAACACATATCACTTACTGGGCACCAGAATATCCTTGTCGTGGGCCATGAAATCCTCCAAAATGCGCTCAGGGCAGTCCCAAATATCGACATCGCGCCAGTAGACCCAGGAGTGGTCGGCCTTGAGAGCGGAGTAGAGCAGGTAGTTGCGGGCACGACCAATAGCCTTGCGACGAGGGCCCTGAGCAGCAAACAAGTGTCGCTCTGCAACGTTCATCTCGACATCGGCGCCGAAGTCCTTGCGGACAACGGTAGCGCTGCGGAAGCGAATTTTCTCATCGGCGTGGTTCTGGATACGGTTCAGCTCGGACGCAAGGTTGGCCAGAGTGTCATCCTTGCAATCGCCAACCAGGAAAGCCAGATCGATCAGGTCGTGCGGGTAGGTCAATTTATAAAGGAGGTCGAAATATTTCTCGAGGTAGGGGGCGGCGTCGCGGAGGGGGGTGAGAATGAGAACACGCTCGCGGTTAAAGACGGCCTGGATGGAGGACTTGATAGGGTTCAGGTTGACCTCGGCGATAGAGGTGCTATTCACTTCGTAGGGTTGGTGATGGTTGAAGAGAACAGGGGTCTGCGAGTGGGCGTTCCACTCGACCATCTCATTAAGGGACATCTCCATCGGCGACTTGCTCGAGCCATAGCAGTAGAAACTAGATCACGTAGATTAGTACACACCGCAGGAGTCGCAGACCGGGCAAGGACACGATATGCATACTTTTGCATCTCCGACGCGGACTTGCTGACGCCGCGCCACAGCAGGATAACCAGACCCGTCACGGCGATGGTGACGAGGAATCGCGTCCTAGTAAGCAGAACCAGGACTGCCCGCCACGGTGGTAACCGGGCTCTGGCTGACTTCCAGGTGACTCCGCCCTTTGGCAACAACATGATGGATGGATGTGGGTGTTGGAACTCAGGAGCCTTGCAAAACGGCGATCCCGGGGTCTCGATCGCAGGCCCGTCGAAAACCCCTTACCGACCGAACGAATGAGGCCTGAGAGGACGAAAAACCACAGTCGTGGACGTGGAGAGATGGGGTGAATGAAGGTAGAGAGATAGGGAGGAGGAAAAGAGGAGGACGGGATCGTCGGGTGATTTGCCAAGCGGGAACGGCTAAAACCACAACGCTGAGACAGGACACACCAACTCAGATTGTAGATGATTACAATGTATTTTCTACCTATGTAAGAGTTGTTCATCTCCATGTTGGACAACTAGATGTTTAATTGAGCCGTCACAATCCGGCGTGTAGCCGGTCTCCATCCCCGAGCGACCTTTTGACAGCATGGAGACCCTGAAGGTTTTATTTATAGCACCGACTCGTGTCACGCCTAATCAGCCATCCACGATCTGAAAAGGCATAAGCATCAAGGGTGTTTTAGATTCGATGTAATCATATGTATTCGGATGCCGCTGTCCCCAAAGCAAGCGTATCTTAGGTCTTGCCCCTGAGTGCTTTTTTTTTTTTTTTTTTTTTTTGGAGCCTGAAATTGCGTGTCCCTTCGACGCACGCGAACGGCAAGACCTCAATTTCTCATTTCAACCGGACGTGGCGTCAGTAAACTTCCCGATTCAAGGTAAACAATAGCATGGATAGAATAACATAGAACAAAATATGAATGCATTGTCTAGATGTTGTTCCTGAGACGTCAATGCTTAAATATCGTTGGATCAAATGTAAGACATCCTCAGTCAGTACAGCGTGGCCTCGACCGGGTCCATTCCGTCTTGGGGCAAAGGTGCTCTACCCCCTGTTATAGCACTACATACATAATTATTGGGTATTTTACTAGATTTGTAGACTCTTTAGACCTATTTTTACCAACTGGACGCTATTTGATGTTCTGCCAAGAGCCATGGCTAATTTTGTGCAGATTTCGTCTGCCTACGCCTTCTCCACACGGGGCTCCACTTTTCAGCTCTGGACTTTGTAGGGCTTCACGCCATACAAGGATCATCAACACCATGTTCAAAAGGAGCGTCTAATTGGCAGAAAAAAGAAAGGGTAGTTCCAATTGAGATGATAGAAGTACGAGACTTTACAATTGACCAGTTTTGTTGTCAAAGATCATTAATTGACGGCCGTGACTATAGACAAAAAGAAAACCGAGCCAATGTAACAAAGGGAAGAAATTGTGCAAAAGAAAAAAAAGAGATCGAGCCTAGCATATATCCATGTTGTAACTCCAGACGAATCCACAAAAGAAAAGAAGAAAAATGAAAAAAGAGAAAAAGGAAATGAAAATAGCCACCCATTTTTATAGAGTTGAAGGAAAAATAGACGAGAGAAGCGAACCAACGAAAACACAACACCAAGCCGAACGGCGACCACGTCACCAAGGAAGTAAGAAATATTGTTACAATGCAGACGCTAAGGGAGTAACAAGCAGGCGAGACGAGACGAGACGAGACGGAGATTTTCAGGGTCAAGGTGTGTCAAGATGCAGGGGGCATAAAGGTAAAACGCCGCTGTCTGCAAGGGGCCCTCCGAAGTGGGGCAGAAGAGAAGAGTCGTATCACATCAGGAATCAATATCGGCATGCATCATGAGTCTCCGATTACGGCGAAGGGATCAGAGACTGGCGGCGCGAAGCCGGGAAAGTGAACGAGGACTGTGATGTCGGGAAAGCAGGGGATGAAGGACCGGTTATCGGCGGAGTTGTAGTCAAGTATGAGCTGCTGAAGGTCTGAGAGGTGGCGCTGTGCAGGGATTCGTGGTGGACTGGTGTTTGGGGAGCCATTGTGGCATTGATCTCATCGCAGAAGACTCGCATGCCGGGGAGGGCTTTCTTCTGGCGTTTGTGTTCAGGAACGTCGATCAGAGGACGGGGGCTGTTGATTTCGGGCTTGGGGGAGCGGAACATCTGCTCGTAGGACTTGAGCTGGAACTCAAGGGCGCGGTTGCGGTCGGCCAGGAGTTCGTTCTCAGCCTTTGCGGCGCGGAGCTGGGACTGGGCAGTTTGGTTCTGTTGCTGGAGGGAAGTGACTAGCTGCTGCAGCTGCATGCAGCGGACCTGGGGCTGCAGTTTCTCTGAAAGCTGGGGAGTGACTTGCTCCTGGCGGATGAGGTGCATGATAATGGCCAGCATGAAGTCGATCAGGTAGACTGCGCCTTGCACGATGTGCTCCTTGGACTGGGGCAGGCTCTTGGATGGGTTCCAGCCGGCACGCTCCAGGAAGAAGTCGTGGATGCGGCCGTCAAGCTCACGGTGGAGCTGGCTAAGGTTCTTGCGGCGGTTGCCCTCTGCGATGCGGTGCTTCTCGCGCTGGTCATCGGGGTCGCTGCCGTCAGTGCTGCTCTTGCGCTTACGGCCGCAAAGCTGCTGTAGAGGAGCCTTGCGGTTGATGTTCTGAGGGGCAATCAGGGCCATGATCTCAGTCTGAGAGAGATCGTTGGGCCAGTCAGAGGAAACAGCCTTCTGGGCTGTGAAGGACTCCTGCCAGGAGCTTTCAGCGGAGTTAGCAGGCGAGGGAGGAGCAACAATCTGCTCGCCACCGGACCAGGAAGACTTGAACTGGAAGGTGTCATGGGGCCCAGGTGTAGTAGGACCAAAGGCCTCTTTAGCATGGAAGGGGTTGAAGGGACCCCGGGGCAGCGGCTCCATACGAGGAAGAGGAGGAAGACGACGGTCGTCGCCGAGGCCAGAGCCCATATCGGAGGTGGAGGATTTCAGAGAGCTGAATTCAATGCCATTAGTAAAGGCCTAGCTCGGTATATTGTTATGGTGTACTCACGGAAGCGAGCAGCGTCGCTGGATGTCATCAGTCATGTTGGCCATTTGCTCATACATTGTTGTGTGTCGTCAAGAATCAAAGCGCGAATTATATGTGCAAAAGCGAGGGATGCCGATGAATCGATGTCAAGACACTACGTACGGGACAATTCACTTGATTGTCCTTAAAAACTGTACGTGGTCGAAGTCGAGGCTTGTTGATAAACACAATGGTGATGTTTATGCACCACACACAATGGGAACAAAGGGGGAGGGGATAGTATAGATATGAACAAAGAAAGCGAGGGGATCAAAATCCACGAGGCGAAGACAATGAGTGAGACAATTCTGATCGAGAATGAACGGGGCTGGGTGCTTGTTTATATGTGAATGACGAGGGGGGTCAGAGTACTTTTGGAAGTACTCCAAGATCGAGTCCCTGAAGGCCCGAGAACAGGTACCTCTTTCCGGTCCCAGGAGAGGGGAACGAACGATCATGGCCGATCATGGACTCGGCGGAAGACCAGGATGTCATACAGAGATAATGTGCATGATGCATGGCGTTGGGACCCACGGCGACGGGGAAACGACACTGACCTCCCGGGTGGGCTCTGGACTGACCAGTTTAGCCACTTTGGGAGAAGTGGCACAGAATGAAAAGAATGATCTGTGGTGAGCACTATCGCAGGGTATCTGTCACATCATGCACGGACAAACTTCCTCGTCCTCGTCCGTAAGATCGACCAGTGAGTGTGGTGCGATCGCGCCCGAGAGGCAGGTTCAGGGCGAGGATCCGCAGTCTTTGATTTGTTGCCCGCACTGGTGGTGTCAAGATCGACACGGGGAAGGCATATTACGTCGTGGAAAGAGGCTATGGGCTATTAGGGGCACTGCCCTTGCATCAATAGTCCCTGCCATTCTCTCTAGTTCCCCGCGTATACCTAAACCGTTCATTATTCCATCTAAAAATCCTCCGATGTGACTGTTCACAGAGGCAATGCAATCCCTGGTGCTCTAGTCTCTTTGCTTTAGCCTCTATCGAGGGACACGGGTCTCTCTACCCTGGGAAAAGAACTCCATCGCCTGGGTAGTCCCTAAAGCTGTCGTGCATATAGTCGAATCTCGCCTATTCTCCACTTCGCTACTGGATGCATCGTGAAACGCTCGTTGTAGCATCCCAGGAACCTGGCTGCAGCCCATGTAGCCTCCAATCTCAACCGCATACATCGATAATCAGGAGAACCTTCTATGGCCGTCCCAGAAAACATCAAGGGGGTTTGTTTTGCACAGCAGATCCCCTTCGAGGACGATCCTGTATAATCTAATTGTTCGGTAATGCAAATAAAATAAAGCAAGGATCACGTCTCATCGTGAGACAAGCGAGGAGGTCGCTAATCGAAAGCCGAACTATAGAAGGTTCTTGGCCGTACAACCATGGCACCGCGTTTTCCAGTAAAGGGATTCCGTCAACTATTGACAAAGAGATGTCATGATGATCATGAGAAATTATTACGAGGCCCGGTTGCTTCCAAATCGATCTAAATTAGGTGGAATTTCAGGGCAGGCGAATCATGTGCAGCGAACAGGCCTCGAAGCGAAAGAGATCGCTCGAGGACATCCAGCGAGCTGGGTCGGCGTCCCAGCGACCAGGATACGTTTCCTGTCAGTTGCCGAATCAAGAGGGTGGTGGTGATTTGGAATGGGCGAAAACGATAAATTGGCACACGGACGTTAATATCGTTAGCTCCTGAACGAGTCAGAGCGAGTCTACCATGGCCCATAGCCCACCACAGCCTCGCCGGGTCGAGCCCTAGGAGTTACACGTTCCCCTCGCTGATGGAACGAAGATCCACTGCACGATCTCAGCAAATAATCGATGTGCGTACACGCTCCAGCATCCCGTGCGTGTTCGCTACGAGCTCGATGTGGGTCTCGGGGTCTTTGCGATCAGAGCTGTCATATTTCATCCCGTCTCGGCCCAACTTCGCACTCGTCCCCACGTTCTCGCACACTTCTCATCATGATGAAAAGGCCATGGGGTTATTGGAAGTCCTTTTTTTTTTTGGGTTGGATTGGGACAGTGTGAAAAAGGTGTATTAGGGCGGTGTTGGCAGGACAAGAACTCTATACTTCCTCGTTCTCCCCTATTCCCCTCCACTTACCCCATCAACCACC